GTGACACCAAAAAAATAACACCAACAAAACATAACTATAATATCCATAACAAAAAACTCCTATCAATAATTCAAACATTTAAAAAATAAGAACGATACCTAATAAATATCCACACTCAAATACACATCCTCACAAACCACAAAAACTTAAAATATTTCATAACCAAACAACACCTTAAACAAAAACAAATAAAATAAATAAAATTCCTATCTCAATTCAACTTCAAAATAACCTTCGTTCCCAAAAAAACCAACACCAAGACCAACACATTAACCAAAAGATCAAGAAACCTCCCTCAAAAAAAGAAGGATAAACACATAAAAAATCGAATTAAAATATTGCTACCACCTGAAAAAATCCAACAAATTAATATCATAACAACACAAAAAACCTAACAAGCAGCAACCCTTAAAAATTCCTACATCCAAGACATCATAAAAACCCTCAGAAAAAAAAACAAACAACATCCCAAAATTAAAATATCAAAAATGAAAAAAAAACAAAACAAACTCTACCATAATAACAAAAAAATAATACCCAATAATAAAAAAATCCACAAAGAAATCTTACAACAACACCATAACCACCCTACAACAGAACACCCAAGGAAAGCAAAAACACTAAAACTAATTCAAAAACAATATACATGAATAAAACTTCAAAAAAATGTTAATCATTATATCAACAACTACCACATCTACAAACAAACCAAAACACCCAAAAATACACCCCAAAAATTACTACAATCATTACAAATCACAGAAAAAAACTGGCAAAACATCTCTTTTAATTTAATCACCAAATTACCAAAATCCAATAAACACGATGTAATCCTTATCACCATAAATAAACTCTCCAAAATAATACATCTAACCCTGATAATAAAAAAACTTAACACCAAAAAATTAGCCGGACTATTCCTCAAAAACATATAGAAATTACACAAATTACCCAAAAAAGCCATTTCAAACAAAGAAAAAAACTTCCTAGACAAATTCTAAAATGAAGTTAATAATTGCTTAAGAATCTACTATTGACCCAACACTACCTATCATTTCTAGATTGACAGATAAATTGAACGAATTAATTTCATAATAAAACAATACCTTAAAACTTATGTTAATTATCAATAGGACAATTGGGTTAAATGACTACCCCTAGTTGAATATTCCTATAATAATAAGATATCCAATACCACTGGAATTTTTTTATTTGTTGTAAACTATGGATGGAACTCGGATATCTTTGAATTCTAAGAACTCAGAAAACTTTTTAGAAATTAAGAGGCTGCAGAGTTTATATAGTAAATGTCAGAATTATAAGAAATTTTGCGTATAAAAATCAACCGCATTGTATAGATATAACAAAAATAAGTAAATAAGCACAGACAGCCATCATTTAACTATAAGGAAGAAGACCATGTTTGGCTAGATATACAGAACATCAAAACAACACGATCCTGCCCAAAACTATTTAATAAAATAGAGGGTCCATTTCAGATCTTTAAGTCTGTAAAAAAAAGAGTATATAAGTTGAAGCTTCTTTTTTTAATGAGAATCTATTTCGTCTTTTATATTAACCTGCTGTATTTAGCACCAGATAACACTTTTTTTAGTTAAAATTATGAAAAACAATTTTTATCAATCACCGTTGACAACGAAGAAGAATACAAAGTCAAAAAAATTTTAGATTTGCAAATATATTATCGAAAACTTTAGTATTTTCTTTAGTAGAAAAATTAAAACAAATTTACTTGGTAATCAGCATTTGATATTATTTATGTTTAAAAACTATTTAATGATTTTTATAAATTTTATCTTGATTGATTTAGTCTTTCCACTTGATATACTCGATTTTACCTTATTATTCCAATATAACTTAGAAGAAATAAACAAATTAATCAAGATTCTTTAGTACTTAGATATTATCCAAAATTTATTTTTAGTATTAAATCTTTTTGATATTTAGATATTAGAATTTATTTATATTAGCTTGTATAACGAAATCTGGAGGTTGTAAATTGAGCTGGTTTAAGCCCAGAAAATTATAGGAAATTTCAATTTAACCATCAAGAATTTACTGGAGCAGGTAACCAATAATCAAATCCCCAACCCAAAAGAAAAAATCCAACCAAAAAATCCGCGTTCAAAATCATTAGAAATCCCAAAACCAAAAATACCAGAGATATTAGAGAAAAACTAAAAAAAATCCTTTAAAAAATCTTTAAAAACCTTTAAAAAACTAGAATTCCCAAAAACCAAGCGTAAAAGTAGCTATAGAGGATTCATACTATTTAAGATCAGCAAAAGATATTGACATAACAAAAAACTTATTATGATACTAAATCTTCAAACAAAGCATTGACAAAACATCAATGCTAAAAAAAAAAATTCTGTAATAAAGTAATCTCAGTATAATAAACTTTAAACAAAAATCCAAACAACCAGAGAAACCCTTAGAATAACCATAGGAAACATCCAAACAATATTATAATTAAAAAAAAACCACACAACGCAACACAAACCACAAATCCAAAATAAGAAAATATCCAGATTTAGATTTTGAAACTTACAGTACAAAATTATAGTTATTATTTAAATTCTAAGGGTTTTAAATAAAAAAGCTTTTGCTTTTTTAACAATTTTTAGAAAAAATACTTCGTTATACACATTTGTTTATTATATAGAATTATGTACTGTCCAATTTAGTACCCTATATCTTTAAATATCCAATTCAGATTTATCTCCTATCTAGTTTAATATTTTATATCCAATTATCCAGTTTATAGATTTATTTCTTGTTTAGTTCAATACTCTATATCTGATTGTCTAGTTTACAAACTTATCTCCTATCCAGTTCACTTTATTATTTCTTTTATCAATTATCTATTTAAACTGCTAAGTTCGCTATCATATATTTAAAAACTAAGTAACAATTTAAGTATCAATCTGTATTCACATTAGTACACTACTCTTACCTTGTAACATTTGTGTATTACCTTGATATCACGACTAGGCCGTATACGATTTCTTACAACTAAAATAATAAAGTTGTTAAGCAGCTAACCTTAAAAACATGGAAGAATTTAAACCAGAAGTCAATTAATTACTAAGTAAATTTAATATTAAACCAATTATGTGCCGTTATTACGGCTAGCAGATAAATAACAACTAGATAGTTATAAATGTGTTGTAGAAGTATTTGGTACCTATTTTGTTGTATTTTTTCATATATTGAATCCGAAGTTTATTTTGTCACCCACGTAGGTGTTTAGTCCATGTGGTCTTTTTGTGGTGGTCCGCCCTATGAGTGAGTACGGCGCGCCATATAAAATCCAACTTCAACGCGTATTAATATAATATGGAGTATAAATTTAAGTACAAGACTGCATATTAATATATCACCGGCGTTGTTGGCGTTAACATTTATTAACCTACCTGTCTACCTAGCTACCCACTCAGCTACCCACCTGCCTACCTACCCACTTGTCAACCCACCTAGCTACCGGCCTGGCTAGTTACTTAGGTATTTACCAATAGTTTTGGTAGCTGGGTGGGTAGGCAGAATATGGGTTTTCTTACGAGACTACTGGAAATCCGGTTACGGAAGAACAATTCTGTTTGGGGCGTCTCGGGCCGCTGTTGCTCGATACACATATCACCAGCCCGATCCTGGATGGGGACCATCTAAGCGAGTGGTTCGAGGCTATTCTCGAAAATACCGGCGCTATTGCCGTCCAGACGTACAGCATTGCTGAACATCTCTCAAGCTGGAGGTCAGTACAGAAAACTTATTGGGAGTTTGAGGATATTCTCAAGAAAGGGGGCATCGAGGTAATCAACGGCCCCTGTTCATCTCCCTCCGGCACCAAAATGCTCTGCGAAATGCTGGTGTATCAACGGGGAAAGGCTTTAAACAAGTTCGAGACCGCTAAGTCCTACAGCGGTTCCGAGGGTCGAGCGGCAGATGGTGAGTTTTATCGTCTTTTAGTAGGTTAATTATACCAAGCTATAAATAGTTGATTATAATCACAAGGAGTCCGAGTCTAGACATAGAAGTGTTTACACGGAGGTGAACTTAGACTAAATTTTTATGATAATTTAGCCGTATGGGTGTAAGCTTGCAGTCTTGACTTATCATTTAGCTCACAATTTCCCCTCGAAGGAAAACTCAGCTAGTCTGGAATAGAAAATATAAGATACGAATACATTCTACGCGTCTGGAAAATCTCATTACAAAGACGAGGGGTAGAAGGGAGCTATGCACTATGCACTCCAAGTTATACCGTTAGGTGTTCGAGAAAGGCGGGGAAAAGACTGTTGGCAGAGAAGGGGGGGGCGGTGGGTTATAATTCGTAAGACTTCTCCAGAAAACCGTCATGAGAATATTTAAAAATATTTCAGCGATCAGAATCACCGACTTGCGTCTCTTCCCAGTCTCTCTTTAAAAAACGGAGACTGGAACGCTCCCGAGATCGATCAGTCTCGGATGCCAAACGGCAGGAGCCCAAATCGATCAGTTTCACAATACCATTCGAAACGGCAAAGTTTTCCAATTTTATATCTCCGTGAACCCTCCCGCATGCATGCACTGCATCAATAGCCTTTCGTGCACGGCTCCAAAAACTTGAGTCTATATTTTCATCGGTCGCAGTCTCCCCACAATCCTCCAAAACCAGGAACTTGAGTGACCCTAAAGTAGTGCCTGCGGCATAAAGTGTTGGTATGTATTTTCCTTGAAGGGCTTCGAGATCGGTATAGCTAAAAAGTAGTATCATGATCAGAAGGGTTAGCACGCAGTGATATCTTTTAATACAATCTTAACAGCGTGCGAAAGGAGAACTCAATTAAAAGACGGGATTGGGAGGTGTTAGTGACAGGACGGCCTTACGCATTGATTTCTGCGTCGGCTGCTTCCAAATTTGAAGGCTGTGTTATGTCGTAGACTTTGAAAAACGCCTTTTTTTGGTATCTAAACCTTCTACGTTGCCGGGGAACTACCTCACCCGACATTACAGTCGCAATGTTTTTGCTAACAGGGCAGAGTAGACGTAGCTTCATATTGGCCCAAGGAACTTTAATATCTTCGTCCCACGTTCCCTCAACTTCCAAGTCATCCAGCACAAATGTGTGAATCCCGGGCGGCCCTCTTTCGACGGGAGAGTAGTGAAAGGTTTCTTCGGTAGCGGAGTAATGACATATATATGTCAACGCTGCGATAGGGCCTTCAATACCCCGCTGACTGTAAAGAAATGGGCGGGAAATCTGTAAACCGGTATCACCGGTTCTACGAAGCAAGTATAATACCTCGTAGTTACAAAGTCCACCGTGCATCAGGTTATTAAAGGTCATGTAGCCATATAACTGACTGATGGCCTTGACTACTTTATCACTTTGGTCCCCTCTTTTCCTATTAAAGTAGGTTATTATGTTCGTGGGCATCCTGAGGGCCCAGGGTGTTTTATATTCCATCAAAAATTTAGCTCGGGATCGATCTCTGGTTGTTTCGTCGTTGAAAGTGAAGAACACACGATCGGGATCACCTATGTTATTGGTAGCCCGGTGGTTCGTAAAGTCACATCTGATCGAGAAAACCTCTCTTAAAATTGCCAGAGTCGGATCCTCATACACGATACATCCAAGCGTGACAACTTCACTTTCATTCGCACATATCGATTTTGTATCGATCTTGTCTTCGATAACTTCCGCTGCCCGGAGAAAGCGTCGTGACTGAATTGTAGTCTACTGATTAGCCCAAATAATTTAAAAAGTTATAGAACATTGGGGCTTAAGCCAAAAAAGCGCTCGTCATACTAATAAAATAGAACTTACAAAGTGGTTCAAGTGTGGATCGAGCAGCTCCTTAATTTCCTCGTCAATTCCTAACCAAGGGGTCAAGTCGGCCAGGTACTCCCGCGGGTACGCAGGAACTGTTGTCTTGGTTGTCGAACGTTGTACAGTTTTTTGAATCTCCGGAGGAGTAACCCGCTCTAGAAACTGGGATAAATCCATTGCAGATTTGAAGATGACCCGAAGCTCGAGTCCTTCTTGTTTAAAGAAATTAAAATCTAGTGGTCTTAGAAATGGGCCGTGATATGCTTTAAATATATGAAATGAGTCTTGTTGGTGAGGCGAGCTCGGGTAGAAGTTAATTTCTTCATCCAGTAAACTTAGAGTAAATTAATTACATTTAGCAATACTATTAAATTACCGCGTGTACGTGCGCAACAGGGCTTCTCTTGAGTGGAAGTCGTACAAACCCCCGAAAACAACCAGCCTATAAACACAGCTTTAAAACCAAACTCAGGGCGTGACCTCTAGATTGGTCGCATTCTTTGACAGACGGACTATAAAATCGCCCGCTATTCGTCCACCAGAGCTCGGGACTGCCCTTTTTACCAATTACAACCCCTCGCGAAGCGATATCCTGATGCGCGTTATATAGCAAGGCTGATCCAATCAAGTGCTACACGGCCAATATCCATATGACTACCAGCCTCAAATTGTACCGTGCGCGTCCACCAATGAAATCGAAGAACTGAGTTAGTCTCGAGACCCTAGGGCCCTGACTAGACGATTCCGTGGTAAAGGGTCTTTGGACGCCTAGTTGACGAGAGGAGAACTGTCTATCCGAGTAACCACCGCAATCTTGAAACCTAAAGTGTATATCTAAAGTACTTCCTATACGATCGATCGGTTGATGCGCTCGATACTCGCAGGGACCGACAATCTGTGTCAGGTGCGAGCTCTCCCGCCCCGAAAATTATAATTCGTCATTTGCGATATAATTCAGGGCACAAAGAACTATTCGGCCGCCGGACCATTGAGTGACGCCTCAAAGATCATTTACCTTTACATCCCACTCTCCAGCTGAGGAAATCTCGAAAAGAAGACCCCCGATTAAGCCTGAGACTTATACTCACGATAAGATATATGGCGGGGAATGGGTTTGTAACCTGTCAGGATAGCTTTTGGCCTGAGATACCGGCATTTTTATTGGACATATGTAGCCAGTGGTATCTTTGCGGTATATTTCTGGGTACTAGATGAGTGTAGACCGACACCGTTCGAGTGATTTTGCATAATGATACAAAACCAAGCGAAAACGTACCGAAGTCGGATTAAATTTCATAATCGAGTATACCTGGTCTCGTTGAATATATACCCCGTTGGTTGCATTCCCGCTGAATCGGATATTCTGGTCTCCAGTTAATCGCTATACGTATAAAAATGAGTACATTACACATTTCGCGTCTCTCGTTCGGAGCCGTGTATTTAATACAGAGGGTGTAACTTGATCAACATTTGGTACCCACGAATATCAAGGTTACATAGTCCTAATTCTGGGTTCCTTGAAGTATCAAGCCTTCAAACCCTGCTAGCGGTCTCTTTCGAATATGAGCAGGGCATTGCTTATCCTAAAAGATCAAAGCCCACTACTATCAAAAATAGCTGTAGGAAAGAGAGAGGCGCTAGATCTGAGAAATCTAAACCAAATCAAACCACCCAAACCGGTGTGAGCCACGCCGTAGCAAATTTAAAGAATACACCAAACAGGAATCTTAAAGCAGAAACAAGATAGGAGTAGGAAGGAGAGAAACAATAATAACTTATAATATCGGTCACCATATATATGAACGGGGGCAAGTAACTTAGTAGTACCTCTCTCTAAAATATATTTATAGCTGGTTCCATACGCTAATTCCGATTACTGTACTCTCTACGAATATATCAAACTTTATGTTTAAGTGATAAGTGGAATTTTATTATTGTCCATGGTTGCCTTCATGATATCGAGGTTCCCATAGAGAATCCGCTACTGACAAACAAGAAATTGCCTCTTGTCTCTCTTCTCCTTCCGTATGTAGTATTATCTGCCGAGAGCAGCGACTTACAGACACGATAATATCCGTATAACGAGCCCCGAAAAAGTCTCAGATAACGGCGCCGTTTTCGGAGTGGTGAGAGTTATCGATTTTCGCCAGTCTAAGTTTCGTGATTAACCCACCTAGGGCTCCTTCGAGGTTTTAGTTTTAACATCTTTAAGTTTGAAAGGCTCGGGTAAGTCATCGACATCCTCCACCTCAATAATACCAGTAGTCAGCATCAGCTCAAGCCATTCCCACAACCAGTGATTACGCAAACCCGAATGCCATTTTTGAACCGAAATATTATTTTCTTTTTCGTATGCTACAGATTTTTTTGCGTGGGGCTGGGTACGAGACACGTATGCTACCATATTCCTGAGTATGTCAGACCGAGAATAAAGGGCCTCACATATTTTGAAAACATTAGACTCCATGCAAACATCAAAGATCATTGTTGATCTCCAAGCTGATTTTTTAGGATCTTTTCCGAGGGTACGATATAAACTGATCTCGTAAACCATACAACACACGGTCTAATATAAACTACCCGGTGCTTTGGCGGAGCTGCGCAGTACTTCTCTTTCGAGTCTGTCCAATAAAGCAAGCGGGCTTTGAAGGTTGCGATAAGATAATCTGGAAGAATAGGCGGTTTTCATAAATTGGGCACCGTCTTCTGTAATTCTGATGCCAGCCTTCCTGAACTCCGCCAGGTAGTCGGAAATGCATTTTAGGGCTATATCAGCTGTGGTAGCCTCGTTTGGATTTGCTTTCAAAATATTTATCGGTGTTCGCCCATAGATTTTTCGTTGTGTGCGTGTGGGTTTCTTAGAGAAATGAGCAAAGCAAAGGTCAATCAGGAAAATATTTAAATTATATTATGGTCACGTGAGGCGGTTCGAGTCCTTTAAAGTATCTAGCTCTTGTAGTTGAGAATAGAGTTGATTCCTGATGAGCTCCATCGCCGTGGGGGAGTCTAGTCTAGTTATGCTCCTAGACGTTCTGGGTTTTGAATATCGACTCTACATATTTATTTCTTTTGTTTTGTATAGTTTTTGAGGGTTGGTAATTCTTTTCTAGAATATTGGTTCAGGATTCGGTGTAAACTGGGATTGAGGCGGGAGCGCTAAAATATTGACGACTGAAATTGCGATTGTGCAGTTGGAACATGAAATAAATCTTATGATTTACATTTCAAAACCGGATGTAGACTAATCAACTTAGATCTGATCTGTGTACTCCCAATATTATATTAGGTTGGTTATCCTTTTGTGGTGGACACGGATTGGCTAATGATATCCTCCACATATAATAAATACAATAAATATTAATACGGGATCGAATAAAAAATGAACAAATATATGTCCACCACCGATCTTAGCCCGCCTGGATTTCAAATCTCAAGTATTCCTTCATACATCCAAGCTTTGCCGCTATATAAGTTTCCGGTCAAGTTTTATATGATTTCGATAACTACCTTGAGGTTTGGCTTGTGCGAACTTATTCCAACTGCTTACTTAATAATATAAATTAGCGGGCTAATTCAAGTAAATATACTAATAGGCTTTGTGCTTGAATACATGTAACCGTATGCATATTTGTACACTAGTGTATTGCTAGAGGACGAACGTTCAATTATGCGGTGCTTAATTACCTACGCTTGACCAATAAGATATATTGCTAACTATATTTCTGGTATATGAGTTTAGGCGGCCACCCGGGGCGAGTATAAGAGCCCAAATCATGTTCGTGTTTAGACATAAGTAAACATTGCCAGCGAAGTTAGCCAATTGCAAATCGATAGCGCCCGGAGCCCACCCACCTTGTCTTCGGTCAAGCAAGGGTTTCTACACGAACGCTAGACCCCTTCAAATTCGAAATACCGCAAGTACCAACAAATCTACAAGCCCAAATTTAAACGAGGTCTACATGGTTACAGGAAGCCCGTCAAAAGGGAAGGGAAAATATTGTTAGACAGCAACCGTCGATTATGAGCCTTAACTTGATTAGTCTCGTCCCCAGACGTCACAAAGGGCAGCACTTTGTTTGGAAATTGACCTATTAAAGTTATGGTTACACGGTAAGAATCAAACCCATACAGCTAACAGCTACGGTTTCGTGTTATCCGGTTTTTGAGACCAGATTTTCTAGTATCAAGGCTATTCATTATTTATATGCTTCATTTCACACCCATTCCTCGTGCAGCAAACTAGCTTCGGTTTTATTCCCATCTATAGAATGGGCGAGTCGATGCACTCCAATAGCCCTATCGATAATATATCCTGTAGATAGACCAGATAGCATCTATCCAAAAAGACCATCGGGCCTATGCATAGTATACATAAAACATGATGAAGCCAGAATTCTATAAAAAACCCCGCCGGTTTGGAACAGGTAATATATATGAACTGCCGGAGAAATTATAGTTCCTTCAGAAACTACCTCAAAAGCCCAAATTTAAAGTGCTCCTTAGATCTCACCGACTTTTACATGTATCATTATGAAAATTACCTAACTGGGTAATAGAATGAGTAGTTAGAACATCATTTTCTGTTGAAGCTGTGAATATTCGTTCTACAATCAAGTTTCGTATTCTTCAAGATATATTAAAAAAACCAGAGCTACACAGAACAAGCCGTCGAAGTTTGGAAGCTTTAGATTTGGTATTCTCACAGCGGTTGTACGTAGGTCTGTAGATCTTATGACATCCGCGGTTGAGTTTTACCACTCGCACAAATTTTCGCATTGCAGTATAAATGTAAAGTGAAGTATCGATACGCGTGTGCAATACTACTAGTAAAAGATTGTATTTACTCAGATGTATCCTGGATAACTACACTAAGCATGCTTATTTTATATACCTACATTGGTACTTATGTAGATTTTAGCCTTTAAAATCCATGAACCCATATATGATCATAGCATTCCCATTTGAGACTAATAAACTCGTTATCACCCCACGCAGGTCACGTGCCGTATTTTGTGGGCACGCCTATGGCTGGCCTAGGTTATATAGTAGCCTGGATGCCAATTCTAAGCTATGGCATACGTACTGAGCAAGCCCGCGCATGGCATGGCACGATACCAGGCATCTTGTTACACTCGTACCTTTACAATTAAGCTTAGCCGTAATATATACTTTAGATCGATATGTATCTTAACATAGGTAGTGCTTGGAATCTCGCTAGATGATGCATAATATGTGCTAGGAGGTCCCGGGAATTAATTCGAATTATCACCGAGGATTATCACTCGGAAGTATCGGACATACCGGATGGTTGGAAGGGGGGGGAATTATCTCCGCGATATGTACAAAAGACGTAGTCGGCGTTAAGCTCCAGGACGTCCAGCTTCTAGAACCACTGAGAAAGTTTCCCTAGAAGGCAATATAAACTATCTTGCAGCTCATATTGGGCTACATTAGCTCAACACGTGCACGCCCAAATTTAAAACACAAAACATCAATATCAATATCTCTACTATAGCTATCGACGAATACAATACAATCATTCCCACCTATTTAAACCCGTCCGGAAGAATCATGACTCGCCTACCCTTCAAGTTACTTGGATAAATTCAGCAGATAGAGATGGGATTAGAAATCTTAATTCCCGGTTCCAACAAGAAAAAATACTACAATCCTCCACGTCGTGCTCCCGAACACCTTTATAAATCCGGTCTCCGAACCATCCTTTTGATTGAGACATACCGTTCGGATCCTGAGTCTGGCTTGAAGGAATTCCATTACTCTGTTCATCCAAAGAGTCTCCCAATAGAGTTAAGAAGGCATGACATGGCTGGTAGTAAGTCGCTTGGGGAGATCTCTGCTATCATCAAACCTTAAGTTCGGTTTTAATACTGACACGGGATGAGCCATAGTTATCGTCGAGTACTATCGCCCACCTCCGGAGGACCCAAGACCCAAAGTCTACCTTATTGAAGATGAATTTGATACCTCGGTCCTCGGGGACCCCTATGAGATGAAGTATACCGCCGTCTATCCGGAGAGTTATAAGGGCCTCGTGCCTTATTACGTGGGGTGCGAGAGATTGGAGTCAGGCGAGTTTGATCGCCCACTAAAGGACAGGGCTTTGGAGGCTGGTGGGGGGTTAGGTGATTGTAGTGGGATCTCAAGCCAGGTTAATTATAAGCATGGGTGGTCTGAGCCTAGGCGTAGAATATATCACCGAGGGCCGCCCAAACTAAGCTCTCATGATGGTTTAGCTACACAGGTTTAAGCATACGGTCTTGCAAGTGGTCCTTTCGTGTAACCGGTTGACACCCGCTAGCACTCTTCAGTATCGATTGGTTGGGTAGTCATCCACACGGCCTCTAGAAATAGCAGTGGCGAGGAGAAAGCAGTCAATGGAGAAACCTTCATATCAAATGATGTACATATGTTTCCGTTTAAGAAGACTTTTTGCTAAAAGTATTGGGTTCTCAAATTGGCTAAAGCTTCGATACTTTATTAGCACGCCGGTTAATGTTCAATAGTAGAATTTTGGGAATAATCAGTCCCTTGTGAAGATATAATCTGTAAAGGTTCCGTTTAGTCAGCGGCGTTTATGATAGGGGTAGAGTATGAGGGATATATGTATAGGCGATGCTTTTAACAGTAAGATGACAATAGCTAGAGCTTTAAATATAACTAACTCCCGTAGTCTGGGAGTCGCTTCCTGGGGCTCACATAGCGTAGACAGTAGCAACCCAGTCTTAGCATAAGCCGGCTTAGCTGAGCTGAGCTGGCAACAGCCATTGAAGAAAGCAACCTCAGGAGAGTAGACAGTAGATAATGCTAGCTATCAAGCCCTCACACTCCCGCAAACTCACACTTCTTTATCTCCCTTTCGATCTATTTACATACACAAACTCTGCCTCAGATAACTCATCAACAGAAAGAAACCATGTCCAATCTCGCAAACCCGCACAGACGATATGTCTTCCCTCTGTTCTTCTGGCAAGGCAACAAACCAAACTTTCAAGACGACGGGGAAAAGCTTCGCGTGGCCCTGATTGCAAACAGGTCTTCCGACAATACTTGGTTAAGGTGGCTGGAGTCTAATATTCCTCGCGGACATCTGGGGATAAGATGGTACATTATCTCAAAAGTTTACGTTTTGGTAAGTAATATATTTCATCCCACTTATCTTCCGTTCTTCCAGTTTTCTGGTCATGGTGTATATATCCACAGCTGGCTAATACATACTAGCATTGCACACCAAGAGACCTAAAATTAACTAGAACCGATATCAACCTTTATGGTCCTGGTTCACACTTCCAAATCGAGAACTCATTCCGTCTCACAGGAACCATCACCTTAGACGTCCGTCTAACATTGCGGCCGGAGTTGAAATTCTTCATCAGTGTTCTAGACCCCATCTATAAGTTCATGATGGCGGTAATCCTTTACAAGTTTGCCAACGACAAAGGGGTGCAGATATGGTTAGCCGCTACCACGACTATTCTAGCTATGATAGTTTTCGTCTTCACGTTGCGAGAAGTATCATAACTTTTCACTCTCATATTCTTGTTTTAGACTAGAAAATATTAGATCAGAATTCACCATCTTGTCCACTATAATTACACTACGTATGCATGCGTTTCTCACAGGCAATAAGTCTGGTGGGCTACATTATTAGGATTTCAGTGGTTTCATAGGATAAACATAGTCTTATTCATATTATTGTACTGTTATAACGTGCTCGTAATGAGGCTAAAACATGACCAAGATTTTTTATATTCATTCGGGGCTTGTCTCTCTTTTTTTTTTTACAAACAGCAGTCTGGTAACTGTGTGGCATAAGGCAACATATCTTGTAGCTCTACTTATACTTACTTAGTACCCACACAAGTATACACCGGCGACACGCCTCAATTGAGCCACATGTGTGCCTGAACTCCTCTTTGGCTACTGGTCTACCTATTAACGATGCTCAGACGATGATAGGGTGTTCGATCAGATTCGATCAGAGATCTAGTGTCACTAGATTTATAGACCCCGTGGTCATTCTAATTTTGGGAATCGTCCACCGAGCCTCGAAGTTTATAACGTTATTACCTTCTTACTTGGCCATTTAGTCTCTGAAGCTCATTGGAAGTGTTTTCCTTGGAGGACTATTCTTAAAAATTGCCAGTATGTAGTATAATCAGAATCATATGGACTATAACTAGTACTATCATCGGCGGCTATACAATCCTCCCTATTCCATTCTATTCTCAATTGACAGCACCTCCAACTCGGTTTCTTTTACCCCTCCCCTTTGTGACTTTTGATTCATGACTTGATGCGAGATACATCGATATCGTTCCCGTCCTGATTTTCAAACACCAATTGTCAATTTACTTTCATAGTGTCATTATTTCTACCGCGATAGCTAAATTATAAACACCGGATATACAAGTTGCTGCAAACTTTCAAATTAATTAAATTTATACGGAAGTCTGTCTCATCAATCTTACTAGGAAATATATCCAAAGGCTTCACAAATCGACTTTGTCTGTAAATGCTCCCAAAAGACCTATAGGATCGGTAACTATAATGGTATATGCTGGGGCGTTGTTTTCCTTCGATTCCACGACCTCTATCATTAGCATTGCCTCTAATTACAATTCGCTATAGAAGCCCTTTCCGCATATGCGATGTGGCACAAAGCTAGTAAATATTTTGGCCTCGCCAGGGTAGTTAGGAACTGAAAGAGTTTGGTGATATCGATCGCTCCGACGCTTTTCACACTTAGGATTCCGTTATAAATAGAGGCTATGTAGGTAATATTAATAACTACCATAACTTGGCTAAGAGCATATAGGTATATAGAACATAAAAACGGGAAAATAGAGTCTATTGAAGATGTTTCCACTCGTACCCATATGGGAGGTAAAGGCGAGGGAGTTAAGCTTCCGGGAGCAGTATCATTCGAAAGAGCTTCCGTCTAGAAAGGAGATCTAGCCTCTCATGCTCGGAAAACTTTACTAGAATATTCCACCGGCTAAATTCGCTGCACCGATCCCCACCATCCATAAAAATATCCTTGAATAATAATTCTCTTTAGCTAGAGAATACTCCGGCTATTCAAGAAGAATCGCTAGTTTGCCCCAATTTTCGTGCGCGATCGTATCGTCGATGACCGAATTTAACCCCACGCGTAGGTCCTGGTCGATCTAATAATTCCGGTTCGTATGCTGCCTTAGTCGACGCTCCGCTCAACTGCAACCTAACCGGACAGTCTTCTTACGTCTTCGACCCGATGGACGGTAAAGACGACAAATCGAGATGTGCGAGCTTCGTATTGGCACAAAGGTTCCTCGAGAGATTCAGGAAAAGGATACACTTGGTAGTTTCCGTCGCCAAGATGTTCCTTAACAAGGGTGATGATGTCTCCAACTACTGCTTGGGCTCCTCGAGGATACATCTTCATAGCCTGTAAAGTTTCGCTTTCAAGACATAGCTTGAACAGATTCTGACTCTGCGAGTTCATTTTTGGTAGGTTTGGTATGGAAGTCTTTCTTGTTGTATATCAGTATGAGTCCCTTGTTAGAAATTCTTTGTATAGCAGCAAGTATATTAAGCGCTTGGGATCTTACAGGGAAAGGGGGAAGGCTGTTGACTTACAGATATATTTCAGGGTGCTAGTGGTGCGAGGTATTAATATTCTCTATATGTATAGCGAGAATCGAGATTGAGCAATAATCGATGAGTAGGATATATAGGTTGTCAAAGGTAGGTTGTCTTTATGATGGAAGTGATGGTGAAAAGGAAGGGAAGGGGCGAAGGGGGGTTCCCTTTATATAGTTAAGTAAATAGAAAGAAATATAATTCTAAAGATCAACCCATCATCACTGGTGCCAACTAGTAGTATTTATAATTTAAATTTCTTAAATGACCTCCGCAGGAATGCTCTTCTGGGTGCTGATCTACCGACTGCAAGCATGCAACCAAAAAAGGGACAAATAAAAACGGAAATATTAATAGCTGAACAATTGATCTCAGACATGACAACAGAAGCACGTTGTAGATTCCCATGTATTCTATATATAGACACTGTACCGGAAAGGTGTGTATTTAGAACACCTGCAATGCAATACCAACCATCATGACAAGAAATCTATCACCTTAATTGACTTACTTACTAGTAGGTGCTCGTACGTTTGCTACTAAATTGTTTACCTAATCAGTAGTACGTTTTGGGTAGTGAACTCTTTATCCGGTTAACAAACCAGTATCAACTATTTAATATTTAGCTAACTCGTCAAGTAAATACCTAGGTTATTAGCTGGAAGATAGCTCACTAGCCTCTAAGCGTGCTAATAGCTTTATAGGTAGTTTACTAGTTGAATGGATAGGTAGGTAGCTGGGTAGGCACGTCCGAAATCAAGCAAAGTATTACAACGGGGAATTATAACTTGATGATTTAGAATTACGGTTTTAACTTATGATATTCGGGTTTAAGTGTCACTGCAAGCCGGCTACAAGTTTCTAGTAATATCGATAATAGTAAAGGTAATATCTCCGTATGCATTTTAAATTACTTTCTTTTCCACCTCCCGCTAAGCAATCTCCTCCTCCTCCTCCTCCTCCTCCTCCTCCTCCTCCTCCTCCTCTTCATCCTTTTCTTGGTCTTCATCCTCGTCTTCATCTTCATCTCCATACTCGTCTTCATCTTCATCCTTCTTTTCGGTGGTCTCTTCCTTCGGAATCTCAGCGGGGATCTTTGAGATATCAATTGACGTCGTCTCTGGTAAGTCGCAAACTTCTATTTTATCTCCTTTTATAAAACCCGTCATTCCCTTTTGGGACCTTTTCCCTGTCTCGCCCTCGCAAATCTAAGGAATTTTTACAATAATTAGACCCTAAAGCTTCGGGGACAATACATAACCACTTGTGGATTGATAATACTAACCAGCTTCATCATATCGAAGTTTCCGACAAGAATCTCTGCAAATCTGGCGCGAGATACCGCGCAACATAGTCGGTTCTTTTTACACATAAAGCCAATCTATAGAAAACATTATATTAACATTTATGTTAAGAATCCCAAAGAATATGCTTTTGAAAGAACTTACTGTTTCACCTTTGTTCGAACGTACGAAAGAGATTATGACTATCTCCTTTTCTAATCCTTGATAGTCATCTATGCTTCGGACCTGTAGGCCTTGCGACTTCATATAAGCTAGTTCCTTGCCTAGGTGATATAGTTGGCCGGAATATCCTGTCAGAACTGCGATTTTGTTCGGCTTAATCCCACAGGCGACTAGTTCATATACAATGCGACAGACGCCTTTTTTTTTATCATGGTACGTATACTGTCCCATTCTTGACTCAGTCCCGGTGATATTACTCCAGATCACGTTTTTTTGTGAACCGGGGAAAATATGTGCTAAAACCCCACGTATATCAACCGATTCTGAAGAATACATGGTTGATTCCGCATTTTCGAGCTCCCGGTTGGGGTAAAACGCGGTTTTTGCCAGAGCGGAAACGTCGTCGGCCATACGGTGATTCATTTGAAGATTTGCTGTCGGCCAGTCTGATATTCTGAGTCTTTCAAATAAACTGGTGAGCATCTGACCGTTTCCAGAAATAGAATACGGTTTCAATTGTGCCTCATCTCCTATGAGCACGAATCTACCAATCGAATGGCGGAACATTAACCATGCTAAAAGCGAGTTTAGTTCTGTTGTTGCCGCCGCGTCGTCTAAGACTAGCATTTTTGGCGAAAAGTCTTTCCAGGAGCTTCTAGTCTGGTACATAAGGTTAATTGTGGTAAAGACTATAGTTTGTTCGCTCAATATTTCGGCTTTGAAATCGGTCCACGAAAGTTCCTCCGGTTTTCCTCCTTTGTCCTTGATTTTTGACTTCATGGTAAAAGGGTAAATTAGATCCGCAACATCACGGTTTCGTTCTTTCAGCGTCAGTGTAGCGAACTTTGATTGAAGAAATAAGATATTGAAATCAGCGGTATCCTGCCCTAGAATCTTGATGCAAGCGGTGAAGATATTCGCGACTGCAGTATTCTTCTCAGTGATAACGAGGATTGGGAGTCTCTGTGGCTGGTGCTTCATTGCGGCTACGATGGAGGAAGCCGCGGTTAACGTTTTCCCAGTACCAGCGGGACCGGATACTAGCACAATTTCCCCTGCATCTTTTTCCTCGTGGAGGATATGCTGAAATGCCGTTTTTTGGAACTTGTCGAGGTTTTTGAATATCGTGGAATTCTCAAGTTCGTTGTTGATAGTTTCGCCGATTTCGGTGGGACGGTTAGCCCACATCAAAGATTGGAAACTTATCAAAGTCTCTTCGTTTAGAGCATTCATCAACCCATTTATCGTAAATTCTTCTCGTCGCTTCCTCGTATCAGAGGCACGGGGAATCAGACTGAACGGAAATTAGTACATTCAACGCAACTGTTACAAGATCACTCAACTTACGTTAATTCTCCGGCGGACGACTTTTTTATCTCTCCGAAGTCTTCTTCCGAACTGTTGGATAGAGAAAGCTCAAGAAATCCTTTTTCATTGTATCTATCGACTTGTTTTGGATTTGCAAATGCTTGAATAGTTTTCCCACTAGGGAATTGGATCTTGAAACTTGGCCTGCCCTCAAGTTTATGGATTTCGTTCGTGTACATCTTACCCCGAGGGTAATAAACTTGTACGCTATTATCGCAGTTCAGAGCGAGTCCTATTCTACCCCCCAAACGCTCCTTAATAGCCGCAGCCTCCGCCTCAAATTCTTCCTTTATCGCTATCTCCCAGCACCTTTGATATACTAGTTGGGACCTCATAGGGACCGGAAGAACACCCCCGTAGATTTTCTTCTTGACTTCCTCCATTAATTGTCGTTTCCCACGCAAGACGTCCAAGAACCCCGCCGCCGTCCTTCGCAAGATCGGTGCTGGGCTGTCTAGATAGATTTGGATATTTGAGGACTTGAGGATAGTAGTGAATATCTTCGTCAGGTCCGGGTTTTGGGCTAACGCAATTGGCATCGTTTTTTCACATTTGTTCGGATCATAGTTAACCGTTACGACACATTGTTCCACATCGAAAAAGATGTCCTCGATTGCTTCGGGATAAATGTTGAAGCACATTACTGCGGCGTAGGGGTTTTCGTTAAAGGATCTGATCGCGAGATAGGCGGTAGCTGGTTGTGTGGGATCGATAGATTTGACGTAAGCGCAGCACATTCTAATACCACTAAGATCTGCGACATCTTCATAGATGTCATGGTATCTTAATGCTTTGATTTTGCATGGTCGAGGGATATTCTTTAAACGGAAGATTTTGTGAGCTTCAGTATCATTCTGAACTTCTGGTGCAGTGGATGCCGTGGGTTCCTGAATTTCTGCTGTTATATTATTTTCAGTCTTCTGTTTAATTGTCGACAGGTAAGTTTTTGGAGCTCTAACCATTTGGAGTTTCGAGTGGAGCTGCTTCTGGACTACTCCACTCTAGTTCCTCTGCTCCTGCGATGTCCCATCCTGGGTCAACTTTTCCACCCGTGGCCGATCTTTCATCAGCTTCGCCTTCTGTGTCCCATCCTTGATCCTCCTCTGTGTCATTGTTTTCCAAGGGAGGAGGGTCCTCAGCTGGGGGCGTTGGGAAGGTCGAAGATTGGCCCTTGCTTTCACGAGGCTCCATCTGTTGAACTGGCTATCGAGATGAAAGGATGTTGAAGAAAATGTGTGATAACCGAAGCAAGTCTAAATATCTAATGAGAACTCTAGCTGTGAAGTCGATAGTTTGGTTGTAAAGCTAGTCTTTTCGACGAAATCGAATGCGAATGAAGAGAGTACTGGAGATGGAAATGAAGAACGCGAGGATGCAGATTGTGGGGAAAGAAAAGAAAGAGACGGTTGGTGGTCCTATTTTCAAACTTCGGCCTTGCAACTCAGAAATCGGAATCAGACGATAAATTCCAGCATACAACACGCCGAAAGACAATTATCACATCCTGAAGAAGGCGAATGACCAAAACCATGGACATTATCGTTAGAACAAAATAACTTTCCTGGGAGGCATCCAATAAAGGGTCTACTGGCCCAGACGCATATGGATATATGCTGCTGTGTTTTGACAGTATTACTTTCGTAGATGTCGACACCAGCGCGAAGACGAGAGTAGAGTCAACGTTAATTCCATTTTTGCGCCAATATACATATTTCCTAGTATTAATACCCCTTGCTTTCCTTTAAAACTTCAATTTCCCACGATCCAAAAAGATAAAGATTTCCTATGCCAATACTTCCATCCCAAAACCCTACAACTATCATACCAACTGCCCTATAATTTCCCTCTCGAAGACCCAAAAAAGTTGTCAAAATCTTCAATTTCCAGTCTTCTTCGATGCGAAGAAGTAATAATAATCAAAAATCGCCATATCCGCAAGAAGAACCTAAACAATCCACCAAATCAAGTTAATAAAAACTCGAAAGTTAAAAACTATCAACAATATAGAAGAGTGCTTACCAATCCAGCAATAGTATACACTCTCTTCCTAGAGTACTCTGTTCCAAAGATCGTAAAAGTCTTTGGTGTGGGAGTTTGCAATGAAGACTGTGTAATTTTCGAGAACGCACGTTAGACCGGAAACTTTTAATGTGATCGAGGGTATAGGGAACATACAAATGTCCTCATCTCAGAGGGGGCAGCTTTTTCTGGGACGAAGCGTGAAGTAGACCACATCGTAGTGGGGCGGAAGGCAGTTCGGAGAAATTGGGCAATCATTTTTCCTGAATGAGATTTGAGGAGTTTGAGAATTCGAAAGTGGTTTTGAAGTGGAGTGTGGTATTTCCGAATTAGGTGCGTTGTCGATGTTCTGAATTGAATTGAATTGTCAAAGCAATATGAGGAATTGAATTGAATAGAAAACTGGTACTATTGTGTATTGATGCTGGTAAGAAAGAATAAATCGATTCTAGAGAGATTTGAGAGCATCTTTATAGTAAATTTGTGAATATACAATCGCAAAAAGTTGAAGTTGAAGCGTCGTTATTCAACCTTAGTTGTCGTAACATACCATAACGAAGCATAACGTTATAACGTTATGCGTCAACATCCCTGCCGTTATGTTCCGTTTCGGTTAGTCCCGACTCGATCCCCGTTTAGTCGATTTGGATTCGGATTTAATCTTGTCATACAGACGTTGCATTGCTTGCGCTTGAATATAATCTTTTAACAGCTTTTGGGCAGTTACGTATCTTATCGGAGCGGATTCTACTCGGTACCGGTAATTTGGGTCAGCTATGGACCCCGCGGAGACCCTGGATCCATGGGCTGGGCTGCACGCATTCGCATTTCCGTATGGCGCAATGTCGACGAAACCTATCTTCATTACATAACCTATATAATATACTATTAAACCATGGATCATTTAGATCTGTTACATTCGATCCCATATGTGTAGATATTATGAATCTGAGACGCCTAGGCCCGTCTTGCCAGGGTCGGTCTTAATTAACACAAAGCTGACTTTCCTTGTGAGATTTGTAAGTGATTTTATCTAGTTAGCTTAGATAGCTACAATAAACTACAATTAATTCTAACTGGCAAGTTTTATTTGATATTTTGACCATGTAGATAAATCTTGCAGCGTGAACCGGAGATAAATCCCAACTTCACTACCAAATCGGAATTTCGAAAATATACTTATTTATATAAAGTAAATATTGTGCTTAAAACGAAGTTACTATGATCTACAACCCCAGATATCAGCGGTCCTACAAGACATGCTTAAATACCGTAATAAATACACTGCTTCGAAGAATAGAATATATAATAAATAGATTCCAAAATATCATATTCCCCACTTCCTCTACTCCCATTTGATACGTATACCACGCTCCACATCCCTCATCCTCCACAAAGCGTGCATAGCAATCCTTACATCAGTATATCCCCCCCGACTACACGAAATGGTACAAGTAAACGAAAACATACCACTTTTTGACTTCCCGGCAGGATATCGAAGAATCCGCACTCCCCTACGACTAAGACCCGAGCGAAGGTTAGCCATGAGCAATCCCACTGCCACCATCTTTCAACCAAATCCGCGACCACCACCACCACCACCACCACCACCACCCCCATCACAACCACCACGGCCAAGACCACCACCAGCACAACGGTCCCCAGATTTAGCACCATTGCCGGTTACCAGTCAAAATGATACCACTCCCCTAGAAGCTGGTGAACGCCCTTCGACAGCTGCAGCTATAAGACAAGAATTACTACTCCGAACTCCATCTCCAATCACTCCCATCGTCACAGGAGGAGATGGACCACCCGGTTCAAGATTTGCAGTTGACGGGTATCAAGATCCAGAAAACCCCGGATGGGAAACCGCCAGCGAGAACGACATTAGCGACAACGACGACGGTGGTGATAATAACAACAATAACGGCGTTGACGACAAAAAAGTAGTCCACGGCAAAAGATTAAAATTGAAAAAATACAGCCAATTACCAGATTCAATGCATCCTACCAAGATCTCAACGAATAGTCTCTACGAAGTCGATGCATCCGAAACATTGGCGATGTTTACCCGAAAAACTCTGGTCACTGTTCCTCCTAGCTCACGTACTCAAATACTCCACCTTGACCCCACAATGGCGGTATTAGAGCGTCTACTCCAACAGTTTCGTCGAGATTATCTCAGAACCGCTATTGGAACATACTCCGAAGCACGCTGTAAAAAAATGTTTTTGATGAAATATCGGGGTTATAAGTTTACGCAGATTAGGACTAATGGGAGAGATGTCTGGGGGAAATGGGTTGTTAGGCAAGGGTTTAGGAAGGGGTTGAAAGGTGGATGTGTGATTTGGAGGGAAAGGAAGGATTTGGAGTTGATGGAGACGAAAGAAACGGATCCTCATATGACACCTCGTGTGATTAGGAAGTTTGCGAGTTTGTTCGGGATTGGGAAGGTGGAGAAGGGGGTTACGTTGAGGACTTGTAGGTCTGTAGGGATGGGGAGTGGGGGTGCTCATAAACGGAATTTTGAGGGGTATCTTGGGGGGCTGGTGTTCCCGGGAGGGAGGTAGAGCACTTAAGAAATTATCGAGAGTTGATCAAGGCGACATGGGCTTTCGGATTTGGCAGACTTAATGAAATAGAGACGGAATAGTGTTAAAGATACTACGAGGCTGGTTTCAGGGCCCTGGTTGACTTGAGTAGTATTCTAGTAATTAATTGGGATAAAATGGCTATGAATATCAGGATTCGAATACAGGAGTCGGTACTGAACTGACTATATGGATAGTATACAATATTCCCAAATTCAATCGTGACACTTAAATACATATCGATATCAATTTATGGCAGTAGACAGATACTACCATGTTTGTCTGAAAGGACGATACGGGGAGACATAATTTAGAAAAGATGTACGAGGCGTATATAAACGATGATCATGTGGATGTCCATTAACCGGAAAGAACCCCGTAGAGGGCTCACAAAATGCATAAGGCTGTTTAGCCTTCGCCGCAGGATTAACATTACCAAACCAGCATCCACAACATAGAATGTTCAAACAACCATTACAATCACGATCTGGCTCACATATAACGGTAAGATCCTGACAACAGCAATCGCGTTCACTACACGGACAATCACACATTACACCAGGTGGTTTTACCTCCTGTGAGGGGTTTACACAGTTCCAGAAGACTCTACCGTTACGACCATTGTCTGTTGTGTAATGTGCACCAATTGAATCCCGATGCCATGTTACACCGGAAAATTGGCGACCGGAGTAGCGATTTGCGAAGCTTTGTTTTGGAGTTTGTAAGGCAGTGCTGAATTGGCTTGTGGCGGTGGTTCTGGATAGTGGGATACCGAATAAGTTTGAACTTGAACCTGAAAGTGTGGAAGAAGATATATTCGGAGTTGGCGCTTGGATAACGTTTGGAAGTGACAGACTGCTATGACTGCTGCGATATGTCATCGGTGGGGTTGCGGCTGGGGGTGTCCTTATGGGTGTATTTGCGGGGGCTATTGGTGTTCTATAGACTGGTCCCGGTGGTGGCATTGCTGGTGGAGCTGTTGACCATATACTTGTGCCTGAGTTTATTGCAGAGGAGTTTAAACTGTAGATTCTGTCGTTTAAATTTAGGGTCGAGGAACTTGCGGGGAGAGGGGGTAGGATAGCTTGTGGGGGTCTGGCTGGGTATGCACCCCTTCCTGTTACTGTCCATGTTATCCCTCCGCCTCTGAAGCCGCTGGTAATTCCTCCTGATCCTATTTGTGCATAGGGCCGTGGGGTTCTGCGTCCTCCGGGATTGTTGTATGTTGCTAGCGGATATCTTTGCATTTTGAAAGTGGTTTATGCAATATATATAAATATTCTTGAAACGAGTGTAGTCTAGTCTCGATGCGAATGAATGAAGGGTCTTGTATATCATTTACAGGGAGGCCAGGGTCCAGAAACGCTTTAATAGCGGATAGCCGTAATTAACAATGCATGCGCAATAGCAAATAAAATTTATTTCCGAGACGACGAGCCATGATTGTTCATAAATGGTAACTCGCTCGTGGGGCTGCCGTATGATCGCCTCGTGATATACGACTTTGGGCGGGTCTTCGAAGGAAGAGCTAAATATATCCAAAGGGAAAACGATAGTCATTACGAAATCACTAAAATAAGTCTTGCGGCTATCGGCTTAATCAATATCAAACAAAGGCGATGGTGTATAGTAACTTGATAAAAATCCAAATATCGAAGTACTTGTCTAGGCATACTTTCTTGTAACTCGGGAGCACATACTATACATCAATTTGACCTATTATTAGATATCTTCACTTTGTTCAATTTCGAAACGAAAATTGATTACAACTGTTGCAATATTGGGTTTTGCCAAATATGAAATGTTACACACACCTTTTTAGAATCCTAGGATCCTGAGAAACACTGTCGACATGTCTCAAAGGTCCATGTGCTGACTAGAATCGGTAGCAATAGAGGCCGACTGGGAAACTATGCTTTTTGCATCCAGCCCGACGCGAAAGCTGTAATGTTTTTTTAAATAAACTCGGCCGTATTAAGTAGTTACTATCAAGTATTTAAGAAGTAGTTTAAATCAGTTAATCAATCATCTTGATACGCGCACGGTCCTGTCTTACATGAAATCCGCAATTATTTGGCTATACACGCATAGATACGTTAATTTCTTCAAAAGATAATACAAGCACATATTTTGTGGAAGAGAATATATTGGTAATATGCATTCCTCTGCTGGTCCATCTTCGTCGGCTAGCTAAGCCTCAATCGAATCAATCTCATCTTAACGCAATACACGTACCCGAGTACCTGGGCAGACATACTCACACCGCGATCGATCACAAAATGGCCCCGGCTCCTCCATGGATCCCTACACCTCGCGTATCATGGATCATCGAGCCCGCCGTCGGTACCCAACTTCCAGCCCTCGATGACTTTTGCATTGGATGGAAAAGATTTTGGGCTTGTGAACCTATCCCCGGTTCGGATATGGATATACCAAACCACCCATTTTACCGAATTGCGGACTATTATCCTACAGACAAGGAGGGCTGCTTCAGCGCCAGTCTACAAGAATTGGGCGCTCTTGACCTCTGGAGGTCTTGTATTAGAAAATGTCTGACTGTTTACCATGCTGATACGATTGATCCGGACGAGCAGCTTGGACGGGTGGGTTTATTCCTTTTAATCATGATATCAACCCAGCTTTCAAAGTGGTACTGGGACTCTGGACTGGTTTATTTATCTAATTATGGTTTCTACAATAGGAGATTATCGAGGAACTAAGCGCCCCACGGCAATTCGAAGAACTCGCGGTTTGTTTTGGCACCGATGACCTCATGCTTGTCGAACGGGGTCACCAATTCTCAACACTGGGTGAATTCCGCGCCCGATCTTTCCTAAGAATGATCGGAGCTATGTTGGAACAACATCAAAGCTTCGTAACGTCTCAATATATCAGACGGTTGATCCAAGGATCTGTTGACCAGCTCGTTGCAATCAGACTCCGTGAAACCTCTCGGCAACGGCCACGACGTAGGGGTGTGGATTGGTCCCGACTTGGCGATGTTGAAGAAGAGAAAGATCCGACGCAGTTTATTACGGGCGATGCACCACCTGGACACCGTCGAGGCCAACCGGTCCCCTTGGAGAGTATTACGAATCGCGTTGTGCAAAGTACGGAGGATTCTACAATGAATCCTGGACCGGCTAACCCAAATCCTAGTTCGCTACCCGCGGCGGGTGGTACTGGTACCTCGAGTAATGGTCCAACTGGGGGACCAGATCCTAGGGCAAGTAGTGGACCTAGTAGTGGGCCGAGTAGCGGACCAGCTGGTGGATCAGGCGCCGTGCCAGGTGCTAGATCGGAAGGGGGGCTAGGAAACGAACTGGGAGAGGTGTCAGGGGACGAGCCGGAAGAGGGTCTAGGCATTGGACCGGGAGGAGAGCTAGGAAATGAGCTAAAAGGCGGGCCAGGCGACGAGCACGGAAATGAGGCGGGCACCGGATCAGCTATTGAGTCTAGTAACAGGTCGCCAAAAGAATCCGATACATATACCCAGGGTGATGGCCCTTTGGACCTCATGGATATTGATAATGACAACTTCGAAACAGCAAGTGAGGGACACTCGGAAGATTATACTCTCCAAATGCCGGAACAACGGGATCCTTGGGAAGTGATGAGAGACCTTGAATTCTCTGACGAACGAAAAACGATAGATGATACGCGAACTCCTTTTCCAGGAATAACCCTATCGAGCACATTGAAGAAATATAACCACGGTGTCTACTGGCCGGATAGAACAAGATATTTCACGCCGCCAAATGTCATCGAGCCGATACTGCCGCGCTCTGATGTTATATCGCCGCTTATTTTGGGTCTTTCATTGCGCCAGATCGCGAATAGGTTGACTGCAGATACATATACGCCGAGTGTTCCTCTAATTTCTGCTATAAGTCTCGATGTTAACACTATTGAGTCTAATTTGATAGAAGCGAGGGCTCTGAATAGTCAACCTCTGCCCCAGCCTAGCGGAACAATTGTTCCAACTGAGGCTTTAGGGCAAATGGACATAGATGATGATGGGTGGGGATCCTCGGGTACTTCATGATGTGGCTTCTACAGTCTTGAACGGCGTATGCACAATTAACATTGGTGTAGTTCTCCTGATATCTGATACAATCGGTGCACTTAACTCTCTTGTTTCAGCATATAAGGCTTTTCGGGATACATAACTTAACGTCTTTCCTGGTCTCCAAGCATTCCAATTTCTTGCTAAAACGCGACGAGATAGCATTGGGGCTTGTCATGATGGAATATGTTGTGCTCAAGGGAGTTTTCTGTAGGATTCAAAAATTGATAATGATACTATCCCGCCTTTTTGCGGTCATAGATATGGAGTCAATAGAGCTAGTGGTGAAAATTAAATCCTTTCTACTTAGATGGGATGTGTCTCTGCATTGTATTGTCATATCTGTTTAGTCTGGGATATCTGTTGTTCTTTATTGCGAGGTTTTCAAGTAAGCTAATGTAGGATTTGTGGGTATGACGTAAGCTTGCTGCGTAGGAGGTCACATGATGTATTTGGAATGAAGAATTGGGGTCACTTGAGAATCTCAGGTGGTTGACATGAGAATCTCATGTGGGCAGCCAGAACGTCTGTGCTGGTGGATAAGTCACATGACAACTTTGGGCTTCAGAAGTGGTGACTGAGACAACACAAAACCAAATGTGTTGACCGCCTAAGTCAAAATGTGTTGTTTCTCAAAATACCACTTTTGACCAATTTTAACCACGTGATCCGGCTATGCTGCTTTGCGCGCCCGCGTCTGTGCGAGCGAGTTCTGGTTCAACACCCAACCACCATCCTGCTCACCGCCCACCGACTTCGAATGCCATTCCCTCGATACCCTCGATAGTGAATCAGTGCAGTGGAACATGACACTGCCTGAGTTTCTTTCAAACTGGCTATCCGCCCTATCTTCGATCCTTACGACCGGTGATGCAGACGCCTTTGGCCTCTTCTTCGGCATCGACACCCGCCCTTCTAAAACAACCACCTACCTTCAACAAGCGCTTGCGAGCTCGACGCTAGACGAAGATGCAGAGCTGGATGCTATTAGGGATATTATAGACCCCGATGACCAATGGAGCTCAATTGCGAGGATGGTACAAGCGTACCTCCTCTACCTCCGTAGTGCCCGCCAGGATATCGGTCTATCGCATCGGTTTGAGTTGTTGCTAAAGTTCATGTATGGTCGTCCCTTTGTTTATCTTTTCTTTCTTTCTTGGGGGAGGTGCAATGCTAATACTGTTCAATAGGAACGCTGTATCCAGTGCTGCTGACAATAACAATGGGGCGGTTCTGAATGTACTTGTTCTTGAAGGATCGAAGCACATAACACGACTTGGTATCATGTGCGATGATTTAGCCGACGATGGTAGTTACAAATATTCCGAACAGGCACACTCTGTTGTGCAAAAGTTATTTAACGTCTCGCTCAAGGGAGTTCGGCTCCCTAATGACCTTGGGAAGAGGGAGACATCGGTTGGGATTATCAACTGTTTGTTTAAGTTGGCGTCGAAGGTAGTTATATTCCTTGTTTCTCGGTTCTTTTAATTATGCGTTTCTGACGAATAGGTGTATCAGATGGGTAGGATAGGAAGTATGACGACTATCATAGTGAATCTTCAAAACGTCCTCCCCTCTATCAATATCACCTCCGACACACGATTCTCGGTTGCACAGCGCTGCACATACGCCTACTACATCGGCATAGAATGTTTTCAAACCGCCCAATTCTTAAAAGCTGCGAATACTCTCCAAGAGGCATTCGATCTTTGCCACCCATCTTTTCTTCGGAATCGAAGGAAAATTCTGATACACCTAGTCGCGAGTAATATCATCCTCGGCCGTTTCCCATCCTCGGACTTATATAATCTACCAGAGGCGGTACAACTCAGAGAGGTTTTTTCACCAATAATCAAAGCGATTAAAGTCGGTAATTTTACGGGATTTGAAAGAGCACTGTTTCGATCGAAGAAATGGTTGTTGCACTTTGATATCTTCCATGACTTAGAGATCCGCTGCGAAACCCTGATGTGGAGAAACCTTATCAAGAACGTCTTTGCTGTTAGCGGGAGCACCGCTAAAAACGGAGTTGAAAGCGTAGGACTGGATAAAATTCTCGAAGCGGCATTAGTAACCAGAGCCGGGTTACGGCCGAGGGTTGTTGGGCAAACTATCAATGGACAAAAAGAATTCAGAGAAACTATTACAGAGAGCAGTATTTTAAGTATTGTACTCGGACTTGTCGACAATGGATGGTTGAATGGGTATGTTAACCTTGAGAAGGGCATGCTGGCGGGGTGGAGTAGTAAGTCTCGATTGATAACGAGGCTGGCAGACATTAAGAATCAGTATGTTGGGATGCTGTGGGGCGGGGAGAATGGGAGCGGGGTTACGGAGAAGGAAGGTAGTGGAGAAAAAGTTGAGAAAGATGGCGAGACTAATGGATTTCCTGCTGCTGCTGCCGCTGCTGCCCCGGCGCAACAGAGTTTTGGAGGGCTCTTTGCAGGCGGGTTTGGAGATACGAATGGGAATGGAAATGGCGGAGGGTACGCAACGGATCCTGGAGATGACATGGAAATGGAGCTCTAGATCATTCCTCCCATTCCGTCCAATTTTTTTGCTTCTGGAGTTCTGGGGAGGTGTTCTTACTATTGGGGTTTTTCTTTTGATACGATACCTCGTACTTCTTATCGTGTATTTTAGCTAGAGGCGTTGGCCCACGTTCAAATACGGGAAGGCCCGGTTTTTCTAGTCGTCTACAAATGGACGGTTCGGATTGAATATCCTCGACCCAAAAGTCTGTTCTATCTGCCGTGCGACTTACATTCAGCTTTCAAAAACCCTGTTCCGCATGCCTAGCCTTGGCGGGATCCACTTTATTATTCTTATACGGGTTAGAGCTGGTGGGCCGTTTCCGCGGCTGAGGATCCTTCGTAACCGAGCGAGCGAGGCGGAGCCTAGGCTTTTTCCCTTCAAGCTTTCGAAGCTCAAAGGGTGGGGGATACTTCGCTCTTCAAAGCGATGAAGGTGAAAAACATCAACGGGGTTTCCTGATTTGATTGGTCTACCAGCGGGGATTAGGACATCGCACCCGAAAAACAGGATTGGTGAAGGTTATCAATGTTGTCTTGGATTTAGTTCGTCCAATCGGGACGACCGCATGGTTTAACCAGTTTTTTTTTTGATGCTCTTCCCCATTCGCATTTTGCATATGCTGCTTTTTTGAATCCAAAAATACGGGTCTCCCACGCACACACCGCTCGGATGAGGGACTTTAGCGAGAACGTCTTGTACAGGCCTATCGGAAGAATGACTACTCCGTACGTATCTTGCACTTTTGGACTTTTTGGATACTTGAAGACGATTTCCCCGCTTGCGACAACTTTTTTGTTCTTTTCCACTTTTTAAATTTCACTTTTGTGTATATACTCAGCCTTGCTGTGTTTTTTCTTCCTCATCGCTGCGCCTGACGATGTAAAATTTTCCTTTAGTCGGTTACTTTCTAGGTTTCGCGATCCACTGCTGCGCTGGTAGAAACTTTAGTCTTTTTGTCTTCGGCCCAAGGATTCGATGCACATTCGGTTCGCGGGAACAACAACAAACCTCAACTGTTACTCGCTTCCATCCCAAATCACGAGACTCATTCCGACATAGCATAGCCTACCATGGAAACCGCCGCAGGAATAGTCGGCCTAATAGGCTTTGGCTTCCAATTATGCACCATGATAGATAACATCGTCTCATCGTACCGTTCGTCCACAACGGAATTATCAAATATCTCATCGAACATCTTGACGTTATGCGATGTTCTCGAGGTACTTGATAAACGGTTAAAACTCAAAAAACGTACCAATTCCTTCGGGAGTACTTCCACTGGTACCCACGGCGGTCACGCAGGAATCGTGAAAAGATCGATAACGCGTGAGGAAGTTGATGATAATAATCTTGAATTGGTACAACTGACGACGACGACTGAAGAAACGGTTATGTCGGAGAGTCAGGCTTGTTTGCAGAATGTGTTGGATAAATGTTGGGGGTGTTTATTGGATATTCAGAGATTGTTGGAGCCGTTTAGAGGTGGGAGTGGTGGTGGGGGTGTAAATGTGCTGGTGAGGTTTAGGTGGATGAGGAAGAAGAGTGATGTGCAGCTCGTCATGGCGAATTTGGAGAGCTGTAAAAGTACGCTTTCTTTGACGCTGTTGGTTATGCGGTAGTATGTCGTCCCCGAGCCTTTTTATATTCACTCCACCGTTATTAGATCGTCTGCGGTTTTGGTATATACATTTATGATTATACGGGGCTGACTAGTTTGTCTTTGGAAACGTTTTAGTTGTGCGGAAGACGAAGAGAAAGTGGATCCGAAGGATATTGCGCTTGCGATACAAAAGCAGGCTGAGCAGTTGAAATCGGAGAAGGATCAGAATTATGCATTTGTGATGCAGCGGTATCTCGATTGCGCTTCTTCTACGATCGGTTCTCCTAAGTCGACATTAGTCCAAAGTCACGGCTACGACGACGATGATGTAAAGAGTTTTGTACTTGACGATAAGGCGTCAACAAGGTACTCTACAGACTTTGAAATAGATTCTGAAGACGAGTTTGATGAGAAGGAAGAAAGCTCTTCTCTGGATTCTTTTTCCATCCCTGGATTACGGTCAGAACCTTCGCGATCCTCACTCCTATCGGTAACGGTTTACCAAAAGGTCGGAAATGAAAGAAAAGAACAAAGACGGAGGAAACGACAGAGTAAAGACTCCGGGTGTGTAATCGAAGACGACGATATTTCAATGTTATCCCGAGAATCGGTTAAATGGCAGCCGTTTTTGTCGTTGGGTTATAAATTGGAATGGTATAGAAGGAACTTTAGACCGGATCTTAACGGTAGACTTTCAAGTATTCAGCAGTTAGCTGATACTTGTGAGTTTAATATCCATGAACTTTTGGCGGGGTGTAGACCTCCTTCGAGGCCTATTACTCCGGTGGATATTTCATCAATCCCGCAGAGCCATCAGAACCAACTTCGAAAGAAACTTAGTAGTCGACATCTTCTATCCCGTCCAACAGCCTTAAAACCCCGCGAAGAAGACTTTTTCCGCGGTATAGTGCGTATCCAAAAGGCTCTCGCCAATCTATCCACCCTTCGCTCCAACGCTCTCAAAATCCTCTCCGCAGCACCAGTATTAATAAGAACCTCCTCCCTCCCTATAACAATCCATACAAAATCCACCGCCACCTCAGCAAATAATACCGAAACGCCACTACGACCATACGTCCTCGACGCTCTCCAGATCCTTCTAACAATCCACACCCTCTCCGAACATCTCCATCAAAAACTACAAGAACTAACATCCCACCGCGACCAAACCTCCAAATCCTCGATTCTATCTCGTCTCAGCCTCTCCAACGACATCTCCCGCTACGAACATACAAAGCGTACATTTTCAAATATAGAAGCCAAATTATCGTTATCACACGCTCAAGAAAGATATTCTCGTGCGAAGGAACTCTGGGAAGCAACGCACGATGTTATCAACGCCGCTTTAGAAGCCGAGTTTTTCTTTTTCGACGATATGGATAGAATATTATCCGCTGCTGTTGCAGAGCCTTTACCGAGTTATAACGGGAAGTTGAAGAGGAGTAATTCCTTGGGGTTGGAAACAGATATGTCGGATAACGATGTCAACCGTGGTTACTCAGCGCTTGTAGCCAGTGCGGAAAGACAGAAGTCTTATACACTTATTGATCATAAACTGCGGGGGATCTTACTCTCTGCAAAATCGGAGCTTGCGATCGCGGAAGGGAAAGTCGATTTTGTACCTGTTAACGGAAGGACGGTGGGACAGGTTATTAAGGTGCTGGAAGAAGAGGCGGGGAAGGAGAGAGAGAAGTTGGAGGCTGTGTTTAGGTATTTGAATGATTATGTTTGCTCTTATGTTGCTGGGACAATAGGGAGATTGGATGTTGGGATGGCGAGGTTCGGGGAGAGTTTGTTTATTCCGTTGCGGAAGACGGTTGTTCTTGAATAGTAGTTTTTACATCTTTTCGATAGTTTTGGGATACTCGGTTTGGTGTTCGGGGGCTCTTTTATTCTGTAAATATAACGGGATTGGGATTTGTATCTATATATAGTTGCGTGGTAAATTATATTTATCATGGATGATAATACTAAATTGTTAGTATAGTATAACCTCATTCCCAACTTCTCAGTATAAATGTTGGAGAAAAGCTTTGGACTCAATCAAAAGCTAGATGAATACGCATAACCCTAGATTCTTCCGGTATGCTAATAGCTAGCAATAAGACTAGAGACCCTTCTAGAAGCAGGACATTCAAATCGTTTATGCTACCCTTAGAAACATGTTTCTTGAGTAAAGTTGCTCATTCTTATGGTTTCGGATCCGAGGATCCGAGCGTGTTCCTAAAGCTTATAATTGTATTTCATCCCTCATCTAGAAGGGAAGAAGGGTGTAAGTTTCCTAATCATTTAACATTCAGTTAACCTCGAAACCTCCAGAGTTAGATATTTTCCATGAAGTTTTTCACAGGACTAACTAATAAGGAATAGGCACCCAAGCTACTACTGCAGAAAGTCCGCCCGCAACAACCGCTTTTGTAATCAGTTTCTCTAGACCAATCTTAGGGATGTTAGATAAGATACCGAAACTTTTTAAGGAATCAAAATTTTTGAAGGCGCCCGGGCAAGGTGAGCCGTGGCATGAGGTCTTGTTAAAGAGCGAGATACTTTTGTCTCGGACCAAGATACGTATAAATTCAGTCCTAAGAAGTTAGAAATCTTGTCATACTCATGAAACTATCGCTTTCGCCGTTTAGTTGAGCTTACGAGAGAATTCTAGTTATGATTTCACAGAATTTCAGGAGGCCTGGGAGCTTCGTGTGGCAATCAAGCCGGGCCAGGAGGTCCCGCATTAAACTCGATCCTAGTCTCGGAGCCTACTCGATCTCCAGACCGCTCCATCCTTAAGTTTGTGTTGAACGTTGTATTTCTCTATTTGGTACTCGTCCCGATCTGGTTAGCGCCAGAGATCTGTGCAACATGTTTATGTTGACAACGTCGCAGAACGTTGGATCCACGTGGGATACTGCGCACAAACGTTCAAACGCTGCTCCAGGACACAGTAAATTACGTCTTTAATTACCTAGGTATGTCTGTAGACGTAACGATAGCTCTGTATTTATGTAATAGGATCAACAGTATCCAGTAAATTTCTCTTTCACCCTCCGTAATCACCACCTTCACCACCTCCACCAAGAACCGTCAACCCTATTGATTGCATTGGTCAGCTTAAACCCACACATCCACGACAATGGATATCTCTTGCAGCGAAAAGCCAGTCCTCGAAGTACCACCAGGGGTTGGTCTCCCCACCATCAACTCGGAGAATCTTCGTACTTCTGCTTTGATGGACCAGAATACGCGCCAGCCTTTCACCCAACGACACTTGCATGTTGTCGGCAAGCGCGCATATGAACTCGCCGTTTCGATCTATCTTGTCACCACTTTCCCCGGTGTCTCCAACGTTAGAATGACGGTATAGATGCCCTTCCAAATATCTTAGCTTTTCCCGTCCATGCGAGTCTGCTAACCCATTGGATTCATTCCTTCGAGCCCGTAGGTACTCCATGAGAAGTTAACTACTCTCCAAGAAGTCATCTCATTGTCCTCCCAGCTTGAACTTCATAAGAGCTTGTATCAGTACGGTGGCACATTGGGCGATAAGTCGATGTCCAATGCTTTCTACGCCTGGATGGGCGCTGTTCTTGTCGAAAGCGGGATTGCTCCTGTTTGCAAGTTCTCCGCCACAGTTCTCGAACACAACCACCAAAAGATCCAAAGTCTTGGTGTCGAGCCTGATAATGGGGCATCCAACAGAGTCATCCTTGGTAACATCGGTGTTCAAGCCGGCGTCATGATTGGCAACCAGGAAAACGATGATATCGATGGAATGGAGCTCATGGAGGTCACTCAAACTTTGGCTGATAAATCGGTAAGATTATCAATCGAGCTCGCCGATGGTACCGAAATAAAGAAGCTGACCAGGAAAATATTTGCTTTCAGCCTTCTAAGCGTAAGCTTTCATACTCGAATTCGCAGGACTCTTTGATTAGCGAACCAGGAGAAACCCCCTCGCTTGCCGGGTCAGAGACGATGAAGCGCAGAAAGTTGGCCCGGCCAAAATTTGCCCCCTTGGCCTTCGAGTAATACACAGCGGCTTTCCAGTCGGAGTTTGAAGCCACAAAGTGTACTTTTCGAATCTTGGTAGTTTTTGTCTTCCCCGAGTCAAGTCTGAATTATCGAAATGTTCGCATACGAGCATCTTTTGCAGCTTGCAGGGTTATCTTTGTACCAGAAAAACTATTGATGAGCTACTATACTTAGTAGTTACTCTCTAGCTGTCACTTTGCTTTTGGCTTGTAATTTAGTAAAAGTTGCTATATCGTGCCAATGAATGGAAGGTGGAACAGTAATACTTACTCTCAGCACTGGTCCACGATATTTGCTCAGCAACGTACTTTTCCTTTCTACGCGTCCTCCCGTAATACCAGCCATCCTACCCACTTCGTCATCAATCCCTACCCTTTTCACTACTATCTAGTCAGCTAAAATTCTATTATAACACCTATTCTTTTAGTACAAATCTTACCTTACCCATTTCCTTCTCACCATGCCAAAGAACAAGAAATTCGAATTCAGGTTCGATCCTGTTGGCGATATTATGTTGCCATCCCTCCAAGATTGGGACCTATACCAACGTGTCATCACCTTCCGCTTCTATCGCATCAAAGGCGAGAAGCTCCGACGCGATGGAGTTTATGCCTATGTCGACAATATGGAAGACACCAGCAAGGTTATATCCTCTTTCTTCAAGCGAGTTGATGGGAATTATCCCGTCTCAAGGATGAAACTTTTCTGGGATGTAGGTTCTTTCATCTAGATCTTCAACTTTTAATATAGAGTCCTTCGCTGACGGAAGTTTGTAGTATTTCATCCACATCATGAACTCCGGACCCGGTTCGCTCAACATAGGTCGTTTCTTCCAGCTCGAAGGAGTTCTAAAGCTCAAGCTCGAAGCTGGGTATAAACGCGAAGAAGTTGATATCAACGGCTGTGTCGTTGCTTGCTGGCGTCGATATATCAATGCTTTGCGTAAGGAAAACTCCAAGCTCATGGCGCTTTTCCTCAAGAGGATCATTATGCCTCAGGTCGATATCGTCTTCTACAACCTCAACATTCTGAATAAAAAGCAAATTGTTGTATATCGCACTGATGCAGAAGATACCGAGAGCTTGGAGGTTAATCCTGATGACGAATTGGAGCTCGAGCAGGGACAAGATCTTGAGCCCGGTGGATTTGTTGAATATGAAGATGCTGAGGTTTTGGAGGCCAATGCTGTCAAAATTGACAAAGGAAAGGGAAAGGCTGTTACAAACGGCGAGAAGGATCAGAAGGAGGCTCCTGAGTTGGAAGGTATCGGATTCGCCAAAACTATTGATGGATCCGGACCAGAATACCTAGTTATTCCTGAGATCGTCCGCATCGGGACGGCAATCCACCCTCCAAAGAACGGTGAAACGAGTAAGGGTGGCACTGTTAAAGGTACCAAGGGCTACAACAGCGGCAAGCATATAGAAGCTGTTCCTACCAAGCGCAAGGATATCCGAGACAAACCTCTTCCTGAATTCGGGCCTCTTGCTGGTCATACGGACCCACACGAGGAAAACCCCCCTGAGATGGGTGTTATTACTCAAATGACTTCAAATCCCCCCATTGCGCCAAAGAACACCCGTTTCACTATCAAATCAACCATCCATGGTTGTAAGAAATCGGTTGTTGACATGAAGCGTAAGATTGTCAGAGCTACAAGCTTTAAGTTCAAAGGCAATACTTCCGAACAGCACATTGCGGCTTTACAGAAGTAGGGACCTAGTTCTATGAATTTATCTTAGCTCTTTATATTCCCGCTTCTTCTGACCCCATCCTTCTCTTAAATCGGTAAGTTAAAGTTTGTGAAACCTTACAACCATTTTATCAATATCGTAACGGACTAGACTGACTATAAATATGAAATTTCCAGGACCTTGAAACACCTTTCTGAAGACCGAATTTCCTTTTCGAAAACTCCCTATGTTACGTGCAAACGCAATTCATGATTCCATTTTATTCAATTCATGCACGATTCTAATTGTTTGCATTGGTTTACTCCGTCTATATTTCCGAAGAGTTTTAACGGCCTCAAGCACCAAAATGTACTCTCAGATTTATAGGCTACATGTTTTATTAATACTATCATAAGAGAAGCAATAAAAAGGGGGTTTTTCTTGAAATTTGATCCTCTGTTGATATTGACTTAGAGGGCTGTGCTTCCATTATCAGCTTAGTGAGTGAACTCCATAGTGATTAGGCACAAAAGTAAACCAAGAAATCAACCAATCTAGAGGCATTAGCACGTTTAACCATCTCGTCAACTAAAGCCGGGCCTTCCCTTCCAACATCTTTACACCCATCTTGACTTCTTCTGATACTTTTCATCAGGAAATGATGGAGCGCTACCGCAAATTGCATAACCCCTTCCTTCTGCCCCCATACATGAGTGTAATATCCGGGACCGCAAATTCCCCAAATAAACATATTTCTGTTTGCGCGGAAAAATCTCCGAGCTCGTTCGCAACAAAATCCATCAGCCCCATGAATAACATACCATTTCCATGCCTCCAAACCCAGCTGGTTCGTGACCTGTCTGCTCGATGCTTTGTGAACATTGAAAAGTTCCCCGGTCAGCTCATCCCTGATCCTATCATTCGTATCGACTGAAAAAGACAATGCCAAAACCAAACTATCCATATCGCAGTTGCCACAGCAAGGGCTGTCGAGTACTCCTAGATCCATGAGCCACACTATGATACCAGATTCAATCATCCGGCAATAACTGTATTGTAAGAGATCTTTGCTACCGTTGTCAACGCAGGTACTGTGACACATAATATCCTCACTAAACCGTTCTAGAAAAGCGGTCTGAGGCGTTACGATTTGTATTGGCTTGTCACCAGGCGGCCATTTGTAGCCCTTTGCCGCAGAACCGTAATTTTTCCTCATCCAATATTGAACGTGATTCGGTTGCTCCGCGATAGTCATCGGGGTTTCAGAATTTCTACACAGCATCGTAGAGCCGATCTGCTGATGAAATATCATTCCCATATCTCTTCCTTGGGTGATATCATCAATGTGGACGTCGGCGATGGAGCGTGGAAAAACCTCCGGATTGCCACTACGAGAAGTGCGAGAGGCTAGTCTGTGGGAACATTGTGGGGGAGGGGGCTCCGCGGATTCAACAAATGAAAGGAGAGTCGCCATGGAGTCTTCCGCGAGGGCTGTAGACTTCCAAATCTCTCAACATTTGCATGGAAGTTCGTCTGGAGTAGGGCCGTCTGTGATAATGGGAATAATATTGCGCATGGAGGTGACAACGCTATTCCAGCTCACTGGCTTACACCGTGGGTCTGGATAAAGAACCTCGGGGAAATCCATTTCTTTTGCCGTTTGTTCCTTAAGGATCTCCGTCAGGCATTGTAAACAGTGAATATGAGCCTCTGGGTCCCCGCACAGGCACAGGTAATCATGCTTTGTGTCTATAACATGTGGACCCTTAACTAAATTGTCATAGAAGTCTTTGTGCAAACTGTTAGGCCGAACCCCAATAGGTAGAGTATATGAAGCCATTTTGCCTTGTAGTATTTCTAGCGTATCACCGCAGTTTCTGCAAGGAGCCATCCCAGGGGCGCCGTCAAGGGATGATTTGGTATGTTGGCTAAGGGAAGGCATGATCGAATATGTGGATCTTTAGTATAGTAGATAATAAACTACTCCCTGTCTAATTTGATAAATTTCGAAATTGGGATTGGATTCTGGTTCTGCCTAATATTCAATATTAATTCTGAATGTCTCGAGACTAGGCCCCGATATATATTCCATAGTCATAACCTCGCATCCTTCGTAAAGTCATTAACTATATCTAACTTCGGCAGCATATACGGTTTTTCGAGGACAGGATAGCGAAAAGACGCTGGCAAAGGTCAGTGGTAATCTAGTACACCCCTTCAACCCCGTTCGGCGTTCTAGCAAGAAAAGCATCTGGGGCCCCCGGGAGACTGGCATCAGGCGCCCCGGGTCTCGGATCAGTTAATAGTATACATCACTACCCACGGCCACGACAGCAAGATGATGCCTATGACTTCACGCCTAGAGTTAAGGATGATGATCTTTGTCTGAACGAGTTACTGTAGGAGCTTGCTATTTCTCTCAAACTTATATGCACATCGCTAGACGCACTCCAGACGTCACTACAGTGAGCAACTCGAAGATCAGGCCACAGTTTTATAACAGTCGAAAATTGTTGCATTTTTGCATTCTATTTTACAATTTCAGACGGCAGGCCGATGTAAGCCGTTAACTGATAGCCGGCCACAGGTTTACTACAATCAAGCTTATATTAGGGTCGGATTCGATTCTCCCAGGTCTGGGTACGAGACAATGTATATGCGTATGGATGCTGCCCTTTGTGACGTCTGGGAACGAGACCAGTATGGATAGTGTTATATGTTAACCAATCTCTCTATCGACGAATAGGCCTTGATCAACCGATCCTTGATCCCAGGTGCATAGAGGAATACATGTAAATATGATAAATTGACTAAGTGATGCTATAGCTATAGAGAAAAATGCACGACGGCATCATGGCCCGGGCTACTCTGCCGCTTTAAATTGGAAGAAGTTGAGACAAGAAGAAGCTAAATTAAATTCAAAGTTGCCCCCGCTTGCCACCACCTCAACAACACATCGCATGTACCGTTGGCACGCGTACACGCCTAATTTGCATTCCTGGATCCTGGAAGGGTCTAGCAATATTGCCTTCCAAGCTGATCCTGCACGATAAAACCAGATACTCCGAACCTATCCGGCTTGGTATTCGCCGCATCCAAGAATGTCAAAGGTGCAGGAGCCCCACCTTGCGGGTTGTTACCAGCCTGCAGTGGCAGGAAACCCTTGCTGAGAGTAGTATTATAGCTCAAAGTCACTCCAGTAGGGAGGTTAGGGCTGCTATAAATGGTACAAGACCTTCTTCCACCATCTTTATTCCTCATGAAAGTATGTTTCCACACCCAGTTGGTACAAGTATTTGGCATCTCCAAGCATTTCGCGGCGCAATCGCAGGCGGTTCTAACGCCATCTCTCCGGTAAAAATGGAGTTCCGTGACTACACCGGTAATATCGATACCTCTGTAGTAACGGACGCAGCCGCCGCAGTTATTGGGGGCTTGGAGGTTTGGGAAACGGCGCTTTGTGATAATACCCTTGCAGATGGCCCAATCGGAGTAGCGATTGAAGTTTGGAAAGATATCATCGCCTCTGTGAGGGACATCGCAACGGTTGCCGAAGGAGGCGGCAGCCACCAAGGTGATGGCTGCGCAGAAGGAGAGAGCGGTAGCAATGAAATGCATTTCTATTGAATAGAAGAATATAATGCTCTGTGAGAATTGATTATGTAATTTATGAAGTTCTGCAATTTGCAGGTAGGTATCAATTGACAATATAGAACTGGGTTTATTATATTGGCAGTGCAGTGTCTGGTGCTTTGATGGGTAGTACTGATGAACATTTCACCAACTCAATGGCCGTCGAGACCTCATTATATAGTCTCTAGTAGTACTAGTAGGCATATATTTGACAATGCAATCGAAGTTAGTAAATATCGTCAATAGTAAACGCTAAATCAAAGAGACGGAAGATCCCTAGCTTCGAAGCTTTGCGCAAGGCCATTCGGCTGAGAATATTTGAAATAATTTCTTGCAATCCTTTAGTACTTTGAGACCGACATACTCAGCCCAAGCATGTACACGCATGTGAATCGAAGATCTATTGTCTTCAACTGTTGACTCTGCTCTTTCCCTGCGACTTGTCTCGAGGCTAAACTGTTGGCGCTGTTAAAGCTGGGGTATTAGTATCCTGGAGCTCCCAAAATAAGTTTATATACCACAGTACGTACTGCCTTTGTCTTTGGTCCACGCCCCTAGGCTCAACAAAAGTTTGATTCAATTTTAATAACCTCGTTTTCAAGGTACCGATGCATTAATTTTAGAGGCATCTCACAAACGAGAATGCTCGACAGGGCATAAAATATTCGGCGGCATGTAGACGTTTTGATAAGCTTCTATTGCAGCTTCAAATACCTTCCATTTCGTGTCCCGTACCTTTAATTTTGGAACCAGTACTTGCCGTAAGTTGCAGCGCTGGGAATCCCCGTGGTGCCCATTTTATGAGACCAAAAGGAATAAATTCATACTACCTTCTTGGGCTGCGTCACTTGAAACCTCTCTATCCCGTTCCTCGGGCATAATATTTCTGAAGGCTGAAAATATTTTTACGGAATCATTGCTCAAGTTTACTACTCTGGAAACCATTGGATGTAGAACTATCGAGTATATACTTGAGGTTAACTAGTTCTCAGCCTTACGGTTAGCTTGAGGCTCAGTTTACTAGCTGAGTTTATATCTGGGTTGATCTCCCCTTAGGCTGAGTAAGTATATCTACTATTGACGGGAAGACAATTAAAAGTTTCTATTCAGTTCATACCTGCTTACCCACCCTCATCTTGAAATCTTTTAGTACTAGTACAGAAACGGCCTGGAGAGTTTACAAATATAAAATGCGTATGCAGGAGATATTGTCGCAACCGAGCAGGATGTCAGTTTAAAGTTTAAATGAAGGATGACTAACCTCAATAGCTGACCGTGTAAGGCTAATTGAGTTATTGCTAGCTTAGTTTTGCAAGGTATTTTAATATAGTAGTCTGCGCAGATCTGCTTATTTACTATTATATGCATGAAAGCCGCATGCTCTACATAGATCCCCTGTAGAACTACCCGTACCATTCTTCCTCTAATACTGATTAGAGCCGGGGAGTTCATTAACTGTTGTGTAACTGATACTTGGATGCATGTGCGTCCACGTAACCAAGCTACCGGGGCCTCACAGATAGCCTAGGGCTCTCTAAGGAACCTCCAACAAGACAACCACTCCTCTCAGCCAATTCACTGAGCCTCAAGTTGAGTTTTTCTGTTGGGAGTCATGATCAAGAGGGGTTCCCTATCCGGCCTACTCACCCAAATTGTACCTGCGGTTTTGACATGTGAACTTCGTAAATTCATTACAAAGGTCCACGAAAGGATTACAATTAGCAAGAATAAACTAAATTTACTAATACTATTGCGATATATGTATATGGTACTGCTGAGGCCCCTACGTATATAATTCTACAAAAGGATAACTTTGATAACATTCTCATTGGGGAAGATCCATCCGCCGGGCATCGACACACTCGTACAGGAATGGCGTTACTAAAAAACTTCTAGCTCTTACGCCGCAAGATATTGAAATCTCGACGCTGACATTGCATTCGATCGACCTAGAAAAATAGGGTTGTTGTTCAAAGTGACTATTACTTTGAGGTACCCAATCGAAGGGCACTATCATATATAATAGGACTATCCTATGGGGAATTGAGACATACTAGCCATGGGGACATCAGTATATATACGTACTTACGTACGCACTATCCCGGAACTTACCGTGCCAAAAGCCGAACTAGCTAACTCCTCACCTGCTTTGAGACAAATGCCATTAATGGGCGACCATGAATGCTAACTTCGGCGGAGGCAGTGTAGCACCGTAACCACATTCGACAACGCCCGACAGACGTGGAATATACACCTTTATTAGGTAGGCACCTGAGTACTATTCAACTCGTGTGATTATAATTGTGGCCTACGGGAAGGTCAAGGTATAGACCTTCATGAATTCTGTTCTAAATTTAAGATCATGGCGTAGTAAAGATTTTCGTGATACAATAGAATGATATCGAAAGCTCAGGCATATATACTGATGGAAGAGTAAGACCTTTTAATTAAATTTTGCAGCGAGACAAAGTTGATTAATCGGAAAATATGCAGTAGATCTAACCTACTTTGCACTATACTTAGGCGAGATGGTTTTTATTCATATAGTTGCGAATTCGAATTCAAAACCGTACATGGGGCCATTCCCCCAAAGAAGAAACGAGATTATTTCATCTGGGTACGAGACAAACTTCTAACATCAAGCAATAAGATCAATTGGTTTTGAATATATAAAAAAAGTATGACGGTTTACTGTTATATATACGACAGATAAAAGAATATTTTTTTTGGACTGAACAAACAAAATCATGCCAACTTGAATTAATTAAAATTACCTGAACCAAATTTACTGCCAAAATCTGAAGTTTTGTAATTCGCGTTGTGGGCGTGGTTCGGATCACCGTGCTTGACGTAGCCCAGCTCAAAGCCAGACGCATCGAGTCAGCCACGAAAAACAAGGTTGCTTTCAAGTAGGCGCCAACTGAGATGGGCGTATACGATCATCATGGCCACGATCCATTGAGATTTAATTAACCAGAGTAGATTAGAAACACTAACCACTAGAGCACATCGCATCCAATCCCGAAGTAAGGAGCAAAATATTTATAAAAAGAAGAGAGAGAGGGAGAAAAAATCTAATAGAAGAGCCCAACAAGAGGAGAAGAGACGCATGTAATAAGACTGCTTACAAAGAGCCGAAAAGAACAGATAAGAGGAGGAAGGCCAAAAGCAACCGAGGAAAGAGAAACTAAGTTTTAAAAAGAAGAAGAAGAAGCAACCCGGCATTCAACATTTCATATTCGTTAGTCCAAAATAGTAGAAGATAATTTTTGTGAAAAGATGCCCAAATAATCCCAATCCCCGTTCCCAGCGAACTTTTTTTGACAACTCCCTGCTAAATCCAATTAAGCCTTCGGACCCCACCTGTTAGGCTGCCATTATATCTAGCTCTATCTCCTATTGAGACGTTTGATGCTGTTTCTCGTTTGGGATAGTGAGGGTACAAGCAAATAGAAAACGTCCTGTAACAGTCCTATCGACCTTTCTTACCATTACTAAGTTACCTTTTTAATCGATCTTGATGCTAGCGTAGATCTTCCTGACGAATACCCAGCTGGAGAAGAAGCCGATAGTACCTAAAGCCATTATTGTTAGCGGAGCAAAAAAAGAAGCTTGAGAATGAAAAAGAAACATACCAGTCAAGATGAAGAACAAGAACCCAATCAACAAGCTGTAGCCGAGGTACAAAACGTTGCTGGCAAGGCCACCCAAGCTCAGTTTGCTCAACCAGTAAATAAATGCGTTGAGGATCACATAGAAAGCGCTGGCTCCAGAGATGAAGAATGCTCTCCAGTGCCAATGGTAATTCTCACTGCAGAGAAGGAAGTAAATCATGAGGATTGTGACGGTAGAGCATGTGATAATCTGGTATGGGTCATATTAGTCGTCTGTGCCAAGAGTATGGATGGAATGTTGCTTCTTACCATAATACCGTAGCACACAAACAAGAAACCAAACATGTAGTAGACTCTGTGGAACCAGATCGACGACATGATAAAATACAATTCGACAAAGATGGCACCGAATGGGAGAATTCCGACAAGAAGCATGCTAGGGAGCGGCTTGAGATACAAAGCTTGCTCGGGAATCTGTCGAGGAATCTGGTTGGTTCGGACTGGCGCTTCAAATGCCTATAGTCATGTTAGCTGTAATTCTCGTCCCTGAAAATATGTAGCGATATCATACTGGAGCCCTGAATCCGAACCAACTTCCAGCGAAACTCAATGGTAAGCTGATGACGAACCAGATGCAGACAAGTGCAATCATAGTCCACAGCGGGACAGCGCCAGAAGAGCCCTTCCAAATTAAGAAGAAATTCAAAAAGAAGAACGTGCCAAAGACGACACCAGGAATGAAGATTGGGGTGAACAAGATGTTCTTCCTCCATGATTCACCACCAAATGACTTGTAGACACGAGCAGAGGTGTAGCCACCGACGAAACCTAGAAGAGTGTAAAAGATGATCATGGCGGTGGCAAGGCTACCACGACCGGACGGCGAGAGGAACCCAAGGAGTGCAAACACTATACACCGTTAGTATCCGGGATTGGGGAGGGGGCGGGGCTAATATTACATACAGATGGTAACACCAGTCATGAAGAAGATCTGAGCACCGCTGCCGAGGAAGATACTGAGCAACATGGGGTTCTTTGGAGGCCTAAAGACATCTCCGTGAACAAGTTTCCAACCAGAGTCCTCCTGTACATCCTCATTCAAGTCAAGTTGGTTGTAGCGGGCAATATCCTTCCTCAAGGTCTTGAGGAGAACCATGCTAACCATTCCAGTGAGGAAGACAACGATAATGGCGCTGTTGACGAGCGAGAACCAATGAATTCGTGGGTCGAAGACATGGAGGTACTTGTCCCATCTAGTGGCCCACGCGGTAGGCGATTCCATCCAAATAACACTGTATGTATAGGTGATATCGGTGTTGCCCTCTTCGCTTAACAACATAGGATCTTCGTTACCACAGTCCGCAGTTTTCTTGTCACCACCAGAGACCTTTTGGTGCCTTGAAGAAGGCTGTACGACGACACCGACGACACGGAAAGACCTGTCCTTCCGACCAGGGATACGATGGTAATCAACGATGATATCGTAGTGGTTATTGATGATAGGCTTGGGTTGGGTTTTGCCATCATTGACGAAGCCACCAAGAGAGAAACCTTGGCTGTAGAACTGATTTGATTCGTCGCCAATTTGCGATGTCAGGGTCGCAGCGGGTAAGCCATCGATGAGCCAGTTGAGGTTGTACCCCTGCCAAATACGCATGTTCGTAAACCTTGCCGACCGCTTGTCATGTTTCGACTGGCATAGAAGCTTGCAAGTTTCGTTCTTTCCCATCCTCAGCTCGAAGGGCGAGGTTAGAATACGGTCACCGAAGAGTATCGATCCCAGCGACTCGGATATCTTTTGAGGCCCACCCTCGGGTTGACAGAAATGGAAGTATTCATGGTAATAATCGTATGATATTAAAGACTGGACTTGTTGGCTGGAAGCTTGGATGGCAGGTGTAAGACGATTGACATTAAGAGGGACTAGGTCGCCTTCATTGTAGTCTGTCGGGGCGACTCCTGGCAGGTAAAAGGCTGCGGAAAGGGATGCCCTGAGGGCTATCAGCGCCGCCAGCGACGGCGACGAGCGGAACCACTTCATGGGTGGGAAACGCGAGGTATCGAGGTCAATACAGTGTCCGGAAGATTGCGAGCACGTGCAAACGGGAGATCAAAGTCGGACTGGCACGAAGCCGAAGGGAGGTTGAAAGTAAGCTGATGATGTTCGTGGGTCCGATTTGGCGATAGGTAATTTGGTGGTGTTTTCGAGCTGCAGCAAATTGGCGTAAGCTGTTCTTTTCAGGAACTGCCAAACAAACCAGGCCAAAACCAACGCTCTCCTGAAACCAAACCCGGACCAAAAACAAGCACAGGACAAGCACCCGGACAAGGGAGGACCCACTGTCGCCGAGGACTAATTCGAATCCCCCGACGGAATCTGTCGCGTGAGGACATACGCCACTATCTACCACATACCACCAAACCACGGTGATGACGACGCTTGCGGGGGTTTGCACAGATGGCGAAATATGCTACAGTCTGCGTGGAGGGGTTTATGTCTGCTCAAACCGTGGAGTGGATTTAGCCACCTAACCCGTTCCTGGCGGGCAGTTTCGCCTTAGATCCCAACTGCTCCACTTCCATCTACCCCTACTTCAGGATGAGGCTTCCAAGGACTTCGGGAGCAATAGCATTCCCAGATACCTCTGTTATCGGCATATTGAGACACTAGCGTTTCGTCTTTCTCTACCGATTTTTCTCTCGATTTGAGACTAGCATTCGACAACTACAACACCTCGAGTATCGATCTTCTATGTCTAGGTATAAAACGGTACCCAGCATTGGCCGTGAGACCGTTACCCGGCTTCCTTCAGGTGGACTGCATATATGCATGTAGTCTTGGCTAAATATTTTCAGGAACCTCGATCCGGGATTCACCAATGGCTTAAGCATATGGAGCAGGCCCAATATACCATGGACAATAACAACTACATGCTTCGACATCTAATGGACGTAAAGAGAATGGCGGTATTGGCGGTTGGGGTTGAGGTTATCTTGCAGGGTTTGAATTTGATATATTGGTGAAACATGGAACGACAGATTGACTCGGAAATAGCGACCTTACAGAAGTTATCTGGTGACACGAACGGCCTGGTGTCCCCATTGGGGAAGCGCATCAAGAAAATTGAATATATGATTGCTGCCAGGTACCAGTATTAATGTTCTCTTGAAGCCATCAGATGCCATGGAATCCTCAAATTCGATCTCCAGACCACCCCATCACCATCTTCCGTCAAATAGAACACCGGGACCATATCATTCTTGACCACCGGCTTATCCTCTCCCTCCACCTGTAGTTCTACAGCCGGCCAAATCACCGCTTTTTCAATCCTTCGTCTATGCTAGTATCCTCGAACTCCATGTCCTAATGAGTAGAGTGTCCAATGGTATCAGCGATTGGTATTCGGGGCGGTGGGAGACCATGAATATGTGGCCGGAAGTCCGAACGAAATCATCTGTTCTAACAGTTTTGACAGCTTCGGTATCGATTACTTTTGGGTCGACCGGGTTACGGCTCATGGCTCACGGATTTGAAAGACTTAGTGCATGTTCCGTGAATTCTCCGATAGAGATCGGATGCTGATGCAGACGGTGGAGATACTGCAGTAAATTCAGACATCTGTTGAGATAATATTAAAGTGAAATTGCACTTTTGATTAATTATGAATTTAATAATAAGGATTGGTCCTATTCATCGACGAGAGTGTATTCTACGTTCAATTGAACCCCATTGTATCGAGTATATCTGTATCCGACCAGCAACGGTTAGACCATTTATACTGATATGTTGGAACGGTCGTTGGAGTTAATCCGTCAGCCCGAGTCTTTGTAGTACTGATATGTACCGACACTATCAATTCCATGTCTAAAACACCCTCCATAACAATGGGACAACGTGAAAACCAACATTCGATGATACCTTCGAGAATTTATTCTCATATGCTCATGATGTCCGAGCATCACGGCTGAAAGACCTCAGGTCGCCTTCCAGCCAGCCTGATTCGCCCAGATCCGCCCAATCTTGGCAATAATTTGGCTAACCGCTGCTGCGATGACCTTTTTAAGACTCCTTAATTCCCCCGCTCTCGATTGAGATCTCTCCAGCTAGAACGATATCTATATAGCGATTACATTAGAAAACTCTCTTCTATACTCCCATACGATATCCTATTCTCTCAATCGAACCAAGATGCCTTGCAGTTCTCACCCCCCGCCGAACGCCTACCCGGCTGATCATCGAGTACCCCCTATCCGGCGCCAAATCCTCGACTGGGAGTCTTCGCTCTTCTTCTCACTCCAGATGTTTTCAGAAGTTGGCAATAGGCCATATTTTACACATAATCGGATAGGAGCCCGTCGTCAACTCGAGACTTACAGAGTCCCTACGACCGCTGAAGGAGTACTGTCGATATTTAGTACCTTTATCCTAGGGGGCTTCAACAATTTTATAGATATTGTGATGGGATGCGCGATTCTGGGACTCGAAACGATAGGACGATGGGGATTTTAGAAAAGAGCGACAACTACGAGTTTAAGATAACGTCGTAGGTACAAATGGTACGAATCGGCGGGCGTTAGTGTCCCTAGGCCCTCAGGAGGGAACCCTGGAGGAACGAGTCTTGGCGTAGACGACAGGGTCCGGAAATATCCGGTCTACGAAGAAACTCCAATTCATTTTACTCAAACCGGAAACTTCTATACATTGAATCGAACCAAGTGCGACATAACGAGAAAGAACTCTACGGGGCCAACAACATGACCAACATTGGAGACGCTAATTAACAACTGTTTCTGGGATCCTTGATAGCCCTCAGCCCATCAATCTTCCTCGCTAAACTAGCGTCTTGAGCCTCCCTTTCTACCTTCTCGTTCGTCAACTTGATCGAAATCTCATTGACCCGACTCGAGACACTATCCATCTTGACGGTCCTGAGGCTTGTCTCATCCATAATCATTTTCATCGTATCCGCGAATCCCTTGGCTCTGATCTCCCCTTCCTTTCTATTGTCCTCCAAGAACTTGTGCGAGAGATCCATCACCTCCTTTTGGCGAATACGTTCTTCCTTCCTAAGATCATGTCGTAGAGCGTGATCATCTGCTTTACGATCGGCGGATTCATCGTTGATTTTCTTCGTGACAGAGGCTTCAAGGGTGACAGCCGCAGCCTGGCGGTCGACTCGCTCTTTGTCGAGTTTAGTGGTGAGATTTGTGTCGGCTTGAGTTCGGGCTTTTACTTCCTCCTTTAGTTTCTCTTGTAAAGCACATTCGGCCGCTAGACGGGCCGTGGTTTCTTTCGCCAGCGCCTCCTCGAGCTTTCCGCATTTCGCTTCTAACAGCATAATCTTTCCCATAACTTCTTTGTACGCTTGGCCTAGTTTTTCGATCATTGTATATAGATTAGCTTACACCCCAGCCGTAATGTTTATTAACTGCTGCGCGAGAAGGGCTGTACATACCAGCACTCTTAACACCATACCAAGCACCATAAACAGTAGTAACAAAAACCGCAAGTCCAAGAAACCCAACAATGATCCCAAAAGCGCTCAGCGCGAAGAGCCAGAGGTAGCCTGCCGTCGAATTCGTAACCGTTTTAGAACATAAGGATTGTGGAACTCCGACGAGATTCGTGCAGGGCGTTCCAGTCACCCATTCAATCCCGTTTCTAGAACCCATTCACTTATTAGTTACATTCTTTTCATACAGATTTAGGGGGAATTCGATGTGACACTTACAGTAACCTGTGATACGGGCCAGGCCGAATCACTTCGGATGTTGTGTATCGTACAACCGGTTCCATTTTTTTAAAATCGTGATAAGCTGATAAGATATCGGATGTCAAGGAAAGTAATTAATTGGCTTTGACAGAAATCGCTCCTTTACCAATGGTGAAAGCGATAGGTTTTTATACTTTGGTTCTACCTACGCGTCCTTAAGGAGAGATCTTGAGCTCATCCCCTGTGGCGGTAACTGCTAGCGTACTTTTTGGACGGCCAATGGAAAACGTGTAGGTCAGACCCACAAAGAATATCAGCCCTGGTTGAAGTCTAGTTGGCGATTCTATATATATTGTTGTATGGCACAGTAAACTACAGTATTTCATGCTTTCGTGATTGGATTTCTTAGGATTTGAGGGAATACGTCAACTTGGAGCTTCTCATGCAAGCTTAGGTACCTGCATGAGATGCTAGGTTGGGGGCTTTTATTCGAAGATATGCGCATGTGTGGTTAAGTGTCCAAGTTCGAACGATGCAACTTATCAAACATCCCGTAAGGCCGACCTTCCGCCATGAAACCGGTGAAGCCGCAACCGCTCTTTCCCAAAAATAGATTAGGATTCCGTCGAAACCAACAAAGAATACTGCTCCAATCTTGATATAGTTCACTTTATTTAAGCTGACACAATGAATATAACTAAAATAAAGTATGTCTGGTCGTTTTTTTGTAATTCTAAACCGTTTAAAACCGATATTGATATCTTGAATGTGGGCCAGCTTGTGCTCTCCAAGACAACACCTGCCAAGCCAGCAAGATAGAAACGACTAGTGAGATCAAGAGCGACTCTGGTCTCATACTCCCAAAATTTACTTAGACGTCAGAATAGGGTCATCAAAATTGTACTCGATTAATTAACAAGGTACTAATTCATTAATTATTATGTATTGCTAACATGATTGCTACAAATTTTGACTTGTAAACAGAACTTTTCTCGAGATCTCTAGGTTGAATTATCGCATCGCATGATACTGAATCAAGAGTCGTTAACTGCCTCAGCGACAACTTCCCCCACAAGCCCCAATATCGCAACGGCGCCCTCAGCACCCTCCATAAGTTCTCCCCATTTCTTCTTAGTCCCCTGCTTATCAAGTTTAATATTTTGCTCCTGTTCTTCACTCTGTCCGATCAGCTCCACTTTTTGCTTCCCTTCCACGACCTGCGTTTCTCCAGCACATGTAATGGTGATTTTATACTTCCATTCGTAGTAGCAATGTATATTGTAAGTTTTAAAGCTTGGCCAGAGTGGACGTTTGGTTTTAAAGTCGTTGCGTTCCCCTTCCAGACGGGTGGAGTGAGTACGCGAGAGGTGAAGGTTGAGGAGTTGGCCGAGGTCGAGATATTGCTCTCTACCCATTAGATCCTAGATATCGATAAAGGTACCGAGTTAGCATACTCTTATTTTCTTTCTGAACCGAATTCGATATCAAATAGAGATGTTATACGTACGTTCGATTCATCTGGATGTCTGTACCCTGATACTCCGGATCCTCCCTCACGGGGAATCACATAGCCAACCATGTGCGGGGGTAAATCAGGTGAGATTGCAAAATCATGATGCTTCTCGGTGTTCGAATCCCACTTTAAAACACCACGAGCTCGCATCAGAGACCACATCTTCAGACATAATGAAAACGCCGATATCTTAACATCCGGTAGTTTCGAGGTGTCCCTGTTGCTAAAAATACTTCCGGGGCTAGACCTCCTCCCAGTTGTGTCCGACTTCGGGATAATGGAAATACGGAATGGGAAATGAGAAGGATTATCGAGTTGAACAGTCGATGGGCATGTAACTTTTAAGTCGAAGAAATAATTTGGTATCTTGGATGGTTGAAAGACTGATTTGAGGTTTTGTTTAAACCCGAGCTGTTCTGTTGCGAACTGTGGTAGGAGCTTGAGACTCTTGATCCGGACTTCATCCAAAGCTTCTTGAAGATACTCCGAGTATTGAATTGGATGCTCCGAACTTCTGGTACGGACGACCAATGGGAAGATGGTGGTTGGTACATCCCCTTCCTTTTTCTTTCCCTTTCCATTAGGGTCTTGGACCTCCCTCGTCGACCGAAGACTAACTTCCAGAACATATTCAACGTAGCACTCACCCTTAGTGCCACCAGATTCGCCGCAGTAGTAGAAAACACCCGGAAGAGGGTGTTGTGTAATATCCATTTCAACATTGTTAAGATATTTCGACGCTTTCTTCCAAGTATCGTTGAACTTATACTGCCCCGGAACAGTATGAGTAGGTATTTGAACGGATAGTCCCCATTTCTCAAGCCCATTGGCTTCAGATACAGGTGGACCTTCAAGAAAGAACTGGTTTTGGAAGAGGATGGCACGACCACGATAGTAATCTTTCCCTTCTCCGGTGTTACGGATAATCAAAACTTTTGACCGGGCGTAGAAATTTATGTGGACGTTGTTTTGTCCACCTGCCAATCCTGTGATAGAATTAACGACAATGTTGCCGTTGATAATATCACCAGGCAAGAAGATACCGTCGGGCTGCTCGAGCTCGACATCGATCCCTGGCGCATGCTTGAAGCCGGCACGAGGCATTTTGATTTAAATTTGGCTTGCGAGAGGCGGCGAAAACCAGGGGTTTCGATTAAAAGGACTAAACTGCTTGGGCTGGATGGTTCTGACCAATAGTATATATAATACCAAGAAATCAAGGTAGTGCCTATAGTCTGTCTCGAAATCTATATATATTAGCAATCAGCTTTGTCACAAAGGTTTTGAACGTAAGTTACAGGACGGGAAAAGTGGGGATTTGATTGACAAAGGTTGGGCTGTAGCCTAATGGCAATTCCCGAAGCTCGAAGAATTGTATATATATACGCACCCAAATGCTTCCAAGGAAGAGATAACGTTAAGGATGACTTGTGGTATGTGTTGCTGACGTTGTAGAGCTGAAAGTAGGAAGGTTATTGGTTACGAGACTGGGTTACACCAGCCGTGTCAATATCGACAAGAAAACAGCACAAAAAAGGCTAGAGATCTACGTTCCCAAAGACAGATGAAAGCTAAGGGCTGAAGAGAAAGATGCCTCAAGGAGAGTATCAGTAGTAGTCGAAAGAGATAATTAGTTCGAGTTTTCCGTTGTCTTTATACTCAGACTCTTTGACCCCTCTCGACTTATTTCAAACGTTTGCTAAATGATCACGATCCCGCGGTCTAACTCATATGAGCCTCAGAGAGTATCACCAAGGGTCTCCACCTCCTAAGCGGGTCTTTGAACCCTCGAGACCAGGGTTCTCGGTCAAGGTGCATACCTAGCTAGCTCGGAAATGGTACCGAATGACATAATACGCTTTGAAACGAAGCGAACAGACACACCGGCTAAACTTTCTCCGACAATTGGGCTGAGCTGAGCCTAGCCCAGTATTTTACCGCCTCAAAAATTGGTTATCTACCTAGATGGCATTCAGGCTGTGTCTTTGTCATCAACATGCTCTCAAACTCCATCTAAGGTTCGTATGTCTTGGCTATCTATTATCTCGTGATATTGGCCGGGTTGGAAGCCAGTTTAAAATTGCGGCTCCGCCACAAATTTGCGAACGTGCCCTTTGCGATTCGCAGGCAACGTTTTGAGGAATGGCTACTAAACTAGACTAAATTATAAAGAGAAGCCTCGTCCGAGACAAAGCTAGTTCCTGCGCCTGGCTTCATTTCGCGATAAATAAATCGCGCGTGTCGACACTGCCCTCAAACGCACCATAGTATAAACCAGGAAACATAACGTTAGATATAACAATTCACATGTACTTATATGGCCAGATTGGAAATGGCATATGGGACAATCGACCATTAGATCAAGCTAGGCGGTGCACATCCGTGTATTTGGGTTCCGCATTAGGAAATGTTTGTCAGGATCTTTGCTCTGTGTGACCAGTACATTTTGCAACATCATGTCAACAAAGATTGTGTTGTAGACCGAACAAAAAGGTGGCTGAGGGTAAAAGGCCTGGTTGCGAGATCTCGAGAGTGGCTGGAGGGTTGAAAAGGATGATATTATATGAGATTTTGAGATCTAGTTGAAGTAGTATAATGTGGTTCCTTCTCTTTTCAATGGATATAGAGCTTCCTATATAACAAAGATGGAGTTTAAGATAGTTGACAAGCTAATTGTATATCATTAGAGTCGAGAAGAGGATGGCTACCGCCACAGGTATTTGACAGGTATTAGTTGTAGTTGATATCACGATGTAGTCAATCATCATCGCCGGGCCATGAGTAGCCCTAAACACAGGCTCAGCGAAATATAAACAAACGTAACCAACCAAACATTTATTTTCAATACAACGTTTATCATCGACACGTCCGCATCATCACGTCACGTCTCGGATCCTGATCATATTAAATCTTAATCTCACAATGTCAAACCGAGTTACCCTTCCATCCAACCCTCTCTCGCTACCATCTGGCCCTCTCTCTGTACCATCTGGATCTCTTATTTTTCCATCAACCAGCGATATTAACTTGCAAGACGAAGACGACGACGTGTCTTCAAGACCAATACCTCCACAGCACACCGTTTTCCCAGCGATTGAACTTTTCTTTCGTACAAACCCTGAACCAACCCGACTTGTCTCAAACATGTCAGCTCCTTCTCCAAACAACAGCTTGGAAACCAAGCCAACCGATCTCAAAGAAGAACCAGAGATGGGTGTTACTCTATCGAATCCTACCTCTGAGAACGACACTCCAGCCTCTGCCGGTGAAGAAACTGCTCCAGCTAATCCTACCCCTGAGAGCAACGCTCTAGCTCTCCCTGAGGAAACGGCCACTATGGCTAAGACGACCTCCGAGAGCAAGACTCCAGCTCTCCCTGCTGAAACGGTCACTTTGCCTAATCCTACCGCTGGGAGCAATCTCCAAGCCCCTTCTGCGGGAACAGCTGCTTTGCCTACTACTAGCTCTAACAACAATGGCCCAGCCCCCACTCCAGCTCCCGCTGCAGGCAGGGTCCCTCCTGTCCAACCCATGAACAATTTTGGGGGATGGACCAGGGACGTTCCTACCAATATCTACACGGGAGAAAGCACATTTGCCTCTATCGACATTCGCACATTCGGCCCTAACACCAACAGCCGTGGTAACCAACAAAACGGAACTGATGGAGTTCTTCAATACCTCCTCGACAAATCCGAGCTCGACAACAAGAAGGCTGTCGATCTTTATCAATTTGAGCTCGAGAACCGCAAGCTCCAACTTCAGAAGGAGAAACGCGTTCAAGATGTCCAAGAGGCCGGCAAACAACGCAAACATGAGTTGGAAAAAATGCGTTTGGAAGCCGAACTTGAAGCTTCTCTTCTGGCTTTCAAGAGAGGCTCATCGGCGAATACCAATACCGAGCCTGCCCCAGAAACCGACAAAGGTTCACAAGAGTGAACTATACCTCTCATTCACTTTTTATTCAGAAGGCCCTCAGAGCTTTCACCTTGGCTTACGAGATAATTTTACCTTTTCACTTTGGATTCGACTAATTTTTACTTGATTTTGTTCGAGAGCGGATAATCAATAAAGCGATTGTAGGAGGTGGCTAGATATGTGAGGAGTTTTATCTAAGACTGAAAAGCGATACATCATATCTAGTTCTAAAACTAGAATATACCGTACGCATCTATCTGGATAACGATCACTCTACTTCCTGAAAACTTGAGATAGAGCTACCTCGATAATAGTTCAAATAAAAATCTTTTGAGTCACCAAATTAATTAGTTCCATCATAAAAGCGTAATCCTGTGTAAATATCAGTAGTAACCATGAGAAAATCAAATATTGTCTTTGAGACCAAGGGCGTCTATAGCGGATGCGCCATTCTGGCAAGTCCCTAAAGAACAGTGGTTAATATAGATGTTATTCACAGCGTAGCTAATTTTTTGCTGTATCTGAACTACAATGGTGTTTTGATTGGCAATGTTATACTATGGAACATCTCGTATGAAGCCAATATATTCACGGGAAGGCCTTAAAGATAATATTCATACAGATGAGGTACTGTAGGTATGATAACAGCAAAGGTATTATGAAGATTCTGAGAGATTAAACTAAGGTCGGTGTCTACGTATGTACATATGTGTGTGAGTTGTGCCCTATAAAAAAAACTCACAAGAGTTTCGACTATATCAATCAACCTCCCACCCCCCTCTTCATCACCAACCTCCATCACCAACCATCCTCACCAACCCCAACCATCTACTCTCGAAACCAATCTCTGCTGCCGAAGCCCAGCTTAAAACCCAATTATCAAGCCTTCTGACCAATTCATTTGGTCAAAAAACTACATTCATCATGCCGATCCAATCACGGATCACAAAAGCCGTTGCCGGCTTACCAGACGCGTCTTCGGACGCAACCTCCTATGGTGGGTACGATGAGGCCTTCGAAGGCCTCGACGATGCCTTTTTAGAGGCAGCGTTCTCCCTCCCGGCCCCCAGCAGTCCAAGGACTTCCAGTTCAACTGGGAGTCCCTTGGCTGCTCCTCCACCAGCTCCAACGGAGCAATCGCACGGAAGGGAGGGTGCGAACAGCCGGGCATCCAACAGGATGCCCACTGAGCTGGACCCAGCTCAGATCTGCGACGTGTGGGGGTACTACCTTTCGGAGGCCACCCCAAGCGGTGGGTGGTTCTCCCAAGAAGACCGGGATGGTCTTCTTGAATACCTCGAGAACAAGGTCCGCACCACACCGTGGCAGTTGTTCGTCTCACCCTTCACGGGTGAGACAGCAATGGACTGCCCCTTGCTCGGGGTGAAGAGCGTGGCCGAAGTTTCCATTCAACTTAATGAATGGGAACATAACTACATCCGGGCCACGAAGCTGGTCCAGCAGAGAGGCTGGAGCTTCACTGAATCGAAGAACACGGCATACGCAAACAGGGCCATCTACGATTCATGTGCCGACTTTTTCAAGCTCCATGCAATCATCTGCCACCAGATGTTCTCGAACCCCCAGCAGAGTAGCCCAACCGAGCCCAAATCGGAGAGCGTCTCACAAAGTTTCCCATCTCCTCCTTATCGCGTTATTGAGGTCGAGAGCATCGACCTCATGGGATCTTTGAACGTCAACGAAAGCAACGCCTACGGAGGCCCTCCCGTAGAGGTGTCTAACAAACCCGAGGGTGATAGGGGCCCCGATCCCCTCCCTACAGCTTCCAACTCTGCCGATAAGGGCAAGAAGAGAAAGATGTCAGATGCCGACTTGGACCAGGGAGGCCGTCCTGCCGTTCCACATATCAACAGGGCCAGCACTCCATACCCCTACAAGAGAACTCGCAGGAGCTACCCCTATGAAAATAGGCCGATTGCAGAAGACCCTGCCAGCGAGGGCACCGCTCCCAAGAACGTCAATTATACGATCGGTGAGGATCCAGCCGTAGTAATTGCGAGATACCAGTATCTCAGCCGAAAGGCTGAACTAGGATTTCAACTCGAAGTTCAGAAACTCGAGTATCAGAGACAACGAGAGGAGATGGAGGCTAGGTACAAGGCGGAAGAGGCGGACAAACAACGTTATTTTGAACTGGAGAAGTTGCGATTGGAGCTTTCGCTTCAGGAATTAAGATTGAGGGCTAAGAATTAATGAGAGACGCGGGAATTATTTTATTGTTAGGCGTTTGGGTACGAGCAAGGCGTTTGTCAATACCGGGGGCGTTACTTGTAATATACATACATACATACAAATGGCTTAGAGATGATACATAGCTACTTTTTATCACACCGACTGTGGCTTGAACATCCAAATCGTTCTCTGCCCTTAGTTGGGCCCTCTTTTTCCTCTTGAACCACATATTTATGCCTGTATAGATAAACTTATGTCGAAAATACAGCTTTCCCTTTCGTGTTTGTAATTGCATGTCCCGTAGCTTCTAGATTACGTCTAGCCGACCAGGCTATAAACTAGACACGAATGCAGTAACTAGTTTCGTAACGCTACATTTCTCAAATAATTTCCTTCAAGATGTAGTCGGCCAAGAAACAACCACCATTCAGCTACCATCATGATCGTAGAGCTCGATCGATCGATGTTAAAAGTTCGATCTCCAACGCAATCGGTTCACGGACTCTACGCCTTATATAATAATAAAAAAAATTGTTGCTTTCACAAAAATTTGATAACACCACAGGCTCTATGTGTCATATTACAGGCTGAATTTGTCTGTAGACCTGATGATAGTTTCTTGGAACCCCCATGCGCTCCCAGAAATCACTATTTCTCATGATGCCTACTTCTGGCTTCGAGATCGTTCTACCAAGTCTCCTGTGAAGTAAGATTTGCTCAAGAGAAGTTGTTGCATATTTCGCGTTGTTCCGAACGTGGCACAACTCGTTTTTGGGGCAAGATCGACCAGGCCCTGCGGGCATTCCTTAAACTATCAGACGGCCCGCGATTTGACGTAACGTGCATTTTGGAATTCACGCGATATTTTATGGATTTATAATATAAACTTCTTGCTAGAGCGATTGTGCTATCATGGACGATCCAGGACTGAATCTACAAGCGTCATCGTATGATATATATATGCACGGTATATTCTCCGCGAACCGACCTCAATACATTGGAATCTCGAATGATCCAAAGTTCTACCAGTATACCATACATAGTTCATCATATGACACCCTTTTGCATACCAAACCAGTTGGAAAATATCCGGAGCCTTATCGCAAAATTTAATTAGCATTTCCGGAATTCAATGCATGAATACGTAAGTGGATTCATTGACCGACTAACTAGTCAGTTCCTGTAGGCCTATCACGATACAGTTAGCCCCGCACGAAGCCAACAGATTAGTTGATGCGCGCTCCACAATCAATCCAGCCTTAGTGTTTTGACTCCACAGCCTACGATTTCCCATCTGCGAGTTTCAGCTCCGCGCCAACATGCCAAAGTTGAGAACCCAAGATAATTGCCAACGAACAAATGCTGGACACGAAATCTCGGTCAAGGGTTTCAACGTTTTCAATGGGTGTTTTTTTGGGTCCCAGGAATCTAATACCTGCACGACAGAACTTCGGCAAGGTCCCTCAACGCCACAATTTGTTATCGTCCAATGCGTTGCCGCCAAAGTCTCCATGAGGTCTCGAAAAATTATATACCGCAAGCAGCTGGAGGGAAAAAACGGTCATGCACAACCCCAAGCCTTATCGGGTAGTCCGAATAGACAAGGGTATGGACCCGAGTGCGACTGGATATGACCGGCATACTAACCACTTCGATCTTGACGACCTTTTGTAGAGCCCATTCATATCGTAAATTAGAACGCCACAGGACATGGCAAGTCACACTTATGATACGTGTGTCACAAAGAGGGACGTTTCAATAGCTTCTCGATCCCTTTTTTTGAGAGGCTCTAACGTTAATTAATACCAAAAATACTTTGGAAGGAAAAACTATAAATTCCCTGGATTCCTTCCCCAGATTGCGTGATTTCAAACTGGCCAGTAGCAGCCCATTCCTCTAAACCATATTTACTATACAATCTTCATTATACATTAAATATATTATATAAAATCTATCTTTAATAATATAAAAATGAGTTCCTTAGCTCTACGAACACTATATAAGCGACCGGCTACATCTCTCAGGCCTCTCCAGGCCCTTGTAGCACAGCGAGGTGTTTCTGGCACAAGACTCAATAATAAACCTTCACTTTCACATCAGACCGATTCTTCGATGTCGAGTGTTCTCCCACCGCCTTCACCCCCAAAGATGTCCTTCCAAGACATATTTGCGGCGTAAGTTTTATATCAAGACTATTAAAGGAATATTAGTGCTAACATTGTGTTTAGATCCCAAGGTGAACATCAGGGTGTTTGGAAAAATCTCTGGGATAAAGGAACATACCATTAGTAAGTTGACCTTGTCTATACCTAATATGTATATATATATGTATTATTTGTGCTTTTAAGGATTTATCTTGAAAACTAACCTCAATAAAAGCTGGGATCGTGGCCAAGCTTCCCCATCCCTTGTAGACTTCCTCAGAGACCACCCAGACCTCTTCCAACCCAGCGAAACTCCATTAACAGCTCTCGTCCCCGGATGCGGCCGTGGCCACGACGTCAACCTCTTCGCGGACCTCGGAATGCAAGCATATGGCCTCGAACTCGCCGCATCAGCAACAGACATCGCCAGAGAATTCAGTGAAACAATCGCCCCTCCACCCGCACCAGGCAGCCGCAGCTACATCACCGGTGACTTCTTCTCAAACGAATGGTTAAACCGTCTCGATACTAAGCAATTCGACCTCGTCTATGATTATACTTTCATGGTCGCGTTAGATCCCGCCAAGGGTCTTCGTGAACTATGGGCGGAAAGAGTTGCAGGACTTATTAAACCCGGTGGTACTTTGATTTGTCTTGAGTTTCCTTTATACAAGGCATACGATTTGCCTGGTCCGCCATGGGCTATTCGTTCGGAGACTTACGTTGGTTTACTCGAAAGTGTTGGATTTGAGAGAGTTCATCATGAGAAGCCGAGGAGGTACCTTCCTGCGGGTAAGGATACCGACATGATCAGTGCTTGGAGGCGGACGTAGTATTTTTTCTTTTTGGTTAAAAGTAGGATGGATTGCATATACCCGGGCGTCTTTTTCTTATCCTTTAAATCAGCGTTGCTAAAATGTTCCATGCATATTTGTCTAAGCACTTTGTTATTTGTATCAACAAGTTGAATCGAATCATATCATTTTATACTTGAAAGTCAACCGCTGTCGCTCTCAAAACCAAATTAACCATGATTTTGGAGGCTGAGAGAGTTAGATGGTCGAATTGAAGACCGAGTAGCTAAGCTATTGACCTGAGGCTGAAGTAAGATCTTGCGCTTAATAGCATGGTCTTGGTCATCACACCAGCCTTGTACCCGCTATTATAGTCGTTTGTCTACCGCCTCGTGGGATAGCAGTACCGCTCTTTTGCCCCCCAGCCTTTCCAGCCGCGGCGCCGGAGTAACTAAGTACTTTAACGCCTTCTATAGATCGGTAGGCGCCATATATGTATAGTAAATGTTCGCTATAGGCACCCACATGAAACTTACCATGGCTGAATGACTAGTAATAATCTTACCACCAAAAGATTGAGCCTCATACTATAGTGTTACTGAATCCAGAACCAGAATATTCAGCTACTGGGTGAGTTTACGGTCCTAGGATCCTTCAAATTTGACTACATGCAATGTTTACATGCTGCGCAGAAGATACGTGCAATTTAAAAAATTGAAGCCCATTTTCAGCTTTCCGCTCCGTTACAAGTTAACTTCCTTGACTCTCTACCAAATACGACCGAGAGATAAGTACGGTGTGGGGAGCTATTAAAGGATAATAACAGTATAAAGAATTTTGATGACCTTATCAACGCCAGACCACATTCTAAGCTCCCCGAAGATACGAAATACACTTTGGTTCCATAAAATAGAACTCGTTTGAAAAAAGGAAATTACGATACTAGGCTCAAGGCCAGGTGCAGTTATGATTCAATCACCGACTACTGCTTAGCAGTAAAGAGATCTGAAAGTCTTCTGGCGGGTAGCAAACCTTCGTCTGCATCACCACCATTATCGCGGTCCCAAGCCCAGCGAGTTCTCTTCTCTTCGTCGATATCACCTGTGGCAATATCTAGAATATATTTACCGATCACCGGCAAAAATTTGAATCCATGGTACGAGCCTCCTGTGGCCACGACCAAGTTTTTGGAATGCGGATGTTGAGTTATTAGGAAATCCCCATCGGGGCATATTATATCCCTTACATTTCAAAAATTTATTAGCAAGGTTCCATGGGAATATTAAGCAAAAAAATAAAGAGAAGTGAGCAATTCTTACCAGCAGATTCTGTACGAGTGAGGATCATAGACTAGTTCTTTCGCTTTGTCGCCAAAAATTCGCACAGCGCATTCATCTAACTCTTTGACCAATACAGGTGGGACGTGAAACTGATCGTAATTTGTTTCTTCCGGAGGACATCGGATAGGGTGATCCACCCCCTTGACGTGGACTTCGTTGTAAATGGGCAAATCTGACCCGATCTTTAAAGTACCGTTCGAATGAAGCCCCATAGACAGAGCTGCCACGCGTTATTAGCATGTGTAGATTCCTTATCAATTATTCCGACGGTCTAGCACAAACTTTGCAATTTTCCAGTGCCCTGTTGGAAAACAGGTGATTTTTTGAATTCTTCGCGCTGTCGTTCAGAGAGAACTAATTGACCGGTTGCGAATCCCAATGCACCGAGTCTATGCCCTGGGTGCATTTCAGGACGCCCGGGAGCGCTATCCGCGAGTAGTTTTGATGTATAAGATGATGTGCAGAGAAAAGTTGTGTCTCCCAGAATTTTCTCCCCGGCCGTGGTTAGGACACCAATAGTATCACCGTAGTCGTCGAACAATACCTTTTCAACAACAGCTGCCTTGTATTCCACGCCGGGTTGAGATATAACGTAGTCATATACGGACTCCACAGCCTTCTCGGCCTCTGCACAGCCACTCATTGTATTGACCAATATGTGGGAAACGCCCGTATAGTCCGTAGTGTCGAAGAGACCGGGGTACATTCCGGTCAATTCCTTCACGCTTACCATTTTTGCTTTATTTGGGATAGCCAATTCTTTATATGTATCGAGGACACGCTGGGCGTGGCCAGTGTCATCCAACCACACCATGCCAACTTCGTGGAAGTGAGGTTTGAAGAGAGGATCATTTCGCCACATGTCGACAGCACTCCAGGCGAGTTTGCACCAAAAGAGATGGGCATAGTCTGCGCGTACTGCCTTGGTAGAGTCCCAGGAAGCTCCAGCTTCGCACGGGAACGGTGTCCTATCGATGATAGTTACCTTTGCTCCCGGGAATTTCTTTGTAATATGGTACGCTGTTGAAATGCCAAAGACGCCGGCGCCAACAATAACGTAGTGCTGTTTAGAGTAATCTGTCATATTTGAAGTTGTTGAAGGGTCAACAGAAGAGTTTTCGTTCTTGTTTCCTGATAGTCTGTATAAGATGTTCTCAATGATTTTTAGAACTAAAGCCATTTTGACTGTGAATCTTGGAAGGTCAGTTAGGGGCTTTAATACGCTGAATGACTTTGAATTATATCAACCTTTCTATTTCATATCCTGACTATTGTAGCTTATGGAGACTGATAATCACGGTGATGTTCATCCGCGTGTAATACTAGTGTATCATGTTAGCTTAGTCCGGCGGTAGCACGGCAATATCACGTCGGTCGTGAGGAGTTTGGTGTTGTTGGTTGTTGTCTCTTTCCTCCTTCTTGTTGTCTCCTTTTTGCTTTTTGCTAGACATCATGTATGCCGAATTCTCGTCTCGACGTCCCGATCTACTATCTCGCCTCTTTCCTCCTCGCCTCGTCGCCTGTCGGGTTTCAGCTGGCGCTGCTGACCACGACCCTTGTCCCTACTTAGTAGCACCGATTCGGCTCTTCTCTTTTGTCTCTTTTCTCCTTTAACCCCTTGAAGTCGTAATACAGGCCTTCATTCTTTGGTCATGGTTCATGCGGCTGTCCATAACGTTGGGCCCATGGGCCGTTGGGGAAAGAACATGCTTTGATGCCAGGCTAGGCTCACGGACGGAGGCCGGTCCGGGTCGGAACGCAGCATGTGTGTAAGATCTAGAATGTGACGTCGTAGTTGGCCCATTAACCTTGAAGTATTCTCTTTTCTCAAAATCCACTGCCGGTAGGATCTAGTTGTCCCTTCCTATATGTTTCTAAATTTTCTTTTTCCTTTCTGATTTCTTGTCTCTTTCCTCAAGACCTTCTTACTTAAGACTTGTCTCTTTCCTCTGCTACTTCTTTTTTTTCTCTTCATGTTTCCTCTTCTCTTTTCTCTCGTCTCTTCTCCCCTCCTGGCCTGCTTTGGAACCGGAAACTTTTTTTGTCGAGACATCTTCGCGTCGATAGCAACCCGGCTGTGTCAGGAGATGCGCACCGGCTGTAGCCTAGCATTCACTACTTACGACTGACTCACAAACCTTTTTGGCTCAAGCACTAAGAAAACGGAAAAAAAAATCAGCAGCTCGATATCCGATCAAATGTTTTTTTCCTTAGGGAGAGAGAAGGAAAGGGAGTTCCCTTGGAGCCCTTATGCGACTGGCCTCAACATGAAAGTGTTCGTTGTTTGCAAATTCGCCCTTCCTATGGACCTGGTGACAATGATACCACCTTCCTACATTGGATCGGAATGTGTATCTACAACATGCCAGCAATGAAGCTGAGCTTCTTTTAATTGTGAATTGTAATAATTACAATTGCTTTCGTGTCAAGACTAGCTGTCCTGTGAAAATCGAAAAGCAGTATAAGTTAACCATGAAATCATCCCTATGGTACGTTCTCATAGTCGACAATCAATCTTTCATTTTCGCAGAAAAATCATATTTGAACCTGGGGCCATATATTATCTTCTCGACCAGAACTCATTCAATATGATTACTTTGGTGAGTATGGTGACTTTTATATATTCACGAATAAGTTTATTCTGTGATCATCCTATCAATGGATCCAAGAAAGAGAGGAAGAGAGAGGCAAAATATTGACCTCGAGACCTTTGATCCCGCACCAAGATGGTATTTAAAGCAATCTACTCTGCTAAGTTAAACCCAAGGAAGAACCAAGTATTCGGAGAAATCGCCATTGGCTTTGTTAAGATCCAGGATTTATTGTCCTATCCGAAACTTCATATTATTAAAGTGAATTATATCCTATAGATTCGTAGATTTCGACAATCTAGAACAGAGATCTTGCCCTTGCATCTCAAACTTTCTTAATACAACTACGACTACGATCTACAGCTACTATTATAACGTTAGATCTAAATAATAGTGAAATTCGACAGGGAGTATATCATAAGTGTATTTAGTAAAATGCATAGACGTATAGCAACCTTAAAGTGATTAAGCTTCACGTAGATATAAATAATCGAGATCGGTTTTAAGAGCCGCATTCCGAACGCGAATGGTTTTAAATTTGGTTAACTAATAAACATGCCCATAAAAATATGAATAATCAAAATCCCTGCCAACTAAATCCAGTAGACAATCTAGTATCGATTAACCAAGATGACCCGACCGAGTAGATAAGGAAAAGACAAAGGAAATAAATGATAAGATAGTAATCTCCAACGTCACTTATTTTTGTGCGACTCTATCACTTTCGATTGAGCGCAGTGACGTCCATGGAGGGAAATAAAAACAAAAGACGCTGGATGGAAATAAACCCGAAATTAAAACCAAACAAAAGAAAGACGCCGACAGATCGATGTAGTAAAGCAAATTGTAATGGGGTATATTAGAACAGATGAAAAAAAAACGTGATAAGAAAACAACTTTAATTAGGTCTCATCTTCGGTATCTTCATCGATCATATCTTCCCCCTCAAACTGTGCGCCAGCGTATGTGATGATTCTGTCCGGTGAGTATACGAAGGCTTGTTGGTGACTGAGGGTGGGACTAGTAGGTCCTGTAGACAGGGTACTAAATTGTCCTTGAGGATAAGAGCTTGAAGCACCTTGTGGGGTCGAAAGGGTTGGAGTAGAGGCCTCCCATCTCGAAAGGTCCAAGGTCTTAGATGTACCCTTTCTAGTGTTCCTAGCAGAGTTGAGGTACCTGGCCAGAGCATAATTCATATCAATCTGGTCTTCCCTCAAACTCCTTGCACTTGGCTGTACTTCCATGGTTTCAGCTATCGTTTGTGTTTGTGAGAAGAGTCTTTCGTTGACAGGGACCTCTCTGTTGAGTGAAGTAAAGATGTTTCGGTTGGATGGTCTTAGTTGCCTGGGTCTTTGCGGCCTTCGTTGAACTCGTGAGCTTAGCTGTGGGTCATTTCTAAGCATCAAGCGTTCATTTGGCTGGGGGTTTCTGGGAGCTGAATTCATGGGTTCGGATCTTTGTAGTGGAGGTGAGGAGGATCGGGACCCAGTTTGCGAGTGCTTCATCTTTGAATGTTCTGACAACATTTGGAAATAAACGATGGAGGCCCCGCTGGGTTAAATGTATATGCTATAAAGGCAAGAGCTAGAAGCCTTCTGAAGATAATGATAGATAAATCCGAAGAGTTTGTTTCAGCCCTTAGGTAGCGAATCTGAATGCTTGAAGAGGGCCAAAGGTAAGACAATAGTAGTAAAGGGGGATAAAACTGTAGGTTGCGGGCTCTCGAGAGACCAGAGATCGATATAACTTCTAAATCTTGACAATGGGTCTGGGGGATCTTGGTTTGGATGAAGATTAAACTATTCTCGGACTACGGTGCAGACATGGAGAATATAAATACCTTTTTCTCGAGATATAGACAGATGCCTTTGTGTAACTTGGCTTTACAGCTCATCTCCAATGACATCAAATCTCGCTGAAGGAGCAGATGGGCTGCTTTGAAAACCCCAAACATGAATAAAACTCTTGCAATCAATCCTCTGCTGCGTCTGTCGAGCGCAGGGCATCGATGCCGGCCGGCATGCCTCATCATCCTGCTAGATAACCTTGTTGTCTCTTTTCTCTGTTGCAGAAATTTGTGTTGTTGCCGCAATAGACCCACCTAGCACCTAGCTACTGCGGACCAACCCAGTGCAGTGGTGGCTGGCGACTACTTAGATTCGGATCTGGGACTATTCGTAGGAAATGAAGCAAAGGGGTTCGGCCATGAGAGGAAACACGTGCCTGAGGCTCACCGTTTTTTCTTTCCATAAGTGGCCGTAGTTGTCTCTTTTCTCCTTCTGGGGGCATACGTACGCGGCGGAAGGTTAAGTGAAAGTGTAGTGCTAACTGCTACGCTTCGGATTTTGACGGTCACTGGTATTATGACTTGACCATTCGGCGCTCTGTTGCAAGGCGGAGCAGACTGGAGAATAGGTTCCCAAGCCACATGCCGCAGGATCCTTTTATCTAGTTCTTAGATATTGTAACTGCAGTGAAGCGAGTCGACTTTCACGGGTTCTATGATAGCGACATCCAGTTGTGGACGACGTCTCAAGATGAGACCAATTGCCAATATGGGGCTTCTCTACAATTTAATCGAAAGTTCTGGATCTCTTATCTCGTCTATCATTCCGCGATGATACATATAATCTTTTTTTTTTTTAAAAAACGGGGTTTTTAGATCTACCGGTGATGATTCTTTTAAGAACAGTCTGCGATCGAGTCGTCAGCGAAAGCTGCTCAGGTGTAATTAGACTTACAACTTGTATCTCTCATTCCATTCCGGAGTTTGGCCGGGCTAGCTAGTGCTATAGCGCTACACTCCAGATGTGTGTAGTTCGGTCAACTGGATTGAGTAATTTTTTAAGTATACTTAAAAAGTCAGCAATCACCTGATAAATATAAGAAGGCTATCAGAAAGAGCGAGTGAATTATTAATTTTAATTACAACCATAACCATGACGAGAATCCAAAATGTTTGAAAGCGCTATCTTGCACCCATGAATAACGTAGAAAGAATGATAAAATAGAAAGCGAATACAGAATTTCAAAGAGAATATCATGTGCTAAAAGACTTGGTATTGCATTGAGAGAGACATTATAGGAACTCGTTGATCGTTACATTCATAAAAAGCCACAGTCATCCATCTTTTCCACGGCGCACTAGCTTTTGGGCCCCCAGACTAAAAAGTCACAGATTTAATCAAGCCAAAACGAGGTGAGTCTTGAATTAAGCTGGCTTGTGGTTTGCACACAACCGGCCGTAGCTTAATAAAGCTTAATGGTATGAATCTGGACCTTGTGTCTATTCAGCTGGTCCAGCCTTGAGAAACCGGCGGTATTTTTGCATCCAGGAATATCACATTTGTACGGTTTATCATGCTTATTCATGTGCCTCCTGTTTGAAAGTTAGCAGAAATTTCAATACCCAACCGTCGCGATACATTCTGAACTTCGGAAAGGTAAACTTACCTGTAATCGCTGTTGCGCTTGAAAACTACTAGCTCTTCGTCCACAACCCCACCCTTTCTACACTGCCACTCAAGCCGGCACACATAATTCCCAGTACCTCGTCTCTCAAGATCTAACCCAGGGTCTATACTCCCAGGACTTGATAATGAGGCTGGTGTGGAACCTGAAGTCCGCCTGGCCTGATATGAGGCGCCCGAGCGGTCTATTTCCATTTCCCCATACGCGTCTAAGTAAGATGGCATATCTTCCTCTTCGTCTTCCTCGTCGTATTCCTCTTGCTCCTCGTGGTCTTCAGAATCTAGAAACCTTTGGGCGAATTGTCCGTTGCTTGGCTGTGAAGCTAACGGCGAGGGCTGGAGATGAGAGCTTGGGTAATCGAAGGCCTGTCCTGAGTCCCTTATATTGTACGGGGACAATGGCAACGGCGACTCTTGAGTATAAGCGCTTGACGGAACAGAACTCCTTCTGCGCTCTTGGAATGAAGTGTAGGTATTTCTAGAGGTGTGGATCGAAATCGGCTGTGTTTCGGAAAGAGTGTTTTCCCAAATCTGATTGATATTTGTCGAAGTATCTTTTAATTCTCTGCAAATATATCTATACACAGAGACAATTGTGCAAAGGAATAAATGTAATTAGCTCCTTTATACTGGGTTAAGCTACTGAGCTCGGAGCGTAATATCCATGGATAGATGATAAAAACGCAAAGAGTCAGGTAGGGTGGCATGGTCTTTATAAATTTAACAACAACCGGCCAGACGGCGGCAGCTAGCCGGTGAAGCGAAACTTACATGAGTGCGGAGCGTCTTTTATCCAGATCGTTTGCATCGTCGAGATCAACCGAGTCATCGTCGCCCGCCAACTTCCTACTGAGGTATGCTCGTATGCGCCTTCGGTCTGAGATGACAGTTGCCACTTCATCGAGCAGCTCTAGGGCGTACGTGATAAAGTCCCCTGAGTCTGTTAAGAAGTCACCTGTGAGTTCCCTTTGTCTGGCACCTTTTCTCGCTATGTTTCTCACTGCGCGTGGCAGCTCCACATCTAGAAGTTCTTCAACCTCTGTCTGCATCTGGGAGTCCCGGCTAATATTCCGAGACGAGTTCAAGATTCTCGACGCGGCACCCTCCATGGGGCTTGATTAGGAAGTAATTTTATTGCTTAGCTGTTGTAACAATGAACCTGAAGTGGGCCTGGTGTTTCCTCTTGTCAGTGACTAACGACGAAATGGTGATGGTTCCCGGACGTCTCCAAGAGGCGGACAAGGATGCCTCGCAGCCTCCTCGAGCACCAACCTCGTGAAACTAGTGCTTTGGAGGCTCATACAGACCTTCCCAGCCAGGCTTAGCTCCCGGTGGTCGTACAAACTTTCTCAGCCTTGTCGCCTCTTTTCTCTCGTCTCTCGTCTCTTTTCTTTGCTTTTGAGGTACCCGAGGACTGTTCCCACATGCCCAAACGCATACGTACAAAAAACCCGAACCCATGTCGTTCGAATGTCTCCTCTTTCCTCTCCGCTTTTCGAAATCTATCCCGCCTCGCGGAGACGCGCGCGAACCTCCCAACATTTGTTTTCAGCTTGTTTTAATATTTTCATCGGCGAATATCCATCGCGAACCACTTCAAAGTCTGATCCGGTCGAAGCCGTCTACTTGACGCTAGTTGCCTCTTTTTTTCTTAGTTCTCAAAAGTTGATCCTTTGCGCAATTGCTTGTTGCCTTGAGCCTTTCGGCGTGGATCGGTGATTAGTAAAGTCCACAACAAGGCTTCAAACAACAAGTTGGAAAAGAAACGAAAACAAAAGGCAGAAAAAACGAGGATCCAGCCTCACAGACTCTAGTTAAAAACGTAAAGACTTTCCTCTTTTCTCATGGTGTGATAGTCAGGAGATCCATACAGTGTTACTCTAACTTCAGTCGACTTTTTGTGTTTTTTTTAATGCCCTATAGGTCATTCCGAACTATTTCTGCTGCTTAACTTCAAGGCGTTATACAAAAATGTTTAGATCAATGGAGCCTGCAACCTCAAAGCGACCTCGTCTCATGGACGAAGATGAACCGAATCTTGAAGAGGAACCTCGATGGGACGATGCCCGATTTCAGGATGACGTTTTCTCCCGCTTAAGTACCTTTATTCCCCTGGAGCCGCAGCTGTCAACATCAAGGGCGTGGGCGAACGTCGGAGCCGCAAAGTATTGGCCACGACCTGGAATAAACGGTACCAAAAGCCGCAAGCGAGGTATGTAATATTGTAAACTATCCTCCTATGATACGTGTACTTGCAATTCATCAGTCAAGTTACCACTGCACTGATCGAGTTTTTGGTTCTAATTATCACATCCCTGCTATAGCTCGAGACCCAGTTGATGACCCTGACCGCTCAGGGGTCCAGTTCCCCCCAGAGATGTTACTGAGGGTCCCGATATTGGAAGAACGACGTGTCGAGGAAATTGACGAGAAATCAAATCCCTTCTGTGATGCCAACGGGAGCCCATCGGCACACCCCAGAAATGTTGCCCGGTCCTCCACAAAATATAGCAGCAACAAGCTTCCCTCGGAGGCAGCTGTGAATGGACTTGTAAAATTTAGACTCTGGAATACTGACGGCATTGGCGAGAATGTACCCGCCGCGAAAGTTCCGAAAAAACTATACATTCCAGGAAACAATTCAAATAAGAACCCGGATACCCTTGTATCTACCATCCTTGATCCAAATAACCAAGGAGTCAACCACCTTCCACCAGGCTTCGGAAAGGGTCTCATGCTCAAGCCGGAAGACCAGAAACTATTTGACTTTTGTAAGCCGATCTCTGTGTCTCGATCGTGCACACATACACGGTCCTCGCAATCAATATTCTGGCGCACCTTTGCAAATGTTCATGCTTCGCTCAAAGATCAAGCATCATCTAACATTTAGAACATACAATAAATAGATCGTTGCGCTATTTGCTCCGGGCGTACTCTCTTGGACAAAGAAAATATCCATCTGCTCGAGATCGCTCCTATGGCCGATAAAAGCAAAGGGGTCTGCCATGCCGTTCTATCATTGGCTTCAGCCTACCTTTTGGACTACTGGCCAAGCCCATCCTTTGCAGCAAGAGCCAACTACCACTATCGAGAAAGCATAAAGTGGCTCACAGAAGAATTGAAAAACACCCAAAATTACGAACCAGGAAAGGAAGAGGCTTTGGTCACAACTTTGTCATTGTTGATCCACAATGAGGTTTGCAACTTTACCCTACTGAGTTTTGCCACTAGCAGCCACTAATATTTACTATTTATGCTTCGCGATACGATAGATTGTTTGCTGGGAGCCGACAGAGGAAAGCTTAGTCCCAGCCTGGTATCGAGCCGCCCGCCTCGCACGACGAGTGTTAGATACCTCAGATCCAGGCTACTACTACAAACTCCGACGAAACGTCCAAGAAAGCAAAGCAAGACATAGAATCGGGAATGAAATCGCATTTTGTGAGATTCTATCATCAGCATTCGCACCAGTCGAGGAAGAAGATCTCGGGGGACGATGTCCATACAGTTGGTTAATGAGCGGAACCGAGACAGAATTCACCAAAATTGAAGGAAATACGGGGATGTGCGCCAAAGTCCTTTACACTCTCGCGCAAATTACCTATATGACAGGAAAGTTCGCAAAGGTATCTATAACCTTATACAATAAACAATCACTTAACCTAACCTAACTTAACCCTTCTTTTACCGCCTAGAACCCCTGCAAAACAGAAGTATGGCCTATCTTCGCAGGAAGAATTCGAAACGAACTGGAACGAGTGCGGCAGTGGTCAGAATTGTCGGGGGGGTATTCACACGCACAGGATTTGCTAGATGCATGCATTCTAGACGAAAATGGCCTTGTCAAGACCAAAGAAGAAGCAACCGACTTGACAGCACAGACTTATATCCAAGCAGCACTTATATACCTCGAGTGCCGGTTCTTCAGGTCAGAAAGCCAATTCTGCTCATTTAAATATTATCCAAACTAACAAATTTACATCTACAGACGAACTCCTTACCATCCGTCCGTCCGGCGAAATTTAGACTTTTTAATTAAATGCTTCGATAGATGCCCAACAAGTGGTGATCTCTATACCGCCCAAACCCCGGTCTTTGGGGTGGCGATTGCAGGAGTAGTAGCTACAACCGAAAAGGAAAGAGATTTTTGTAGAAAATACGTCCGTGGAACTTGCACCGCTGGAGAGAGAGGAGTAGGCTAAACCGTCCCGAAAATTAAAATAATATGATTAACCTCAGAGCTTACTGATATTTTCTCTATTAGAATCTCGCAACGCTTGATAATACATTAGAATTCATCTGGAAATGGATGGATGAGAATCGTCCCAAGCAAGAAGACGATGATGCCGACTTGTTGGACAGGCGCCAATGGTGGGAGGAACTCGTTACAGCTTTCTACACAGCTAAGAACAGACGAGACTTTGCGTAGGCCATCAACTTGATTCTTTTTTTTTTTTTTTGGTGTCTCTTGTCTATTTTATATCCTTCCTTTCCTTAGCAAGTACCTATCATGGCGATTTTGTTTTTTTGATTTTGTTTTTCTTGATTGCACTCTGGGTGGAAAATTGGGAGGTCTTATGGGAGTTAGGTTTGGAAATGGACTATGAAATTGAAAACGCAATTTGTATTGGTAAATGTGTCACGCAAATGAACTATCCTAACAAGGTATATTGGACAAATAGCTATAAAGTCAATTACAAAAGGAAAGAAATGAATTGGCCGACTTGCTTTCTTCGCGGCTGGAAACTCAAAATAGGCCTCAAATCGGTGTGTCGTACCACCCGCGACCTAGTCCTTCACCAAAAGAAATTCATCTACCGTGAAGAAAATTTGTTAGCCAAATCACAACCCAAAAATAAGGGAGAGAATGGTATCTTACAAATATCAGAGACTGGCGACTTCCAAGATGCCTTCTCCTGAAGTCCAGCCAAGCTAAACTGTTGTTGCAGAACACTGGGAGGATACTTGAACGATTCATAGCAAATAATCCTATCACCTTGCTTAAAATCCACTCCCAATACTTCATCCTTCACATCTCTTTGAGCCCTAAAAACAAACCGATGCACCAAGGCCTGTGGCTCATTCTGAAACTCCGCTTCTCGGAACAACTCCCAATCTTCAGGTCTATACCAATCCCTCTCAAGCAATGAGTTCGAATGCTCCATCCCATGTCGGATGAAATCATCAAACTTCCCTTCGGGGGCAATATAAGACTCCCTCACTTTTTCCTCATCAAGATTGCAATCATACCCAAGTAGCATAACATCCCCCGGGACCATAGCATCAGCCCAGAGTTTTAAGCCCTTGGAAGCAACAGGGATTATGTTGTTGCACAAAGTTGATCCCAAGGAGAGGAAGACTTTGGGACCATTGAATTGTTTGATCCATTCCAATCCATCTGTGAAACTGCCCCAGAGAGCGAAGCATTGCACATGGGTATACCTCGATGTCAGGGCTTTCAGATCGTCTTCCAACCATTCTCTGCAAAGGTCTAGGGCAAAGTAGAATACTGTCATCTGTCGAGCTTCTACCTCGTCTAGTAACGGCATGACTTTTCGTAGTCCACTATATATATAATTACTCAGTTATTAGTATTATTCCTTGTACGAAATGCAGCGAAGAAGTCGAAAGGTGTTTATACGAAAAGGAAGAAAGAGGGAAACTCTTACCCACTCCCAATATCCACAATCACCGACCCCGGCACAATGGAACTACTTATCTCCACCGCATACTTTTGCAACAAAAGTATTTCATCCGACGTCTGGTAGTACGTTGGAGTATGTGTTAATTTGGACCAGAGCTGAAGTCCGGGGTAGTCTGATAGAGTCACGACAGACAGGATACGCCTGCCCGCAGGTTCGTGCAGGAGTAGCTCTTTAGTTATAGCAGGCATGGAGCGAGTGCCGCCGATATCGATAATTGACCCTAACTCGGGAAGCCGTGTGTTATTTGGAAGCTCCTGGAGTAGTTTCGTCAGTCAGTTGAACTTATTTTTTAATAAAATAAAAGGAACCGAGCTACTTGGGTATTGAAACCCAAATTTGATGCTTGCTATCGCTAAGATATATTGATAGCACTGGAATAATAAATAATATGGTGGATCAGGGTTGATATCAACAACGTCTTACTTTTTGGTCTTCTTTAGCCATTTTTGACTGTTATAATATCTTTCTATAAAAGTAAGATTTTAAAGGTAAATATAAGAAGTATTTTAAAAAATTTAGATGTTGATAAGGTAGTTCGCGCAATAAGATAGTCAACCAGCAGATATCAGATTCAACCTCGAGACACAGGTCCAACATCGCAGTTTATATAGAACCCAGCTCCAGATGGATATCAAGAAAAACGGGGAGAAAAGCTCCACGAAATGAAATGCCTTTCCCAAAAATCCGATAGCCTCATAAAATTACGTGTTCTCGATATCATACCCGAAAACAAAAAGAGCCTCAAGATTTCCCCCACGTTGGGCATAATGGAACTCTTCAATTCATGACTTCACGAAAAAGCTTTGCCTCTTGTTTTCGTCACTACTAATCATTTCCTAGTAAAGTATACAGAATAACCACAGAGCCTCAAGTACTTAGGCAGCTGGCGGCTTGGCACTAAGATATGCATTGCTTGTACTACCCCATACCCATGGAAGATACATGGAAGATAGAAGGCTATCCAGAATTCAAGCGGAAAGCAGTAAGACGGGAAGATCAAAGTGAAGCAGAAGAGGGGTAAGGCAGCATTACAGAGCTCTAGAACACAATCTTTACAGTTATACGGCGTCCAATCGAGTCAAAAATAGAGAGTGTGTGATAGATTGTCAATGAAAGAAACAAAGCTTTTAGTAACAAAAACTAACGTTAAATCCGAAGAGCCTCCCCCTTTGTATGTACAACAAAGTAAGGCTCTATTACAATACATTGCTAGATAAGTTTTTGCCTGTTTTCAACAGCTGACATGTGTCAATGCTATCAATCATCCTGCACAGCCCGGGTGACTTCTTCAATTTGCTGAAGAACACTACTCCTTGCTGTACCACCAAGTGAACTGTACTGTTCAATTATACGTTCATAGTCAAAGACTTCCGCTATATCTTCCCCAAACTCGCCATAGACACTTCTCAGTTTGTCCAACCCGAGCTCACTCACATTAGCCAGACCTTCAGAATCAGCCAGTTCATAGCATGATCTGCTGACATCGTTCGCTTCACTCTGAGATAAACCTTTCCGAATAAGATAGTCGCGGATTTCATTCACAAAGAGACTTGCGCTCAATGCCGCCTTCATATTCTCAGGGTGAATTGTAAGTGTGGAAATAACCCCAGAAGCAATCTGAATGGAGTTGTTGATAGTGGAGCAGCAATCGAACAATGGCTCCTTGTCTTCTTGTAGATCCTTGTTGTAACTACTAGGAAGCCCCTTCAGTGTGTACATAAAACCTGCCATCTAAAATCATTACAAGAAAGTATTAGCATGGGTTGAGTCACGAGCGTCTGCATGCGGGACCAGGGTAGAGCAATCATGTTTTGTAGAATTTTATTGGTCTGCATGAATCTTTCTGATTGGGGGGGTATCTTATCTCACCTGGCCAAACACTCGCCCACTTTTTCCGCGAAGTAGTTCTAAACTGTCACTATTTTTCTTCTGTGGCATAAGACTGCTTCCAGTACTATAAGCATCCGCAAGAGTAAGAAAGTGAAATTCGGCAGTCGAATATAAGATCATATCTTCTGCCCATCGACTGATATGGCTCATGAGCACCGTAGCCCATTGAAGCACCTCGACGACAAAATCTCGATCTCCAACTCCAACCATACTATTTGGTATAGCAGCCTCAAAGCCCAATTCCTTAGCAAGAAACTCTCTATCAATCTCAAACGGATTGCCAGCCAATGCACCGCTTCCAAGAGGACAGCGATTAACCCTTGATCTCGTCTGCCGTAGTTTCTGAAGGTCACTCAAGAACAGCTGACAATACGATAGAAGCCAATGGCTCCATCGAATCGGCTGAGCTTGTTGGCTCTGTGTATACCCCGGAAGTATAACATCTATTTCTTGTGATGCTCGCGATACGATTATTCGAATGAGTGTCAAGAGATACTGCTCTGTAGAGACAAGCGTATCCCTAACCCACATTCGCAAATCCGTAGCGACTTGGTCATTTCGAGACCTTCCTGTATGCAATTTTCCTGATATATTCACTCCAATCAATTCCCCAAGCCGTCGCTCGTTTGCGGTATGTACGTCTTCGTCGGAGATCGGGTTTATCGCAAACGTTCCAGTACGCCATTCCTCGCCGACCTATATCCATATTAACTACGATAATTGTCACTTTGTAAAAGTAATTAAGCTTCAACTATAGTACTAACCTTAGCTAAACCCTCAACCATTTGATTTTTCTCATATTCGGTAATAAGTCCTGCCTTAAACAATGCCTTCGCATAGGCCTGAGATCCCTGAACATCCTGAGCGTAAAATGTCTTGTCATAGGATAAACAATCATTGTAAAGATTCATCAATGGGTCCGTCTTCCCTATAGAGCGATCAATTCCTTTATCCACAATGCAGTTCTTCTAATATAGTGCTATACTATCGAGGGTATTCCTTTTTTTTTTACAGGAAACTGTCAGGGGGGAAGAAAGCACATCAAAATCAGACACATACCAGTAAATCTCCCTCCCCATAATCGCTCGTTAGATGGAGTCGCAGTCATGGCTAAAGATCTGATCAATCAACTATATGGCACCTCGAAACTTGAAAAACTACAACCTTCTTCAAGATATTTTAGTTTTAAATCAAGACAGCTATCTATCCAATGCAGGATATTCCGAAAGACAACCAAAAAAAAAAAAAAAACTAAAGCCCCTCAATGGCAAACGGCATACCACCCACAAAGGATGTAGACCGATAATGGAGGAGAAGAGCTAATATAACCGGACATTGCCTACTCCGTGCCACCAACCAAACGAAACAGGTTAGGCGGGGAATGTCGAGCGGCCACTAGTTTTCTGTGTAACACCCACTAAGCATGCAAAAAGAGACAACATGTGGGTCCTTCCACCATGCACACCACGCCACCGAGGACATTGCTAGTACGCAGCAAGTATGCATTGCAGAGGAAACTTCTGAGGGAAAAACTGCATGCGTCCTCTGACGGTCTCGCAGAACAGCCGGTCAGCGAGCAGAGCCTCATATCATCTCCCTGTCATACACTACAGAATCGGCACAAAACAGGAAAAAACTGAGGGGTGTTTTCAGACCAAGCAAAAAGAGGCCAAAAAAAACCTTTTCTAGCACGATGCCGGTATCCCGAACACATATAGGTCGGTAACTGATCCCCCACGTTACATGTGTCTTTTTTTTTTTGGTTTGCCAGGTGGTACCAGTCGACTCTATCAATTCTGCAGCCTCGTCGGGTCAGGCAAGTTCCCAGCCAATTGCAACACAATAATCCACCAGGGGGAGGCTAGTCCTTGGAATGGCATGCGGATCAAATCGAATCGAAGACTTTTTGCAGTTACGATTGAGTCACTCCTACGCGCTGAGATTCAGCTGCAAATTCAGGAAGGTATAGTCGATATGTTACATGCTGTTGGGAATACTTTTATACCGATCACTTATCAAATAGAAGTTTCTTCAACAGTCCGGTTCCAAGTTTCTTAGGGTTCGAGTTAACTTGTCTATTAATCTACTCGAGCTTAAAGTTCCAAGAAAAGGCTTACAAGCATCTGCAGGAGTCAATGGAAAACGCTAGAGCTCTTTGAACTCGTCTCGCGGATCACATGTCACATTCCATGTCAAATAATCCAAAAGATGCAATTTGAAATCCGCGTGTATTATATTCAGCTTTCCCCCACAATTTTGAAATCCTCGTATTATAATATAACATCAATCCTTCTTTCATAACAAAAGATCCTAGTCCAGATTTTTGCAAGTTACAAGCCAACTAGCCGGTCTTTTTGTATCCAGGGATATTAATATTCAGCTTGATCCTACCCCTATCGTTACTCCAGTCATGATCATATAGAAGATTAGACATTACTTATTATTTCATTCTTCCTCAAGTGAGTACCGATTTTATCTAAACACATAAGTATACTTAGAATTGACGTTTTATAATTATAACATACATATATCATCCAGACGGCCAGCGCTCATTCGCACCACCAAACAAGTCAAAAGGTTCTTAGATAAGACTATCGGTTGAGGGGCAATCAAGCAACCTTATAATTACTAGCCAATTAAAAGCCATAATATATTGTTTCCACCTGATGCATATGATGATATGGTCTTCAGCCTCAATCCCAGTATCCTTCTTATCAGATTTGAATTCAGCACAGATACTTTCAAAATGCCTTTGCTGGTTCATTGAAGAAAAAGAAGAAACTACAGACCTTAGCTAATATGTACAATAAACTACGGAGCTACTAAGAAACACTGATTAAACGATAGCATGCCACCCCCAACTTACTGGATTAGCAGTATGGAATGATGACGTCGATTCAATCGACCACGCGGATATTCTGCGTGAGAGAATTATGTATATGAGGCTCTAGTTCATTCGCGCCGTAGTCTGGGGGACGCTCAGCTCTGCCTTGGTATTATATAACCTCCACCACGCGAGAATCCTCATGTGGTTCCCTCTCTCTCTTGATAAATTAAATTACTTAACATTTCGCTCCTTTGTGTGTGTGTATGTGTGTATGTGTGTAATCGCCCCTAATGGACGACACCTGATTTGAGCACTCCTCGGGCTCCAGGTTTGATTTGTAAAAATAGTGGCGAAAGTAGGTAATATACAACAAAAGCAATTAAACAGGTAATATAAACAAGCTATCTGGCTAGATTTCAAGTTGACGCACAGGGCTTTGAACCATGGGCGTCTCAATATTCATTCCACTCCTTGTGCCTGCGCCTGGATTCTGGGCTGGGGATCGTAAATTGATGCCGGTATGTCTCCTCATACAACGTCTACTAACCATCTTTCCTTTGCGTCCCTGGTGAGTTTTCTACCCAATGCATAACCTTTCTGACCACCCACATAGAGAAAGCCGTTGATTCCCATACTGTAAATAGGGTAACAGAAATTTGGCGATTTTCTCGCCTGAGATTGGAACCCTAATTACTAGGGTCCTCTCTCCAGCCCTCGACCCTCTTCCACGCATTAATACAAAGGCTATAAATGCCCCCAATGATCAATGCAATGCTCAATAAGATGAACTTTATCCAATCAGAAAAACTTTACCCAATACGCTTCTCTCGTCAATTCGGTGAACTTTGTACGGTTTTGAAGAATAAAGATGTATGATATGTCGTCTAGGCACACTTTTATCATCATTAGCTCCCTTCAATATTTCCATAATGACTGTCGATATGCTTGACGAACCTTATTTTTCCTTCTCGTAGCTCTTTCCACTGGTCAATGGATGTCGTCAATCTCCATGCTTGAGCCTCCGTCCAAGCTCATCTCATCCTCAAGAGATGGATGTGAACATGCCAGCCTCAGTAGGCTTGGCATATAATACTGGTAGCTGCGAATGCAATGCACAAATTAGTCAAGTTCCTAAGCTGCGCATTTGGTACACCTGCTATTTCTTCTTGAAATAGGTGGGATGTTATAGCTCCTGATAAAACTTACCCATATTGCCAAACCCGCGATCTCAAAATCTTCTAGCGTACCAAAGCAATCCTTCAGCATCCCTTCCCCCAGAATTAGCCTTCAACCCCAATACCAAAGTAACCGATATAAAATCAGCATAATTATATAAAAAAATAGAACTCACCCACAATAAACACCCCAACAATCGCAAAACCCCACTGCACTTCTAACCAGACGTATTTATCGCAACCTCAAAGCCAATCAAGAAAACAGTACCTTGAGTCCTGTCTTCAATCGGCTAGAGCCCCACAAGATCCAACTGTTTCCTTTCCTCCTACCAAACACGTGACTCCAGCATGTACCGAAATAGATATCCAGGTAGATAGACAGAAAGACTGCACGCAGTCAAGGTATAGAAAGTATAGAATAAGCGTGAAGGTATCAAGTACCTCCACATAAACCGCACTAGAATGTAACCTAGATTGTAAGTTACGGGTAAGATAGGATACGAGTTAAGAGATAGATAAAACGGTGACCATGCAGTGAAGTGTAGAAGACTAAGTGGAGTGTGCTAGAAAATAAACCGCAACAAGATACCTTTATACCCACCCTCGGGCCTAGCAACCGCCTAACTAGCCTACCGCAACATCGATATCTCGACAATACAAATATAATTTAATTTCACGCCATAATTGATTGACTGATCCTCGTGCAACCATCTCCTATTACCTATTTAAGTAATTGATTATCTACACCTAAACGCCTGATAGATACGCAAGCAACACTAACCCCCCACCACCCATCCATCTAGAGTACTTAAAGTATTAATAAAAATCTATGCAAACAAGAAGTCAACCCCCCCTCCTCATCTACTGCTCCCCTCCCTTTCTAAACTCCTCTTTATCATAAAAGCTCCCCCCACAAAACACACAAGTATCCACAGCCTCAAATAAAATTCTAAACAACGTCGGTTCTCGAACATTATCATGAATCAATTTCCCTCCACGTTGATCAGTCGCCGTCATTGCCTTTTCGTCTTCGTCTTCATCTACCATTCTTCTTGAAATATACTCACGACTACAGATCCCACATACTCGTGGATTCGGATCCGTAATGAGCAAAAATGTGAGAGCGCAGCGTTCTATATTCATATTAGCATATATCCCAGGTTGCCTGTAGCGTAAGGGAAAAGAAATTGAAGGAGAGCACATACTGAACAAATGCCCATTTCCACACCTCCCGTTCATCAAATCATCCAACGGAACAGGCGCAAGGCAAACATTACATTTTTCCATCGCACCTACTCTTACAATCTTCTTCGTCATCGTGACCAACAAATCCAAATTCCCAGGGTTTGCAAGAACCTCCTTCCTCTCAGCAATAAGCTTCTTCTCAATTTCAATATCAAGCGCGAAACGATATTCCAAATCTTTCAGCGTTTGGATCGAGAGTTTAAAAACTCTCTCATCGCGATAGAAAGCCAGGATCCCCAAGCATGCGGTTAACCACCTAATCAGTCGCGATTTTCGAGTTCGCAATTGCGACCCCTTTAAGACAGGAATCTCAAGAACGGCGCTTAATACCAACTTCGTAGTCCCCGTTTGCGCACTCAACACTCCAGGCTTCTTCGGAGCAATCTTATTAGCTCTCAGAAGGCCAACCAAGTTCCTAGCCCGGTTTAAAACTGCTTCCTTGGTGTTGAAGAGATAGGTGGAGATATGATCGATCAGATCTGCTGGCTTAATATCTTGAAACAGGTAGAATTCTGCTTCCTGTGCAAGAGGAGGCGGGAGCCTCCGGGATTCGTTCATCCCGTCCGAAAGGATCTCCTCCATCCTGTTGAAGGAATCCTCTGCATCCTCGGGGTCCACCAAGAAACGAATGTCACTTACAAACGCTTCTCCAGGAACTCCGTTGAGTGTGAAGTACTTGGCTGACCCAGCTGCCTGAGCAGGATCAAACATCTCCGACCAGTCTCTACAGAATTGCCAAGAGAGTGTGCATCGTTCCCTCTCCTTGATGGGATACTCGAGGACACCTTCAGGCTTTAAACGGTAGCAAACGGACAGAATCCCACCTAGTGGACAGTATGCTATGCCATAGACTTGACACGATGCTTGCATGATTTTCCAGTCCTCGATGAAGGAGGCTCTTTTTTCATCGAGAATGTCGATGAAGTCGGGTTTGGTGTTCGGCTGAGGGAATTCACAATTATTCTGTATTAAAGTGCGACCATAAAAATTCGGTATGACAGCCTTGAGGAGGATGGATTTGTTAAGGTTGGAAAGGTCGATTCTAACTATCGAGAGCGCGCCATTTGTCGAGCAGATATTGAGGTCGAGGTAATCCATCCAAATAGGGTCAGAAAAAGTGTAACCAGCGAGGCAAGCAGGCAGATCCATGAACACTTTATAAAGGCGTTGAAGACAGAAGCGTTTACCGATATCTAAGGTAATGCCAAAGAGCTCGACGCCATCACGCTGAATCGCAGCTAGAAGAGTTTCAGGGGCCCGGTTTGGAATGTTGTATACACGTTCGTACCACAGCAAAGCATGGGGTTCGTAACCCGCCATTGCCCCTGGGGTAAGGTGCGGTGGCTCATCTCCAGCGGAGAGTACCAGCTTCCCGCCAACCCTGGAAAGGACCATCCTCAGGACCCAAACTCCATCCGTGGTAATAAAGCTGAAGAATGCAATGCCTAAAAAACATTAAGATACAGTGAATATCTGCAAGAAATTAAGGATCAACTAACCTTCGTCGGAGCTCATTATAACCCACGGCGACCAGCACATTTTGACAATTCTCGAGCCTTCCGGTATTTTGGGGGTAGTTTTCAGAAGAAGCTCTACATCCTGGTCAATGATCTTAACGAACGTGAGTTCATTGTTCTCATCGACCATAGTAAAGATAGGGATTCCCCATCGCATAGTTTGGAATGTACATGGCTGTGACCAGCAGATCTCTACCTTTCGGTTAGTGTTTAATTACTATTGAAGGTTCACGGCTCCCAAACCTCTCGGAAGTTTGTCCCATGTGATCTCTACGACTTCATCTCCAGGAACATCTTGATCGATCAATCGATCCAAAAGCTTCATCTGAAGCTTCAAACCACGTCCGATAACAGTGGTAGGTTGATAAATCAAGACTTGTCGAGAAGAAGTCAGGATAGACAGTGAGCACCTAGAACCATCTTAGCCCAGCCCAGCAACCTAGCTGTAAGGATACATACCTTCGGTGAGTTCCAGCCCCAACCGGAGACCACTCCATCTGTCTCGCAAACCCTTCTTTGAACGTCTGGTCTAATTGAAAGCTCACTACCCGAATACCATCAGCATCCGCTCCAATCCCGTTGAGTCTAGAAGAATCTCACCGCCTCCCTTCATCACATCTCCCACCTCTTCATCCTGTAGAATCTCTAGCTTCTGCCAATGAAACTGAAACTCCGGCCGAGCTTTGTCTTCTTCCACATCTCCCTCCTTCTCTTCCTCCCCTTCCTGCTCCCCCTCCTCTTCACCATCCTCCTCGCTTTCTTCATACTCGCTACCGTCTCCTCCATCGTTACCATCACCATACCCCTTCCAATCGGCTCGATTCTCAGAGCTTCTATAATCAATTTTATTCTCATCTCCCGGTTTAAACTTCGATGGAACCGGAGGGTTCGAGACGAGACCCGGGTTTAGAACCGAATTGGTCAAAATGTAAGTAATTGGTCCCGCGGGGATGCATAGTTGTCCATCCTGCGAAGCTTTGTAGTTTTGAGGGATGGAAGGGTAAAAATTGAGATCAATATTTTTGAGAAGCATCTTTTGACCTTTTCTCTTAACTGTCGCTAGTTAGTATTCTTTTTTTCCCTCCCTTGGCAGTAACTTGTCTCAAGTTAGTTTTCAACGATGGGATTTGGTTTTCGGATTTAAGATTGGTCGTCGTCGGATGGCAGGCAGCATGCTTTGATGGAGAAGTCGGAATTTAAATGGGAATCAAGGCTTGCAGCCGAAAATTTTGTCGATATTAATAAAAAATTTAGTTGTTGAAAGCTTGCCTTCTGATGAGGCGCGAGATTGCGGTTGATGAAAGCCGAGCAGTAGTTTGTGCGGCGTCGTTCCAAAGATCTTCAAAGGTCTGGTCGGTTCTCTTGGCGTTTCTTGGCGACAGGCGGCTTGCTCTGCAACAGCTGCCATGCTAGCTGTGACCCCCGTCACTTGTACTTGACTCGCACTAAAGATAGGTACCGGATAGTAATTTAAGCAGCGGGTACCCACTTGAGTATTTTGGTATCCCTTCGTCTTGTGCCGGCTCTGATAGTTCCAACTACTAAATACCTACTTAATTAATAGGATGCAAACTAATACTAATACGGTACTAGTTCTAAGGGACTATATGCATCCTACCAGTATTCGTAGATGTGATAGATAAACTGTAGTTCGGAAACTAAATCGTCCAGAGGCACCCAGTATTAGGAAACTTGGGTAGACCTCGATTTATAAAATACATGCACGGACCATCTTCCTGCTCACAATCGCTATCCTCCTCCTTCTCCTCCTCCTCAACTTCCCCACCGTTCTCTCTCCTTTTCGAAATGATAGTACGTAGACCCTCCGCATCCGTATCTGAAAGCGGTGGGTAAGAAACAGCCCACGCCGGCGCCTTTTCCAAAACCCTCGGCAGCTCCGAACACTGCCTCGTCGTCATACCCTTAGGTTTATACCTCGGAATCCCCAGATTTATCTTATAATTATACGCCTTAACCAGCGTCTGCACAAGAGAAGCAATGCACGCATACGTCTTTACATCCAGAATATCCGATGGCTCGGGGATTCTTTCCACGGGAAAGAGGCTATACCAAAGATAATCCGCCTCATAGGAAATTTCCTTCCAGACATCTGCGACAAGAAATTCGTACCTACGATAGATCGATGCTAGCGGACTATCTTGAGCTCTGAAGGACCAACAACATCTTACAACTCTGAATATACCATATTTCTGACGAATTGGTTTCCCGAAGTTCTCAAACGATAGGATTTTTTCGAGGGACTCGGGTACTTCGATGGTTGCCGCCGAATTGTTGAAATAGAAGCATTTTTCAATGGGAATAGGATAGAAAACTATAATGGTCAACTCGGTTAATTTATATTCATCAAAATCACGAAGTGTGGGCCCGTCTCGACGCTCAACTATATTCAAGTCATCTGCATATGGGGAAGGCGCTGATATCATACGTTTCGGTCGATCCCGATTAAAGGCTTTTCTACTCCGATCAGCCAGTTTCCAGGAGCCCTGGTCTATCGATTTGCAGACATATCCACTGCAATCACACAATATCTGACCCTCTGTTCTTTTCGTTAGAATTAATCGAGTGACCATAGTTATTTAGAAAGGGAGTCCATCAAAATGGTATTTTACCTTGTAGGTTATCATTCTCCTCGTTCTGAGTTCGGCAAGCTAAGTCCTCCGACCCAACGACGGGTTCATTGGCACTCAGAATCGGTACTTTTGCATCCATAGTTGAGTGGAGAAGGGAATGTGTCAAAATATTAGCTCAGAGGTCTTTAAGTTTGCCGAAATACGAACGTTAAATTGGCCAAAATAACCAGCAAACGATCGAATATAAATATAAACATCTATTACTATTCTGTTATCAAATTATCCGTCTATACCTACCCAATTAATTCTTGATGGATGGGGATACTCAACTTCCCAGACCTCCTCCCACAGGCGATTCTAGCTAATATTAATACAAGTATTATCAGAAAAAGACCCTCTTCATTCGATTACCCTTTCTGATCTCAATTTCTTATTTTATTAATATATTTCTTGCACAACATGTCATTGCATATTTTAGTTCCTCGACTCCTAATAGCAGAATATATACAAGTAAGTAACTAATACAATTTCCAACAAAATCCTCTCCATCGTCCAAATAAGTTACCCACCGGCAGACCCAAACCCTTGTCGAAAATTCCAACAACCTCGCCCACTTGGCGCAATGGTTAGCGCACCTGACTTCTACGTTTCTCTCTCTCAAGAGATACTTGAGTCATCAGGAGGCTGCAAGTTCGAGTCTTGCAGTGGGTGAATTTTTTTTGGTTTTGTCTCAGATGATTTTGAATGGCATAAATAGACCTTCTAACAGATAATAAAAAATGTTTATTTCATTTTTATCCCCCTTTTCTTTTAACCCGCTTGTACTTTGAATAGTTCTGTTCTAGTACCGTTCACTGTATGAATTGAATTGAATTGAATACAACAGCCGTGCGGTGATGCAGTCAAGATTTTATGCGGCATAGAATCCCACTCACGTGACAACCCACACCACCCACCAACACCAACGCCATCCCGTCGCCATCCCATCCCTCCATCCACAACCACCATTCACATTCCTCCATGCTAACCTCCCGCCTCCCACCCACAATCACCACCATCACCACCTCCCTCCTCCGACTTACGATCTCCAAAATGTCCGATCCCTCAGAAGACCTCTCCTCAATGGGCTTTACATCCTTCGGCAAAACCCCAAAACACCACCAAACAGCTCCAATCCACGCCAATCCCACGCCCTTCCCATCATCATCAACATCACTACCCCCCCGACCACCCTTCCAACAAGGCAATCAATCCCCCCACAATCAACACCATAATAACAATAACAACAACAACCAAAACTACCGTGGTCGAGGTGGCAGAAACTTCAATAACAGAGGAGGAAGAGGAGGAGGAGGAGGTCAAGGTCATCAAGGACATCAAGGTCATCAAGGACAAGGAGGTCCCCACCGTCGTAACTTCCATACAAATCCACAATTCCAACGTGGCGGCCGCGGTGGTCGACACCACCATCCATACCCCCACCGTCAATCCCACGATAATCACAATCACCAACAAAGACAAGACTTCACAACCTCATCATCAACCCCCTCCTACCGTTCCAAAGAATTCGGCGAGGGACTCTACAAACCTTCTATGAACGAAGATCCCTGGGCTCCCTTAACCCAGAATAAACAATCACAATCACAATCACAACCACAATCACAACCACAATCACATCAACAAAGTAAGACAGCCATAACAACAACAACAACACCCAACGACGTCTGGATGGGACAAACCGCCGCCGCCACCAGTACCAATATAGAAGACAAAAGTACTTGGTACGACAAACCAGAAGATAAAGCCGCCGACGGCGGTGGCTGGAATGCAGACGAAATCGACCTAGGAGACGATTGATAGAAAAGAAAAATCTTCCACCAGAAAGAAAGAAGAAAAACACAAATCCAATTCCTCCCTCTACAAGAGAGATTATATTATCATCAGGGGGGAAAAAAAACTCAATAAAAAGAGTTTTTACAAACCGTTTGGATTTAAAATATCCTTACAAAACTGAATATTATATTAATATTCAACCCAGAAACTAACATCACTGCCACACGCACGCACACCTTTGGAGTAAATAAACCAGGTATGATTATTCGGAAGTTTTTTATCATCTAAAACTCCCAGATCTATGTATACGATACCCATTTTCATCATCCCATTCCTTTATTTCCAAGGAGAAGGAGATGTTATATATACCAAGTCTTTAACCCCCACAGGCATAAAGACTAAAAGACACCCCCGTCATCGAAACGGTAAAAACTCCAATATACAAGGGTTAACACTACTACTCAGAAGTAAATAGTAGTTAACCCACACCTCCAACCACCCAAAACAGATATCATAACCAATACCTACTAGCAATTAAGTACTTAGGTAGTTAGTCTAGTTCAAAAGATAATCAAACCTCTAATACATTCATCCCCAAGTAATACTAACTTACACCCGTGTAACCCTCCACCTCAATTCGTACTCCCAAAAAGTCCTATACATAACATACAAATCCAACAAACCCCATCCAGTATCTAATCTAATATAATCAAACTGTAACCTCCCCTACAATCCCAATATAAACCCACTCACCCAACCCCTCAACCCCCCCACCAAATCACATGATACGATACAATTCCCCACCACCACTCCCTCCTAACAATCTCAAACAAGAAAATATAAGTAAACCCCACCCTCACGTGCACTTCACATCCTACAAATCCTCAAATCTTACTGGTCAAATCGATCATCCATACCTTAGTTTATATCCCTCCAAGCCCCCCCCCGCTAGATCAGATCCGATCCGATCAACGGACATAAAAACTAAACTACCACCTCTAGAACGGAACAGAGAACAGTCTTAACACCCGACTCCTCCTCTTTGCCACTAGCGCTTGATTCTAAATTTATCATACTACCTTTAACTACTAAGTATATACCAATCGTTCTTCTAGCTAAAGAAGCTAAAGAAGCTTATTCCAACCTCCCCATCAACACACCCACACCCACACCCACATCCACATCCCCTTCAAAACCATCCCAAAGTCCAAATATAAGTAAAAGTAAGTAAGTATATGTGATATTATTAAATAATATAACAAAAAATACAAATAAAAAAAAAAGTGTGTACACCATAAACCCCCCCTTCTTAAAACCATCCATCCATCCATCCATTCAAAAGCGTACCCGCAAAAAAAGACAAAAAAATATTCCAAAATATCATATCGTACCCCTCCATTTAAACATTCCCTTCAAAAAGAAAAAAAAGAAGCAGGAGTAGAATGACTTGCAAACACCAAAAAATCGCAATTGTTGATTAAAAAAGGCGAACCCAAAGGATGAAAAAGTGTCAACGAAAACTCCCGCATCCCAAACAGAAAAAATGTCCAATTGCTTGTCAGTATAAAAAAATGCGTTCTTTTATTCGTAAACGGGTCGTTAAATTGCAACCGCTGAGAATGCGACACCAAGATATAAAATAAAAAAAGTCGAGCGATCCGCGAGTTTAAGAGAGAGAGAAAGAAAGAAAAGAAAGAAAACCGCTGCTGAAGGAGTCGATGAAAGTGAGAAGGATGAGGTGGAGGAAATCGTATATACCGACAGTCCGTATCCAAGTCGTACCGTTAAAGCCGGGGGCACGCATCGTCCAAGAATAGAGGTTTGAGTAAACTAATACTCATAATCCGCAGGTCCAGGGTATCTCTCCCTAGCCATGTTATATTCCACCGGATACCGCTGTTCAGCTTTCGCTTTAAGCGCACTATACACACATAACACATTCAATTAGTGTTTCTACATTTCCAAAAAGAAAGAAAGAGAGAGAAAAGAGACATACTCAGTCTTCTTCTGTAACCACTCCAAATCACCTTTAACCTTCTTTGCGACCTTCATCCCATCTAAGAAATTCGCTCTTGTTTCAGCAAGCCTCTTCTGCGCCATCGCCTGGAGTTCCATCAATTCCCGTGTTTTCGCGTTTAACATGCCCGATCTGTAGAGTTATAAATTTCAATAATTAGCCTAATCCCCCACAACCCCAAAAAGTCCACATCTACAAACCCCCCCAAAAAAGAAAAAAAGTGTAGTCGTATGATAATAACGATAAAATGTAGATTTAAAAAAAGGGGGGGAGAAACTCACGTCTGCGCCTGCACGACCAAACTCCTATCCAAAGGAATCGGATCAAACGCCGCAACCAATCTATCCGTCAACACGCTAACCAGATCATTGGTCTCCATACTCCCATCTTCAAACTCATCGGCCGCACTGCCAGCGTAGGAACTACTGGATATCGAACTGGATGTAGCGTATGACGGTGTTCTCCGAGCATCATGTGCTGCACGTGGGATCGGGACCACACCTTGTGACGACGAGGATGGAGGAGTCGAGTAGGCGTATTCGTAGGAAGAGGAGACGGAAGGGTGGAGAGGTTTTCGTGACGACATTGGGAGGGGGAGGGAGTAGGTGTCTGTCATTGCAGATGGTATTTGGGAAGGAAAAGAGAGAGTGAAGTTGGCGATATAAAAATAATATAAAATAACAATATAAAATAAAATAATAAAAAAAACTAATTTTTATTGGGGAATCCGGGCGATTTCAAACGGGAAATGCCGCAGGAATGTCAAAAAAAGTCAACGACCAATCAATTGACTTTCAGAGAGCCCCCAAAAAAAGTACGATTTAAAACCCGTTCTTTTTCGGCTTTTCTTCTCTTTGTCTTTGATGTGCTGTTCGGCCTTTGAAGAAATACGCCAAGCCAGTTTTTCACGGGTGGCGAACAGTTGTTCTCGTTAAAAAAAAAACAACTTATAAGACAATATCTTGTTAATAGATGTATGTATATGTAATATGTATGTATGGTATGATCCGGTATGATTTGTTATATCTTTCGAGCTGGCAAAGTTTGCTTAGCTTAGCGGATAGTCAAGTCGGTGATACAGCGAATCGAGCAGCGCTGCGTTGTCGAAACTGTCCAAGTTTTTTTTTTTAACTACCTGAGAAGGTACCTAGTTCTGACCGGGGACAGGCTTAGGCGAGGATTTGGAGAGAGAGATGGGTGATTGTTCTGGTTCTTTTGACAGCTTCGGTGTCACAAGCACTCTGTGTATCTTATACAGGCAATTGGTGGGTATGGCTGGATTTAGCGGCTATGAGACTGTGACGGCGGTGATGATGATGATGGGTGGGAGAGTCCAGACACGTCTGCCAGATCTGCTGTTCTGTACTGTACTGTAACCGGGAAGTTGATGTTGATGTTGATGTTGAGGTTGAGGTCAGAAAGAACAGAAGTGTGATGAGGCGAAGGTTTGTCGACACGAGGAAATGGCAAACGAGCTAAGCAAGTAAGTAATGTATGTACTACAAGCCACGTTCAAGATGATCGCGAGAGAGCGAACAAAAAAAAGGTAAAACTGATAGAAAATATATATTTCTTACTTCAAGATGATAATAATACTGAGAGTGAAAGAAGAGGAGGAGGAAAGAAAGAAAGAAGTCATCTCCTCTTCGAAGGGGGGCCTCCAGCTGCCCTATTTATACCCGAGCAGACCAGGACCTGAACACCCTCTTCCCTCATCATACAATCGAAGAAGGGGGGTGTGAGAATGAGCAGGAGGGCAAGATACCCTCTCCTCCTACTCCCTCCATCGATTATCTCCAATGGATAGAAACAAAGAGAAAGAAAGAAAGAGAAAAAAAAGTATCTTCCGCCAGTCTCCGCTCGCAGCTAGCCATCGGAAGTGTGCAATGATGGTGGGAGCCAACCATTACGGGATGTCGATACGATTCAAAGAAAGAAAGAAAAGAAAGAAAAGAAAGAAAAGAAACCAAACCAGCAAAACTACTCGAGCAGTTGGATCATGGAAGAGGTTTTATGGGCCAATGACGATAGATGGCGAGGTTCCCCGAGTATAACTTACTATAACTTACTTAAGTACTCACGGCTTCAAACGGTGCAGCTTTGGCTGTCGCTGTGGTTGGTTAATTCAATTTGATCCAATGCATTCTTACTCACTTCTACATCATATCATATCATCTCCACTTATACTTCACGACTACCTAAGTACTTAAGTACCCAACTATCTACTTCGCATCTTCGAAAACCCGCGATTTTGATCAGATCTATTATATTATATTCCACTATCCAGAAAAAGAATTCCCAGTTCCAAAGATTCAAACCAGGCAAGGTCCCGTTGACCGATCGAAAGAGAAAAAAGAAGGAAAGTCGTCAGCATCAGCCCATTCCAATTCCCATCGTCCCATGAGAGTGGTACAAACCTCTCCCCCTCGTCATACCACGAGACTAAAAAACCCCTCCCCCCAGAACCCAGGCCAGGTCAATTAACATGGTTCGTACATGTGCTACCACGTATATATTACTTGCAGCTCTTCCAATCCTTGAAAAACGATTCCAATTCTCTATGATATGGGGAGAGGAAGAAAGGATCGGGGATTATCCCCGGTCGAACGATGAATCTCATATACTTGATACCTTAGCACCTCACTGACTACTTACTTAGTATGTATGTATACGTCTGGGAAGGTGGAAGCGATCCACACACCCACCAGAGAGAAGGGGAAAAAAGGGATATGCAAATCGCGCATACACTTCTGGTACCGTGACTCTCAGGTTCCCCCTCCCGAAATTCTCAAAAATCCAGAATCCCAACTAGTCAGTAAACCATCTTTTGTGTGTGTGTCGACACTAGTCGAGAAATCGAATCAGAAGAAGTGGGGACCGATTTCCTACAAGGGTGTTTGCATGTGTGTGTCTTGGTGAGAAAGAAAGAAAAGAAAACAAAAGAAAAGAAAGAAAAAAACATGGGAATTGACATCTGCGGTGTACCGTTACAAATCCCTGTTCAATCTTATATTATAAGAAAAGATAAAAACGGAGTTTCTTTCTAGAAAAAAAAAAGGTACAGCTGGATCTTTATGCGGGTATCCGAAGGGTGAAGGCATATGCCCTATGACGTGCAGGTACACATCACGCCGCATACATACCAGTGGAGACAATTCACCGGGTCCTAGCTGAATAGGTAAGTGAATATATGAAGTGTAGGGATTGAAGGTAAGGATAACAAGTAACGGTACATCCGATCCCAGAGAAACAGAAGTACCGTTTAGACCGGAGAGGGTGTGTGGGTAGAAAAGAAGAGAGAGAAGCACGTCGAGACGAGGTGCAGAACGGCTATTGTCACCTGAATGGTGGCTACAGACGGATCACAGTCACCTGACCTGAGATGCTCCGACTTTCACCTGCAATTCTCCTGCAAGTGCTGGGTTCCGACATATCATACCAGACCAGGAAATCCCACAGACCATGAAAGAGGATCGATATACCTCGGTCGAATTCATCTTATCGCCGGCCAGCTCCGAATGTCGACCGTCTTCGGAACCGGGGCGATTTCTGGCTTGTTTGTTGTATTCCGACCGCTCAACACAGAAACATCCCAAGTCCCCAATTCGCTGCTTTCGGTATTCAAATATCAAATCCCAACCTAGATTTCAGTTACTATACTACTTTCCAAGGTAAGATATCTAAGCTTGTACTTACCTGTTGTGATTGACGCCGGTCGTGCTTTTGTATGTAAAATAAGAGACTGTGCACTACGGTGATCACACTATTAAAAAGATAGCATAGTTTAAGATTCAACCAGAACATATACGCTTGTATACGTAAATTAAGTTCGTGCAGCCAGTCTCTTCATATTCTTAGAAAATATCTACCTAAATACCTAGTATGCACGTATTTTAAGGCTGAATCCTTCTAATTGTTAAGTCATATCTAAATGTTAAAGGTTTTAAACCATACAACGCCCAAACCGTCGAAACGAGAAAAAACCAGGTTTCCAAATTGAAAGACAAAGAAAAGATATTCAAAAGGAAGTTGAACGAGTCTGTATCCACAATAATAACCAAGATGCTGTGTTAAATCTCTCTCAGGGTCCATACTTTAGCAGCAATCTACTGAGTCTACCACCCCTGGTGGGATACAGTATGCCGTGTTACCCTTTCCCCCCAAATAACCACCCTTAGAAGCGAGAAAGGGCTTCGTCTGCGGTGACAAAAGACTATATTCATTTCTTCCTCGCATGCAAGCACCAAGTATCTCCCCCAAATCTTTATCGATTTTCCTATTTTCGTAAATAAAAAGGTCAGTCGCTCAGTTGTGTAAAATAGTATCTCTTTCAAGTAATATATATATTCTGAAGGGGATTACTATGAAATACGTACGTTTTAACCCTTCCAATGGGTATTTCAATCCATTGGATATATACTCTCAAGCATTCCATTGCAGTGTATTGACATATAGCTGGTGATGATTTCCATGGTGGATATATTTATACCAGCTATTAATTAAGCAGGCGCTCATCGAAGACTCGGATGGTGACACCTTTGTCAACAATAAAATTTCCTAGTTTCGGCCATAATACCGACCATGAGTTACTTCTCACCCTTGAAGTTTCATTGCTGCTGTAACTGATAACTGAGTATCGGAATACCGTGGGTATCCGGATCCAAACAGTGCATCTTGATTGAAATATGGAGTATATATATTCTAATATAAATAGGCTTTATTAATATGAAAAGTACTCTAGAACTCGTCGAGACTGTAAAACTTACCGAATAGAACATACAATAGCAGGAGAAGTAGGAGAGATCCCGCGAGCTGATGTTCGTCAGGTTAAAACCCTCTCTTTCGGTAAGCCAGGGGGAGTAGAAGAAGCAGTAATAACAGCATCAGCAGTAGTAGTAAAAGTAGTAGATATTTAATGGCCTAATTCCGAGACACCTTGGCAACTTCTCGGTAACAGAAAGGATAGTATCGTACTCCATGTCTCTGGGTATGTGGGAGAAACTTGAGGGAGTAGTTAGGTAGTTTTTGGACAGAAAGTTATCTGACAGAGGGCCTTGACAGTCTAATTTATACTTACTCTCAGACACCCATATTTATCTATGCCGTTTATATTTATATTTTAATAACTTGATTAGATGTCTAACTTGTGTAATCTCAGTCAATCGAGCATATCAATATCTTGTGAAAAAAAAGAGATACTGTTTGATTTACCATTCGCATGGCATAAAGACAGCAATCATCACGATCAGCCACAAATTCCTGCCTTGAGCTCTAGTATATAGTATATTAGAGTATAACATATTATATTCTATACTTATATTCTATAGCAATAGACTTCAAAACTACCTAATATTCAATAAATATACAAAATATGCTACAAACACAGCTGCACCGCCAAGACTTTATCGCATATAAGCTACTGAATATAATATAATACAGAGACCAGCGTGCTATTCGATTCTATCGACTAGAAATATCCTTTTAAATACAATGCAGATAAAAGAAAAATAAAATATTATATTTAATACTTAATATACCCATTGCACGTGCACGCACCTCGACACCAGTCAGCTTCTATTCAAGTGTTTGAACTTTACCCCTCAACAACGCCAAGAGGAGGCGCATGAAGCATGCATATGCATCTTAGCGGCTCGAAGATCTCGCGCGCGAGGTTCGAAGGCGCTTCAAGAATTGGAAAAAAGGGTGAATTGAGAGTTCAGCTGGAGAAACGATAATTTAAATCCTCCTTTAAAATTAAACCCCATTCCGATGTAGTTCAGTTCCTCCATCTTATCTACTCCCTGTGTATGAGGGGCTAGTGTTCTTATATTATATTATCTTTTGATCAGACTTCACGAATCAAGAAGACTTCCAAAATGAACCTCAAACCCCTCTTCACCCTCCTAAACCTCTACATCATCCTCCTCAAACACGCCGAAGCCCAATTCCCCATAAAACCAAATGCCATCCTAAGTCCCGACGCCGAAACTATATCCACCGCGGGTGGACAATTACAAATAATCTGGACAAACACCTTCGGCGCCAACGTCACCATCGTCTTACTCGACGACGATGCAAACAACCAACCCGAACAAGTCATAACCATCGCAAGAAACATCGGAAATACGGGCTTGATGACCTGGTATATCTCGGAAGATTTACCACCCTCAAACACCTACGTGGTAAGAATATCGTACGATAATAATCCGGATAATTATAGTTACTCGGAGCGGTTTGCGGTTATTGTATATATACCGCCTGAAAGTTTGCCCCAACCGACGACCCTTCCATCGACTAGAACTACTTCGAGTTCAAGAACAAGCAGAACCACAAGCTTTACAACTACCTCATCTTCAAACACTTCCACACCAACTAATTCCTCTCCTCCTCCTCCACAATCGACTAGCAGCGGTCCCAATATAGGTGCAATAGTCGGTGCTGTAGTCGGTGGGGCAGCGCTGGTCACAGCAGGGTGTTTAGTGGCATACTGGATTGTGACCAGACGACGAAGGATACTAGCAGCAACAGGAGGGGCTGTGGCTTCCGGGCAGTTTAAATGAGTTTTCTCTCTCGCAATTTTTGCATTCATGAAATAATAATAATATATCGAGTCTATGTATATAAATAAGTACTTAGTGATGGTATATAATTAGTATGGTATGACCGGTATAAGACATTCCAGCTACTTTAAAGCTTTATTAGAATGGTCTAGACGAATTGAGCTACCACTCGAACTGGGCCTCTAAACCTAGATCTGAAATCTGATTAAGTAATTCCGGCAATTCTAAGTTAGAATGCGCACTAAGTTAGGATGCATATGTCCACTTATGCATGGTTGTGTGTATGAGTCTTTCACTGAGAACCCTTTAATTCTGCCTGTAACATTAACCCGTGCCGCACTCAAGCACCACGACCCCCCTAATCAGTGCCTGATATAGTTCAACAAGGAATATCATGACTCATCTTCGTATTCAGATCAATTGTAGCAATTGATATTAATAAAGTCGGTACCTCTGGTTGCCGCACAGATAGTATTGGCGGCACAAGTATCTTCTTAGCTTGAGCTCAAACATGACAGGGAAGGCCTGACGTAGTGGCGCTTTTCAGTGCCACATTTTAAGAACCGGCGGGCGGCGGTCATCCGAACGCATCAGCCAACACGTAACCTACCACGTGCCTACCTAACTTATATTAGAACATCCGCTCTCATCCATCGCTCGCTACTTACCATTCTCTCCACCCATCTTCAACATCACACCCCCCCCCCTTTTGGACCAGCACTATTTACTCGACGATAGAAGGCATCTACCAACAGTATTCTACCAGTTCATAGAGCTATACTTGTTTATAATCTGTGACTTTTGAAACCGGCGTCATGCTGGACCTCCGCAAGCGGGCGTTCGACGCCGTCGCATCGGCCGTCATGGCCTCATCCAACCCCGGGAACGAACAGCCCGAACCTATCAACGTCTTCGCCATCATCTTGTTCATGGTGACCCTCATTTTCGCTGCTGCTGGGTTTATTCTGGTACTTCTTTTCTCTTCTGAAAATAGGGTTGACCCCTATTTATCTATCTACACAGCCTTGCTAAACTATTGATAATAATTTAGTTCGACTATACATTCCAAGTCGTCAAGATTCTCACTATCGTCGAGGACCTCCCTTCGGACTACGATCTAGCTCCAGCATACGATCCTATCGACGGCGACTCAGAACCCGAAGACGGTGCTCCACCACACTACCGTGATGACGCCGAAATACACGCGGAGAGCCCGACGGCACTTAAAATTGCCCCGGGTCTCTACCTTGGCGGCTCACCTGATGTTCATGGGAAATATATTACTTCTTCGTTCCGAAAGGCTATCTTGTACCTCCGACACGAAGCCGGCTTCTGGTCTGCATGGAGGGGTTTTAGCGTGAATATCGTATACTCGATCGCTGCGTCTTGTGTGAATGGTATTTTCTTGAGCATGTTCCCCTTCCCTTTCGGGAGGTACATCTCCGGTGTTTTTGTAATGTTGGCCGTTAGTCCTTTGAGTCTGGTTCACACACAGTACGTTGTCCTCCTTTCCACAAGTCCACAAACTTCATACTAACAAGAACTCAGCATCATAATCGCACCACCAACCAAGGAAACCTGGTTCGGTCGTCTCTCCCGTCTCCCCTTCCGATCCATCCTACACACCCTCCCAGCCGCCCTTTTGGTCGCAATCACCGGCCAAGCAACCTATGCTTTCCCAGATCTAATGGTCAAAGCCTTCGTTCCATCCCGTGCATTCGACGATCCACCACCACAAGGCGACAACCCATACCAAAGCATGCTGACACCGCTCCAATGTCTTGCCATCTACTCTGTTTTCCTAGCCAGTCATGTATTCCTATTCATCCCATCGATGATCATCCTGTACAGAGTTCAAGCTTCGGTGTATGCGTCCACGGAGGAAGCTATTATCCCGTTTGAAAGGTTGGGACCACAGACTATTTTGCAAGCGTGGAAGAGTTATACCTGGGAAGGCAAGAAGAGGTTGATTCGATTGTATGCCCGAGTTATGCCGTTGGTATGGTTGGCGGCGTTTGGAGTGGGGACGTTGTTGTTCTTTGAGATGAGGTGGGTTATGGGGGCTAAGGGACATGTTTTGGATGCCATTTTGAAGACGTGGTTGAGGAACCAGTACGGCAGGGCTCCTTAGAAACATTCACGCAACATACATATATATACTTTTGAGAAATATTGTAGGGGTTTGGGAACGGGAAATTGCGTTATCTTTGCTCTTCTTTTTCCTTTTGTATTCGAGTTAGGTTAGTTAGTTAGCACAGCGACGGTTCGGCAAGGCGTGTGGGTTTAGTTCTTTTCATTATTAGCATCTACACACGCTCATTGAATTAGTACCAGTTCTATATCTATAACTATAAACTTTAGATACTTACCTAGGTAATTAGTACGTGTTTAATCTATATAGATCTCTGAAGTCTAATATAAGATATCATCATATCCCCACAATATCACGAAATAGCCAACCGAAAGATAACAGCTCAAACTGTAATTACCCGCCCTAAACCGGACTCCCAAGCTAGTCTGGTCTGTCATTCCATAAACTCGGCCCGAATGACAGTGTAATATGGAGCTAAAACCCATGATTACCTCGCCAAAACCTTCCTCTTGAGCTCTAAAAGGGAAAGTAGAGGCGAGGCCCGCGCATCTGATTTGTATTACTCGATCAAAACACCTGAGCAAAATTTTAATACTGGGTTTTTTGTGTAGCAGATGTTACTTATCATTTAGAAACCAGAAGACAAGAAAAGAGAAGGGGAAAAACTGTCCTTGCAAGATAGCAGGCTTCCTGTTAGAGATAGCTCTAAGGCTATCTATTGGTCCAATTTTGCCTTTTTCTTTCTTTCTTTCCCTTTAATTTCTTTTTGGAAGAAATGCTGCAAGCTGCAGTGCAAGTCGGCACTGCACTGCACTCCGGCTCTCTCTCTTGTCTTGTCTCTTCGATTATTCCCAGATTCTTCTGATATGGTGCGATTGACACGGTTACTACGGTTATTATTAACTGGGGTTCTGGTTTTGGTTCTGGTTCTTATTCTGGTTCGGCTGCTTGGTCTCAGAAGCATGCGCAGCAGATTGAGCGAAATAGTTAGAAAAAAGTTACCGCGAAAGTCAGATAGAAAAGGCCCGACACCCCAAGTCCAGGTCAGGAAATTCTGTTTCTGAATTTTTCTTTCGTCTGTTTCTGTTCGAATAGTTTCTTTCCGAAGCTGGTTTTCTATCGAGTAATGATCGAGTAATACGAATTCCGACGTAGGAAGTATAAGTATCCGTCGATTTTTCTCTTCCTTCTTTTCCTCTCTCTTCTCTCTTTCTTCTTTTTTTTTTATTTATTAAAATAACTTCTCTTACTTTTTTATTATTCTTCTTTTCCTCTTCTCTCTTTAGCTCTTTTTGATTTGATTCTAATCAAGAGTTCTTATTAATTCGCTCGTGTGACTACTTTGACAATTTATTGATACCCTCCATCGCATCGTCAAACTGAACTATCGTTTAGAACAATTGATAACCAATCCATTCATACATACATACATACATACATACATACTATTATATACATTCTTATACCACTTTGAACTTGAAACCTATCAATCATCCTTGAAAAAATCAAATTAAGAAAGGGAAAAAAAAAGAAATTAAAACGTCAAAATGGTTACCCGCATAGACGCCGACAAAACCAATGAAGTCTTCGGTTCCCATTGCATCGGTAAAAACACACCTTTACCCTTCCTTCCTTCTCTCCCACAACAACACCACATGACAGCTCAAACCCCTGTTCTGGTTTAGACCGTTTTTTTTATTTTTTTTTATTTTTAATTGGACTGACAAATACGTTCTTGTAATATTATTCTATAGACCTCGTCAGCGCGTCTCTCGGAGGAAAGATTCTGGCTGTTAGCGATGAATGGTTCGCTCAGGCTGAGAATTTATTGACGGTTGCGCCGCCGATTCGGAAGCCTGGGTATTTTGTCCATAGTGGAGCTTGGTACGATGGGTATGTCTTTTTACTTCCTCTCTTTTTCATTTTATTTTATTTTATTTTACAGTCATGATGATGATGATGATGGATGGAATGATGCTGATATGATTGTAGATGGGAAACTCGTCGGCATAATCCCGAACCCGAGGATTGGGTCATCGTCAAGGTAGCAATCCTCCCCATACCCCCCTATACATTATCCATAGACATACTAATGATGATATATATATACACAGCTCGGCGTAAACTCCGGCCGCATCTTCGGCTTCGAAATCGACACCGCCCATTTCAACGGCAACCACGCTCCCGAAGTCACCGTCCAAGCCCTCTTCACCTCTCCCACAACCCCCGCCCCAGGTCCCACAGACCCCCGCTGGACCACCATCCTCCCGATCCAAGAATGCGGTCCCTCGCAACGTCACGTCTACCTCCTCCCCACACCGACGGAAGAAGCCTATTCTCATGTAAAACTTAATATGATACCTGACGGTGGAATCGCCAGGTTTAGAGTATACGGCCAAGCTGTCCCTGTCTTTTCGGATGATCTGGATGAGATATTGGATACGGCGCATGTATCGAACGGTGGGTTGGTGGTTAGTTGTTCCGATCAGCATTTTGGGAGGAAGGATAATTTGTTGCAACCGGGGAGGGGGAAGGATATGGGAGATGGATGGGAGACGAAGAGGAGTAGACAGAAAGGTCATGTTGATTGGGTGGTTGTTAAGCTGGTATTTCCCCCTTTTTTCTATACACCTTTCTATTCTATTCTATGTGAAAGTGGAGGGAAGGAGAGAGGGCTAACATAGTTTTGATATCGGTAGGGCACCCCGACAAAAATCACATCGATAACAATAGACACCGCCTACTTCCGCGGTAACTTCCCACAATACGTCACAATCCACGGTCTCTACCACCCAGACACCTCAATAACCCCCGCCCACGACCACGAAAACTGGTTCAAAGTCCTCGAACCCGCGAAATGTAAACCAGATATCGAACATCATTTCGGTCTCCCGGGGCAGGATGTATACATGCCCACCAACGGAGTCGGCGGGAAAGATGTTAGTAATGGAGTGGAGGAGGTTGCTAAACTTGAGGATGGGGTTGGAGAGGAGGTTGTGACGCATGTTAAGATGACGATTATTCCGGATGGGGGGGTTAGTAGGTTGAGGGTTTATGGGAGACGGGTTTGAAAAAAAACATTTTTTTTGTATATTATATCTAGACTTCCTTTTTTTTTTTTTTTTTTTTTTTTTTATGAATGAAGTTGTTAAATGAGGATATTTGAGGTGAGATGAGATGAGCTATTGAGAAGTTCCTTGATGTTGATTCGTGTCGTTTGTTATACTTAGCAAGGGCGGTTTCGAGTATATAGTATCAGCTGCTCACGCGCAATTTGTATTTAAATTCCAATTATACTATAAAGTACTCCGATATACCTAGTTGACAGTAAATGTAACAATTTTGTTCCAAGAGATTATATAAGGTGTCAACTAATGGGGTCATATTTAGTACCCTTTTTATAAACATTCTCCGCATTTTATCAGCAGCCTCTATCGTCGAACGTGTCTTAGATATCACACGACTTTCACCTATTTACCACCCCTTCCTCTACAGGTCTATGCTGTTATCTTGGATCTTAACTGTCTATCTGAGGATTTAGACTTGGATTAAGGTAGCTATAAGTCGGGAATGACAAGTAGGTGTATTATACTAAGTATATTACATATACATCTTTTTACACATGACAAAAACCATAGTAAGTATCCTCCCTCCTTGTCTCAAAGATATGATACTTTCGACTTAAAGACATTAGAGTATTCCTAACTTTTTTGTTTTATTTTACTAACACACATCTATTCCTACTTAAAACCGATGATTATTTTACGATACTGTTGAGCCGATTGATGTATATAACTACTTACTCTATATATATCCACTTGGCGAGTTAACTACCTACCCCCTTAGATAGCTGAAGACAGTTTCGAAGAGAAATATCTAAACCCTGCGGTATAAAAAAATACTAATATTGTTAAAGATAATGACATTTGTGGCATTAGAAATCGCAGGATGTACACGATGAGGAGCTTTTATTTAACATCTGTACTTGGACATCAATATTTACCTTAGCTAGTCAGTGACTTGACTACTATTATATAAGACCTGCAATCCGAATATTATAGCTAATATAATTCAGGCCGCATAGCATAAGATCAGTATTTCCGACAACGTTTTGGCCGGTATATGCAATGTCAAAGGCATGGGATTCTGATGATCAATAGGTGTATGTATACATCCTGATTAGTATTGGTAAGCTAATATCGGAGTAAACGCCATGAACTGTTTATCTTCGAGATATTATCATAAGTCATGGATGTACTGGAATACACTAGTATACATCTTCTAGTTCTAAACAAGAAATATAACTTAATACGTCCAGGAATTTAGAGCTCACAGGTACGAGATAGAATAAACCACCTTCGAAATAAACACCATGCACACAGTATAATCCATAGTTTTATAAGATAAATAACCGATACCAATATCGAAAAATACGTCAAATCAGATCAAACACCCATTTGTATCAAAAAATGTTCATTTTCAATATGAATTGTAAGTAGGCGATATAATTCTGCTGTTGCATTTTCCTCATCCTCTCCAAATCCGGCCGTCCCGAGTGGTATACAGCAAGTCTACCCGACCCGCCGCACAAGCCATCCCTCACAAACCAAGCAAGTTGACCCGACGCCACCTTCTCGTCAACCGGCCGTTACATAACGCCGTTCTGTGACGCGTATAACACAATACCTTGTACGTATACCTGTGTGCGGGGGGGAAAGAAGTAATATTAATATTAATACTGTCTCCGGAAAACTGTTTCATGAATTTAAAAATAAATTACTTTTTGACAAAGGCGCAGAAGATACTTTAACTATCAATTTAGTTAAGGCCAACGTAGCTCTTTGGAATTCGAAGCTCAGCTCCATCTCACTCATGCCAAGCCCAGCTGTCCAGTAGCTAACCAGCTCCAGCTGCCGACCTTTATAACAAACACCCTTTCCCTCCCCATCATCCTTCCCAAATCATCTCCATCTTCCATCATCCACACCCCCTCCCTCCAAACCCATTACGGAATAAACAAAGGAGAAATGTACAACCCCTTCTCAAAAACCGGCGGCACTGGCGGTGGCGGCGGCAGCGGATACCAACAGCCTCCTCGCGGAGCACCACCTCAATCCGGTGGCGGCGGCGGCGGTAACTTCAGCAGACCCTCAAACTACGGTCAACAAACCTATGGTGGTGCAGGAGGAGCATCTATGTACGGTGGTGGCGGCGGCGGATATCAACAACCACAACAACCACAGCAACAATCCCGTGGTGGTGGTGCTCAAGAATTCGGGATTACCAAAGTTCCAGATGAAACCTGGGTTTTGCAGAATGTTATGGCTGTGAGTCCTGATGACTTTAGAGAGGAGTCATATGTCATTCTTGATGAGAGATGTGTCGTTACTGTTAGGTACGTTTCCTCTCCTCGTTTTTTCAATAACATATATACGAAGAAAGGGAAACTAAAAGATATGAATGTAGACCAGCACCATCCATCCCCCGTGGATTAATCGGTCTCGGTAACGCTCAAAGAGAATGGGGTCAATGGGGTCTTCAAGACCGTATTTCAGTCCGAAGATACGACCCTTTCTCCTCGGGAAAACAAGCATACCTAGGCTCTATGGACGTCGAAATCGGCTTCGCTACCAAAAAGGTCTCAGAGGAACAATACGATCAAGATGATCTTTCAAAACTAGTCATTCGGGTACTTCCCCCACCCTCTCCCCCTTCCTATACATTCTGTATACCATACTAACATATATAACAATAAAAAAAGAACTTCCAAAACCAAATGTTCTCCCCGGGCCAACTCGCCATCCTCGACGTCCGCAACATGCGTCTCCAAATCCACGTCAAAACCGTCGAAATCGTCGACCTAACCCAAGAAAAAGGAACCTCAGGCCAACAACCCACAACCTCAGACCCTTTCGCCAGAGGTATCCTAACCCCTCAAACCTTCATCACATTCTACAAACATGCCGCCTCCCCCATAAAACTTAAGGGTTCATCCAAACGTCCCGCTGCGAATAGTATCATCCAACCCAACTTCAAATTCGAGGATATGGGAATCGGTGGTTTAGATACCGAGTTTTCTGCAATCTTTCGAAGAGCCTTTGCTTCTCGTATCTTCCCCCCGGGGTTAGTCGAAAAACTAGGAATCCAGCACGTCAAAGGTATATTACTCTACGGACCTCCGGGAACAGGAAAAACCCTTATAGCCCGACAAATCGGAAAGATGTTAAACGCTCGAGAACCAAAAGTCGTCAACGGTCCCGAAATCCTAAACAAATACGTCGGACAATCCGAAGAAAACGTTAGAAAGTTATTCGCAGATGCTGAAAAGGAATATAAAGAAAAAGCAGAAGAAAGCGGTTTACATATCATCATCTTCGATGAATTGGACGCCATCTGTAAACAACGTGGTAGTAAAAACGACGGTACGGGTGTGGGTGATTCGGTCGTCAACCAGCTGTTATCCAAACTCGACGGCGTGGATCAACTAAACAACATCCTCCTCATCGGAATGACAAACCGAATGGACATGATCGATGAAGCCCTCCTCCGTCCAGGAAGATTAGAAGTCCACATGGAAATCTCCCTCCCGGACGAATTCGGTCGTCGTCAAATCCTCAAAATCCATACTTCCAAAATGCGTGATAACAACGTAATGGACAAAGACGTCGACATCAACGAACTAGCAGGAATGACAAAAAACTACTCCGGCGCCGAAATCTCCGGTGTTGTCAAATCCGCCTCATCGTTCGCGTTTAATCGACACGTTAAAGTCGGTACCGTCGCTGGCATTTCGGATGATATTGAGAATATGAAGGTCAACCGTCAAGATTTCTTAAACGCCATCGATGAGGTTAAACCGGCATTCGGTGTTAGCGAAGATGAACTGGCCAATTGTTTACAAGGTGGTATCATTCACTATAACTCCTATGTGGAACAAATCCTCAAAGAAGGCCATTTATTCGTCGAACAAGTCCGAAAGAGCGAACGTACACCCTTAGTATCGATATTACTCCACGGCCCTCCATCCTCCGGCAAAACCGCCTTAGCAGCCAAAATCGCAATCGACAGCGGATACCCCTTCATCAAACTCCTAAGCCCAGAGGCCATGGTCGGAATGAACGAAATGGGTAAAGTCAGTTATATCAGCAAAGTCTTCATGGACGCCTACAAATCCGCATTAAGCGTAGTGGTTCTCGACAACCTGGAACGGTTGATAGATTACGTCCCCATCGGTCCTAGATTCTCCAATGCGGTTTTACAAACTATTCAGGTGCTGTTGAGGAGGAGACCGGATAATGGGAGGAGATTATTGATCTTGGCTACTACCACCAGCAGAAGCGTTCTGTCGCAGTTGGATGTGTTGAATACTTTCGATGGAGAATTAGGAATTCCTAACGTGGGGACGCACGATGAACTCGCGCATATCTTGCAGGAGCTCAAGGCGTTTGATCAGAGGGAGGTACAATCCGCGATCAGAGAGATTGCAGATGTAACCCAATCTAGAAAATTGGGTGTTGGGATTAAAAAGATTATTTTGGCGGTTGAAACGGCTTTGCAGGATGAAGATAGAGCGGGAAGGTTTGCAAGTGTGGTTTCTAGAGCCGTTGGAGAAGCTAGAGCCCTGGAACCGGAAGATCTGGGACACCAACAGCCGCAGATACAGCAGATACAGCCGTTACAGTTGCCGAACGTGCAGGGGAGAGGACAAGCCGGAGGCGGGTTTGAACAGGGTTATGCCGGAAGGTATTAGATAGATAGATATGGAATGTATGGTACCTATCTGTTAGATGATCATGTGGTATAGGTTTTTGGCGTTTTTAGTTGGTATAGCTTCTTTCTTTTTTATGTATATTTTGGCCTGAAAATTAATTTCAATGCGGTGTTGGCTTTACAAAACTCAAGTACATTTTTTTCGCTGGTAACAGTGGTATATATAAAACACGACAGTTCAAAGGAGGATTTGGGAGATCTTGAAAACGCCTGCAAAAGGTATCTTTCTTTTTTGGTTTGTAGTTCGCTCATGTCAAGTACTTGCTCAACGGGCTCACCCCAAGATAATTCAATAGGAATGTACTTGAGGCAAGAAAAAAAGGGGTGATAAAAGGGTCCAATCGATGACCTCGGGAAAAAAAGACAAAAAAACTCTGAATAAAAATAATCTTTGGCAATGGGATTTGATGACGCTTTACAAACAGGATAAAAGTTGATGTAGTTTCTAGGGACGCTTTTTATTCGCTATGCGAGTGTGCTAAGCGACGATAGTCAAGTGGGGGTGGTCAGTTGATCAGGCAAGGGTATTAAATCTGTTGTGGGAATCCGGGAGGTTGTCCTAGCATTTCAATTTGCTTCAGGAGGAATGCTTTCTCATCATTGAATTGTTCATCATCTGAGAAATCAAAATTAGTCCGGTTCTTATGATAATTATACAAGAAAAAGGAGTAGGGGAATTACCCTTGCGATCTTCGTGAAACTTAGGCAAGAACCTCAACAACTGCTCTCTATTCTTGATCAACAACGATTCCACCGGCTTGCTCTTTTTCGGGTTAGCGACAAAGACCTTGAATACGTGGAAAGCCTCGTATTGAACGTTCTTCGACTTGTCCCGGAGTAGATTCATGCATAGCTTGAGATGGTCTGGAGAGTCGACATAGGCTGTCATGATGTTGTAGTTGGCTCTGTCCAGAAGGATCTCACCAAGGAGCTTTATGGATTGGCGTTTTGTAATGTAGTTATCGGATGTCAAGAGGGCATTGTATTGGGTGAAGAATTCATCATAGTGCGATGCAAGAAATTCCGCGACAAGTACTTTGTGGCGAGTCAGCAGTTCCTACACCTATTCGTCAGCATAAATCCTTTTTCGAGATCTAAATGATATAGAGGAGTTTGGTACTTTGAAGGTGGTAAAAGCATCGCTGCTGGTATCGAAGCGGCCGCCCTGAACGTAGGTGAAGAAGTTCCAGAAGGAGGGGTCGTACAAGGCGATTCTGGCAAGAGGCTCGTACTTGAATGCTTCCTTGAGAATCTGGCCGCTATTCGACGAGGTCTCGGCGTCGTTGTAGGCGTTTACAAGGGTGAGGATAGCGTCAGGGCGGTGGCCGCCTTGATGGCGACCAGCAAGGTAGAGAACACATATCTGGGCATTCTGGACGTTGTAGCGTAGGAGGGCGTTCAAGATGGTCGTAGAATCCTTTCGTGCCTTTTGATATCCCCCATAACTGTCAGAACCGCTCTACAGAGAATACCATCAGAGAGAGGAGAGGGTGTTTGTACCTCAAAGTCGAGTTTCGGGAGGCATATGGCGAGAATAGGGAAGAGGTCAAGGGCGCAGGCTTCCTGAGCAATCGCGAAGATGTTATCATTATTCTCATCTCCTACACTCATACACACTCTATCAGCATTCACTCTTCATTCACTAATCCACCTTTCTCTCTCATTCTATACGGCTGGCTTCAGGGGGTATCTTATAAAGTACCTGGAACAGGGGCGAGCTCGTTTCTGATAAGGCGTAGCTGCTTGCCGGCTTCCTCCTGTGCCTATCCCGCTCGAACAACCAACATCAGCATCTTCATCATCATCTCCAACTTCGCTGCCATCACTATCACCACCACGATCAATTGACGGAGGGAAAAAGGTTGTAATACAGTTCTTCTGGCACCAGGTTGGTCGAGCTTGAGCAGGTGTTCCCTGAGCCGTCTGACAGCCTCACCAGGACCCTTGTCCTTACTACGGCCGAACAGGAACGACATTCTTTTTCGAGAGCAACCGACAAGCAAGGGGGGGAAGGTTGGTTGGCGACTTTGGTATTGAGGGCGGAGTTGAGATTGAAGTTGAAGCTGGCGATGAACAGAGAAGGGGGGTAGGGGAAGAGAGGGAAAGAGAGGTGGCCAGCACGAGAAGAGAAGAATAAGAATAAGAGGTCCTTTGGAAGAAGGAGAGTTCCCGAATGGCAACGGCAACAGCAGCTGGAGGTTGAGTTGAGTTGTCGTAGTGATTGGCCATACATACAATAAACAGTCGCTTATCGTCGCCTATCCGCCGCTTAGGCTTGGCATTTCTCATCATCACTTGACATAAGCTTAACTTCTACAACTAAGCTTAAGCTTCGACCCAAACATGCCTCTGTAAGTTATTCCTTTCGAAATTCACATTGCGATATAGCTAATGAATGGGCTTGATGCAGAAACCTACTACAGCATAAGTCATGGCATGTTGGTTCGGCCAAAAACCAGGAACGTGTCAGACGCGATGAGCGAGATGCCCAGCTCAGAGAGGAAGAGGAGGAGCGGCGGATGCAGCTAGAGGATGCAGATCGCCGGTTACAAATTCTACGCAGTCGGATGAATACAAATGAAGACGGTGGTCCCGTTACATCTAGTACCTCTATCGCTGATACTAGTACTGTTTCTAGAGTTGGGTTTGGTACCACCGTCGGTGGTAGTCTTACTACTAGTACTTCTGCTGCTACTGGTTCTACACTCGGTGGTAGCAGTAGCGCTGCTGTTCCAAGAGAGAGGACGAGAGGCGCGAGGACTACATCTGACACAACGGCAAGGGAAGTACAATTAATAGGGGAAGATGGACACATCAACTTGTTCCCAAAGGGTCACGAAAAGGGAAAAAGGCCCACGGGCGACAAGAAGAAGGAGGAAGAGGAAAGGGAATTGAATGAGTCCGGTGTGCGACTTTCACGGCCCGCAGAACCGTGGTATTCAAAGGGTAAACCAGGCGACAGCAACGATTCTAATGACAACAATGACGACAAGAGCCTCAAAAAGAAGCGGAAAGAGGAAAGAAGGCTTGGAGATATGGATCCACTAAGAGAAATGAAGTTTGGATTGGAGAAACTGAGAGAGGTTAGGAAGGAAACCGAGGAAGCACAGAGAGAGAGAGATCGGGATATTGGCATGATGGGGTTTGGATTGGAGTCTAGATCATGGCACACCAGCCATGCTGGTCATAGAGAGCGAAACTTAAGAGGGGGTAGGGATAGAGACAAAGAGAGGGACAGGGAAAGAGGTAAAGAGAGGGACAGGGACAGGGGTAAAGAAAGGGACAGAGAGAAAGATAGAGAGAGACATAAGGAAAGACACCGACATAAGGAGAAATATAGAGAGAGGAACAACAATAGGGAGAAAGACGGGGAGCGAGATAGGGATGGAGACAGAGGGGCAATTGAGAAACTACGAGAAGAGAAGAGGAAAAGGGAAGAACAGGAGAGGAGAAAGGCCCAGGCTCTGTTGCTTGGAGACAGACAGACCCAACGGCGATAACACCAAAGAATGGTGATAATTTTATGAATGTCATGTCAACTCAGCTCAGGGTCTGGTGATGTGCCAAGGCGCTAACAAAACAGGAAATAGACCTGCAGCACGGTGACGTCATCTATTCTCTGCCTTATTTACACTGCACTGTAACTAACTGTAACATATAATTGATAGTTGCAGTGCGCTATTATTCTAGAACCACGGTTCTAATAGAGCAGTACTGGTACATCTGAAGTGTTAAGTACTGTATACCTTAACTAATTCATTGTACCTTCGGTCTAAGTAGGAAAGCCACTGTATCTCCTTGGGCTTGAATGGGATGAGTATTCTGTCAAGGTCGGCCATGGATTGCTGTATGTCAATGATTTCAAACGACAAGTCATGCCATTATTAGTCACCGTAATTAACACTATAAAATATGCCTGTTGAGCAGCATGGTGTGGAATAACTATAGACCTACCTTATTGAAAGTTGCGATAGCTTGAATTTGACTGAGAACTTCTGCCCGGTATTTAGTCCCAGCTATTAGAGATTTCTTTATTTGCAAGGCCCCAAACAAGATAACTTCAGCAGTGAGAACCTATTCTTTCGTTAATAGGTTGTTCATGAATTCAGCAACTTTGATAACAGTATAAAACTTACATTTTGGTAGCGTTGGACTATCATTCTGGCATCAGGCTCTGAAGTTATCTCCGGACTATCACGAATTACCAGACTATCTCTGCGTGCTTGCTCAAAAAAGGATTCTAGTGCGCTAAGAAATTTCTATTTTCATATATTAGATGGAAACACGATGGACACGAATTAATAGATTTGAGTACTTCACTTACTGGCGTTTCCGTGTTAGCGTTAGCGACAGTCTGGATGCCGTTTACAATCGCTTGGACGTCCATGATCTTCCGCGAGTAGCCACCAAGAGTGCCTAAACCGATGGCAGCACGATGATGGATCCAGAATATTTCCCCAATCTCAGTAGCATTCAAAGCAGAAACAATCGAGCTAGTCCCCAGCGCGGCAACCGTGATAAAAGTTTTGAAAAGACGCATTTTAAATTTTGATAATATAATTTAAACGAATTGATCTAAAACCGGCTCGGGTACAAAATTTTGAAGGGGCTTTATGGCTTTAAAGCATCTGGAGGATGTGAGTTTAGTATATCATTTTGTGGTTCAACCACAGTACTTTTATACCTTGAGGAACCTCTAGGATAATATCGTTGAGTGTATCCGTGATGTAGGGCCGAACCGCTCTTGCTCTAAACAAGCGACCCGAAACGTACCTTAATTTAAGGTTTCGGGTATGATTTTGAAATGTATACTATTATAAAAACAATGGGCTTTTATAAGCTTTGAGTATTGCGGCCCTCGCTCGTTTACTCGACATTCTAGAAGCCTCATATCGATATCAGTTCACTAAGATTAAAAACATTCGCATCTGGATACCAGTTTCGGACAAATCTTTTCCCGAGCGGTTCGAAGACTCATATATCGCATACTAATTCAGGCCCGGCAAGGTAGAAAACGCCAAAGACGGAGTCGTGCGTTTTCTTTTTCTGGAAATATATATATTATAATGTGTCGCTGGCTATCATATTCGACTTAAGCTTTGGTATCACGGCTGGCGGCATATTCATGTATATAATCTTGACACTTTGTCAATAAAAATATTTTATAGTAAAAATTATTACGGAAAATTTAATCAATACATTCTAACAGGATAATTAAATCTGGAGTTACAACTATATTAACTATATGATCCTGAAAAAACTTTAAAGCAATGTAGACTTATAATGTCGGGCACTGTTTCGCATATGGTGACATGAAACCTAATTAAAGTGCACTACAAACTTACATTATTCGAACGACACGCCAACGTTTTTACTTTCACATTTATTTCTTAAAACTGCTCTAAATTCTAGATGCCATTCGCCAGGTTAGAGTTAGATACACCATAAAGTCTGCCGTCTGATAGTGTAGATATTTCAGCAGGAGTCGAGCTACGGAGTAAGATCTCTGGATATGCCAACGTGGCCAACAGGAGTAGTTACCAAGCAGTTTAATGTGGAAGATGTTACCAACACCTAAAATACAACAAATCCCAGCTACTGTGCCTCCGCCGTAAAACGTTGGTGCCACAGCATGAAAGTAAAAAAAAAGTGCAAAAAAGAACTCTCAGACGGAGAACCGAGCTGGAAGCCACATTGTGGTTTGACAAGTAGCGGGGTTCTATTATTTAACGATAAGCTACCAACCAACCTCGGTATCTCTTCAGCTTAAAAACAAATCATGGAGACGGCTTGGTGCGCTTTTTTGGTAGATATACAGGTATTTCAACGAGGTTGGAGGGTAATGTTCGCCCAAAGCCCCTACCCTCGACCGTGGCCAACCGTTTGCAGCGCTTGTACCACCTCATTGCCTTATTGCGCATGCCTTTTTTCTTATAGAGAGATGCTATGTCTCTAATTGCGTTAACTGTTGACGGGTGAATTCTGCCAAAGATTCTTCTCCTGCTGAAGAGTTCTCGCTTGTACCATTGAATAGCCTTATCGTACTTGCCGTGGTGTTTATAGATTGATGCAATTTGCGCCACCATGTAGTGGATGCTATCGAGAGTTAATTGGTAATCTTCACCTGAAACCGTTCTATTGGCTAAAGCTTTCGCCTTGCTGATGAGTGCACGCTTGTACCATTTTATGGCCTCGTTGGATTGACCTAGGCGAAGATATATCGATGCGATGGAGTGAACCAAGTCGAACATTTGTAAATAATCTTGACCAGAGAGCTTTGGTCCGCCTAATGTCTTTCCCTTGCCGATAAGCGCGCGCTTGCACCACAGCAAGGCCTTCTTGAATTTGCCCTGTCGACGGTAGAGAGACGCTATATTGTTGGTCAAAGCGACTGTTTGTGGGTGATGCGTGCCGAAAACTTTCTCGTGACTCGTAAGTGCTCGTCTAGCCCACTGAATAGCCTCTTCGTCTCTGTTTCTTTGAGCATAAGTCGATGAAATATTGCAAATGGCAGCAAGTGTTAACGGGTGATCTTCCCCCAAGCATTTCTCGCCACTAGTAAGAACTTGCTTGAACAATTGGATAGCCATATCGTATGATTCCTGACCTTGATAGACTAATGCCAAGCTGTTAATGGCCTCAAGAGTTAACGGATGGTCTTCTCCCAAAACTTTCTCCCTACCATCAAGCACTTGCTTATACAACTGCATAGCTACATTGTATATTTTTTGTTTGTAATAAATTGATGCCAATTTACTAACAGTGTGAAGCGTTGACGGGTGGTCCTTTCCAAAAATTTTCTCTGAAATAGCGATCGCTCGCTCGTACCATCGTAAAGCTTCATCATACTCGCCTAACTTACCATAAACCATTGCAATGCCGCTAATAGCCATCAATATTAAAGAATCGTTTTCGCTGAGGTTATGTCTCCGACAACCGACGAGTAACCGCTGGTAATATTTCCCGGCTTTATTGTATCTGTGCTGATCAATATAAAGTGACGAAATATTGCCCATAGCGCAAAGTGTGACCAAATGATTTTTTCCGAAAGTTTTCTTACAACTAAAGAATGCTTGCTTATAATAATGTAAAGCCGTATCATAATCGCCTTGACTATGATATACCGCGGCGATGTCGGTAATAACTTGAAGTGTTGATATATGATCTTTTCCGAAAGCCTTTTCATACCTAGGAAGCACTTGCTCATACCATTGTATAGCCTTATCGTACTTCCCGCCGTTTCTATAGACCAATGCAATGTTGTAGAATGCAATAACCAGATTTTGGTTTTCTGCTGTAGTTTCGGCGCCGGGTTTGATCTCTTCTTGATGAAAGAAACTTTCCGAGGCGCTAGGGTCGAAGTGTTGATCAAGATATCCGAGATGAGCTAGAATTATTCTTTCTTCGCGTGGGTCCCAATTACTACCGGCTCGTGAAATCTGATTCCTCCTACTAGCATTTCCGAGAAGTATTAGAACATCTTTCAAGACCGCGAACCTTTCCGATTGCGCTAGACGTTCTCGCGCCCATGAGTGTACGACCGGATGAACAGAGAAAATTCCAGTGCCGACTACCCTCACTAACGAATATGAAGTAAGAAGTCCAATCATTTCCCTAACTAAACTAACCATTAGTATCCTGTGATTTCCGTAAAGTCTGAGCATATAAACTTACACTCGACTCTGCTGAACCGTTCGGTGTCCCATAAATCTTTAGAAATCTCCTGATAGTTGAGATACGAGCAAATGAGCAATAAGAATGCCGCTTCCGTATTCTCTTTCTCAACTTGTGAAAAAGACATTTCCCAGGTCGTCGAAGCTTTGTCTCTACGATAATTCCACCCAAATCTCGGTACCCTCGCTTGTGCATCCATGAAAGCTTCTTCATAATGCAACAGATACTCTTTGGGTGAAACTTTCGTTTGTTGCATAAAGTATCCCGCATGGCTAATTGCGAGGGGCATGAAACCCAACTTTGTGACGACCGCGTCTAACTCATGCTCAACATCTAGATGAATAGGAGGGGTTAGATACGATATTTTAGTTTGAGACTTAGGTTGCCGCCTAGTCTCATATTGCCGCGTCTGCAATAAGAGACTAGTTGCCGCCATACCTTTTTGAGGAACAGTTATGTGAGCCAAGCTCGATAAAAGAGTAATTGCGCTATCCTTGTCTAGCTGTTCCAAATTCGCTTGCTCGGCCACATGTGAGAACTCCGGTCTCCGACTGGTGACAAAGATATCTCCGCTACCATGATTTGGAATATATTTTTGTATATCGACATTCTCCAGATCATCCGCATTATCAATGATTAACAACCATTTGCTGTTTTTAGGGAGCTGAAGCCAGCGAAACAAGGCTTTCTGAATGTCATTGATGATGATTTCCGAATCAACGATAATCTCACCCCTGCTATTGACCAAGCCCGCTATACCAAGCTTTCGACTTATCATTTCATAATCAGGAGTGGGTTCTGGCCATGTTATTCTTGCCTGTTCTTCGATGATGTGCTCCATGATATTAATAAACGAAGTTCGTATGGTTTCTTCATTTGCTGCAGACACCCACAAAACAGCCGTATAATAACTTCCATGATGTCGGTAAGCATATTCAATAGCGATTTGTGTTTTCCCCATTCCGCCGATGCCGACAAGTGCAAAAATGCGCGGTGTGTTCGAAAATTCTGCTCTTCTGAAATATTCATGAATTTCTGTGAGCTTTTCCTTCCTCCCGACGAAAGTATGGTTCCGTGGGAAAGGCATCCGTAGCGGAAGAGCAAAATTCACCTCATCGATGATCCTTCGGCCTAAGAAAGCATTAATTACGTTGAACAAAAACATATAAAGCTGAATGAGAAATCCATTAGAGAATTGTGGAGGCATTCATACCGGCGTGAATTTCAGTTTCGTCCTCGCCCGCTATGGATTAGAATCCTTCTTAGCGCAGTCACATAGGTTTGTTACAAGAGATACTCATACCTGCCGGTATCTGTGATAATAACTCCTTCGCGTAAACAGCCGCGACTAACGCAGCATACGGCTGCCAGCGTTTGTTTTTATGACCATCGGAATAATCGCATATTCCTCGAACCACAAGACAAGGGAAGTTATCCATCAGACCTGCTGCTTCCATTTCAAAACAAAGAGCCCCCGTCTCAGTACTGATTTGATCTCTCTTAACTCCATCTTTCATAACTTGGTTTCCCGAAACTATGACACCGTAGTGGATTTGCGGGTGACTGGATTGTCTTTTTGAGCGCGTAACAATGTTAGATGTATCGCATGCGCATGCGTTACACGTATCCACCCATCGCCCCTCGCCGGGAACGTGAAGGTAGTTTCCGCGAAATAGCTTGTCAGTATCTTCACCAGGATAGGAAAACCTTCCGCCTCTTTCCTCGTCTTCCTTTTCAATGTCCCAAGCTACATCAAAAATCCTTCTACCTAGCTTTATTGGGTCTATGGCGGCCATGGCGGCCACACCACTTAATAGGATACGTGGAGGCGCATTCAAAGACCCTATCATTTTGAATTCACCCTTTTCCATCGCTTTGCCAAAGTCGTACTGGATCACTCCGCCAGAGCGATCCGTCGGTTGGCTAACCACTATATCACCGAGGCGGATATCATTGAACGGACTCGGGGCACCTCCGCCGACTCCAATCATCAAACCAAATCTTAGTCTTTTAAAGGTCTTGCGCATGCAATTAGCAACGAGAGCGGCGTTCGTTGTTCCATATTTGGTTCGGGGAAGCCATGAAATGACCACATTGTGACCATTGATTTCGCCAAATTCGTAGCAATTTTCGTCGTCGGGGGGAACCTTCAGTTTGGGATGAACTATGTCTAGAATTTTACGCGCAGCCTCTATTTCTATAGGAATAGCGCAAATCCAACCGACGGTGTAGTCATTTCTAGATCTCTGGAGTTTGGTCGCCATGACGGTGATGGTTGAGCTTCGAGATAACCGAGTCGTGCTTGTGCAGGGCTAACTTGGGATACCAGTCGAAATATCCGGAATGGTCGTTCTAGTTATCGATATACATATACTTCTAGTATAATTGTATATATCTACCTAGGTAATTAGTCAACCAAATTGAAACGACAGACGAGGCTACCCCGATGCCACGTGGCGAGGGTGGATAGGGACGGCTGACAATCTAATTCGGTGAGCCTTGCGCATACACCGTCGTCATCTGTGGCGCTCCTACAGAACTTGCAACTTGCAACACCTCATATCGTAAAACCTAGGAGGGCCCAAACCTATATAGGGCATGAAGTACCAGTGAGAATCGTTTCGCCGATTTACCCCAGTGTGGAACGTAATGCATAATGGGATTCAAGTAATGTTGTTTCGTTTGCGGATTTCAGACTTCGTCGTATGGATGGTTATCAAGAAAGAAATTCATCCACCAGCCTCAAAATTATATTACAAATCTTACGGTGTCAAAACTAGGTCTATAAGCTTCGTACTTGAAGGGAATAGGATCTTGAAAGCAACATCTACAAATTATAAATTAGTTATGAAACCATTTCCGCTTGAATAAAACAAACGCGGTCTGATAAGAAAATCGAAGTGGCTCCAAAACTCTGCACCCATCCATATCTTCGCTTAATGGCTAAAGAATTAATATAGTTTGTATCAGTGTACAGGAACCGATGTTGAGAATGATATGCAAAAGAAGGTTCACCAGTCGCTTACTCGAGACTGTATAATATCCTTGTTGGTCTTAGACACACATCCTGACAAGCTCGGCAATTCCCAAAATACCTGGGCAATCGAGGACACAAGGTTCTATAAGAAAATACTGATTTGAACGTTTTATAGCAAGCTCCTAAGCAGGTATTTAGATGTTATATTTAGCAAGCCAGAAGATTATGCAAAGACTTTAATAGTTGTCAATATGCATATTTGAGGCATATATAATCTCGCCGAGCCTATATTAGATATAGATCAGCTTTAGATTTGTGTAACGATAGAGCAGCGCGCAATAGTCATAAGATCAGCTATATAAATATTCCTTATATAGCTTATATCTTCTCATCCCAGCACTCCCCAAAACCCCCCATCACAACTTGAGAATTATCTAACCTCAGATTTCCGCTTAATTCATTCTTTTCAGGCCTCCCTTGCAACAAAATATAACCTCGATTCGGGTGTCGTCGATCAGTCCGGTAAGCATTTTAATTAATATCTAAAATTCTACCAGATATACATATAATTAATGACTATACGTAGAATTCTAGAACCTAAAGCTGTGAAGTCTGAATAGACAACCCAGAACGTTACCATGCTTCGTTCACTATTCTCATTGACGGGCAGAACCATCAACTCCGTCCCGCCGACGGTCAAAGGCGCTGTTACCCGGATTGGCGAAAGTAAGCTTTCTTAATAATAAAAGAGACGTAATGCTAACTATTTCTCGTTGCTCTATCAACTAGTTGTCGTAACCTACATCATATTCAGAACAAGCATGCGGGTCATAACCGACTATAAAGGTTCACCTATTGCTGAAGCTTGGCCGAGTAATTGGTGCGATTGTAAAGATTGTATGGATCATCCGAGAGCGAGACAGCATTTTCTTGAGAGGAATGATATGCGGCTGGGACTCTCAAGAGCTAAGTGATAGCACCAGTTTCGGTGTTTTGTTCCTTTTATACAAAAAACTAGCTTACAATATCATATCGGCCCAATCACCTACATATCGAGAAACAAAAAAAAATTGTTTGCTGGGATCGAATGGGACAATGATGTCAATTTCAAATATAATCTCCATCTTCTTGTGCATGAGAAAACCTGTATCGAGGGGGGGGGGGAAGCGGTTATAGAGTTTCGATGCCTCATACTCATTGACTGCATGAATATCCGAAAACTTCTTATAATTTTGTGTATATTTGGAGTATTCAGGTTCTGTCTCTTGCCCAATCCGCGTTTAAGGAAAATACATAATTTACATATTATTTATATAAAAACTATGGGCAGCTCATCCAGGACATATCAAACACCGATACCATTTTGTTTTACTACTATTTTATAAATATAAGTTCGTATCTCGAATGGGATCTGATCCAATCAACGGATGGTCATATGATATGAAATCTAGGTAATATTCAGCATTGTGATCGTAAATAATACTGACAATATATAAAGTACAAAACATCTCCCTTTCTCTGCTTTTCTCTTCTTTTTCCTTCTCATCCGCATTCGAACCTTTACCAATTTCTATCTACAGTGAACCAACGTTACCCTACCTCAAAAGTTATCAAAAATGTTTTTCATTTCGATTCCTACGCGCTTTGATAAGCCGTATTGAGATCAGAATTAGGTTCTGGCAATCCGCCCTCACTGTTGCTCCCGTTATAAGTGGCTGAGAGGTTTGGAACTGATGGTAAATTAATATTATTTTCACTTTTTTAATTTCTTTTTAAATATATTAATATCTGATGGATATATATATAGGATGTTCGGCACTCTCATACTCTAGACGTCTTTTATTGTATATTCGGAGGCAGGTTCTATCTTGTCTACTCCTCGAATATTAATATAAGGTCTTTCGGGTCCAAGAAGGGTACACATATACCCGCTTTCGACCGTAGCCAATGCTACAGGATCCGCCTCAATAAAGTTACAACTGAATCGGATATGAAGCTAGCTTCAACATAAAGATCCCGCTAGAGGTATTAACGACCTATAAAGAGGAACACCAATGCCGTCCGAATATCAGGTTAAGCCTTGCTAGTTAGAGACTGAAGGCGGTGGAAGTGTCCTAGTAATATGTACTCCCGATTGACAACTATTGTGCCGGAATGGGGTGTATTTCGAATATCAGAGCAATACCAATTATAGGAAATATATAGATTTGAATATCATTCTAATGCGTATAATATTGAGGCCTAAAATACCGGTTTATTTCAGTAGTACTACGATTAATCGTATCGATACCGTAGCCCTGCCGTAATAATAACACCCCATTTGTCGACACAGTAGTGATGATATAAATTGGTATTAAATAATCTCACGCTTTGAATACAATGCAAGAAATTTATAGTCGTAAACCACATCTTGACAGAACACTTAATTAAGAAAAAAAAAATTATAGTCGTAGACTTTAGTGTGACATTTGTCTTGTCAAAAGTCAAGGAGTCTGACAAATAATTGAGCGAAGTTTAATTAAAACTTGAACTACCAAGAATTAAACACCAAAAAATGTTAATATTTTGTTAACAAAAATAACACATTACATTGCCGCCCCATATATACCTAGGTATATAGCAAATCTGGAACTATCTCATAGCATATACTTGGGTTTTCCAAGACCAGACCAACGAACTGTCAATTGGTCAAACATGCATCCGTCCTGCATCGTTCGTACACCATTCACAGCTCAGATGCGTAAGTTAACAGCATGCAAAAGCCGAAAGAGCTGGTTACTACCTTGAGGCTGGCAACTTTCTACCCCGCTTTTAATTTGACAACCAAGCAACTTAAATCACCAAGAAAAACCCCCTTTAGGGGGGTAGCGACTATAATCATACAGTATCGAACCGTATAGATCAATCGATTTGACACCAAAATGTCCGAGAATACGCCTCAACCTATTACCCCGTCGCCAAGAACCCACAAAGATTACACCGTAGGATGGGTATGCGCGCTTCCTCTGGAACGAACAGCAGCGGTAGCAATGCTTGATTTTCAGCACCCTCGTCTCGAAATACCAGCGGCCGACAGGAACGCCTATACCCTAGGATCCATCGGTGAACATAACATTGTTATAGCTTGTTTACCTAAAGGTATGATTGGTAATAACAATGCTGCGGCGGTAGCTACGCAGATGGTCATGACTTTTACGAATGTTAAATTTGGGTTCATGGTTGGTATCGGTGGGGGTATCCCGCCTGCAGTTAGACTCGGCGATGTGGTAGTAGGTACACCGGGAGATGGGTATCCTGGTGTCGTCCAATGGGATATGGGTAAAGCGGTCCAAGGAGGCGGCTTTCAGAGGACTGGGGCGCTGGATAACCCTCCGCGTTCGCTCCTAGCAGCATTAACAGAATTGGAGACTGCATACGATCTAAACAGCGGCTCCAAAATACCACAATATCTCGCTGAGTTGGAAGCAAAACAACCTAATCTGGCGAAAAAGTTTTTACGAAACGAATCGATGAAAGATATAGCCTTTAAAGCAACTGCTAGCCATCTTAGCAAAAGCGATGTAATATCCCAAACACTCATCGGAGAGGACGTCGACGATGACGAGGAGGAAGACGAGGAAGAAGAAGAAGACCAAATAGATGACTGCAGATACTGCGATAAGACAAAGATTTTCAGAGAAAATAACAGAGACATGCGGGTTCATTTCGGTTTGATCGCATCTGGAAACCAAGTTATCAAAGATGCTGCGTTTCGAACCAAGATAAATAAAGAACTTTGCAAGAAGGTTCTTTGTTTTGAAATGGAGGCAGCCGGCTTGATAAATGTTTTCCCCTGCCTTGTCATTCGCGGTATCTGTGATTATGCGGATTCACATAAGAACAAAATCTGGCAGCCGCATGCGGCCATCGTCGCTGCCGCATTTACCAAGGAACTTCTAGGATATGTTCAGGGAGTGGACGTGAAACTGGAAAATTCGGCGATGGATTTGATCTCTGGGAGTTAGTTCAGCTTTCACCTTGTTTTAAATAAACTGATTTCTAAGTTGTGTTCTAGTTGGAGACCAAATATATGAAGCTCGGGCCGATATCAAATTAATACATTCCAATATGGACAAAGAGGAGAATCGCCAAATCATCTCTTGGCTTACGGGGACCGATTATGAGTCGATTCACGCTGACTACAGGAAGAAAAGGATGAGTGGAACGGGCGAATGGATCACAGATTCAACAGAGTTTCTGGAATGGCTTCGGGGTGATAAACAGACACTTTTTTGCACAGGCCGCCCAGGGGCAGGTAAAACGATCATTACGACAATTGTCATCGACTGGCTTCAAGAGGTAATGCCTCACGAGGACAACGGCGATATAGGAATTGCGCATATCTATTTCAACTATAAGCGTCACGGCGGAGAAACAGTTGAAACTATAATCGCGAATCTCTTAGGACAGCTGAGTCGGAGGCTATCTTCCATGCCGAGTAGTGTCAGAGATCTCTATGAGCGTGACGCAAAAGGTCAAAACCCAAAAATAGAACAATACTTGGAAGCACTATCATCTGTTGCCGCTTTGTACTCGAAAGTCCTCATTCTCGTTGATGCACTTGATGAGTGTCATCTCGGCGAGCGACGGCGATTTTTGACCCAGATCTTCAATTTCCAGACGAAGAGCGGCGCAAATTTGTTTATGACCTCAAGAGACATCCCTGATATCAATGAGTACTTCGGAGAAAGCTTAAAGCTAGAGATTTCCGGACGGGAAGAAGACTTGCAAAAATATATGGAAGGGAGCCTGCCTGATTTACCAAGGATTTTGAGCCAAAAGCCGGAACTCTGGGAACAAATTCAGCGCAAGACTTTGAAAGCCGCTGACGGAATGTAAGGATCCATTTTTAGCCGCTTCAGCAGCAGTTAACGGGCTAACTAACTTCTGGGAAGATTCTTACTTGTAGCTCTGCGTTTTGAATATCTTAGGAACTTGGTTACCGAAAACGAAATCCTTGAGGTCTTAAAGAAGGGCCCAGGGACGGGATCCGACAGCGTGTATCATGAGGCATACGACCAAATTATGACTAGGATTCAAGGCCAACATAAACATTCATTTTCGCGTGCAAGAGGCCTTTTATCTTGGCTAACCGGCTCAAAGCAACAACTTACCACACAAGAGCTTCGTCACGCTCCTGCCGTTCAAGTCGGACAATCGCAGTTCGACGAAAAAGATATTCCTGATTTGGGAAGGGTGGTATCATTCTGTTGTGGATTAGTTGCCTTTGATGAAGACAGTGACATTATTCGCTTAGTCCATTATACAGCGCAGGATTACTTGATGGAAAATCAAAGCGAGTGGCTACCAAATATGGAAACCGAAATCGCAGAGAGTTGTGTCACTTATCTATCATATGAAGTTTTTAGAACAGGTGCACGTAATGCCGGGGGTACTTTTCATGAAAGACTTCGATCTAACCCTCTGTATGAGTATGCTTCGGCAAACTGGGGATACCATGTTAACGCGGCTGCTATCGGGGGTAAGTCGTTGGTAATGGGTTTTCTTGAGAGTGAAGGGGCAGTGTCGGCCTCCGTCCAATGTTTGTTTTATAGCAAGATGTATATATCACCTCCTATTAGTCCCGGTTGGATATGGATTCATCTCTGTGCATTTTTCGGAATTCAGGAACCATTAACAGCGGTGGATCTTGCGGTGGTGAGGGCTAATATGGAGATAATATCTACCGTAGGCGGTCGAACACCACTGTCATGGGCGGTCGAGAAGGGACACGAGGCGGTGGCACGGCTACTGATAAACGCAGGGGCCGAAATCGAAACGAAGGATGGCCGAGATCTGACACCATTATTACGGGCGGCTAAGAAGGGACATCAGGCGGTGGTACGACTGTTGATAGAGGCGGGAGCCGAAACCGAAACGGAAGATAGCAAAGGTCTGACACCACTTTCATGGGCGGCCGAGAATGGAGATAAAACGACGGTAGAATTGTTGCTAGCCGCGAAAGCCGAAATCGAAACGAAGGATGGCCGAGGTCTGACACCATTATTACGGGCGGCTAAGAAGGGACATCAGGCGGTGGTACGACTGTTGATAGAGGCGGGAGCCGAGATCGAGACCAAAAGTATGGATGATCGAACACCATTATCATGGGCAGCTGAAGCGGGACATGAGGCGGTGGTACGACTGTTGTTGGATGCAGGGGCCAACGTAAAGACCACAGATAAGTACGGCCTGACACCACTGTCATGGGCAGCTGAGGAGGAACATGGATCGGTGGCGAAGCTGCTGTTAGATGCGGGAGCTCCTAAGGTGGATACCTACGATCCAAACCAATTCTTCGACCCGGCAGGGGAGAGGGCGGTGGCGGCAAAAGATATACAGATAGAAAAGCTACGATATGACCTTCAGTCTATCAAATACAAGAAGTTCCAGTACCCACCGGAGGGATCGTTTCGGAGTCTAACCCTGGAGAGACGAGAGTTGTGGGAACGGTCGCTCTTGCCGGGACAGCAGAAGCTAACGGGGGAGGGAACACTTCAGGCAGTATTATCAAAAAAGGACTTGGAGATAGAAAGGCTACGAGATAAAAGAGAGAGAATCAAACCGCCCGGATACGAAACGAGGCTGCGAATATGGCAGCAAAGGCAGGAGCAGCAGGCAGTTATGATGTACTAAAGCACATATAAGTTGCTCTGTATATTTAAGGGTATTCGAGCATAATAATAATATATAAATAATATAGAGACAAATCGTAAGCAGGTAAATAGAATCGGTATATTTACTTCAAACGATCTCGATCTCACTGTTAAAATAGGAAATATTACCAACTATAACAAAGGTATTGTTTTTGAGGCTAAGCGCATTTACCCAATGTAATGTTTATCGCGAACATGAGATTGGACAAAAGTTTTTTACTTTCGTTGTAAATTATATTCCGTATTTGGAGAATATAATATATTTAATTTCCCGGTTCGGTAACCAACACTTCAAAAATGTGAGAGACAAAAGAGGTATCGAGTCCAAAAAAATCCAAAAAGAAACTCTCAGACGGGGAATCGAACCCCGGTCGTCCGCGAACCATTAGCCACATTGTGGCTTTGACAGGCGGAAATCTTAGCCACTGGACCATCTGAGATGTGATTGGTTCAGTCCACTGAACCAGACAGCCGTTGCTACTGTTGAAAGATCCAGCTATTTGACACTATATAAATAACATATTTTTTTAGAAATCCAAACCTAGTACAAGTTCGAGTTTCGCATGTATGTCCAGAACACAAATTCTACTATTTACCTTGTATCCATAAGTAATAGTTTAACAGCTGTCGCTCTACGTCCCAATTGGCCATATTAAAGAAAGAACCACAGGAAATGGCGATGGCACGTAACATACCGTTTCGTGACAAGGACTAGGGTAACTCGTTCATCTTCTCAACACTATCTACAAAGATAATGTCGACCAGTTAAGCTTGGGCGCCGACATAATTTCCTTTTGGAATGAGGATATATCGGATGGTTAGAGGTTAGACGGCGAAGGACTTAGGGTTTGTAACAGGAGCATCTTAGTTGCATCTCGGACACAAATATTGAAATAACAGTTTTTATTACTTGAGAAATCTGTTAGCGTCTCTACCTATTTTGCCACAGACGATTCAAGCGACTCAAAAATCATTATTTGGACAGGCTATATATTCAATATAAAGATGTTCCTTGCCTTTACGTACAGACTACGCATATTCTTACAACAAGAACGTTACCCTCTGCTTTCTAATTACCTTCAAGTCTTGGTCGACCAACGTCAGTATATAATTACTTCAATGTAAAAGCGGGTCTTAAAAAACGGGGTAACAAGAATCCAGCAAACTGAGCAAACAAAACTGGGATTTCAAGCTCGTGATCAACGAGCCTTCCGACAACAATCGCACGGTACAGTGTAAATGAAAATGGTTTCTCGGATGAGATGCTGCGTCTTAAGTATCGATAGGTATTAGGGGTGCTAGGGTGTATTGCCATTCTTTAAATTAACTTATCTATATACACATACATAGACCTTTATCGGCATTTTAACGCAAAAGAGTTACCTTGCCTATTTATGTTGAGACATTACTGGCAGCTGATATTGATCAACCTCTTCTCGAAGCTCTTAAATGGTTGAAAAGTTTACGAGCTAGGCCAGTGCCACAATTTGCATCTCTTATTAGTCTCAGGGGAGTCAGCTCTTCTATAGCCCCTTTATATGGCCTAGGATTTATAGAAGCACCCCTCCTCAGACTGAGCGCGCTATGGCCGGTTATATAATTCGCTGATAGAAGATTGTGCAAGCATTTATATATATAGGCTATCCCGGTCTTTCTTTGGTCACCCGCGTTCGTTTGCTGTCTGCCTAGTCTTATATATTACCTACTATCAGGCTGAAATTTGCTGATATGCAGAAATTATTGTAGATACCCGTGGCAGAATTTCCAACCTTTATGTAGCTGAACTTTGCCATGGAGTTTGATTGAAAAGACCTCCAACATGTGGGTATGAAGCCAAATAATCTATCAAGCTTTGAGGGCTTCAACAAAAACTCACTCAATTTTAGAAGCCTCAGAGCAGAGATACCTAAATATGTATTCTGCTGTCTGTCTAATTTCTACAATTTCTTGAATTCCAAGGCGAAATACTAATGTTTCCTGAGTGTGGCCCTGGCGATCAATGCCAAAATTGTATAAACGTATATGAGAATTAAGGCCCGGAAGTTTCGGGAGGTCTGCTTTCGAGAGGATATACAAAAAGCGGCTCTAGTGAGACATTGTAGGTTTCAGATCAACAGCACCATCGATATCGCAGTAATTGAAAGCAGTGATTCTAACGAGCACCAGGCAATGCGCGGTTTGGACAGTATAATGTCTCATTCTTGGATTATAGATGGGCTGATCCCAATGTCGCTCCGATAAAACTTCGACTTAAATGGTCTTTACCAGGTCCCGTCCCATCAAACCTTCCCTCTCTTGAAGTCAGCTCAAGAGAGTATCAACCAGGACAATTTGATTCGGAAATTGAGGGTCCTAGCTATATCTGGCAAGTAGACCGAGAGCAAAACGTAGTCAAGCTACCACCTCATGCATGCTATGAAATTAAGGAACTTTCGCGCGTCGAACGGTTGGGGCGTTTATCGACGAAAGTTCGCCTGGATTGCAACAGTGGGTATTAGACGGAGAAGTCGACGAACCTACATTCCTGTCATATCAAGAGGCCCTGCGATTTGTAAAAAAATATGATAGTGAACTAATCAGGCTCGCCCTCCGGATGCAATGCGGGGCTGTATTGTCTCAAGGCTGTGCCTCGGTGCTGGGTGCGCCTTAGCCAAGTTGAGACCCCTTCGAGACATCCTAATTTTAGCATGGCTTTTCGACCTGAAAGATGACTCGTACGTAAGATGCACCAATTACCCGACGGTACTAAATGGATATTTCTGGGGATTTTTCTGGAAATCTCTACAGAAAATAACAGTGCGATTACCTAGCTTGATGAGCTAGTAATTGCTTGAGATATACTGAGCAATACATCCATTAGGCATGAATTTCAAGCCGGATATCTCGCGTTTGCCTATCTTTTCATTTAGTCATCTTGGTAGAATGTCTAGCTGAAATGGGAAAAGATTTCATGCGGCGACTCCATGCATAGTCCCACTAGAAAACTCGAATACCAGTTGACCATGCGTATGCATAAGTAATTATTATAACTATTCAACAATCTCACAATCTTGAACATCTTCTGGAGGCAAATAAAGGACGGATTGACCACGTAGCTACGTAGTCCCGATACTAACTTTTAGACGACTCGGGGGTAGCTGCTGAGAGAGCACTATTAAAGCTGACACCATGATCGGGGACCTGTATCCCTCAACACTCTTCCCAAATGGTCAGGTGGAGCAAGCAGTAGACAAATATTGCGAACAACAGTCTTTACCGGTACCGTCTTACATCACAGAGCACAAATTACGATCTCTAGAGGACCTCAAAGACCATGACTATATGGTTCCTACGTTGGAGATCCAGTTTCTCATGTTTTTGGTCGGTATATTGGATGTAGAGACAGGTAAGACGTCTGGACGAGCGATCGTTGGGTGGTTCCTTAGATAATTTTCATAATTCTTACTGACCGCGATCCCTACAATTTCTGGTTTCCAGTACTCGAGATTGGCTGCTTTACCGGATACTCTGCTTTGGGCTTTGCAGAAGCCTTGAAGAACAAACCGAATGCCAAAGTGTGTATCATCCTCCGGAAAATTTCATACTGGGAAATATTGATGCTAACGATAAAGTACAGATTACGACATTGGAGATAGACCCAAAGCCAATCTTGATCGCTCGCAAGGCTTTCAAGGGACAGCCTGAGGCCCAAATTATTGAAATATTGGGAGGGGATGCAACCGCTTCCTTGAACCTCTTACATGGCCAATCACGGTCATTCGATTTGATATTTCTCGATGCGAATAAGGAGGGCTACGCGGATTATTTCAACAAAATCCTAGACTTGCAAATGCTTTCGCCACGCGGAGTTCTCGTTGTTGACAATGTTCTCTGGAGGGGACTCGTAGCGGATCGCACACCAGCAAATCCTCAGGGAAACGAGATCTCATTGGCAAAAGCAGAGGTTATGGACAGTTTCAATAAGTTAGTGAAAGCGGATGATCGGGTCGAACAACTTGTTCTTCCCCTCTTTGACGGACTATCGTTGATCAGATTGAAACAAGGCTGAGGTTAGGGATAGCAGCTTCCTCTCAGAATCACGCCACGTTCCCTGCTGTAATAACATGCATTGCAGCTCAGGTTGCAATGCATATCGAATAGCGGTCTTGGACCCAGACCATCGCCACCTTATCGGTGTAACGCAATTGCAAAGCAGGTTCAAATCCCACATTGTATCAAATGGAGTTGTAAGTAAAAATTGGAAAGAAACACCATTTCTTAACATCCAAATATGAATTTCCGCCTCCTCTAGATCTAGGTAGATGGTGACCCCGATTTAAGAAGGCAACAACATGTTTACCAACAAAGCATGATAAATATGCTATGAGACCAGAGACTATGAAGGCCAGCCTCGTTACCAGAAAATTCTTGTATTTTTAGGGGGAAAACGCAACAACGTTCTGGGTACGAGACTCGAAGAAGGCTGCGAGGCGTAATGCTGTATTTTTTTAAAAAAGAAAAAGAAAAAGAAACGCAGGGCATCGAAATCCGCAACATGCGCATGCCGTGTGCCGTCTATGTGGCACGTACGGCTAAATATCGTATACTAATCTCTTAATTGGATATGTACAACCAATTTGAGATATGGCATTCGTCTAAGCTAACGTAACAGACTATTTTGCCTGCAAATTATGGCGTCCTAAATGTGTTAGATGTTGTTGAATGGAAAAAGTGGGCCCCCTAACCACTTTTGGGAACCACTACCTACTTTCGGCCACACCAGGCGCCCACACGCCTTACTGGCTGGCCTGTGAACTACCAGCCTATGAACCGCCAGCCTGTCTGCCAGCTTGAAGACTTGCAGGCTGGCCTGGGAATACCAGTACTAGCCTACGGGTCGGTCCCAAAATGGGTTCAGTGGTTACTAAATGTGGTTGAGGGGCCCACTTTCTGTGCCCGACATATACATAAAAACATTTGATACATTTGGGACGCCATAGGTGGGTGGGGATGCGTCTAAACTAGACATCGAATGGAACTGACTGACTAGTTCATGCAGTTGCATATCCCAGTCAACAGGGATATAGACATAGCGGGTCACCAGAATTGACCAATCAACCAATACAATTGCGTTATTAAACGAGCTCCGGCTCGAGGCAGGGCTCAAGGTGTGAGCTAGTCTGTCTGTATTGGATGACACCTGAAGCCAAGACGATGCGATACAGGGATTTCCTCTCTTGCTGCCGATGGTTGATAAACCCGCTTCAGCCATCTTGTCTTAAGAAGGGCAATTGAGAGAATGGTTGTGAAGCTTCGTATTCTAAAACATGTAAAAGATAACGAACAAAGCAGGGGTTTAAAGAATTTTGTTATTTTATGGGGGTTTACCTAATAACCGAACGTGAGGAAGCAAGATTTTACCATACATAATCGATATATCTACACTTCCTCAAACGTTGAAAACGGGAATAGTCATCGCCGGATACAAGAATAAGGGTAGCCTTGTCGTCTGACTTTTTTTGCTTTTCTACACAGCATGAACAGGACGCCGGTTAAGTACTTTATGACAGTCAACTTTGGCGCCCGTCTTCAATCAGACCAATAAGAGTAGTTTGCATTCAGCGGATCCGCGGATCCGCTGTCCTGAAAGTCTTATGTTCACCTTCATAAACCAGAGATATTTGAATGATATTTAAGCTGCCACAGATATCAGACCTGGGGCTGGAAAGATCCAACAAAGCTATATAAATATAGCTTTGATAAGGTCTCAGCTCCCGAGATATTTCATTAAGCTGCACCATCGGAATTACTCAGTGGATCGCATCCTAACATAATTCTCTTGTCTCCTCCTCAGTTCAACTCTCTCACAAACTTTCAAGATGTGCACCGAGGAACAGGCTCGGAGTATATCTGAAGAGACTACGTCTCTCGGGAAAGCCAACGGGTCCGTCAGACAGAACGTACCCGATGGGTTTGTTTCCAAACTCTCCGGGGACCTGGTGTGGGAAGGATCTTCATATGCCACATCAGAGAAATATGTGCGCGTACTAAGCGCAGTTGAGATTGAGGAAGTTGAACTGGCCGCAAAGCACTTCAAAAGTATAATATCATCCACTTTTCTATAGCCCTCGTCATCTCTGTGGCATTGAATTAAAATCATACTAACGAGTACTTGATCTTGAGATAGACCTTGCGCTACCCTATGGGTTGATTTAACCCCAGACTTTTCCCCTTGGCTGTCAACTAGCCACAGATTTAGCTGGTATCAGCGATACTCTACATACAGGGCGAGGATTCAGTGTAGTCCGGGGCCTCAATTCCCCAAAATATACCATCGAAGACAACATTATCATTTACATGGGTATTTTGAGCCACATTACGCCAGTCTTCGGAGCAGACCCTGATAAAATGGCACTGGGTAAGAAAAATAGCAGAATATCACTTCCATCATTTTTCGCAGAAACATCTAACAAGCTTTTATCATCAGGGCATATACGGGATGCAACCAAAGACGCTATTATTCCCGGCGATGATCGAAAACTAGCCGTTTCCAAGTATCCGAATTTCCTCGTAAGCTAGCATCAGCATTGCACTTTCAAAGTAGACTCAACTAAGATGTTTTTTTTTGATCAGAACTTTCACACAGATGTTGGCCTTGGGGATATTTTGAGTCTATACACTTATCAAATGCCATCTTCTGGAGGCTCGCAGCGACTTGCAAGCTTCTGGAGAATTTACAACGAATTGGTGGAACACAAACCGGATGTTCTCGCGACGCTGTGTCACGGCTGGCCAATTGAGGGGAAAGATCCGTAAGTTACTTCTCCTAAATTAGAACTATCGGCGGAGTTCTGAACAATTTTACCTTAGAGAAACGTTGCTTCCCAAGGATCTCGACCGGCCACTTGTCTTCTGCGAAAAAGAGAAGATCATCATTCAACTTTCTCGCCAAGTGCTTTTAGGAACGACGAACCTCCCTCGTTCGGCGGGACTCCCTCCTCTCAATGCCTCCCAAATAGAAGCCCTGGCTGCTCTCGACGAATTATGCAACAAGTATTCCTTTGTGGTGGAGCAGAAGCAGGGCGACATTCTATGCGTCAATAATTTCGGTATATTGCATGCAAGGGACGCGTGGACAGATACTCCTGATCATAAGAGACATATATTACGAATTCTCTCGAAGGATCCACGACATGCATGGGATAAGCCAGCTCTTGTTGCAGATGAATGGGAGAAAAATCTTTCATATGATCCGGCAACCTTGTACATCCCTCTTGCGGACTTTGATCCTCGTGGTAAAACGGCATGTGCGGCGAGCGATGCACATGGCTAAAGGGGACCCGGTCTATATGGTTCCTGGATGCGGTTCTATGCTTTTTCTAGATATAGTTTTTATACTCATCCCCCATTGCAGTATTCATATCGCCCATCAAATGTTCCTTGGATTGAGGGGTATATATATCGCGCACCATGATCCCTCCTTACTTCTTCCGTTTTTCTTTCTTTCTTTCCTTTGTAACACCACCCTCATTTAGCATCTAATTCGTCGTGTTTAGAAATATTATAAAATTGAAACCAATTTTAAACCGCTTGTGGTATAATTGTATAACTGTATATCTGGAATTTTGCAGTCGGTAAGGACTGTTCGACAATATGAGCAAAGATGTATTTATGTGTTTAGGTAAAGTTTATAAAGTGACATAGCCAGCTAGCGGAACTGTTTATACGCGTTGTGTTGTCACTGTTGTAAAACGAAAATACCACGAATTCAGCTGACGAAAAGTTGGACCATTGAATCAGTTGTGTTTTTGAGTGTGAAGATGTGCTAATGCATCATGGTGTGATTTACTGTCGCTTACTGCGGCCCACTATCGCAGATTGCGATTTACTAAGGCATAGCGTGATTTATTATGGCATAGTGTGACCCACTGTGAATTATGAATCAGCACAGGAACCACAAAGAAGAAAGGGAGCGAGGTACGCTGCGGTAACCTACTGTTAACATGTAGTAATCCACGTTATGGCCTATTAACAACTCAGACTGCAACAACACTGGCTCAACACAAAAAGAGACCATCCCTAGCATCTTTGACTGCCGCGTAGTACTCAAGACAGAGTGAGGCAACAATAATATCGCTTCCACCAATACCTAATATAGGTTGAACCGGCTGTGTATTATGATAGGATTCGCTAAGGAGTCCTTGATCCAAGAGAGCTAGAGATAATGTTATCTCCTTCGCCGAATTCGCATCTTTTCGATACTTTTGCGTAAGGGTAAACCTCATCAATGAATATTTACACATCGCATCTAGATCTAGATTTAGTTACGATTCGCTTAGTAGACCCCGTTTAGACGGTGTGCATAATTTAGCTTTTAGATGTTCCGTCGTACAATAAATGCAATACGCATAATAGAATCATTCCCCTTACATCTAACTAAAAAGTATTATCACATATCTACTAACGGCGACTCCATTGTTCTGGCCATAGAAAAGAAATAGCGCGAGAGGGGCAACTATCTTCTTTCAAAGTTTCCTTATTTTAGGAGGCCTAATTACATAAAATACAACCCTTAGAATTATCTAGGATAGGTAAAAATATATAAGACAATAGGCGCGCACTGTTGGATGGTCAAAATTAACACGCTAATAACACAAATCTGGTAAACATTGAAGGAGGCTTAGGCAAGAAATAGAGTGTCGGATATAAAAATTTGGGGACTACAAAGTGTATGCTGTTATAATTTCGGAATGCTGTTAATCTATCCTAGAGCTGTATACGTCGAAGCACAATAGCATATTCCGCCATTCCCGCGGCATAGGCGTCGATGTTGAAGTATATGCAGAAAAGTAGATTACATAAGTAGACTACAAAAGTGGACTATAAAAGCTGGCTTACAAGATTGGGCTACGAAGTTGGACACCAACAGTGGGCTCCAGAGTTGGATACAAAGGTGGACTACGAATCTAAAGTGAACTACCAAGCTTGCAAGCTGGACTCCGATATTGAAGTTAACTACAATATTAAACTTCAAATTTAAAAGTAGACCACAAAGTTAGTGCATAAAGTTGGACTCCAAGCGTGGATTGTTCATAAAGCAGCAAAATAGAACACCCAATGACAGCTCCAGCACAATGTATCCGATAATACAAATTATTCTCGTTTAATAACCTTAAATATTGGGGAAAAGCATTGATATTGCTTCAAAACACGCTCCAAAAAAGTCTGGCAATGAGCAGACCTGGCAATAAGACTGATGTTGTCGACGAAAATGACTTGCTAACGCGCAAGAATTAACATGCACACCTTTTCAGAAGGCCGAACAGGGGCCCAAAAGGTCCAGCATCTTAGCCACTGGACCATCTGAGATGTGATTGGTTCAGTCCACTGAACCAGACAGCCGTTGCTACAACTTGAAAGTAGAAGATATCTTATGTCGTTATAAAGTTCAAAACTTGTCGTTAACTAAATTTCAACCTCATGATATTTGCATAGCTAGTGGAATACAAATTGACACTACAAGTTACTCAGCTCCATATCGGCGCAAGGCTATGTTTAATTAGCTCGCGAAGTGCAGGATACAAAAAGTACCAAGAACTTTCTGTTAAAGCCGTCGCTGACTGGTCAATGTCAATGTAAACCCGGAATGTGTTGCCCGTGGTTGCTGTCCCTGTTCGCAATCATAGCGTGATGTTTGGACCTGTGACGTCATCGGGAACCACCAGCTCCAAACAAGATTTTTAGCGTGGAGGCCGGATGGCGATTCGGGAAAATGCCCACTCCCTGTTATGTTACCTATCCCGCCACCGCCAACCTCCATTCCATACTAACACCACCACCATCTACATCCTTACTCATCCCACTTAATTCGCAGCCATTATAGTTCACAAACAAGCGTCGATATACATACCCACAACCCCGTATCGGCATATAGATGTGAGGGTATACAGATACAAAAGAAATAACCGGGTCGGGCTTGGGACGGACGATCAGCGCCGGACTGGGTCTAGCAGCAATCCATTACCGCTGGCAGTCTCCACTTCTTTTCTATTTCTACTTCTATTCTCTTCTTTTCCCTTCGGCTTCAACTTTGCCCTAACTACTACATACTATGTACCTACGACTTGCCCACTTGCTTAACCTGGCTTGACCTGACCCGACTCCACCTCACCTGACCCGACCTGACCTGATCTGACCTCACCTACACTCGGCTCTACCCGGTCACAAAGTAACTATCCGGCGACGTTTATATATACCTCTCACGTGGATGCATCAACATTGTTCGCAATGGTCCACTCAGACCCCATAACCAATCCTCTTTCTGCTGTCAACGGCCATACGGTCGAGTCTCTACGCGAGGTAAGATACTTATCCATTCACTCACTCGCTCGCTCACTCTGTCACCATTTAGATCTTTGGTAGTATACCCTGTTTCTACTTACCATCCGATCATCTCCAACTGTTTTTTTTAATCTTGTCTCAAAAAATATTAATATTGTCTTCGTTACAAATTGTAGGCGTATAATTCTCACCTTCACTCCCAGATGTCTAGGCAACTCCCCTCCCGGCGCAAATCCCGCCTCGACCGCCAAGTTTCCCAGGACTCCCCACCTTCATCTACTCCTCCCAACCACCGATCCGATCCTATCAAGACCCCTTCCTATCCCTTTCCCAACATGGGCCGCTTCAATATATCATCTCCGATTACCAGTGTTGCCGCTGTTGCCTCCCCCTCCCCGTCCCTCCACGACAGAGCTATCCCCTCTGGTACCAACACCCCTGCCTCTGTCGCTTTTTTCCCCCCAGAGACCAATCCGCCAACTCCGTCCGCCTACGAAAACCCGGACTACCCTTCTCCCAATTTATACGAATTGGCCCTTCTCCTTCACTCCGAGCCGGGTATCGATGGCTTCTGGGACACGGTCGTCCGTATCATGAAAGAGTTTTACAAGGTTGAAAGGCTCTCTTTAACCATTCCCACAGACCTCACAGACCTCTCCAACTCTCCATGGGGCCAGAGAGCGACTTATAACGATGTCGATGACGAGGAAGAGGAGGAAACTTCCCTTTTGTTAACATATCCCGAAGAAGAAGAAGCCGAAGCTGGATTCCGCGAAGCAGGACGCAGAAGGAGAGAATCTAATACTACTAACCTTACCGCTACAAATGGCAATAGTTATAGTAACGGCAATCTTGAAGGACTTGATCTACCATCAGGACCTCACAGGGGTTTATCTCAGGAATCTGTGGAGACGGTCGTCATTCCCTCGGACACCGGGGGTCCCGTTTTCTCGCCTGTTACTGTCAACCTTACACAACAATCTCTTTCTCAATGGGACACTAATGACGCCGGACATCAATCTGATCTTCACCCAAATTACCCTCTGGACCCTTTGTTGCATATTGAAGATGACGACTCCAAAGGAAAGGTGTTCTTGAACCTACAACCTTTGACCTACGAAAGTGAACCTTTAATCGATGGTGCTGGAGTAAGCAGAGTATTAGAAAGAGGGAAGACAGTCGTTTTATCTCGAGAATACAAGGATATGCAAACAAAATGGGAACGATTGGCTGCCAGAAAGGAAGAGAAAGCTCGACTGCAAGATCAAAAGAAGGCAACCGAGCCCGTTTCAGAAGCCCAGCCGCCTCTCAAATCGAAAAGGAAAAGATTTCCCTTTCCGTGCGTCGAGGATTTCCAGCTCAGATATAAAGATACAATGCGACCTCGATCGCCAACGGGGACGGGAGGAGGGGGGGAAAGAGGAGCTCCTGCTTTTGAAGAATTTGAGCAAGCTGTTTCCTCTCCCTGGTCTCAATCGCCAGCCCCTTCACCTGCTATACGTGCCGACCCCACCGAAAACCCCTTCTTCGCACCTGCAAAAGTAGATGAGGAATGTTTCAATCCGTCAGCCGAGAGCCCCCAGTATTCAAGCGCCGAGCCCATCCATGCTATTGGTCTAGAAAACGCCTCCACGGTGATACACATCCCATTAGTACATCCATCTACTTCAATTATAAAATTTGGTAGGAGGAAGTCTGCTGGAACCGCTCTATCCGATGTTATTACTGAAAAAAGAACCCCAATTGCCATTCTTTCGATATTGTCATCTGTGATTCCATACCCTAAAAACTTAGTCCATTCGCTCACACACCTGTCCCCACTGATGGCTACTGCTTTCGCACTCTCGCAGGCTCATTCAAATGCTGCCCTTCAACTTTCACATCTACAGTTCCAAGGATCGGAAGTTGCAGCACAACGGAAACGGGGTGATGTCGGATCTTCTATTATGAGTGTTACCAGTCCGAGCGACTATACTAAATCCTCATCGAACACAAATTCTTTAGCAGGAACTCCCAACCAAGATCTAATCGCATCATTTGGAGATCCCAGCGGTAAGAGCCCCATGGGTTCACCTAGCCCCAGAGCCTTCAATGGCGAGGAATACTTTTCAGCGAGCCAAAGACCGCCGAATCCAAAAAGACGGACGAGCACAGGAGTTTACCATGTTCCCATGAGTCCTGGAGAACAACCTATACCGACAGTTACGAAACCACATCAATATAGGATTGGCCATCTGATCGAGGAAGCTACAGGAAGGCCAACACGGCCTCCCATGCCCAGAACTATTTCAGAAGTCATGGAACCAAGTCCTAAGAAAAAGAGAGACAAGCAAGCTAATACATCCGGATCGGACAAAACTTCGGATTCCGAAAGAGAGGGTAGTGTAGATATGCCGTCATCTGAGGATATGCAGACCCCCAAGGCTATCCTAACACCTAGAACAGAAGCAGGAAAACAGACTACTGGTTTCTTCGGGACACCAAAAACCGCTGAACTTAGCATGGACGCTATCTTAAATACCCCATCTGGAAAACCGCATTATATTTCTATTCCTACTGCGGACATGCTCCCCCTTACTTCTGTGCCTGAGACCCCGAGCAGCGTACCTTTGCCCGAGACTCCATTACACGGACCACCCATGGATTCAAGGGAGTTCAAAATACGACCTGGAACGCTTAGCAGCCCAGTCCCAGACCGCGGCGGCGCATCTACACCCGTCATGCCCAGCGCTACACACGACCTACAAGCGATTGAATCAGCCCTCGAGTCTGCGATTTATCCTCTCCCATCACCAAGTACAGAAGGTCTTAAAGTGGAGTCCTCGGAAAGTAAGAATGACTCAAAAAAGAGGATACCGCTGAGACGACACTCATCGCTAGCTAGTTCTTACAAACACCATACGAGGTTACATTCCCGCGGTGCGGATTTTGGAGCATCATTCCCTACGATTGCTAGTTCTTCAAACGTTCCGATGAGCCCTGGATTTGGAGATAAAAACCCGCTGAAGACGCCGCTCCCAAATCAACAATTTGAAGGAAGCCAAAAGAATATGCCGCCACCATCGAATAAACTTCTACGCACTATTATCGATGCGATACCCGTTCACGTATTCACTGCTGCACCGCAGACGGGGGAGACGACGTGGGTCAACTCGCGAATGTTAAGTTATCGAGGGGCTACTGCAGAGGAGTTCATGGCCGACCCATACGAACCTTTCCATCCCGACGATCGGACGAACTATGTACGATTATGGCTCGCGGCAGTTAGGAAGGGAGAACCATTTTCCTATCAGATACGAATCAGAAGATTTGATGGACATTACCGATGGTTTATGATCCGTGCTGTGCCCTTAAGGGATAATCGAGGAATGATAGTACACTGGTTCGGCACAAATATGGATATTCACGACCAAAGGATTGCAGAGGTGAATGCGGCACGACAAGCTGAGATGGCAGAGTCTGAAGCGAAGTATCGAAGTCTAGCGAATAGTAGCCCGCAGATAGTCTTTGCGGCTACTCTAAGCGCTGGGATTACCTTTGCAAATAATCAGTGGCTTGAGTATTCAGGACAGACGCTAGATCAGGCTTTACAGCTAGGGTTCATGGAGTTTGTACATCCAGCAGATCGGTTCAAATGTGCTCTACCGGGATTTAGAGTGGAGCAGATGACTGCGAAGGAGAAGGCACTCGGGGCGTGGTTTAAAGCGGTTAGTGGGGATGTAGGGAGGGATAAAATTCCTGAGATGATGGGGGTGAAGAAGAAAGCGGAGGAAGAAGCATCATCATCACCACCATTTTCGACAGAGTTGAGACTTAGAAGGAAAGATGGGGAATACAGATGGCATCTTGTGAGATGTGTATCTGTTGAGGCTTCGAATGTTGAAGGGTTGTGGTTTGGGACTTGCACGGATATCAACGATCATAAACTTCTCGAGCAACGGCTTAAGGATGCGAATGATGCGGCGAAAAAAGCGATGGAGAGTAAGACTCGTTTTTTGAGTAACATGTCGCATGAGATCCGGACGCCGTTGATAGGAATTAGCGGGATGGTCAACTTTTTGTTGGATACGCCGCTGAATGGGGAGCAGCTCGATTACTGCCATACGATTAGTAGTAGCAGTGATGGGCTGTTGATGGTTATTAATGATATTTTGGATCTGAGTAAAGTTGAGGCGGGGATGATGAGGCTTGGAGAGGAGTGGTTTGGGGTAAGGGCTCTTGTGGAGGACGCCCAGGAGCTGTTGAGTACGATGGCAATTTCGAAGGAGTTGGAGTTGAATTACTTGGTGGAAAATGGGGTGCCAGATGTTGTCCGCGGGGATAGAATCAGGTTGAGGCAGGTTCTTTTGAATATTGTCGGGGTAGGTATTCCCTTTTTTTTAAAGCCCATTTGTACTTGTTACCCATGTTTTGATAGACGTGGTGCTAATTCTGGGGGCGGGTTTAGAATGCGATCAAATTCACAAGTAAAGGGGAAGTATTTACCCGCTGCTTTGTGATCACGGATCAAGAAGTTCCGGCAGATAGGGTGGTTCTTGGGTTTGAATGCTACGACACTGGACCAGGGTTCGATAAAAAAGATGAAGAGCTAATGTTCAAACCCTTCAGCCAGATCGACGGATCCAGCACCCGAGCCCATGGAGGAAGCGGATTGGGGTTAGTTATCTCGAGACAGTTGGTTGAATTACATGGCGGCAAGATGATGGCTACCAGTAAGAAAGGGGAAGGATCCAAGTTTTGGTTTTCGGCAGTTTGCAAGGTCCACAAGAGAGGGGATGAACTAACGGCACTTACGACACCCACTACGGTACAGACACCAGTGACTACACCGCCTTCGCTTGTTGTCTCTTCTACATCTTCATTGGAGACGGAAGCGTCAGTTGGGACGAGTTGTGCAGGTGATGGGTTGGGAATTGTCGGCATTGGAGTGCAGCCTTTGAGTACAATTAGTCAAAGGGCGTTGGCGCACCCGGTGCCCTCGGCGCAAGACCCGAGTTCTATGCGATTTTCATTGCCTGCCGAAGTTCAGGAGAAGGTTGAGAAGGCTGAGAAGGCAGCCAGGGAGAAAGAAACAGAAGTAGTCGTTGCAAAAGAGGATAAGGGTAAAAAGGGTTGTTATGTGGAGAAGTTTGGCATATTGATTATTTCATTCATGCCATTCAGTCGGCTTGCAATCGAAAGTCATATCCGTACCGTCTTACCTAAAAGGATCCCTGCGGAGATTAAGGTTGTCAAAGACGTCGAAGAAGCGAGGAAGATGCTTCTCGATAGGAAAAACGGAGTACAGGGAATCTTTTTTTCGCATATCGTGATAAATGTTCCCGACTATGCGCAAATTGCGAGGATCACGAGCATCATATGCGAAAGAGAAAGATTTTCATCTACAACCATGGTTATTCTTACGACGCCCATTCATCGAACGGGGATTATCGAAGAGAACCCGAAATTATACGACAATATGGGGGCCAGGGTACAATTCATCTACAAGCCGATAAAGCCATCACGACTCAGTGTCATTTTTGATCCGGAGAAACAGTGTGATGCGTCAATGGATCGGTACAGACATACAGCTCAGCAGGTTGTTGAAAGTCAAAAAGCGGTGTTTAGAAGGATGGAGGAGGAAGTCGGGAACAAAGGGCATAAGGTGTTACTTGTGGAGGATAACCCTGTCAATCAAAAGGTGCTCCTGAGGTTTTTAGGAAGGGTCGGAGTTGATGTCGAGACTGCGACTGATGGGGAGGAGTGTGTGGCGAAGGTTTTGGAGAAAGGGGTTGGATGGTATAGCTTGATTCTTGTGAGTATCTCCCCACCATTACTGCCTGAGTATTTTAAGGGGGTGTGTATACACAATTTGATTGGAGACTAACGTACGAGTGGATAGTGCGATCTACACATGCCGCGTAAAGACGGGTTTGCGACATGTAGTGAAGTTCGAGCCTGGGAAAGGGAGAACGGAATTGGACGTACGCCGATTATTGCACTTTCAGCGAACGTTATGAGTGATGTTGCGGAACGGTGTAAAGCAGCGGGGTTCTCGAGGTACGTTAGCAAACCTGTTGATTTCAGGGTGCTCGGGGATACTATTAAGGAGCTTTTGGAAGAAGGGGAAGGGAAAGGGTGGGTTTGAAGATCCTCCCTTTTTTTCTTCTTGTTTTGTTATTTGCATGAAGATTTGCCCTACCCTTTTTTTTATTTTAAAATTCCCTTTTTTTTCTTTGGGTTATATATAAGGAGGGCACTATGCATTGCATTGAGCATGGCGTTTTATACGGGTAGGGGTTCTTTTTAAGGGTTGCTTTTTATAATTTAGCAGTTGTATCATGTTTTATGGGTTTAACTATGGGGCGTGCGACGGATAACTGGTTTCCCGGTTTCATTTTCTTTATTTTATTGTTTTATTTTATTTCCTTTTTTCTTCTTCTTCTTTCACTAGATTACCTTGTTTCATTATTTTTCTAGAAGGATCTTACTTAATCGTCGGAATGTTTGGATTACGGGATGTGAGATGCGGAACCGGGTACAGGAACGATTCGGAAGCAGGAAAGCAGATTGAGTGGCTCGGGAAGTTATAACTTCAGGAAGAGATCGGTATTATACGTATGTATGTCTGCATGCATACGTACGTACGTATTCTCAGATGGGGACTACAATAGTGGCTGTAACATTAACAAGGCGCCCTGCCCGTTTGTACAACTAGCCTATTTTAGAAAATAAAATAATATAAAATAAAATAAAAATAAAAATAACAGTAGAAATGACCAAGTCTAAAATAGTAAGACAGACTACTGCCTAGGTACTAGCTTAGTCAACCGAGAGACTGGGGATAGATTACACCGACGGAGTAACCGATTGAACGATAATGATGATGATATCTGTAGTCATGCTGTCGATAGAAGCTTTTTTTTTCCTAGTTAGGTTCCGGTGAAGAGGATGACAGGGATAAGGGGATACGGGAATACGAAGGAAAGCCCTTTGGTTCAATGTTCGGAAGCAACCGAATCCGAGATGGCGTTTAAAGGTGTTGCTATTGTTGGGATTTTTTAGGTTGTGAGACGTCATTAAGGCTGATGTTTCTTGGCGAGGTCTAGATTTGAGTGATATCGGACTTCGGAGGATAGATCTTGCGAGATCTCCGAAGAAGAAGAAGAAGAAGAAGAAGCTTACCAGTGATAAAGGCTGCTTTGTCACTAGCAATTAAGCTAGTTAGGTACTTACTTAGTCATATACATGTAGGTAAGAAGTAGTATGCATGGTTTTTTTCCTGGTGCTTCGGAATTTTCCTTTTCCTTAGGGGGCTTTTTGCCCACTAGCTTCGCCTAGCTGGGCTGGATTGGGAAATCGTTTCTTCTTTTTGCTCGGAGGAGAGGGGTCCCGGAGTATGTTGATGTACTCCATACTTGCTGACTTTACAACGTACGTATTTGTCTGCGGCCGTATTGGATTGTGCATATTATTCGTATCTTACGGACTTTTGAAGGGGACCTAAAAGACGAACTCGGGAGGAGACGTTTCCGAAAGACTCTGCATTATTCGCATTTGATACGTACCTTTTATTCTTATTACACTCTCTTATTGGATGATGTTCTTGACAAAACAAAAAAACAAAAGATGTGACTATTCTAAATTTGATTTCCTTCTTCCATTGAGATCCGAGAAGGCAATTGAATTGAAGTTGTATTGTATTTACCGTATCATGTATATCGACTTGGAGGACTGAGATTGGGTAACGGAATGTAGGAAATGCCGGGTGCGGGTTTCTTGGCCCCCGGTAAGATGAAGCCATTTCCTAATGCGAAAATACCACACGCCCTTTTTCTGCCATACATGCATGTACATTGCATTGCACGTTCTCTTTCGTGTCGATTCGTCCTGGACGAAAAAGCTACATGCGGGCGATCCTTTGCTGGAATTAATTAGGCACACACACTTGCATCCTACCCCACATGGGTTAGGGGCGGAAAGGAATTAACGCGGATTATGGGTGCGGCGATAGTTTAAATTCGAGGGAATGAGAGGATGTTGGGTGTGATGTTTATTTAAGCAAGAGGATCTCTCTCCTCTTTCTATCCTGGTTGTTTCTTTTTTTTTATTATTATGCTACTTATATAAGATAAGTTCTTGAATTTGAGGAAAGTCAATGGAGTTATAGTCTCTCTCTCTTGTTACTCTTTTTTTTACCTTTTTTTCTGAGAGAGACGTCTATATATACTTCAATTCATAAGAGTCTATTCTATAAGAAGTAGTAGTAGATACTTACCCACAGAGGAGAAAGACAAAAAAACCATGGCTTCGCAATCTGCGAAACCTACACCCCCGAAACTGGGATCAACAAGTACTACCGCAAATTCCGGTCTATCCTCACCTACAACGGCCACAAACATGGCCGAAAAACATTTCGAAATCGGTCCTACATCACCTACATCCCCGCGTTCGGAAAGCCACGCCCCATGGAGCGGCGACCAAGATGATAAATATGGTGTCTCAGAAGAAGAAGAAGAAGACCAAGATCTCGACCGAATTATTCGACAGATCTCACGGGTTCAATCTCGAGCCGGTGGACAAGATGGTGGTCCTGGAGGGTTAAAACGGGTTAATACCGTTGAAACCGTTAGTGGAGTTGGATTCGATGATCCGCGATTGGACCCTGAGAATCCTTCGTTTAATCGTCGGTTGTTTATTAAACGTTTCATCAGGGGTCTTGAGGAAGAAGGATTGAAGCATTCGAGGTGTGGGTTTATGTTTAGGAATCTTAATGTTTCTGGTGTCGGTGCGGAGATACAATATCAAGAAACCGTCCTGTCAGCGATATACGCCGGGCTTAGAGGAGGCAGTGGTGGGAAGGAGAAGGTTATTTTACAGAATTTCGACGGATTGGTGGAGGAAGGAGAGATGTTGATTGTACTCGGACGACCTGGTTCTGGATGTTCTACCTTTTTGAAAACAATCTGTGGTGAAGACCACGGATTGAATATTTCGGAACAGACAGAAGTGAAATACAACGGGCTTGACAGAAAGACCTTCTTGAAGGAGTTTCGAGGAGAAGCTGTATACAATCAAGAACAAGACCAACATTTCCCCCATCTCACAGTCCAGCAAACTCTCGAATTCGCTGCGGCAGCTAGAACCCCCAGTGCCCGTGTCGGAGGCTTCGGAAGGGACGAACACGCCAGGATGATGACGGGAATCATCATGTCCATCCTAGGCCTCTCACATACCAAAAACACCAAAGTTGGAAACGATTTCGTCAGAGGTGTCAGCGGTGGAGAAAGGAAAAGAGTCAGTCTTGCGGAGATGGCACTCGCGGGTGCCCCCATCGCTGCTTGGGATAACTCCTCCCGTGGATTGGATTCCGCTACCGCCTTGGAGTTCGTGAAGAGTTTGAAGGGTGCTGCTACTTTCTTCGGAGTTACTCAGGCTGTGGCTATCTATCAGGCCAGTCAGAGTATTTACGATTTATTCGACAAAGTTATAGTTCTGTATAAAGGTCGCCAGATTTTCTTCGGAACCACGGGTAGAGCAAAAGCTTACTTCGAGGAGATGGGATGGGAGTGTCCTGTCCGTCAGACTACCGGAGATTTCCTCACCAGTGTCACAAACCCAAGTGAGAGGAAACCTAGACCCGGGTTCGAGAGTAAAGTCCCCAGGACCCCCGAAGAGTTCGAAGCCTACTGGATCGCTAGTCCGGAGAGGAAACAGTTATTACGAGACATGAACGACTGGGATGCTGTGCATAACAGCGACGAGACCTACGGCGACCTTCGAGAAGCCAGGAACATGGCCAAAGCCGATCACGTTCGCCCAAAATCCCCTTATACGCTTTCAATTGCCATGCAAATCGGACTTTGTACGAAACGAGCTTACCAACGAATGTGGATGGATCTAACGTCGACTATCACACATGCTTTGGGGAATATGGTTATGGCACTTATCGTCGGTAGCATCTTTTACGGAGCACCATTATCCACCGCCAGCTTCTTCTCAAAAACCGGTTTACTCTTCTTTGCCATCTTGCTGAACGCCCTCGGATCTATCACGGAAATCAACATGTTATACGACCAACGACCTATTGTACACAAACATAATAGTTACGCATTCTACCACCCCTGGACCGAAGCCGCCGCAGGTATCGTATCAGATATCCCGGTCAAATTCGTTGCAGCCGTGGCATTCAACATAGTCATCTACTTCCTCGGTGGTCTATCCTACGAAGCATCCAAATTCTTCATCTTCTTCCTCTTCAGTTTCATCACAACTCTAGCCATGAGTGCCATCTTCAGGACCATGGCTGCCGCAACGAAGACAATTTCTCAGGCTATGGCTTTCGCCGGTATCATGGTTCTTGCAATCGTTATCTATACGGGTTATACGATCACGCCCCCTTATCAGAGGAAATGGTTTTTCTGGATTTCATATATTAATCCTATTCGATATGCCTACGAAGCTTTACTTGTCAACGAAGTTCACGGTCTAGTCTACGAGTGCGCGAATCTGGTACCACCCTACGGAACTGGTGATAACTTTGCTTGTGCGGTACCCGGTGCCACACCTGGTAGTCGAGTTGTCAGCGGTGAAGCCTGGGCGTCTGCGAGTTTCGAGTATAGTTATTCCCACTTATGGAGGAACTTTGGAATCGTGGTTGCCTTCTTGATCTTCTTCTGGGTTACTTACTTTGCGGCTACCGAGTGGAATTCTAAGAGCGGTGGTACTGCTGAGTTTTTGGTTTACAGGAGAGGACATGCACCCGTTTCCAACGGAGATGAAGAAGGAAGTGGAAAGGAAGGAGAAGTTGGAGATACTGGAGATAAGGTTGTTTTGGCGGAGCAGAAGGATGTTTTCACCTGGAGAGATGTTACCCTGGATATCATGATCGCGAATGAAAAGAGAAGATTACTGGACGGAGTATCCGGATGGGTTAAACCAGGAACTTTGACGGCATTGATGGGTGTTTCCGGCGCTGGTAAAACGACTTTACTGGATTGTCTCGCTCAGAGGATGAAGGTTGGGGTTTTGACCGGTGATATGTTGGTCAATGGTAGACCTCTCGCCCCAAGCTTCCAGCGAAGCACAGGGTACGTTCAACAGCAAGATTTACACTTGGAAACAGCAACTGTGAGGGAGAGTTTACGGTTCTCTGCGATTTTGAGACAACCCGAGAGCGTCAGCATTGAGGAAAAGCATGCTCATGTCGAGGATGTCATTAAGATGCTTGGAATGGAAGACTTTGCTGAAGCAGTAGTCGGAAATCCTGGAGAAGGTTTGAACGTCGAACAAAGGAAGCTATTGACAATTGGAGTTGAACTGGCCGCGAAACCCGACTTACTACTGTTTTTGGACGAACCAACCTCTGGATTGGATTCTCAGAGTTCGTGGAGTATTGTCAATTTCCTCAGGAAACTTGCGGATTCGGGACAGGCCGTTTTGTCAACTATCCATCAACCTTCGGCTATTCTCTTCCAAGAGTTCGACAGACTTTTGTTTTTGGCAAGAGGTGGAAAGACAGTCTACTTCGGTGATATCGGCCACAATTCTCTAACTTTACTCAACTACTTCGAAGGCCACGGAGCTAGGAAGTGCGGTGGCGATGAGAACCCAGCGGAATACATGTTAGAGATCATTAACGGTGGAGCTCAAGACTGGCCAGCGGTTTGGAAAACAAGTCAAGAAGCTAAGGATGTTCAAACCGAATTGAACCGGATCCACGAGACAATGGGACATCAAGAACCCAAGGCGTCCGGTGGATCAAGGGAGTTCGCAATGCCCTTGGGACCACAGATCAAGCATGTCACAGTCAGAGTTTTCCAGCAATATTGGCGGACGCCGTCTTATATCTACGGAAAGCTCTTGTTGGGTGGTAAGTTCTCCTCTTTCTTTTCTCCTCTCATATATTTGTTTCTTGAATATACAATTCTAATTATCATTATGATGATATTATAGTGGCATCGGCGCTGTTTATTGGATTCTCGTTCTTCCTTCCAAAGAGTTCGCAAGCAGGGACACAAAGTCTCATCTTCGCAGTCTTTATGGTAATGTCGATTTTCAGTACCATAGTCCAACAGGTATGCATTACCCCCTCTCCAATACTCAAATCAAGTAAACAATAGTTATGGATGGACATTAACATATTTATATAATCTAGATCATGCCACGCTTCGTAATCCAAAGATCTCTATACGAAGTCCGCGAACGTCCTTCAAAAGCCTACTCCTGGATCGCCTTCATCATCGCCCAAATCGTCGTCGAAATCCCCTACCAAATCCTTCTCGGCATCCTAGTCTGGGCAGCCTGGTACTGGCCCGTCTTCGGCCGCCACAACCCAGCCGAAGTCGTCGTCCTCGTTCTCCTCTATCTGATCCAATTCTTCGTCTTCGCCAGTACCTTCGCTCAAATGCTCGTCGCCGGTCTCCCCGACGCCGCTACAGCCGGAACACTCGCCACCTTGATGTTCTCTCTCATGTTGACGTTCAACGGTGTCATCGCCCCTCCGGATACTTTGCCGGGATTTTGGATCTTTATGTATCGTGTTTCACCGCTTACTTATCTCGTCGGAGGGGTTACGGGTGCTTCTATGCATGATCGAAAAATCACTTGTACGACCGAGGAATTAGCCATCTTCCCTCCTCCTTCCGGTCAAACCTGTGCTTCCTATCTTGCGGCTTACTTTGAAGCCGGAGCACCGGGTTACCTTCAACAAGATGATCCCAATTCCACGGTCCAGTGTAGTTACTGCCCTGTCACTGTTTCGGACCAGTTCTTGGCTGCGAGTGGTATTGAGTATAGTTACCGTTGGAGGAACTTTGGGATCGTGTGGGCGTATGTTGGGTTTAATATCTTTGCTACCGTGGTGCTTTATTATCTAGCTAGGGTGAAGGTGTGGAATAGTCCTGAGGCGAAGAAGAAGAGTGTTAAGGTTGCTTTGAGGAGGTTGAGGGATGGGAGGAGGATCGGGAAGAGGTTTTTTACGGATAAGGAGGAGTGTCCGTTGGAGAAGAAGAAGACTAATGATAGAGTCTTTTGATTTAATCTAGGAGAGGGGGACGGAGAGTATATTTGGTTATAATTGCGGCCAGCGACTGTTTTATGAGTCTCAGCACATTTAGTTATTATTTCACTTAATTATTTTTTAGTATTAGAAAGCTTGTAATCTGACAGTCTATACAAATTTATATTTCACTTCGAATTCGAACTTGATTTTTATTTTCACTTTACCGTACTACCTATTAGGCAGACCATGTTTACAGTGACAGGCTACTTAAGTAGTTACTTTGATCAAGTTCTTATTTTGAACTACGTATACATTTGACTCTATATTTAATGTACATATACATATACACCACCAGACAGCCATCACCATCCCCGGACTGAATAATATTATAGTCCTAATTAAGACGGTATCATGAGCTGACAACCTTCTAGTACACTACTTTTGGATGCGCCAGGACACGGCATCATCGAGGGGGGCTCAACAGGCCTTCCGTTATCCGTAATCGACGTTCCGTCGGGGGGCAGTTGCACCGGAGTCGTTGTGTAACGCCCATGTGATACCAAAATGGTCGAGACCCCTAATCGAGCCCGGTATGTGCGTGTGTGTTCATGGATTTCCGTCTTTGGGAAGAGGGGACACTCGTAGAGTCCCCCACAAACGAGTTATTTCTCCTCATATCGATACACGAGAGCCATACTGCCTAATAGCTCCAAGTTTGATTTTGATTTTATGTTGACCCCCCCATCCCAATCTCGTCTCGTCCTGAAGAATGTTCCGCTTCGTCGTATATGACACGCCATTAGATCATAGCAATGCCTTAGGTCCAACCATCGAAACCACATAAGGATTATATTCCCTATCTCTATCCCCATGGCCGTGACCATGGGTATGGGCGTGAGGATGTCTATAAGCCTGCGGTGGTGGCAGTCTATTACCATTCACCGGCTTAAACCTCACAATCTTCTTCGCCCTCTGTCCGGACAGCCAAATATCCACATTGTGACTAAGTCCCTGGTAATCCCTTTGCATACCCAGTACCCTAAGGTAGAGGGCTTCTGTGAATTCCGGTTTGAAGTAGCCGGCCGCAGGTCTTAGATTTTTAAGGAATCCGACGAGTTTTGTGGTGGCATCTGGGATGTTGACCAACTCTTGAGGTACTGGGAGACCTTCCTTCGAGGCTTTGCGGATTCTTTGGGCGACTTCGGTGGCGTAGGGGCAGAATTTATCGATGAGGACGTTTAATTGGGCGGTTGTGATTTGAGGTTGCTGCTGCTGCTGATGATGGTGATGATAATGGCCTCCGTCTGTGCTCTTTTCGGATACAGAGTATTCTGACATCGCGAGTGGTGCCATTGTGTCTTTTGTGATATAAGTAGTCGGAGGGAGTACTTGGGAAGGGGGGTTTGATGAGGCTTGAAGTTTTAATAAAAAAAGAATTCAAATCGAGATAGATACTATCTCCAGGAAAAAAAATTCGAATGATCCGTGGTTCTGGAATATTTTCAATCATGAGGGACGCGACTTACCATATATACTTATCATCTTACCTCCTCATCAGGTCATCAAGGGGGGGGGATGGGACCGGGAACCCAGCCGCTTTGTTTAGAACTTTGTACACTTGTTCAACCGTGAGTGAAGTGTTCGACAAAATTCCCCACAATCCTTTTTTTATTTTTCCTTTCCTTCGCCAGATGGGGACGCGCTTCGCTGGCCTCGTACAGCATTGTGACCAATCCCATTGAGAAGCCGTCCAAAAGTTGACCATCACATTACATCACGACCAGCGCATCCTTGCATAGAAAGTCGCAGTGGGTGTCTCACATCTCGGGGGGGCCCTGGGGTGCAACACGACGGCGGGTTCAAATTACCACAAACGATCCCTCGTGCCGACCGACCGACTTAGCTTTTCGGGTAGCTGCATTTAATTTCCCTGTCAACTTTATTTCACAAACTATCCATAAATATTCCATTTCAGTATTATTTATTTACTTTAAAATAACTCGAATTGAATGAATGAAGGATATCGACACTTACGGAGTTTACACTCGATCTTCGTCCTGGTCGTACTATGTAAGTGAGAACGAAGGACTTTGGGCACCGGCACCTGAAAATAGGGGCGATCCAACTAGACCAATTTGGGGATTTCCAAATCCTCTCTCCCAATTGAAATCCAGCAGCCCACACACACCCCTCAGTATCCTTTCCTCTCAATAACGCTGAATTCCCACGAATAGTTGATCCTCGAGAGCTCTCTCCACAATCTTGATGTTCTACTGGGGAGTGGAGAGCAATCAGCATGCCCCTCAAAGCGCCGGGTATCCTTGATTCAATGCCGAAGTCCCGTTCCCAAAAAGCGTGTCCGTCTCGTGTGCGATGGTTGTATCCACATCATGATCACAAAAAAAACCCCCCCATTGGATGCCAAGAACACAGAGTAGACCCAAGAAGGGTTTTTCTTGATATTTCCACTTTCGTCGCGTACGGATAATCCGTTTGCTCTCTCTGAATCCGATTGGAGAGTGTTTTCGAAAAATCTTAGGTCAGAGCGATGCCGAGGCTGAAATGTCGATGAAATTAACATGTTGTACAAAATCAATTCTGATATCGTAAACAAATTAATTAACCAATTGGCTCTAGCCTTAACGCCGGTACTAAAGTCACTGACATGCAATTAGCACAAGGTTTTAGGGTCCAGACCGAGGCTCTTACCGTAGTATATAAAATGACGATCAACCTATGGAAATGCATTTCGTAAAAGACACAGGTCCACCTTCTGCCAACTGTAATAATCGATTGGTGAAGAAGTATAGTTTTAGATTATGCTTCCCTTAAACGAAAGGCTAGCATCATCAAATAGTAACCAACCACAAAGTCAGTCCAAGCATAGACCCGGGTTCAAGCTGTTAATAATATATTCGTCAGGAAAGCAATCTACTACGTACATGATGAATGTGGGTTTCGAGGTTGATTGATACTGAGTATACGTACCTGAATACCTCTTACCAGGTACTGAGTAGATGCCAATAGCAAGCCTTAAGAATAATAACCTACCAGTAGTTGTCATCGTCATCACCGCCGAGCCCACATATATACACCCTTAAACGTCCCCCCACCCTTAAATACTTCAACTGCTCCTCTCAAATTCCGAGCTTGTTAGTAGCCCAATGGTACAAACCTCGACAGTTCGAGTAGGAACCTCCCGAGTTAGAGGAGGGATCCGGGGTGGTCCCGAGACCACCCCTATAATTGACGACGTGTGTGTTATGCCATTGCACGCTGAGGTAGGGGTTCGATTCATAGCTATACCGTTAAAGCTAGAACTTCCGGCCCGAGCTCCCCTTTTTTTTGCATTTTAATTAGTTCTTTTTTTGGGTCTTTGATGATAATAATACATCTTTTGAAGCTTTAGGAAGAGAGGGTTGGTGATGATTGAGAGGGGGGGAGGGGGGTTGTAGATGGTTGTGTGTTCGAAACATCTGTTGGGAGACATTCTCGGGATAATCTTTTTTATCTAATTTTTCCTGTAGTTACAACCCCCCCTTCCCATCTGCTAGGCACACCCACAGTCAAACAGCAGCAAAGACTTGTACCCCGCCAACCGATACTTACCAGACAGACTTATCAGCGCCCATCCCGAATGCATCCACTATTAGGTGGTACCCGCTCTAAAACTTACTTGGAGATATATATACTATTACACCTTTCACTACCAAGTATAAACTATACGACATATTGTATCATCGGGATCTGCTTGATGTACCTAAGTAAGTATATATCTTCCCCCACCATCCAAGCCGCAATATCTCGATGACTGTCCCGCGTTGTTATTGTTGTAACTTGTCAACATCTCGCTGAGTCAGCCTAGATATAAATATGCATATACAATATGTAAGTAGGTATTCTTCGAGGTCCAGCTAGATATAGGCCTAAGCTTCTGGCTAGATCTAACTAGGTAGTCCAGCTTGATATCTGGAGATAGCACAATATCAAAACCAGGACTATTTATAGATTAAAGCTGCGAAATATATAAGAACCCAAATTTACAGTATATGTACTTCTAGTCAAATGCCTCCCATATTTGCAAATTCTTGAACTATGGGTATATTTTCATTGGCGACTAGACTTCATATAACTAGCGGGTCTAGAAACACTATCATTGACCAGCTCAGACCCTTACACTACAGATCATGAATAGTAATCAACTCCTTCATTCTTTGCCTTTTATAATTAGTTGAGTCGGCTCGTAGACATCTCCATCCTTATAGACGCATTCATAATCTTAAGATTCAATCCCCTTATTTCTTCACTCAACGCTCAATCCATGCCTTCCTAGTATTCCCCACAATTACCTTCAAACAATCCTCCACAATCTCAATAACCTTCTCTCTAAACTCCCTATCCCCCTCTCCGTCGATAGGTACATACCACCCACCCCCCTTAGGAACTTTCCCAGTCCACCCTTCTTTATAAATCCTCTCCGCATGAAACCCATTAATGCAGTGGGCCAACATTGTTTTATGTACAATATTAGCGTATAAATCACACGCCCAGCAACATACTCCGGAGACACCATAAACAACATACGGCGTGTTGAAATTGTAGATACCATAGTTGTAGATGAAATTTATGATTGCGACTTCCGGGTGGACGCAGTGTTTGTCCGGTGGAGGATTGGGGGTCCATATGGTCCGTGGATCCGCATTCGGGTATTTTAATTTGATAGACGGCGGGCTGATTAGTAGTCTATACGGGGGACCCGCATATTTTCTTTCTATCCATTCTAGAATTTCGAGGACGGTTGTTTGTGGTGGTGGTAATGATTGATCGGGGGGGTCAGGCGCCTTCGGTATAAGCTCCTACTCATGCGCAGCCATTTAGTATACCCTCTGATAGTACTAGAAGGGGAAATATGTATAGATAACTCACATGAATTTCCAAATTCGATAGCATCTTCTGATATTGCGGTGTATATGCCCTCCTGATTATGAACTCCGCAGCCCTCGGATACCGTGCAATTTTGTTCACCCATTCCATTTGTTCATCCGTGAATTTAACCAGTGGTTCAAGTTCCGTCCTCTTTTTGTATATCAGATCGGCCACTCTCATATACTCCCACAGTTTGTCGTTATCTGTCTCACGAAAGTCTTTAGATCTTATAGCTCCAAGAAACGAGATAAGTCCCTGTCTGAGCGCCCTGAAGAACCTTCCTCGCTCCGCACTGCTCATTTTAGTTGGCATCAAACGTTTTAGGGCAGATGTTAACGCCCACGGCGGTGCTTCATCGTTGCTTATATATTCCCAGTCCATGTTTTCGTTTCGTACGTCTTCCTGGACCGGTTCGTTCCTAAATTCCGATGGCGAATGTTGAAATTGTCGATTGAACGGTAGCATATCATCCTCAGGAAAGCAATATATACGTCTCCTCCTATTCACCTCGACTCTAACCCACTCCCCCGGTTCATCCACCACTTCAACCTCCATATCTTCATATCCTTTTCTCGAATCCACAAACTCTGTCAACTTCGTATTCCCAGCCGCCAAATCAGCAATCTTCTCCCACCCAACCCCTTCACCATCCTCTTCGCACCGATCCAAAAGACTAACCCCACTATCCCACACCTCTGCAGCAAGCCCCTCAAATAACCACAAAATCCTATCTCTACACCTACCAACCACAATTATCATCATCTCTTCATAAACCCTCGTATGCATTACCTCCCGCCTCCTTCTCCTACCCCTAACTCTTATCCTTCCATATTCCCCTCTAGCAATACTTCTCACCATCTCTCCAATAACACACACATACCCTTCCTCTATAACTCTCAGCACCTCAGACGCAGCAAAAAATACAACCACCTTATTATATAGTGTATACATCGTCACAGCTACCTCGGAGTTTCCGGTGGTGGCGAAGAGTTGAGAGATCACGGTTAAGATCTGGAGGGTTTCTCGAGGGATGGCATGCCATTGGGACTGGTCGTAGGCCTTTTGGCGGGCACGGGAGGTTTGAGGATTGGGTTCTAGGTGGTATAGAGCGTGAAGAAGGAATGGAAGGTCGGTACAGCGTTTATCGAGGGATGGAGGTGGGTTAGATGATTGGTTTTGGTCCTGTTGTTCTTGATCTCGGTCTTGTCTTGGTCCTTGTCCTTGGTCTTGGTCTTGGGAATGGTATTCCATGACTGCAGTGGAGGGGTCTCGTTCGATACAGGAGGGGTGGGTGATCTATGTCAAGAACATAATTTGAGAGATACAACCATAAGATACGTTAGGGAGGAAGGGGGAGAGGAGGGTACCCGGGTATAGATTCGATATGCAAGATCCGCATTTTTGACTGGTTGTAGTTCAAATGCTGCATAATTCCCCCAACTTTGATTCGCGTGTCGTGGGGGTGTCGATAAAATGGATAGAAGCTTGTTAGTAAATGATACATATCCTCATACTTGTCCGGCAGATATCACAAAAAATATAATAGAATAGGTAGAGAAAGGTTCTGGGGTATATCCAATGTTCCTTGCATTTGAATTCTCTATGATCATTTCCTCGATAGCAGCGTGCATGCAACGAAATAAAAAGATAAAAGGTGTCAAAGGAGAAAACAGGGAAGAAAAACTAGCAATTTTGTTATAAGGCCCATCTAACACACGCAAGAAAACGATGGAAGACATGATAGTCTCGGGGAATCTCTTTTTTTTCCTCCTTTGCTGCCCTCCTCAAATTTCCTTATTTCTCTTAACCTTCAAAAATGAAAAGAACGACAATAATAATACGCATAGCACATACAACTGCTAAGTAAAAGGCTCCCGGGGAATAACTCTGGACTCCGGCCCAAGGGCTTTGATTCAAGTTTTTGCCAATTTTTTTTTCTCCTCAAGTTTTTTGCGCTTTCAATCCATATTCTCAGTACGGCATTTAAAAAGGAAAAAAAAAGAAAAAGAGAAGACGTGGCTCTGTCAAAAAAAGTTCGGGCAAAATAGATATAAAGGGAAGAAAACAAACAGCAACAAACCGCTGTTTAAATGCACTTTACGGTTACGACGGAGGTCGAAGCGGTCGATGGATCTCATAGGCGGTAATGCGGACGGGGCCGTTGCCGTATAGACGTTTCCTGATGGGCTTCGAGAAGTCAAACCGAAAGATCATGATCGGCTCCTAGACTAATCCATCATAAAGCGACAGCGCCGAGACGATAGTCTGATCCCTCTGGCTGCCTTCACGGAACTCCTCTAGTGTGAGACTGTTACTCTCATCTTTGTCCATCATGCGGAAGATCTTTCGAACACGCTTTTCTGGGGTGTCTTCATCTTCTGGTAATTTTACCATCGTGCCGACCTATAATTGCCAATTAGTTAGGTTTTTTTTATAGAAGCTGTGAATCTTTCCGAAAATATACCATCTTATAAATCGCTTCGACGATCTTGAGCATTTCATCGTACGAAATCTCACCGTTACCATCGATGTCGTACAGCTGGAAAGCCCATTGTAACTTGTCTTCCAGGGTCCCTCGCGAAGTAACGCTCAAAGCACAGATAAACTCCTTGAAGTCAATAGTTCCGGAATGATCGGAGTCGAAGACATTGAAGACGTAATCAGCGAAATTAGTCGGGTCGCCAAACGGAAAGAACTGTTTGTAAATTTTCTGGAACTCTTGTTTGTTAAGGGAGCCTGACGGGCAATCCTTCAAGAAACCTAGATTACGAGCCATAGGTTATTATCATTGGTCCTTAATGATACCTTGAGAAACAGCTGATATTCACCTTTGTACCATTGCTGAAGCTCCTTTCTATCGAAATGTGTATTTTTCTGGAGATCATCAATCTCCTGTTGGGAGAGTTTAGACTGACTGATAGGTGAAAACGGTTAGTAAATTACATATGTAAATGCTATGGGTACCTCTCCTCGGCCTTTGTCGGGATCGCGTGAGAGGAACCTGAGGCTGAATTGTGTCGGTGTTAAGGGAGAACCGAGGCCGTAGGCACAGCTGAAAGGAATGCCAAGGCGCAAAAAAAACCGGGGGGAAAGTCGATGGATTGAGGGGCAACACTCACTTCTTTCCCATATTTTACGGTCGGAGGACCCGAGCGAACGTTCCGTAGAGTGACAGTGACAGTGGACAGCGGAGGAAGTTTAAGTGGTGTTTGTATCGAGTGCGAGCGTGGAGATAGTCTTTTGGTGGTTTGGTGGTTGTGGGAGTTGTGGTCGTGGAAAGGGAAGCAGAAGAGAGAAGGAAGGAGTGGGATATGACCAGAGATATGGCGGGGGTCTGTTAGCTTAGCTAGCAAAAGTCACTTAATTAAACGGCTCGGTCGACTCGGTCTTTCGTCACTGCCCGACAAAACGATTATCTTTTCCCCAATTTCTTTCAAATTTTAATTTTTTTAAATAAAATAAAATAAAATAAAGCAAATACGTCGGAAAAGAGGCGGTTGATGATTGATCCAAGGGAGGTATTATATTGTATGTCAATATTGCCGCTGAGAAGGAACGAGCCGTCGCACGATCTGAGGATCGATGGATGAGAGGGGGATATATACGCCACACTGCACCTACGATGCGCACGTTTTTTTCTTCCTTTCTGTTCTATTCCAGAGCTAGATCGCACTAGTTTGGGATCGAGAGTATACTATAATAAGAACGTTGTAAGGGAGTAAGTTAGGGGACTGAAGTAGCGGGATGGTCGGGTTATATATATAAAGTTGTCAAGCTTGCAAGCTTGGGGACTTAAGCTTAGCTTAGCCTTTTTGTTACCATCGAACTGTGACGAAAGAGCTCGATCAGTCAATTCTAGTTCAAGATCCGCCACTGATATCAGATATGTTCCTCAAAAGTGGAGACAAACTGCGAATTTTCCTCTCGTCACGGAACATGCACAGCCTCAATGCACAGGGGTCCCTCAGCACATAGAACATTAGCTCCCCCATCCCTTCGGTGGTGCCCCGCTCAGCTGTTTCCTGACATACGAGCTACGGAGCACCCTCAGATTCCTTTGCATTCCATCCAACTATCGCATTTAAGGTTGACCGGGGTATCTATTTATTAGTCTAGACCGAATGAGGTAATTTTGGATTTTACAAATTTGCAACATCCAATGATATTGATTTGAGTTACAATATCAAGCAATTCGAACCCGTTATTATAAATCAAATTGAAATCATAACTGTTGCACTTACATAAAGCGTATACATACTCAAAGCGTGTATATCTATTCAGGCAGTATCGATACGTATCGATATATTGTATTGGCTTGGGTACGGCTCTGAGCTGAGCTTATCTTGATCGACATTTACTATATCGATTCGTCAAATGCGAAGGGTGCAAACGAAGGCTGGCATATAATACTAATCAAAGGTTCGGCCGGGTTTCATTTGTTGAGGTTGTTTGGCGAACATTTCCACCAGCATCATGATCTATGGCCATCGTCTCATAGACAAATATGCGAAACATCAGCTTCTCCTCGTATCTCTAATAAACCGATTTCTGAATTTGAAATCAAAATCTGTTCCCAAGGCCCTGCCAATTGGGAATTAAGTCCGTCGGGCAGACTTGGCATCCTTGTGCCATTGTGGCTTTCTTTTTCGAGCATCCGTGGCCAAATGATACTTTATGTGATATCATGATGTGAACCAGGTTTCCGGCAAGAACCCTAAATTCATGACGCAGATAGTTAGCCCCTGAAACTTGCTTTTGCCTCTGCAGTCTTCCCTGTGTCCAGAACTTGAGGTATAGTTATAGCTTGTAGTTTGTATAGGCACAAAAGCACATGCATTATTTACCAGATGTTCAAACTCACCACAGGTGCTGGAAACCCCAACGAGACCAGGAAACCCCCTTATTTGAGTTTAAACAAAAGAAAGAAAGAAAGAAAGAAAAACAAAAAGAAGATATATACTTATCTCGCGATCACCAAGTAGCCTTGTAGTCTTGTACAATATATGCACCTAGGTCCTAAGTTACCGGTATCGTTTGCTTTGGTTGCACGTGGATGAATAGAATGGATGTGCCAAGGCTGATGCTTGAACTGCAGTTCGGTGGAAATAGGCGAGGATCCAGAGCCCTGGGGAGCTTAGCTTCGAGACCCACAATCGCGACTTCTCAGATCCACCACAACTTCACTCTTCAATCCACCAGCTCCTCCATCATGAAAAGGCTCCGATAGCCTATTAATCCCCACTTATATTATACTTCTCCCAATGGATGCTGTTCTCAAGAAGTCACTCGAAGCAATCGAGTCCTCTCTCGCATCACTTCTCGAATCCGTCACTGTTGATGACCCATCCAGTGATGCCGCACTCGCCCTCGTCGCCGCCGATGACGACCTCTCCTCCAGTCTAGAGCAACGTACAGTACACAATCCTCCACCTCACCCACCCAAGCAAAGTTTATAAAGCTAAACTGTTCATTCTTTGATATCAATATAGTGGTAGTACACCAAACGAATCACCAAAAACTCCTGCATCTACGCGCCCTCTCCTCCGCTCTGGACTCTGAACTTTCAACCCTCCTAACCACCCTTTCCCAAGCACGTATAGAGCTACAATCGACCACCACAACCGTATTCCCTGCTCACGCTCGACAAGTAGAGTACGATGCTCTCCTCTCATATGCTACCAAAATTTCCAAATTCACGCGACCGCCAACACATCTCAAATCACAACCACAGCCGGCCGATCCTACTGCTTCCACAGAAGCATCTTCTTCAACGGCTTTGGTATTAAAATCTGCGGATGTGAATGGGAACAATGCAACCAAAGATGGTGGTGTAGACGGTTCAAGTGCGAATAATGCAGCCGGTGCCGGTGCTGGTGAAACCACCGGGAATGCTGCGACACGACCAACAGCAGAAGACATCGCCATGCTAGACCCGACGGCAGGAATGCCCTTCGTACCATGGCCGACCGAGGAGATCATGAGAAGAGGTATTCTAGCCAACATGGGTTCTATGGAAACTATGCCTGACGCTGCAGCTGGACAAGAGGCGGAACCAGGGGCAGCCGAACCAGACACGACAGGAGAAGTTGCACCCCCTACTGGTGGGAGCAGGCAAATGTCTGATGCAGACAGGGAAAGAGCAAGAGAAGAAGCTGCGAGAAGGGAAGCCGAGAGAAAACAGAAGGAACAGGAGGTATTTCAGGGATTGGACCTCTACGACCCCGACTCTGATTAGGAATCAACAGAGGGTTGAGTGTGTCGAGAAACGGATATTTAGGGAGGTCTGGCTATACTTGAGTATAGCCCGGTTCAGAAGTAGCATGGGCATGTCTCTTTTGTGTACTTAGAGCGTTAGCCTCCAGGCAGAAGAGGGTATGATAGTGCTATCCGCGTATGTTGGATCAGGGCACCACTCCCCAGACCATGCACCATTGTAATACTTTATTGTATATTGGCTCGATTTATATCTACCTTCTGTTTTCTTGGAAGATAGTTTCAATTCACGAACTCAATTTGATCTTTACATATCTCAAAGTTCTATAACCCCGGGCCTATAGTCCGCGCAGCCGAAGATTGATGGCCCGCCAAACATCACGACTCCACCATCAACATCCTGAATGTACAAAGTTCTGCTTGTATATCTGCTTCCTCTACTCTCACGGAAGAATAACTGAAATGGAGAATAGTGTTAGAAACTCGACGAAAGAGGATACAGTCTAGTCTGTACCTCAGAGTCCTCCAAAAGCCCAGTTCCTTTCAGATCCGATCTTGTGTAACATCGCTTTAAGCGAGCCAGGGGCCAGTCAGCAGTCTCAAAGCTGCCGATCCGGCTTCAAAGGCCAGGGCATCCGTCTTAAGTAAGTACATACTTAGGTATCTGCATACGACCTTGCATAGCACTGCAACATTGGTGGATACTTCTCATGTTCTAAGTCATCTAAGAAACTAAGTACTTCCTTCCTTCCTTCCTTTCACCTTCTCGCTCTTGTCGAGTGAGAAGATCTTCGTCCACAGGAAAAGCTGTTCTCTAAGGCTTTGGTTTGACGTTTGGATATACGCAAAGCTTAACTACAGGATCTATGCTATATCGACAGGCATATGACAGGCAAATAGGCCCTATACATCCATGCAAACTGGAGATGGCACTTGAAAACACATTAACTCAGGGAGATGAGACTGACGAGACCGAAACCCTGCATATCCCACATTCCAATGCAATATGCAACACGGCTCGAGACGACGCGCGCAATCGATCTATTGCGCGCCCATTGGCTAGATGCGTGATACAAGTCGTTGCCCTTGTGGAATGCGACACAAAGTCAAAGAGTTCCAGACCTATCCCAACCACCTGCTATACGATCGACATTCTATTGCCGGATGAGTTATCGATATCGTTGGTAGGATCCCCAGGTTTTCGAGTATATAAACTGTGTTCGGCCCTGATATAATATTAAGAGTCCACCAATTCGCATCCGAGTCTGTATTTTCAATTCCTACTCTGTAGAATAAACAGTTCCCAGTCGACATACATAAGACTTTCGTGGTCAACCCATCGACGAAGTTGGACGGTTGATATCCAGAATATACCACAATGCATTTCATCAAACAAGCCGTCGCTGCTACCATCTTTGTTTTCTCATTTCAAACAACCTTGGTAGCCGGTCAATCTGCATCTTTGGTTCGGTCGTACATCAAAACCGAGAAGAAGCTGGCGGAAAATCTCAGCCCGTTAGTGGATAACTTAGACTACCATCTTCAAGGCGAAGAATGGACCCCGGTTTTTAATGTAAGATCTCTACATAAATGCATTCATATCAATTATGCGACATATAAGTGGGAGGAAATCATAGTACTAACTATTATATGTCTTACAGAGAGTAGTAGCTGGCTTGGATGCCCTCACACGCGGGGTCAGGCTCGCCGAGAGGAGGTTTAGCCCAAAACTCCCGACGTTTAATGAGAAGGATACAAAGGATATAGAGAAGGATTTCCTATCTGTGGGTTCCCCGTCATATACTTTATTTTGATAAACTTAAAGTGCTGATAATATATTTAGTTCGCTGACGAAGCCATTGATGCCCTTGCTACTTTCACGAGAAAAACTCGACCGGCCGTGGACACTAAAGACGAGCGCTTTGAGACTGCATTGAAACCCCTCACTGGTCTCGAAAAATCTTTGAAGGTATCCCATCTATCTATTTTAATCTGCTAGTGAAAATAACTAGCTCTAACCGTTATTTATTCTAACTTTCTTCGTGTCTATATAGACTTATCTGCCCAAACTTTTGGAGACTATCCCATCCGCTTCCGAATCCGTTCTAGTCAGCATGCAATTGCTTCAAGATAGCGTTGGTGGGTTGGTACTTATCTTTGACGAACTCAATACTTCTGAACATGAAGAGGCTATTATTGTTGATAGTCATCGATATCGGGGTTCTGGCTCCGTTAGAATCATTATCAAATAAATAACATATCGATTTTGTTCTAATGGCCTGGGGAAGGAAGACTGATAGACTATATAGTACAATATACCCCAGACAAAGTGTAGTATTTATAATTTAGAGAAATTCAACTTAAGTGATTTATCCCAATCGGTTAAAATAATTAATTCGAGACCGTGATCGATTCCATACATGAATTCATGAAGTATTCATTCGCACATTTTGTACTCTTGCCCCGCGCTCGATCGAGCGCTGTTGTATGGTGCCGTGTGAGATTAGGGATCTACGCTTGCAATTATATTATGCCACAGCAAGGGCCTAGGTAGGCGCCCAAACACTTAAAAGAGAACATGCACAACCCTCCTCTTTATAAATTTACAACAACGTTGGTCTAAACCGCAAGGCAGCCTACACAAGATTGAAGGCAGCCATGGCCTCTAAGAGTGTGTCCCACGACCATCATTTTGGGTTATTCGAATATAAAACCCCCAGGATTTCTCCATAATGTATACCCTATTACCTATACACAATCCTTCAATCCTCGCTCTGAATACCTAAGTAATCAACTTGGGCTTCAACTTTTCAAAAGCATCTACCCCCGTCTCAAAAATACAAACTTAACCATGCGACTCTTCAAATTAATTTCGAATATGACCTTTCTAGCGGCCTTTTCCGTAATACAGACGACAATCGGAGCGCCCGCGTCTATCCCAAGCGTAGATGATGATATCGATGCAGCCCTCAATCACGAAAGTAAGGAGAAAGTCAACATATACACTCTGATCGATAAGATCAATGAATTTTTGGGAGTAAGTCGATATTCTTCTCATCCCCTGACCTTATACTCGCGTGCTTTCAGAATATAATATTAGAGCAATCACTAATAGCGATTTTTGATCTATGTTTCAGATTGAGATGTTAGAACCACCTCCAACGAGAAGATTTTAGCATTTGAAGCCCGGTTGCTTAAAATTCGAGCCTGGATATCGATAGTGTACGAAGTATATATTTTTTTTATCCAAACCTAAACAAAAACTCGAGATGCAATTAAGTTTTAGTGAACTGTATTTCTCGGTACATGGGTCCAGGGATGTCATACTAGGCTGTCTTTGCATGAAGGAATCGAAGAGAGTAGGCTACAGGGCCTAGCCATTTCCCGGGAATGAGGTCAAGACGTAAATTTGTAAACTACATGTCTTCCCGAGCTGCAGACAGATTGAACAATTCTGAGGAACTAAAATCAATATAATCGATCCTTCAAATGGATACAGAACTTAACATTTTGATACCACATGTGCGACTACCAACCTGCTATTCACAACATTTAGTGAGAACAACTACAAGCGTACGTACCTCTATCAGATCTAGAACAAAACGTTACAGTGAAGTAACCATACTATGAATTTCAAGTAAACATGCAAGTTTTCTCGTCATGAGAACCCGGGGGCGCTATCACTCCAGCCATGTGTCCTGCCGCCTTCCAATATAGTGTGAGAACCGGGCCCTCCCACATCCAAGACATACCGCTTTGAAAGAATTTTATTCCTTCAATCGGTGGCAGTTGCTGAATTGAGCCTGTTAGATGATCCGATACCTTCAAAGCACACCCATAGCAAACAGCCGGATCGAATATGCATAGGAAAGCTGCTTCCGTCATTTTAGCCACTTCATCATAACTCTTCGGCCATGATCCGATTTCTACACACGGTCCACGACAAACTTCTAATCCAGAAACCGGGTCGGGGTTTTGTAATATATCGTAGACCACGGGGTGTGATGGGAATCCAGTCCAAGGGCAATCCGTTGGTGTCGGAATTTTACAATGCCGGACGGCATAGCAGAGTTTCGGCATAATGTGGTATCGGCCCATTGAAAGTTGCCACCAAAAGGCTGCGCTCACATAGAGATTTACCAGAGGTCGTCCAAAATATGCGTCGATGCGAGCCGTCAAGCGATTGATCTCAGACCATATACATCCGGTTAGAGAGCAAGATAGGTCATGCTGTATCCGGGTGTTTGCACATTCGCTGTGGATTACGTCCGCGGCATAATCTGTAATATCATGTAGAAGTCGCAGATGATTTGAAAAGATTCCACTGATGCCGCCGGGTTTGATATTCCATTCCAAACTTGCAACCTGCGGGACAATCTTCGCATCCATGAGTGCGACTGTTGTCCAATCTGAGTAGTCCCATTTAGAGCAACTATGCCTTCTGAAGATTGTCTCAAACCCCAATTCGCAAAGTGAGAATGGGACGGTTCGCGCAATATCATACCCGTTACAGAAAGACCTTCGCGCCGATTCCAAGATTTCTTGATCATTGTGAAACATAGGTGGGTTGAATTTCTTCAAAAGGGTAGGTGTATGCCCCCAGTCTGAGAGTCCATAGACAGCAAACTTTGGAACAAACTCAGGGTCACATTGTGGAAAGAGAGGGGATACCACAAGGTACCATCCGTACCATACCCATATCCCCAGAATATGGTCGTTGCAATGCCATCTACGGTCTTCGGGGACGGGAATACAGCCATTGTGCAGCCTTTTGTTGCATAGCCAGAGCGGTGTACTATCTGACCGGGGAATTTCCTCCAGATTGGCCGGAACGGCCCTTTCAAAGCATTCGCCTAGGCGTTCCAGAAACTCATCTAGTGGGGCATTTGATATTTTGGGCCAAAGGGAATTATTGTTCAAGCGATCCGAAAGGGAGATACTACTGTAGTCTGTCTCGGTTTTGTTCTGAACGGTAGTGTTGAGGCTTTTCAGGTAATCTGCGAAAGTTTTTATCCATTGCTCGAATTCGGCTCCCGCTTTCGATACGGGCTCTTCAGCGGAAACCATTGTGGCAATCTATCTCGTAGACTATGAAATTTATATATGTAGTTGTAAGATTTGTATTGAAGTTGCAATGATTGACAGCCTTTCATCGCTGCTAGAGGGCAAATTTATAGATTTCCTTCCCCTCCCCCTTCTTTTTCCTTCCCCTCTTCTTTTTTTTGAACCCCCCTAAAAAACCGCCGCGCAGAGTCCACAATTGTACAAAGTTACCTATAGTTTCCGAATTGTTCCACAGACTAGAGAATCGATCAGTCGGCCGCCTGGTTGCAGGGAAGCTCATGTGCTACGACAGATTGATTGATGGCAGGCCGATTACTATCTTAAGATTTTCATGCATAAACTTACAATAAATGCTTAAGTAAGTAGTTAGATAGATAGACTCCGTGGGGTTGCGCAGGAGTCAAAATCCTTTGTAAACATGCGGATTGATTGATATTCTTCAAGAGACGGTTAACGGCTCTACCCCCATATGATATACCTGCCCAAACCCATCCAGCGCAAGTCGAAACCGATTCAAGATCGGAAAATGTCGGAAGAAGTTTCAAATTCTCAAGATCTTGCACTACGTCGAATTTGATCCTGCATGCGTTAATTTATGCAATGCTCGTATATACGTATGTCGTGAGATCCGTCTAATTGGATCTGATTGGAAGTGGACAAATTTAAGGTTTAGCTCGTTCTGCAGATAGGCGACGAAGGAATGTGAGTACAGGTGTTAAATGTGCCAGCAGTGTTTTTTTTTGATGTAACATGTACATGCTAACGAGCCCGCATAGAAACTTATGGATGGGCGCTATTGTTTCGATATATAGACATCTATTACACCGGTTTTTTTTTTTCAGATAGTAAGGGTAAGTTTAATTCATATCGGCGTCCGAATATATCCGCGAGAACAATAGTGTCTAATTTGAATATGTAAGAAATCCATGCTTTTGATTTGAATATTTCCATTCGATTAATGATACTAAGAGGATTCTTTTGTGGTTTAATAGTACCTGATTCGTATATAATTAAGTATCTAGGTATATATACTTACTTAATATTATGTAAGTACTTACCTATATAGATAGTGTCAGCCAATTCATATCATTCAGTAGTCTCGGAGCCAGAGCTGCCCCGTCATGGGCTCCAAATATGTGTTGTTTGTGTGGTGTTTTGCGCCTCGTCTTTCTTTGAGCTGTATCACCCACCGCTGGTAGGACCGCGCAGCTGCTAGGCATCTGCAGATACGAGAAAATGGGTCGAGACGGGCTTCGAATCATCTCCGGCTGCAGGGGTACTCGGGCCGTTGAAAATCCAGTGACCTTGGAGGCGCCAGGAAGGCTTTTTTTTCAGCGATCAGGGACCCTGGTTTGCTGCATCCCAATGCATCCGATGCAGTCATCCTGGCGACGCATTGGGGCCAGCAGTGCGTGCTGCCAGCCTGTCTGCGCTGCTTCGAATTCTCTTCTTGTCAATGCAACTTAACGACAAGCTACTCCGTACATGACATTGCATTGCGAGGTTTTATAATTACCTCTGCATGACTGCGAATAAAGATGACGCGACACCCGCCGCAATAACGATATATCATCTTGATCCTCATCATCCTGATCTGACGGACTAATTGATGGTTTCTGGTAAAGGTCAATTGATCCGGTCGGCCCCCAGCAAACCTCGAAGAGCTAGGACTTTCTGGAAATGATACTATGTGGTGGGGAGGCAGCATCACCCCAGCCGGCTCCTGCAGCGGGGGAACTTCAGCCGATAGGCAAACCGGAACTCTCACCAGGAAGACTCCTCTTGTTTCGAATCTCTTCTTTGGCAAATGGCAAAAAAAGAGACACACATCTGCAGATATGCAGCTGCTTTACAGCGTATCCGTCTCGTCGGTAACCTTTTTCTCATGATCGACAATCTCTGACGACCCGTGCCCGTGCCGTTGGTTTCAAAAGATCCCTCTCATGGTATATCTCATCTGCGACTTCATCCATTCACGCTTACCTTGCCTGGGGTGAGTGACGAGCCTCGGACGACAGCACTTTCATCTGATTGAGCAACGGGCATTGGCTGTTTTTTTTTGTCATATGCATCCCATCTGTCATCCACTACGATGTCGAGTTCTATGCACGGATCTCTGACAGGAGAGAAGGAGGCATGCACGTCAAAGGCTAAAATGACCGCCTCTCGTCTAGCAGTTCTCCTTCGAGGACTAGTCTCGTCTATCGACCGATGCCTACGCTGGACGGCTTGAACACTGCACCTGCGTAGACGATACTCCAGTGCTGCCTGAAGTGAGGCAATTGTCCGTTTTTTATGCACAATCCTGCAGAGCCTTGCTGTCCATACACAATCGCATTGGACAATCACGGGCAGCCCCCTCCACCCACAATCGCTGCCATTGCATCGTCTGTGCTATTGGGTTCAGAGCTTGGGATGTCGGTATTTATATCCTCATGTATGTTCACGTATGTATGTGTACTTGTGTACATACATACATTTGTCTGAACACCCCCAATGGCGCCCGGGCGGTTCCTTATTTCTACCCGATTCGTCGCAGCCATCATCGTCGGTGGAGGAGCATGTCATGAGGATGGGCGAGAACAAGTGCTAAAAAGCCATCCCTGTCCGGACCTGCCTGCTTTCTCCCAAGTCTCTTTTATACATGACATGGGATGCCGGCTGCTCACGAACAAGCGTGAGTGTTCCACGTCGCCCTGAAGAGCGTGATTGGCTCTTGCCTACAATACTTAAAGTAGCGTTACCCAAAACTCCGGTTCCTCCAAAATTTGTCTCTCTTTTTGCATTCTTCCGCTGGGGATCTCACGATATCTGTTGTCGGCGGACCAATAGTTTGCCTTGCTCTAGTCTGCTGGCCCGATTGTTTTGGTCATCTTCAGCTCACCACCACTACATTTCTCCTCCCTTACGATTGTCTCGAAGCCCCCTCTCAACCTCGCGCATAAGACTCCAAGACTCTCTGAGATCTCGAGAAACACACCGTAGGGGAACGGATCCTAAAACCATCCGCCCACTCAAGCGACGGCTCACCAGCTTTTCCCGTCCGTCGTCTATACTGCGTACTATTAGGCTAGGGAACTGGCCGTCCCCGTGCCTCGTACTCCAAATACCTTCGAAACGCGCTACACCGAGACACCAACATCTTAGCATCTCGTCAAAAGTACCGTGCCATATCGATACCTCATCCCATCTGCTAGCATCTTTATCACCACTCCCTCCCACAATGCGTCTATGATCGGTCCCTTTGGATCTTTCCTCCAATGGAGATCAAGGAGAGCCTGAGAGATCTCACGACCTGTTCGTCGGATCCCCCACCCTCTCCACCACGTGCCAACGGAAGTTCTCTCCTCGAATTGCCCAACTCGAACACTTTGTCACAGGTTTTGTCAGTTCACCGCAGATAGCCCGGTTTACCGAACACACAACCACCATTCTCCTTCCTAGTATAGAGGTCTTCGGCGCGATACTTTCGATTACATCCCTACCCTTTTTGATCGAACCTGGGAAACAAAATAGACTTCGGGGCTAGTTTAGGGTTACCATTGGTTGTTCCGGGGCTAGCAATTGGTCGAGTCGGAATATATCAGCATTGACGACTGTACGCCCTTTGCATAACCATTCGGGGGGCCACAGTCGAGCTTTGCCTCATACGTCGGGATTGCTGTGCATTGGAACCTCCAAAAATATATTTTATTTCGTCACGTTTTTTTTCTATCCGTCCATGAATTCTTTCTACCCTCGCGCCCTCGGAACTGGTCAACTAAGTTAAATAACACGCAGCGGAGGAATCAATTGCCTTGGACGGACGTGATATCACCGTCGATATCGACACCGACATTGATAAAGACATCGATATGACATCCCTCGATCAACCGCAGCGGCAGCCGCCGCCTATCCCTTCAAACAATGCACAGCTGCCAACCACAACAAGATCGCGGCAGGGGTCTTCTGCAACCGAGAAGTTCTACTATCCAGCTCCACGACGGCGACGGGGTAATTCAAATGCTTCAACAGTTATGACGACGACAAACGCTTCGTTACATTCCCATTCGAATACCAACATCCCATTGTCCTATGCTCCCTCGATACAGTCCCACGCCTCGACATCTTCCCAGGCTGGCGGGCCAACTCCTACCGGACAAAATAGACCTTTTCCTTTGACACCTCCTCGAAGACGGAAAAAGACAGTCACAGAGCCACCGGTGGTCTTGAATAATGTCGTACACAACATGACCAGCCTAGAACGCCTTCGTATGATGACACAATCGCTAAATAACGCTGCCGGGCCGCCAGACTTTGTACCTCCTCCTCCACCATCTTCATCGGGCTCGGTCTACAGCACAGCTCCGTCGTCTAGGAGTGGGAGTGGACATGGGCAACAGTTTACTGTAGCAAGCGTTGGAAGTAATGGAATGATGTACCTGAGGTAATCTAAAAACTTTCCAACATTTTCTATTCCTGCATATTTTAAAACCCTTTTATTTTCCCGTCGAGAAATTAGTAAAATGATAAAACCTATTCCTTTCGCCTGTCCCTCCCCCCCAATGTTGCGGTATCCTAGCAAATATATCTTGTATTCCATAGCTGCCTGTTTGGTTGGCACCGACGGTGTGTCGATTTCGCAGACCCGGTCCAGCAATCTGACTGCCTGCCCAAAACTGAACAAGGTTCTTGTACAACCGAAATGATATTATTCCAACATGTACAAGCATCTAGGAAGAAGGAAGTCAAGCTAACTGCTGGAGTGCAATTTCCTCTGCACATTCGATCCACCACCTCACAGGCCCGTTAATCGTCAGTTCCAAGACCCTTTCGTCGTCGCACCGGCAACTCCTCCAAAAACCGCTGATCAGAAACAGTCTCTGTCGGAACTCCGAGAAGCACCAGAAGAAGGTCTTCAAAGCCCAGCGATTCCAAACGTCGAGATTACAAACACCTATCCTCCCGTTCCGCCAATTCCCTTGACTATAGACACATCCTCGATACATACTCCGAAAACCCCCAAAACTGCATCTCCGCCTGAATCACCCACTTGGCAGGCGCCGTTAAAAGCGCCGCCGTCTTCGCCTCCCTTACCGAAAGTAACACAGCATCGGGCTAGGTCGTTGTCCATAGTAGGGGATCATGCAAAAGCACCCCAGGATAAATCAGATGGAGTTCCGTCGCGGCCTTTAACTGAGAAATTTGAACCTCCTCCTCGTCCTAGAACGGCGGGACCTGTGGAAGTGCCACCAATTCATTTGGACGTACCGATACCGCGGGGCACCCTCGGCTCGGCCAGCTTTTCGCCTTCAGGCACGCCTTTCATATTAGGATCCAGTTTGCCACAATCTAATCTGACAGAGGGAAGAAAAACGGGCTCGTGGGGAAACATGTACGGCGATTTGAAGCTACCATGGCTGTCTGTGCACGACAAAAGAAAACCGCCGCCAACGGCGTCTGGCATATCGTCCGCTATCACAACCGCTCTCCCTAGCCCGGTCGCCCTGCAGGCGTCTGAACCGATCATGGCCGGAGGCCTGCATAGCATCAGACCCTCTATCTTCGACAGTCTCTCCTTCATTCCGCTCTGCGACGACCCTTCAATTGTTCGATATGACGCTCGTACTCGCGATATCACTGCGGCAACTCCGCCACGAATCATAGCCCAGATAACATCAGCTGCGTTTCTCGATTATCAGTTTATGTCCGACTTCTTTCTAACATTTCGCGCATTTATGACACCTCATGATTTGGTCTTATACCTTATGGCACGTTTGAAATGGGCGATTGATCGTGGTGACGAAATCGGAAAAGTTGTAAGAGTGAGGACATTCGTTGCGATTCGACACTGGCTTCTTAATTACTTTGCAGACGATTACGTTCCATCGATGGAGCTACGAGAGAAGTTCGCAGGGTTGTTAAATGAGCTCTCAGATGACGTTTTCGCCCGACTTGGGATGGATAGGAGTAATATGAATATCATTGCAGAGCTCAAAAAGTGCTGGAGAAAGGCGGCTGTTTTATACTGGGACGGCATACCAGGTGGGGTAAACGACAATGAAGTGCAAATTGACTCTCACATCACACCGGGCGGAGAAGCAGGAACTCGTGAAGACCCGAGGTCACTCAAGGCAGCGTTTGAACAGGATTGGTCCCGTAGAAAAGGAAAAGGCAGAGCTAGGGATTCTAAGAGTAGTATTAGAAGGCTCCCTGCTAGCTCTGCTTTCGCATCAGGTGCGACGCAGAGGCTTATTCGAGATATCATAAACGCTGCACCTGCCGCACACCCTCTACCACGTCCAACACTAGCAAGAACCCAAGATTCGAGTAGAATTATGCAATCGAAGCCCAAACCGCGGCCAGTTAGCGATAGTAGCAGTCTCTACGCCTACAGCAGCTTGAATAGTACTACCGCAGCTGCTTTCCGGCCTGGCTCGCCTTCGAAAGGTTGGAAACCCCTCCTGCACTCCGGACATCGAAAAATAGACAAGCATTCATCCCACAAACGGAGTGGCTCTTATAACGAAACATCTCGCCAGAATTGGAACCCACCGAATCCTGCCGCATTTCGACAGGCGGTATCTCCCTATACTTCATACCCTCATGCTGGCGATTTAGTCCGCGGAAACTTGAAGCCCCCAACCACAGCTGTTGTAGAGCTGTTAGCCCCTTCCACACCGAACGACAGGATGAGCGTGGATCTCAAGATGAACGGGAAATCGAAGCACGGCCAACGGAAAGGTGGATTGTCTGGTCCGAGTGTAAAACGGCTCTTTGTAAATGTGAAGCGGGCATTTAGTGGGCGGGCAGCTCCACCCAACGATAAGAGCACTCCACCGCTCCCGACACATCGTCGAGGGCCTTCGGAAGCTCTCGCAAAATATGTCGTAGAGAAGGGAAGGAATGTCACATTGACAGGGATCCTCAGTCGGACCGAGTCGCTTGCCTCGGAGTCCCCCAGTGCGTCGGCAAGGATAGACCTTCTCGGTGCCGGCGTGGTAGAGGCTTTCCATAATGCACTGCAGGAAGAAATCAGGCTAACTAGCGTCACGCCGCTCGGAAGACCTGGTGATGTCAACGCCAGTAAGCTGACTCTGACCATTGGAAAGGCCCTAACAACCATGCAGGAGACCCCGAGTCCTAATGAATCCAAAGGTAAAGGACGGGAGATAGAGTCAATGGACCCTTCTTCAATTAGCGAGGAGGGAGACATGGACGGGGCTATAACACCAAAAGCAAAATCGAAGGGATTTTTCTCAAGAAGCAAGAGCTCAAGCTCGAGTACAGAGAACGGTAAAGACTTTAAGAAGGGCAAGATGAAGAGTCAGCACAGTAAATCCCCTTCAGCGGATTGGGAAATCAATGGAATTGCGATGCCATCGCCATCAAGTCCACTGGAAATTGAGAGAAACAGCTCATTCTCATACATGACGCTCTCAAAAGGTCCACCTACGACATATCAACCGGGCCACCTTCACCAGTCTTCTATTGACAGCTATGACTCTGCAGTCACGGGCAAGTTTGTGCCAAGGAATTTTTCACGACTCGGAAGTGTAATTTCAAGTCATATACCCGAATACGAACACCATATGGAGGATGAATCAGCCATCAGCTCGCCAAATCCGCAGTCTGTGGGCTCGCCATTTGCCCGACCACCGAATCGCATGCTCAGGCGGAGACCAGGCGGTGGCGACCTCAAAGGCGCAGAAAGTATCGGAGATTTAGGCAGTCATGCTCGACAACAGTCAGGAGCGACATTAGAAACAATCGAAACATTTTCAGATTCGACCATGTCTATTTGGCAAAAGCATCCAGAGACAGAGATGTACTCACAGCCAAACGCCCCACATGCTGGAGTTTTGTCGCTTGGCGCTATGACTATGAAACCTGCGCCGAAGCCTGTGAGCCCAGACCACTATGACGATGATGAAGATGATCACGGCCAGGGTGGGGGTGACTATGGTGAGGATGATGATGATGATGATGACGATGATGACGAGACCGATGACGGGAGTGAAGAGGTGACACGGGAAAACACTTTTGAGGCTGGAGTGCTAAAACTAGCTGAGATGTCTGATACTATGAGTGATGACGGCGGCGTCGAAGTCGCTTTAGCGAAGCTAGAAGGAACGTACAACCGGAAGCAGCTTGCACGGGCACTATCAATACATAGAGAACGGGAGGCCGCAGCCGCAGCCGCAGCCGCTCTCGCTCTCGCAGAGGCATCCTTCGAAGACGCTCCATTCTCACCGCTGTTCTCGGAAGCACCAATGATCCAAGTCCAGGAGGAAGAAATCGTGTCAGAAACTGAATCAGAAGCCGAATCGGAATTCGAATCAGAATCCGGATCCGAACGTCCAAATACGCTAGCACCACCAGAACGGAAGAAACAACGAAAGAGACAAATCATTGACAACGACACTTTCACACCGCTGCCTAGCTCTGGCGCTAATGGTTTGGGCATCGACGAAGATAGAAATTCTGGGTTTCCGTTTGGGTTCGAGCCGAAAACGCAATCCTTTTTAATGCTCGATCCCGAGCCGAAGACCCAATCATTCCTTCTTCTCGACTCAGACCCTGAGGATGAAGATGATGAAGATGAAGAGGAGGATGATGAAGAAGACGAAGAAGAAGAAGACGATGACGATGATGAGGATGAGGAAGATGAGGAAGATGAGGACGACGATGATATGACGGACAAGGCTGATACGCCTCCTGCCCGGATAATGTCCCCGGAGTCACATATGATGTCCATTCCGGATACCATTGATGACCATCAAACTATCAGCCTGTCCGACATCCAACGGGAACTCGAGGATTTCCCAAGCCCATCCAGACCGCGAATTGAGGTCTCAGCTGTCGAAATTGATTCCGACAATATGAGTGATCTCTCATCAGAAATTTCGATCGACCCAACTCATCATCTTCCCCCGCGGCCCATAAGCATCTCATCAACCGTGCTTCCGGGGCTCCAACCATCCGTAATGCTTGCAGAAGCCGGGGTCCCCTCGCACCCCATGCGCCACCCCCCAAGTCCACCTCTCACGCTCGATAGAGGGGCTTCAAAGTCTCCGGAACTTGAGCTCCCAACAGTTGATATGTCTACAATCATACCACCTGAAAGCAAGGTTGATCCACTTGCCATTAAGTATAAGCCAAACAAACTGCGCAAGATGGTAGAGTCTGGGGTCCATGCGACCTCAATCCACCTTCCTTTCATTCTCGCATACGATTCTGAGCTCCTTGCGAAACAGTTTACTCTGATTGAGAAGGACGCACTCACCGAGATTGATTGGAAGGAACTTGTGGAACTACGATGGAAGCCTACAAGCAAACCATTCAGAGACTGGGTCGAGTTCCTTAAGAACAATGACGTCCGAGGAGTGGAGATTGTGGTCGCCAGATTTAACCTTGTAAGTTGATTTGATCGTCGCAAACTTTGGGCATGACTAACAATGATGCCTTCGTAGATGGTAAGCTGGGCCACTTCGGAAATCGTCATGACTCGAGATATATATGAGCGATCTCGCTGTATTACAAAGTATATTCACATTGCCGCGCATGCCCGTCGTCTTCAAAATTTCGCAACTACCTATCAACTCGTCATTGCCCTCTTAAGTGCCGATGTGACCCGTCTCAAAAAGACTTGGAGCCTTGTTACAGAAGCGGACAGAGCAACGTTCCGAGAGCTCGAGACTCTCGTACAACCTAACATGAATTATCACAATCTCCGCCGCGAAATGGACCTCGTCACCGGCGAATCCGGGTGTATCCCCTTCGTTGGCCTTTTCACCCACGATCTCATTCATACTGCAACATTGACCTCCCAGGTAGCCGGCACCCCCAATGGGCCAGCTTTGGTAAACTGGACAAAGTATAAGAGAACTGCACAAATTGTCAAGAAGTTACTAAGACTTGTTGATGCGAGTGCAAAATATAACTTTTTGCCCATTGATGGGGTTTGCGAACGCTGTCTGTGGATGGCAACGTTGACAAAGGACGAGATTTCATCTCTGAGTTTGGAGATTGAGCCGCCGAGTGAGTTTAAGTAATTGTTATCTTTCATACGTCTATTAGCGGAATCTACATTTTCTTTGCTACTTTTCTTTTTCCTTTTTTTCCTTTTCTATTCTTACTTTTACGATTCGATTGGGATGGGTAGGAAATCTTTGTCCGGTCTACAAAAGGGAGAAGTATGAAGGCGGTTTTTTGTCCTTAGCAACTTTGTAATGGTCTGCTTTACTTTGTTTTCCTTTCCTTTCCTTGGTTCTTCAAAGGCATAACCTCGCATAGCTGTTTTTTTAAAGCTTTTTTTCCTTTGATTTTGACTTTTCATTATTCATTTTTTCTATATATCACCAAGATACCCCTTAGCCCTGTCGTTTCCATTTAATTTGTTAGAGCACACACTCGCCCAAAGATTTCGGGGGGAGATTTTCTACCAACTTCAGCGCCGACATCGTTTTCTGTCCTCGGAAGCCAAAAAAGCACTCATTTGACATTTCTTCCATATTAGCCATTTATATTTATCATCTTCAGCATCTATCATCATATTATCATCATCATTACTAGCATATACTGCCTTTTCCTTTTCCTTTTCCTTTTCCTTTCCCCCCCTTCCCTACATAATTTCTTCATGGTCATAGTATAACTCATGCACGATATTACCCTTCTTTCTATACTTGATATCATGCATGTTTACAAAACCCATTTTTCATGTTCTTTTTTCTTTATTTATTTATTCTCTTTCTCTTTATCTTTCGTTATTTATCGAGTGGAATTAGCGGGCGTTTATTTATATACTTTCAGTATATATCCTACCTCAAACCTATCAGTTTAAATATTAACATTCATTCGATTCTTAATCTTCTGTTTTTCTTATCTTTTTGGAGAGAAAAAAGGCATTGTGGGAGGACATGATCGATCCCGTTTCCTCTCTTGCGCGGGGTGTGCTCCAAATCTAGTGGTTTACCCAGGTTCCTAAAGTTCTATCACGAAACTATTTAAGAATCACTAACGAACGACCTTACTTTCGCCGCAAGAAAAAAGAAAGAAAAGAAACCAACGGAAAGGAAGGTCTATAGAATAGGAAAGGGCTAGTAATACGAATATGCCCTCTCAAGTACCCGTTAAACTTCTACAGCCGTTTTGTTGCATATGTACCAACCAAAGCCAATATAAAAAGAAGGTGCTAGGCTAGCTAGGCCGCCTCCTTAACGGTCTTAATCCTCCCTTCAACTTTAGGTCTAATCCCTTTACACCAATTCAACCCATGATGATCCCACCTACTCCCCAATTCATCCTTACTACTTTCTTCAGTATCATCCTTCAGCCCCCTCCCCAACGCCAGCCGTCCCCACTTCCTACCAGCTTTCCTCTTCAAATTATCCAAGATCTTTTGAGTCGCTTCATCAACAACCGGTGAGATCGGGCCGTTTTCACCATCTTGATCTCCCTCTTCGGCCCGAGAAGAAAGTGGTTCGTCCTCCAACATCCCTTTCTCTCTGTGTCTTGCTTGTAATCTTTGGAATCGTTGAGATGTGCAAGTGGAATGATGTAGCATCGACGGTCTTCTTCCGATTTGTTGGGTTTCGGGGTGTTCGATAAATGCTTCCGCGATGGAGTCTTCAGAAGAACTGGCGGATGCAGTATCATTAAGTTGTTTGTTCATTGATGATGATATCTGTGGAGAGGCCGGGTTGATTGCATCAAAAGTTTGTGGGTGAGTAGACCAGCTACCCAGAATCTTGAGGGATAGGAAATATTGGCGGAGTAGAGTAGAGAGGAGAAGGCCGGATTCAGCGTTTACGGTGACCTCGCAATCGGCCATCATTTCGTTTCCTTCCTTGCCTCGTTGCATGTAGTCTCGTGCTAGAATATTCAACCAGTTAGGTATCTCTTCTTTGCTCCATAGGTCACTCTCAGTGAATTCCGGAGCGAGAAATTGCGGACTTACTAGCCATGGTATACAGTTTATCCTTCACAAGCGGCTCATAATGCTTGGGATCCTGCGCACAGCCAATACTCACACTGACAACTCGTTTAAACGGCTCTGCATCGGGATCATACACAATCCTCATCCCAGATACCTGCGGGAACCTCCCTTCTAACGCTGGCACCTTACAAAACGCATTCTCAAGAGCACCAATAATCTTCTCCCCGGATATTTTAATAACCACACAGGGATCCTGAAAGGGAAAACAATCGAGAAGATCCTTGATACGGATTATCCCTGGTTCGTAGATTACATCTCCACGGATGGTTCCAGATGCCATGAGTGCGCAGTCGGTATTGTAGAAGTAACGCATGACGTCGCAGGAGAAGTTCCCAATGTTGGACTCTTTGGTGCGGACGACGGTGAAGCGGGAGTCGAGGGGTACGGAAGTTATGCCGATTGGTTTTTCCATTTTGGCTTTGAGCGCACCTGTTTGGTCATTGACGATTTTGGCGGCGTCCTCGTCTTCTTGGATGTCACTGGTGATATCACGTTTGAGAACGTCGAAGTCCCAGCCTTTCCCAGTAGTTTTGCGGCGAGCGGTCAGATACGACAACTAGAATATTGTTAGAATCTGATATTGATAAAACCAGGAATTTCCCACTATAGCCTTGGTCATACATTTTTGAAATCCGTTCCACTTCGTAGAATAGTAACTCCGTTTACTATCTCATGCGCATAATGGTGATCATGACCTCCCAGTATCTATACTCTATTAGCATCACAATACCAAATCTCAAGATCAAGAGTATAAAACCTACGATATCAACCAACCCCTCCGGCATCTCCTTCGCCAATTTAATATCATTCGGCTCCCTCGCATGAGAAACGCAAATCACCATCTCTGCACCTTCCTCCCTCAACTGGGGTACCAACTCCTTCGCCACAGTCGCAGCATCACGCCACTCCACATTAGGGGGTATACTGTTCACGGTAGCAATCCACTCTTCTTCAACAAGACCAATAACCCCAATCTTGATCCCGTCAGTAGTTGTGAGCATAGTAGTGCGTTTACAGTCACCAATGGGTTTCCCATCGAGGTAAAGATTCGCAGTTAACCATGGGAAGTTACTATTTGCAGCAAATATATTTAGAATTGAACAGACAAGGTACCAATCTCGAGTGCATATTATGCATACCATAGTTTTCCGAGGTGAGCAAAGTTCTCTACTCAGAATGTCAACATATGTTCGCCCATAGCGAGATCTCAAGGAAACATACCAGGAGAATAATCAAAGTCATGGTTCCCAGCGCAAGCAGCATCGATTCCAATTGCGTTCAAAATCGGTGGCATATGTTTTCCTAATCAATTATCTCCATAATTAACACCTACTAGCAACAAAATGAGATATGACGTAGACTAGAAACCTTATATTACCTTTGGTCACCGTGCTCTCCAGCGAAGGATTATACGCATCACCAGAGAAGAAAACTAACAGACCAGGTTGGTCTTTGAACTCCTCTGCATTGCGGTAGTGCTTTACCAAGCTGATAAATCGAGCCGCGCCGCCGACTGGTTCTCGTGAGCTTCAATTGCGCCATGAAAACATTAGCGTTACGTGTGTGGGTATATGTTGGAAATAGTGTGTTGTTTTCCTTACCTAGCTCCAATGTTGTAGACGTCGTTGAAGTGGATGAGCCGGACATCTGGCGGGGTATCTCGCCCAGCGGAATAGATTACTTCGCCCATTACGGTATTGATATCGGTAGGTTTAGGAGGAAGGTAAGCAATGGAGTATAAGAATGGAAATCCAGGACAGTGGGGATATGAGAATTAGAGATATATTGATATCGATACTCGAGCCAAGAGAGTGTGGAGTGCGGCGGATGACATTTGACAGTTTGCTGATTGGGGAAAGCGCAGCCGGGCTGAATGAGCTTAAATAAACCATCTCGATTCTGCTTTAAATTTCCTCCCCGCACACAAATTGGAATTAGAAGAAAGTGCAAAAGGCATACTTTTTTTAAGCGACTAGAAAATGGAGACGATGCATAAGATGAATCGATTAAATTCTCATGTTGTCTAAGCTACCGTGCCTAATACCCCCCTATCTCATATGCCACAGCTGTTTACGCTTCTGATTCTTCCCAACAACTTCCCATCCGACTTCAATTTCCAATTCTCTCGAATTGTCTGCAGATTTCCTATATGTGATCTCTCCTGTAACCTTCTGGCCGGTATGCAATAGACCTGCACCATCCTGTACCATCAGAACGCCCTGCCTCCAATGCGTTTCCTTCCCTCCAGGGCCTGTTGTGAAAGCTACACCCTCGCCAGTCCACTTCTCAGCCCTTGCATTTTCGCCAATAACGCTGTTTCTCGATGTAGCAAAGTAGTTATCAAAGTAGACAACAAAGGCATCCAAACTCTCCACATTCTCAGAAATCTCCAACTCGAATGATTTTGTAAATACCAATTCGCCAGTCTTGATGGTATGTAGCGGTAGGTTCAGAAATACTGCTGGCTCTGAAACAAGGCCGGTAGGCTTCAAGTGTGCAATGACGACGTCTTCCCTAATACGCTCTTTCATGGCAGACATACGGAAGCCATAGACATTGTTCCAGAAGTGAACGCTATCGTTCATGTAGTCGCTGTCGTGCATAGCTGCAACAAGGAGACGACATTCAGAAGGAACCATGAGGCCGTCTGGAGCAAGGTATTTATCGCGGGCGTAAAGAACGGAATCCAACATTGCTTCGTAAAGGAGACAGTAGCCCTAGTCCGGTTAGTATATGTAAATTTGAGCAAACTTTGGGGGTGTACTTACCATCCACTCAGAAACAATGATGTCAACTTTTTTGACAGGTAAAGTAATCTCCTCAACTTTTCCACGGAGACATCTAAACTACTGTCAGTAAACCCTTTGAGATAAAACCCTAGTCACAGAGGTACGAACGTAATGATCCCATCCAGTCCATTCTCAAAAATGTTCTCCCTGGCCTTATCGATAATATTCGAGTTGTCAACCGCATACACCTTCTTTGCACCAGCCTTTGCGCAGAACATGGACAAAATCTATTAATCCGTCAGTATACCCAATTCCCCCTTCAATTCAAAATTTTCTTTTTTTTTGAAAACTCACACCAGTTCCACACCCAACATCCAATATTGTCTTTCCTTCAAATACATGCTTATTATCATAGATGAAATCCCTATAAGCCTCGGTTCGTGTGGTATCCTTCAACATCGTCTCATGAATATCATTCCCAGAGTAAGAATTGAAATAATGTGTATCGTCATCCCTTTTGCCCTCCGGACGAGCCTCGGGCTTCTTATAAACGACGTTACTCTCTTCCACTCTTTTAAGGTAATCTTCTGCAACGGCGCCCTTGTACTTTGTGAAGTTTGTTTCGAGCTCTTGGAGCTGTTGTGTAAGGGTCTGGATCAATGCCGTAGCGGCAGCAGGGTCGCTGACGTCAATTGAAAGAGGGGCACTAGTATCGACTGCCACCCCGCCGTCTTCCTCGCCGTCGTCGTCAATTTCAAAGAGTAAAGGATCATTTTCAAGGACGGGGATAAGATTCTCCTCGGAAGCAAAGGATTCTTTGGTAATAGACTTGAGATCTGTGGTTGGGTTTTTACGGATGAAGTTGATAAGTTTGATTTTATCGTAGAAGTCGAGATCTGTATTCCCATTAGATTGGCAATTGATAACAAAGTTATTTTTTTCATCTTTTAAAATATACTATGAAGCCGTACTTAGTTTCTTGCTAGTAGCTTGCCAGTCGAAGCTGTGTTCTTTATTGCAATGCGCCCAAACATCTGCCACCCCACCGTCGAATTTGAGGTCGCAAAGCACACACTGAATCGGTGTCGTTTCGTCCTGGTCGTCAAGCTCATTTTGATCTTCCCAGCCCGAAGAACCAGAGTCGGATTCAGCATCGCCGCTCTCAGATGAAGGCGGCGACCTACGAATAACAGGCGCCTTTGTCGACATTTTTGATTTAAAGTCCCTCAAAAGCAAAATATTTTTTCTTCCCTTCTTTCAAAATTTCCAGATAGTTTACCGAATGTTGTAGGTTGCATCAACTAAAACTCTGCTAGCCTTGAATAACTTTCCCCAGAAAGTTAGCAGCAGCGGGTGGGGCTTTTTTCGGCTAGTTAAAAACTCGCAGCAATTGACCAGAAGATTGGTCAAAGCTTTGTGCGGCCTTGTGACGGGACTCTGACGGCATTTGCGGCACTTGAACAGGGCTACATATTCCAACATTTTCAACACCATTTGATACTCAGGATGACAGGGTTGTTATTGCTTCGACTCTTAAGGGTGGAGTCTACCTAGTTACATAGATACCAAGAATTTCTGTCTTACAAGAGACGGAGAGTAATAAACAGGTGCCAAAGCGAGTTCAGAAATAATTGATATGGCTGGTGGGAAATGGAAATCGAAAGAGTATTCAATTGCCAAAATTCCAGCCCGCATAGGCAACGAGAAATACCCGAGCTCAGCCCTCAGATTCCGGAATCGTGAACTCCTTGCAATTGAGACAAAGGAAGGTCAAATTACTGATGGCAGTGCTGCGACAGTGCTTGCATCTTGGAAGGTCAGGATTTATCTGGGGGGTTGGACGAATCCAGTGAGCTTGGTTTCGTCTTATAGTTATCGGTCAATCGGCTAGGATAGGTAAGAAAGAACTTACTTTATCGGCAGGGTGGGGGAGAGGATTTAAAATCTCTTTGATGCTCATTGCCTTCTTCGAGGCTTCTTTTTGGTTTTGACTCATTATGGCGAGTTACGTAGTTCGAGAGCTTTATAGATTCATTAGCTTGACTTCGGAATCATTGAAGCGGTGTATCTAAGGAATTTAGTCAACTGATCCCTACCTTCTAATGCCTAGATCTGATGTGATGAAGAAACGTATTAGTTTAGGCCGCTAGTTCGATGTCGTGGCGAGAAGTGTAAACGCAATATTGGTAGGTGGGAGAATGCTTTTGGAGGAGAATGTGTTTAAGGTTGAGAGTTCCAAAGACAATTCTAATCCCTGATGTATTGTGGGTTGTGATGATAGCTAGGCCTTGTGAGAAAGGACCTTGAAATCGGCGACTCACAAGACTATTTTTAACATACATGCATGCAATCGTTAAACAGAAAGGATTCTAAACATAATCCAATATCGAATTCAACACGCAAGTCAAGACATGATCACGAAGTTCCGAAGAAGTCCGTATCAGTACACACGAGGAACATATCTCCTTCCTTTCATCAACTTATCCCTTGAAATCGGCGTGTCTCTTGCCGTTTCCTTCTTCCTAACACTAGAAGCAGACTCATCCCATGCCTCCTTAAATTTATTCAGTAACACCTTTCGTTCCTTTTGTATTTCCTTCTTCGCCATCTTTTTCTCAGCCTTCGTTTTCTTCCTTTCCTCCGGTGTAGCCACTCGTCCCTTCTCCCTCTTTCTCTGTTCGCGTGCTCTTTTCCTTTCAGCCTGAGCCTTTTTCCCGGCTTCCATCATGTTTCTCATCGCCAATAACATCACAGGTTCCTCAGTGAGTACATCAACCTTCTCAGCTTCTCTCTTCAACGAAGCCTCAATCCTAGCCCTCATAACCTCCCTTTTCCCTTCCTCAACATTCTTCATGAACCTATTAACTTTCTCCTTATATGTCTTATCCTTCTCCTTCTCTATCCTTTCCATTTCCTCCTGTAATTGAGTCTCCTTCATCATCTGGAGCACCCTGAAATGAAACTCCTGTCGCGTCCTTTTCCTGAATTTCTCCCTTTCCTTGTGTTTCAAGGTTCCGAGCCGAGGGTTGATGTCGCGACGGATACAGATCCATCCGAGGGAGACGATGAGAATTGCGAAGAAGATTGAGCAGATCCAGACGATGAAAGTATAAGCTTTAGGGGTATAGTGCCTTTGCTCGTTGGGAGCGTAGATCCTCGCACCGGCGAAGTCTGGATCAAGCGGGTTTACGCTTTCGAGGATGGCCGATATCGATGTTTTTGAAAAGAAGCTACTGGCGGTTCTTGATGGGAATGACATGACTTGTGATTTCTTTTGGTATGGACGGTTTTAGAATAGCTGCGTGGTGTTAGAGGAGGATAGTTTATATGTGATGGCTCGAAGGAAACTTACGTGACTGAGTGACTGTTGGTTTGGTAAATGTGAGTGAGAGTTGTTTCGCTTGAGATATCTCGAGGATAGGTACTTAGATAATCGAAGTAAGTAAAGTAGGACTAGTAAGAGGGGGGAAATTGAGGGTGAATGGAGAAAAGATACCTAGGTAGGTACTTGAGGGACCACATGTACAGCAGGTATAGATTAGAACTATTAGAGGCTATCTTCACTTAAAATCCCATCAGACACGAAATCTCCAAATCAGGCTTATGGCACCAAATTAGTTTGATGTATTGAAGTCTACAATGCATTTACAATGTTATCTACTATACTCGCTATATATAATATGATACAAGTCGAAGTTTTCAGCTAAATAATTCCCACCAATGGCCCCCATATAGAATGAACGCCGTAATCCTACACAAAACAATGATAACCCAACCAGGTACAATATGCAAACGGAAACACCTCCCCTACTGCCTCCAGCCTAGACCTTATCGATCATGCTGAACACCCAGTACCCCACAAAGCATACCCCCACCGCCCCAGCACTCATAACATTCCTCCAGAAGTCACTTTCACTGTCCCTATGCACCCTTGCCGGGCCTTCCCACGTCCTCTGCTCTCCAACAACATTATCCCTCTCCTCCTGCGTCTTTTCATGGTACCCTCCAGTCATAGCATCCTTCCACTCCTGCTCGGTAATATTATACCCAGCACTTCGCGCCAAGGCCAACAGATCTTCATCAAGGATCATACCATCTCCATCAACCTCTACGTTCTGCACATTCCCCAAAAAGTCTGTGATGAGTACTTCCGATAGATTCCTTCTGAACAGATCCGTCCTAATCCCCGGTGTACTCGCAATCTTAACCGGATCATACGAACTGAACAGGTCTGCCAGTGTATGCTTCGAACTCGCATTTTTAACATGAGTTTCCAGGTATTCCAGGTTGAAATACGTGTATCGATCGATAACCGCCACGCCGACATCGTTATCCGCGTGATGCGAATAACTGCTCTGGTCTAACTCCGAAGACCCGGTAGCTAATATATTCGGACTGTAAAACTTTGAATACATAGTATTCGCCTGACAGGTATCGATCATAAATAGCATTTCGTTGTACCGTTTCTTCTCGAACATCTGCTGGAAGGCATCTGCGATATCGAACGCGGAGATTTCTTCCGCATCTTGGAATTTGAGGAATTCGTTCCCGCCATGACCAGTCATATAAATGAAGATGTTACTTCGGTCGTCGGTTAACAATCGTTTACTACGTGGTGTGTCGGGTGGTACACGGTCTGTAAGAAGACGGATGAAGTTCTCGACTGTGACTTCGTAGCCACGGTAGTCGACTTCAATATTGTCGCCGTAAAGATCGATTGCACGGTCTGCATTGTTATAAACAGTGCCCGGGAAAGTGTTTCGAGGGTTACAGGCAACATCGTCAGAGAGCATGAGAATTATCTGGGAGTCTGGGATGCCTAGACGTTTGACAGTACGGTACATGGAAAGAACATTGGCGAGGTGGCGGTAGTTGAACCAGAAACGCGAAGTGGAGACTAGGACGGCCCAGTTGGAGGTATGTTGCGATTGTGCGAGGCAGGCTGAAGGGAGAAGAGAGAGCAGCGCAAGGCTGCCCAAGGTCGGTAACTTCATCTTGTTTGTTTCGTTGATGTATAGATAGTTGATGTATAGATAGCTGATGTAGATGGGGACTTGAGAAGGTCGAAGGCAGTTAAGCAAGATCGGAGTCCAAGGACTGTCAGGGGTCTGCTTGATAAGCAGCATTCGTGGGCAACACACGAGCTGATAAAATACCACACCAAACAACTGAACTTGAAGAAGGATATCACGTGACTCTCGTAGACCAATCTTGAACGAACAATCCAACGCAAAGTCGTCGTCACAGAACCCACACCATAGTTATCACCTCGAGGCCCCAATGCAATGCCAGGCAGCAAGATCCGTCCCGTCGACCGACTAGCCCAGGCCGTCGCTAAATGCGGTGCAGAGGTACTTGTTCCTCCCCAGTTATGTGGAAGCTCTGAGGCGTGGAAAACTACTTAGCTAACCGATTATATACTGTACCTTCGAATCTAGTCCACAGCATACGGGAAATGCATTGTCAAAGACTTCAATAACGTCTACAAAGACAAATGTCTTGCTGAGTTCCAGGTCCTCCAGAATTGCGTTTTGGTATGTCTCACTTTTCTATGCATTTAGAAATTCCATGCTTTTAGGAGAATGCTTTTACTAACAATCACTCATAACAGAAACATATGGGCAAAAAATAACCTGGCAGGATAATACATCAGCGTGTATATAAAATTCTTCTTCATGGTTCATCCTCCTTGAAATGCTATCTTCGTGCTAGCTTAATCTAAAATCTACCTCAATTAGCGGTCTTTCCTCTGCTACAGCTATAGAATGATAGTATAAGTAAAACACCCATCTAAAGCTTCAACAATCTCAGCAAAAATGTAGCTCCCTGAATCTCCTGATCCTCCTCCATCAAAACCTCACCACCGCCCTCATCCTTCTCCACCTTTCTCCTCAAAACTTTCTCAATGGTTTCTTCCTGTTCTTCGAACACTCCTTCTAGTCCAATGGGGTCCTCTTTGATCTTAAACACCATCTTAACATCATCTGTCGCCTGTAACCCTGCCTTCTTCCTCAACCTCTGCACACGATTGATGATCTCCCTAGCCAATCCCTCACTTTGCAGTTCAGGATGCAAAGCCACGTCCAAGATAGTAAGTACATCTTGATCCGTATTCGTCTCGTGGTCCTGGCAGTACGGGCTTTCCGGATCAACTTCTCTGAACACCTTCAGATCCTCCTCAACAAGTTGGATCCCGTCCACCGAGATCTCCTTGTCGGCAACAAAGGCCTTGCAAGCTGATGATGAGAGGCTTGGTAGCGCCTTCTTCACCCTTTGCACATCTTTCTTCAGCTTCTTGCCCAAAGTCGGCCAGTCAGCTTGGAGGGTATACTTGACACCATACTTCTCCTCATCGGAGCTCAACACTAGGTCTCGGATGTTCAACTCGGATTTGATGTAGGATTGTAGACTCTCAACATCAGAAAGGTACTCTGGGTCCGGATGAATGACAACCAAGGTTTTCAGTGGGGTCTTGAGTCCAATAGCTTTACGCTCTCGACTAACTCGTCCCAAATCAATAACCTTCTGCATCCTCGCCACTTGCCTCTCCACAACTTCATCATATAGCTCTTCCCTCACATCGGGATAACTCAAGAAGTGAACAGATCTGTGGTCTTCTGGCAACATCTCCTTGGGGATGTGCGGTAGCAACCTCTGGTACAGGTTATCCGTGATGAACGGGGTAAAAGGCGCGAGAGCTCGGACGATTGTAAACAGAACCTCAAACAGCGAGTTCAAAGCGTGCAAAGTATCTTCCTTTCCATATTCGCCCTTTAATCTCTTCCTGTTAAATCGAATGTACCAGTTGGTCATGTTGTCAATTTGCTCGAGAATGCGTGGAACAACAGTATACAGACGATAACCGGCCATCTCTTTGTTGACAAAAGCGAGGAAGCTAGAGGTGCTAGCAAGAATCCATCGGTCCATCACATTCTTGCTACCACCGCCTTCGAGGTGAAAAATGAAGTCCTCGTTATGAACCTTCTTGAAAAGTGCTGCCTGGCCGGCGAAGAAGTTATAGCTGTTCCAGAGCGGGAGAAGAACTTTGGATACAACTTCCTTAACACCGGCCTCCTTGAACCGCAATGGCTCGGCTCTGACGACCGGTGAATTGATAAGGTACAAACGGAGAGGATCCGATCCATAGGCGTCCATGACATTTGTTGGATCCGGATAATTCTTCAATCGCTTCGACATCTTCTTACCATCCTCAGCCAACACGATACCGTTGACAATACAGTTTTTGAACGGTGAGATACCAAACAAATGGGTACCGAGGACTGTTAGTGTATAAAACCACCCTCTAGTCTGGTCGAGACCTTCAGCAATGAAATCTGCGGGGAAAGCATTCTCAAACTGTTCCTTGTTCTCGAATGGGTAGTGCTTGCTCCCGTAAGGCATACTTCCGGATTCAAACCAGCAGTCAAAGACCTCTTCAATACGCTTCAGATCGCCCTTGCCATTTTTCGAAGGGATAGTGATATGATCAATGGAGTCCCGGTGTAAGTCGGTGATACCAGTAACTCCAGAAAGTTCTTCAAGCTCGGCGATGGAACCAATGCAAACCATCTCCTCATAGTCCTCGCTAACCCAGATGGGCAGTGGGGTACCCCAGTATCTATTTCTCGAGATGTTCCAGTCTCTAGCATTGGCAATCCAATTCGAAAAACGCTTGTCCTTGACGTTTCCGGGCGTCCAGTGCATATTCTCGATATTCTTCAACATTTGAGGGATGATGGTTGGGATCTTGACGAACCAGGCTGGTACGGCCTTGTAGAGAAGAGGAGTATCAGATCTCCAGCAGAAGGGGTAGCTATGAGTGATAGTGCTGTCGACAATCAAACGACCCTTATCCTTCAAATGCTTGATGATCTTCTTGTCGGCGTCCTTGACATACATGCCGGCGAAGTCTGTGACTTCATCCGTGAACTTGCCCGCTTCGTCGACAGGGTTGGGAGGTAGTCTCTTGTCGTTGATAACACCGTGCTCAAATGCAACAGCATAATCCTCCTCACCAAAGGCTGGAGCCTGGTGGACCAAGCCGACACCACTGTCCTGAGTAACATAGGTAGCATTGAGAACTCTGAAACCAAATTCTTTGAAGTCCTCATAGAAATAGTCGAACAACGGTTGATATTTCCAGCCAAGCATATCCTTGCCCTTGAACTTCTCAACAACCTTAAACTTGGCTTTCTTAGGGTCCTTATATAGAGTCTTCAAGCAAGCCTCCAAAAGAATATAATTGTGCCCGGATTTCTCATCGAAGATCTTAATGTACTCGAAGTCCGGGTGAGCGGCAATGCCGGTATGGGATGGCAGTGTCCACGGTGTAGTCGTCCAGGCGAGTAGAGATGTTGTTGGATCATCTAGAAGGGGGAACGAAACGACAACGGCGGGATCCTGGACGTCCTTGTAGTTTTGTTGAGCTTCGAAATTGCTCAGTGGCGTCGTACAAGCAGTCGAGTAAGGCATAACTCTGTATCCTCTATAGACCTGCTCCTTTTCGAAAAGTTGCTTGAAAACCCACCAAACACTCTCCATAAACTCCGGTTTCAATGTCTACAGCTCTATTAGTATATGTGCAAACTCCCTCCTAAGGTGGTTTTAAGGGGGGAAATTTTACTTTATAGTCGTTCTGGAAGTCAATCCATCTTCCCAGTCTTCCGATGGTCTTCTCCCACTCCTCGGCATATCTCATAACGATAGCTCGACACTCAGCGTTATATGCCTTGATCCCCATCTTCATCACATCCTCTTTTCCGGTGATCCCAAGCTTCTTATCAATCTCATGTTCAACTGGTAAGCCATGGGTATCCCATCCGAATCGTCGCTCAACGTAGTGTCCCCTCATATGGGCGTATCGGGGTACGATGTCTTTGATAGTGGAGGCGAGTAGATGTCCATAATGTGGAAGACCGGTGGCGAATGGTGGACCATCGTAGAATGTGAAGGGTTTCCGACCCTCTGAGAGCTTTACAGAGGTTTTGAAGGCATCGATTTCCTTCCAGAAGGCGAGGATACGCTCTTCCTCTTTGGAGAAGTTAATGGATGCCATGGTGGGATTCCAGCCCCTCCGTTGCACTTAGATCTATTGAATTGTCTTTTATAGCGGTCGATAGGAAGACTAGATATTATGGCTATAGCGATGGCGATGCGATGGTCAAAGTTAAAAGGTCGAAGGTATGGGATGAAGAATGAATGCTGGGATGGAATGAGAAATATTTGGGTCTTAATAATGCAAGGTAAAAATTTAAGAGTCACTTCCAACCCCACCAAAGAGAGATAACAAAGGCTGTTGTTCCCCGCCGCATCGGCAACGCGGGGTTTCAGCTGCAGGAGCTTATTCCAACAACATCCGCTTATGGCCCAGCTCATCACACACACATGATCGATATCACTAACATATCACATCCATCTGCATTGATATCATCACACCAAACTCGAAGAAGAATAGTATAGTATAAAGGGTATGGTATTTTATTTCACCTCCTCACCTCCTTCTCCTGACTACCTAACTTCCTACCTACTCGCACCAACGACGCCAAAAGTAATCCTCCAAATGCTCACACAGGGGGTCAATATAATATGCACAGGGCAGAATATTAAAAGTAAAAAAAGGAGGACACCCGCCGATTAAAATAGAAACAAAAAGGACGAGCACGCTCAACATACTACTAGAAGCCGGCCTGCCCTGTGCGATCCAAACCGAGAAAAAGGGAAAAGAGATATTTAAGGAATGTAAGAAGAGAACAAGAGGGATATCAATACAACAATAAGCAGAATAACACGTGTAAATATCACGTAACAGCAAGATCCTTGACTCCATCCTAATCGCTAGGATGAAGCCCCCATCCCGGCCTGGCCCAACCGTTGAAATCCAAGGAGAGAGAGAAATATAGAAATTCATAGAAACATGTCTGGTTTAAAATAAAGAGGTATTAGGGGGGAAGAGGGTGTTGGATTTGGTAGAAGCAACGGGTAAGAGAGAAAAAAGCCTACCCAAGGATATCTTCTAATCCACGGTCGCATTAAATCATTAAGGAAATCTAAATGAGGGACGCCAAACCTACCCAAACCTATGCAAGTATTTTACATGGCATGGAACTGAACGTCGTCTTCCCTCTGGACTCTGCTAAGAGGGTGGGGCGGACGAGCGCTCATTGGGCTTTCTGGGCGGGAATCGGGCCCCATAGGTCGGCGTGGTGGACCAGGCATGCCTTTCGGAGACATCGGTGGACGATTGGGTCCAGGACTGCGAGGAGATTGAGGGCGAGAGCCAGGCCCGAAGCTGGGAGATTGTGGTCGACCGGCGCTAGGAGAATATGGGTGTGGAGGACCTCCTGGACCGCGGATACCCGGTGGTGGCGGGCGGGGCTTAACGGCTTTGGGAGAAAGGCAGGTACGTGGGCAAACACCTTGTTGGGTTCGGTCCATGCGAATGCAGAGAGCCCAACCATCGTCATACTCGTGGAGTAGTCTGACGACTTCACCTGCGCGGAGTTCGAGTTCATCAGCCATAGATGGCTTGAAGTCAACGGTGACACGGTGAACTGGTGAAGATGAGTTGGGACCACCAGTGGCGCCTTGGATTGGCAATGTGATATTGGAGCTATCTGAGAAAGCAGACAATGCTGGCGATGGTTCTGGGGTTTCGAAAGGGCCGGGTATGAGATTCTTGGGGTCGATGGATAAAGCTGGAGGAGGGGCCCTGATTGGTCTGTCCTGCGACCTCATAGTATCGGAGTTTCCGGCGGGGAAGAAGGAACCATCGAATTGGGTCATTGGTCTGATTTCAAGTTTTGGAGCAAGTGCCATAGCAGGCTTAGGGGTTGGAACTGGAGAAACTGGGGACGGTGTCGATCTGTCGCTGAACGACAGATGCTTCATGTTCTTCTCGTCCTCTGGCTTCTCATAGTTCTTATTATTACGCTTCTTGAGCATCACGGCGATAACAACGACAACAACCATGATGAGGGCCACACCACCACCGACAATACCAGCATAGGCACCAATAGTCAGACCTGCACTATTAGTAGCGGCATCGGTCTCACTTGGAAGAGCTGCCGATGTGGTAGATCCTAAGGTAGCAGCGACACCACCGAATGCAGTAGTACGGGAGGGGGTTGTGGTCGCAATTGTCGAGGACTCGACAACTGATTTTATTGATGCCGATGAGATGACGGATGACTGCGACCTTGTGGAGGTCCTCATTGTCGTCTTGATTTCCTCCTTTTCGGACTCCTCCTGCGGGGCTACACTTTGCTGCTTTGGGCGGGATGGCGATGAAGTGGGAGTCGGGTCAGCGGTCGCAGCCTCGACCGAAGTTGGGTCATCTTGCGGATTTACGGTCACAAATCCAGCTGGCTCGCCATCAAAGCTGGGGGGCTGAGTGACGAATACAACTTCGACGACCGTCTTTGTACCTCCTTGCGGTTCTGGCATTGGGACTCTTTTGCGAAGGTGATGCGCATGTCGAAGGATGTGATTGCTGTGGTCCATTTTGAAAAATTACAGTAGTCGTACACAAATCCGTAGGCAGTTGGTATTTTTTGAATATAAACAGTGTATATATGAGTGAGTGTGTGAGTGGGTGTGATTCGTATCAGGTGGATACTTCGAAATGATATGTGGATGAAGGAGTGACTTTGCGGTAGAAAGAGAGGCAGCACTGGCAGAAAGTCTGAAAAGAATGGCAGACCTTTAGCTCTGGCGAAACAACGTCGATTCTAAGGAATGACGGTGAGGTCAAAGTGTCTCTTCACAAAGAGTGAAAGATTGCATCGACTGTGAGGAAGCAGAAGATGGGGGAGAGGGAAGAGGAAGAGGGCGAAAGAACAGGGAAAGAAAAGGTAGCGTGCTACAAAAAGGAAGGTGCCTGGTAGCAACCAGAAGGGAGGTGGGAAACACTCTCAAAGGGCCTTGAGAAGGGTATCCTGAGTACGGACCCATGTCTGGAAACCTCTATCAAATGAACCGTCATCCCGCTCGATTGACTAGGGCGGGAAAATGATATCCATCTCAATTGTCTGTTGACAATGGTTGGGTCCTGCAGCAAATAGAGTGGGATGCGAAAGCGCCCTTTCCCAGAACGAAGTCCTGCGTCGAAGGTCCGTTTGGCTACGAGCGGGCTGGCGTTGTGTCCAGTCTTGCGCAAGCCCCTATCTCTGATTGGGCTGAACAAGATTAAACCATGTCTCTGCTCATGGACAGAGCGACACTTTACCCGATCTGGGCAAGGCACTGCATTCCAAAACGCTTGTGTAATTTCCCCTTTTCACAAGGATGGAGATTAGTTGGCGGTCATTGGCCCGCTAGTCGAGGTCTCAAATTGCAGTCAAAGTTTCGCGAACATCAGTAAACCGTCCAAATGACATAATAAGTGCACGTTGGCAGCTGCTGTTTTGCTTCAAGATGGAGCGAATAACGGCAAGTCGTGTATGAAAATCGACGGGGCATGTCGCCATAGACAGACAATCGTTTTGGCGGTAGTTTCTCTTCCAGCGAGGAACTCTAAGGGACTCTCAGGGGTTGGGCTTCGTCGCTGGTGTTCAGATGAAATTCAAGCGCAGGCACGCGGATGGGAGAGACATGTCAACTGTCAGTGGTTCTATTTCTGTCGTATTATGCAGTAAGCCGCGGTCTTCGAGAAGGTCTCTACCGCAAACAACCTAGCAACACAAGCCATGTTCACGCCACGATAATTTCGGGGAGAAATATTAATACAACGTTCCATCTCTCGAGCCCTCTCTTGACTTTGCAATGCAATTGCGATCCATGGAAACCCTAAATCGCTAATAAGAGATCGAGGGAGAGGGAAAGAGAGGGTACGTATTAGGAGCATTGGGATACGAATATATGTACGGAGTACATATTTATATGTACATAAGCCTTTCACTTCAAATAAGGGTGTTTCAGGATCTGTTGCGTCCCAAGGTCAGCAGTGGAACCATAAAGATATGTATGTATGCCAGAGGCTAGGTGTGCGTTTGCATGAAATACCTCGTCGGCTGAAAGCCTTTTTCCCTGGCTGTAAGTGACCATGTTTTTGATCAGATCCAGCACTTCAGGGCCAGAATTCGGAAGGAGTGTCTCCCATGACTGAGGGGGGAACTCATTGAAAATCATCTTGCTAAAATCTGGAAAATTGTTTGCCTCCTGGATAAAAAAAGATTAAGATGTTGTTTACCCCAAATTAGGATCGTATTCCCCTGATTGGCTGGAGGTATTAGATAGACGTACAGGCCATGTTTTCAGGTCCGGCGTCCCCAGCGATTCGAAAATGGACAGAATAAGCCTCAGATCGGTTCCCATCTCTCCAGGTTCGAAGAGTGGAGCGCCGTTTTCGGCCTCTGCGATAACACAACCGAACGCCCAGATATCGACTTCTGTGCCGTATTCTCGATAGCCAAATAGCGTTTCCGGGGGCCTATAACAGGTCGTTCCAATTTCAATTACTTTGTTGTCAGCTGTCTCATCCGGATGGTGGTCATTCAGCGCCCAGGCCGTCCCAAAATCACATAGATATGCTGGACCTTCTTCGGATTTCAACAAGATATTTCCAGGTTTAATATCTCGGTGAATCACGCCATTGGCATGGACGAAGGATAGAGCCTTCGCAACTTGCTTGAAGATCCGGGGTAAGTGGCTCGATCTCCCCTTCACCATGACATCTCCCAGGGTCAGCGGATAATAAGGGAGGACCAGGATGAACTCGCCGCGAAGGGTCTCCGTCTCCAACAATGTCAGAATGTGAGTTTCGTCTCCCCCAAGACGCTTCAGAAGTCGGGATTCTCGGTAGGCATCGTGGGGTTGGACCCATGTGGAGTTCACTTTCAAGGCGACAAGTTCTTTGGTGACAGGATCCCTTGACTTGAAGATTGTTGATGATCCGCCAATTGAGTGTTCTTTACAATTACGGTATCTGCCAAAGGAGATGTGGGTTAATTCATCCCCAGCGGCCTCCAATTGGGGAGGTTTGGGGGCAGAGTTGCCCGTTACGGCTGGTAGTTCCTGTGGGGCATCACTTTGAGGCTCCTCTGGCTCGAAGGCAGCGACCAGTGAATTGTAATGATCCTGCCATAGAAGTCAGCCGGCAAAATTTCAGGCCTCTAACCGTTATATCATATATTAAGATTCCAAATTCGGTAAACTTGAGTAATAGCTTTTATGATAATACTACTACCTAACATGTAGATGTAGATGTATGGGTACAACAAGAAAAAAAGAAAAGAAAAAAAAGAACCAAGTAAGAAAAAGATAAGATATACCTCGGAAGTTGCGAGTTTTGCAAAGTCCTTTTCGATGGCTTTAGCAAGAACGAGAGCATCAGCCGAAGAGATGTTGACGTTGGAATGTTCGATCTTGGCCGACCTGTTTCATGCAGGTCAGTTTAGTGTGCAGAATTGGAACCGCGAGCATGAGCATACAGCCGCTGGGTGGCCTGAAAACGGGCAGAAATGCTGACTACCATCCCGCCGGTGACGTCGACCGAACTGAACCTGGTGGTCGGTGCAGCGCCCTTGCTTAAGTCTTGATTTTTAATTGTCTCGGAAGTATGTCTACTTTCTTTCGTACTTTGAGGTGTGTATACTTCGTACAGGTACTTACTTAAGTAAGTACTCAAGTACCCAAGTAGATGCGAGTCAGTAGGGAGGTAGGATGTCAACGTTGCGGGCAATCAATCGTATCTTTCGTAGGGAATGTGATATCAAGATCAATTGAAGAAAGGAAGGGAAGAGAGAGAAAAAAAAAAGGGAACGTGTCTATGAGAAGGGCGGTCCAATACCAATGGACTGAACTAAGAAAGTAAACGAAGCAAGAACCAGATCTGATCTGACAAGTATTTCTGACGGATTCTGTTCTGTTCTGTTCTGTTCTTGGGAGATGTCGTGCCAGCTGTACGTACCTCTTAGTCCTGTATGTATGTATGGAGTAGTATGTAGGGTGTAGGCTGTATGTATGTATGGACGGGTCTACCTGCATGCAGCCTGGCAGTTGGCGGGGGGCATCGCCAGCGCAGGACTTCATGACATTCTGCATTCTCTACGAACGCGAGTACTCCGAGGGAATATATAGAGAATCCCATATCCTATCGATATTATCAAAATCAAATCTTTAAATTGTAACTACTACTGCTATTACTACCACTGCTACTATACTACTATAATAGTATCCAAAGAACTACCTGTATTGTATTTTATATTGTAATAAGCGGAGGGTTATGTAAGAATTGCTCGGCATGTGTCCAGCCAGGAACAACAGCCAACCCTCTTTAGCCATTCTGAGCAGCCGTTTCCACATTTACCCCCAAACGTTAACCCCAACTGGGACCGGCCGCCATTCTGGTCCAACTAACTCCAATTCGCTCTCATCCATCTTCTGGAAATCCTTCTCCAGCTTGCATCTCCCACTTCAACGGTCTGTCACCTCCATTAATCTCGACATCATCAAGGAGGATCAGATATACCTCCCAAGCACCCGGATCATGGAGCGCACCGACTACCCTGCTATTCCCGTGAGTTTTATCTTGTCCTGTTGTTCTTCCTTCCTTACTTCTTCCCTTTAATTTGAAATCCCTCGGCCTGGGATTTCCATGGATCCCGACCTGGACTTCGACCTCAATCTCCCCCCCTCCCCATTAACAAACAACCGACGCATGTAATATCTGATCTGGTCTGATCCGATCTGATCTGATCTCATTTGGGCTAACCCGCTTGACATGGCAATAGACAACCATCTCCCACCACGCGTCGCTCAATGCCCTCCGTGACCGACTGCAACGGGTCCATGTCCTCAACACCGAAATCGCCGACTGGCTTGCCGTAAGATACCCACCGCCACCCGCATCCCCCACCGACAACAGGGAGAATACTCGATCACTGATGCTTTAGAGGACGGTCTCTTAGGAGCGACGGAAAGTAGAAGAGGCCTATGTTCAGGGTCTTCAGAAACTATGCAAGCGTCCCAATCCCAGCGAGGCTTCGGAGCTAGGGTACTCACCCACATCCTCCACCCACCCAATAAACCAACTGATGTAAAAGTCAACTGACGGACCACTCCTGTGGTACTATCGTAGTCTCTTCCAAGCACCATGGCAGCGAATCGTTAGTTCGACGAACACTCTGGCGCACTCCCACCATGTCTACTGCCAGAAGCTGGAGCTGGAGGTCGAGCGCCCAATCCGAGAGTTTTCTACAAGCAACAAGGAATGGGCTAGTTTGAGAACAATGGAAGGGAATCTCAACGGCTTGGCTAAATCCATTGATACCAACGAGGACAAGGTCGAGAAGCTTAAGAAGAAGGGCAAGCGGGCAGAGCCGTCCAAGGTTGCAGAAGCTACTGCAGGTTTGAAGGAAGCTTTGACGAACTGGGAGAGCCAGTCGCCGTTCATTTTCGAGCAGTTTCAGGCTGTGGATGAGGCACGGGTCACCCAGCTCAGAGAATCCCTCACTCGGATGCAAACATTGGAACTCGACCAGATGGATCACCACAAGACCCTGATGGAAGCTACGGTTCAATCACTACTCGATGTGAACACTATTGACGAAATCAAGGCGTTTGCTCACCGTGTGTGCGGTAACAAATCTTCGGCAAGCATCGGAAGCAGGCCGCCTAGTCAGCGGGCCCCTCCGGCTATACAAACACCATCTATTGTAACAGACGACTCGATTAGTGTTCAGTCATCTGGTTCGGCGGAGAAAGGTAAGATTTCAAGTTCTATCCGCTTGAGAATGAATGGACCGAACCACACGCTGACACGGCCGTGGAAACCCTATAGCCAGCCATGGTTTAGGTGGTGGTTTGCGAAGGCTAGGAACCGTTCTCAAGGGCCGCCGGAACAGTTCCATATTTCCGTACCAGAACCAATCGCCCGTTGAACATCGAACTTCCAACGATCGCCTGGGCAGCTTCAGCAAGGCCCCTGGTTTCGGATCCCATTCGCCGAGTGCCTCCGCCCATAATCTCTCGGTTCCTGCTACTGCTGAGGTCAGTTCCACGACTCGCGAACAACCGGAACGACTGGACACATCTGTTTCTCCGGTTAGTCCGATTGCGCCGTCCCCAGCATCCCCGGGTTCGGCTGATGCGACAACGCCGACGCAATCTTCAACCAACCAGGTAAGCAATATATTGCCTTTTAGCAGTATAGACTAAGTACCTAACAAGACCACCTTTCTAGCAAATCACCAAAGATGCTGAAGGGTACAGCGTTCCGCCGCCGCAAAAGAGTCTGGTCGATGAAATCCCAGACATTGAGATGCATGAGTATGTCACATTTCACTTTGTGAAACCAAATATGTAGAGCTAACAATAGCACCTCTAGGCCCGAGCAAGCACCGACCTTCAAGCTCGAGATCAGAAACGATGTCATTCCTGAAGAAGAGGCTGAGGCCGCAGATGCTATGACTAAAGTGGCGACTACTCTCCGAGCGGTAAGTGCGGTGCTATACTCTACAATCTAGTGATCTAGAAAAACTAACGACGAAATAGCAACAAACCGTATCTAAGCGTAATCGCGGCCGTCGAGATGTTAGAAACACTATTTATACGGGCGTACCAGATGCGCCACCTGTTACTGCAATCGCGACAGTTACCACGAATACCCCCGCTGCCCCTCCTGCTGAAACTAACGGAACAGCCAAATCGCCTGAAACCATCGAAGCCATTTCGCCTTCCTTGACAGGAAATAGCGAGACATCCCCGTCTGTCGCTCAATCGACTCCATCATTTAGCCCTATGGCGATCGACACCACCATTCCTACGACATCAACACCGCTGGCGACACCCCTTACAGCATCAACCCTAAATCATTCACTAGCTTCTCCTTTCACGCCCCTGAAAATGGTCAGACAGTCCACATTAGCGTCTGACGCTGGATCGGACACCCAATCTATAACGTCAGGGCTGTCCGCTGCCTCTCAAGGAGCCCAAGCAATCATCAAGCATCCCTCCTTACATGAGCCTGGACTTTCTGCGTCGTTGATTGAGCATGTTAGTGCTCACTTCGAAGCAGGGCAAACGTCCAAGGTCACCGTTATTGGAGAAATCGCTCTGGCCTATAACCCTACCGAAGGCGCGCCTGTGCAGACGAACGAGTCGATGAGATTTGACCAATATGGAATGATGGATAAAATATCATTAAATCAGTCGCATATCACTCCTGGCTCAAAGCCTGGGGAGTATTCGGTATCGCTGGTGAACCTTAGGGGGACAGCGGTTTCATTCCGATACCAATTGAGGATGGACGAGGCTTCGATGCAATCTTGTCCACCGATAATCTTTACCCCGGCTTGGAAGATGGAAACCCATCAAGCATCACTGATCCTCAATTACAAGCCTAACCCATTATTCAACCAAAAACTTTCAGATAGCCCGTTCTCGTCGCCAACTCTACGAAACTTGGTGATTGTGACAGGAATTGAGGGCGCCCAGGCGACCTCGTGCCAGTCCAAGCCGGCGGCTACATTCTTCAAGGATAGATCGAGGATAGCGTGGAGAATTCCCGAGGTAAAACTTGCGGACGAGGCCGGCGGAAAGCTGATAGCCCGGATTTATACGGAAGGCCTGGCGAAGCCTACCCCCGTTGAAGTCCGGTGGGAAATATTTGGAAGTGACGACATCAGGAATGCGGGCAGCGGGGTTGGAATTGAAGTATTCAAAGCGCCCACTGAAGCCGAAAAGGATCCGTTCGCAGACGACATGGAAGATAATGCTGAGCCGAAAGGCGAATGGAAGGAAGTGCACATCGTCAGGAAACTTGTGAGCGGCAAATATGTCGCCGCCTAGAGATTCTTCTTAATACCTAATTACACTGCTTGACTACTTTTACTTTGTCTCTTTTCTTTGCCTCACTCCTTTTGTTTTTGTTTTTTGTTTTTCCTTTGTAGCTGTCGAGTTCTCTTTGCATATGGGTTTTCCTTATTGTCTTATTCTTCCCATTCTACACTCTGTACATTTTCGAACTGGTAGCATTTTCATTTCCTTAAAAGTCGGAGAGCTGCGGTTATATTTAGCTTTTTAGACACTAGTCGTCCTATTAGCATGTTAGTTTACTACAGAGCGAGAGAATAAGAAGAGAACTGGTTTATTAGGCTTTCGGGCCGATTGTTTGACCTATCATATCCGTTCGATTCCGCCGGTGTCATAGATGCATGATGCGTTGACCCGTCGCCAAATTGTCTAAATCCTGTCGCGTGTAGCTTAAAGCTCAACGTCGCGACTTCACACCCAAAAATCTCCAAAGCTTCGCCATCGCATCGCAATTAACCTCCCACGCGCTGCTTAACCTCCACGATGCGATTCCAAATAGAGTACGTCATAACTTCTAGCTCCACAATATGGAAAAGGCAAACTGCTAATCACTATCTAATACAGTGACCTCCCGGTCATCTTTCCGTATCCACGGATATACCCTGGTGAGCCTTCTTCATTTCGGCCAAAAAACGAGATGAGAGGGCAGCAGGAATTGGCTAACCGTTGGGGTTCATAGAACAATTCCAGTCAGTATTAAACTTTTTTACCCTCCAAAAAAAAACCAACATTATGATAAAGATTCTCGCCGGGATGGAGTGGCTTACGAAAGGTCTTCTGAATATATCTACGATGGACCGGGGAGAAAAGATACATGTGTGATTTGAAGAGTCAGTAGTCGGTTAATGGTCTTAATTGTGGTTTGGTTTTGGCGAAGAAGGAATCCTTTGCTAATTAAGTATGGTGGGGGGTTCTTTTTGCAGGAACTCTTGATGCTGGTGGACATTGTGTGCTGGGTATGATACATTTCATATCTTACTGATTTCTTTACGATAGCAATTGCTAATTTATCATATAGAAATGCCTTCGGGCACCGGCAAAACCGTTTCCCTCCTCTCTCTTATCGTCGCCTACCAACAGCACTATCCAGAACATCGAAAACTCATCTACTGCTCCCGTACAATGTCTGAGATCGAAAAGGCGCTTTATGAGTTAAAGGCGTTGATGGAGTACCGCGCGAAAGAGCTGGGCCAGGTCGAAGATTTCCGTGGACTAGGGTTGACAAGTAGAAAGAATCTATGTCTGCACCCTAGTGTTAAGCGAGAGAAGAAGGGAACTGTGGTCGATGCCCGGTGTAGGAGTCTGACGGCAGGGTTTGTGAAGGAAAAGAAGGAGAAAGGCGAGGAGGTGGAGTCGTGCATATACCATGATGTGGGTCATGATCTTATATACCGACGGAGGTTGAGTAGGGGGGTATGCTGACTCAGTGTAGAACTTGGACCTTTTGGAACCACACAACCTAATACCACCGGGTGTCTATACGCTAGACGGAATGCTGAAATATGGCGAGGATCAGAAGCAGTGTCCATATTTCACGGCAAGGAGGATGATGCCATATTGCAACGTCATCATATACTCATATCACTACCTTCTCGACCCTAAAATCGCGGAACGGGTATCAAAAGAGCTTTCGAAAGATTGCATAGTGGTCTTCGATGAGGCCCACAATATCGACAACGTCTGCATTGAGTCTCTAAGTATTGATATAACGGAAGACTCGCTGAGGAAGGCGGCAAGAGGGTGTACAAGTTTGGAAAAAAAGATTGAGGATATGAAATCTACAGATGCCGATAAACTACAACAAGAATATGCAAAACTGGTGGAAGGGTTACAAGATGCAAGCACAGCGCGAGAAGAAGATTCGTTCATGGCAAACCCGGTCTTACCGGACGATTTGCTGAAAGAGGCGGTTCCGGGAAATATACGGCGAGCTGAACACTTTGTGGCGTTCTTGAAGAGATTCGTGGAATACTTGAAGACGAGAATGAAAGTCCTCCATGTGATATCAGAGACACCACCGTCGTTCTTACAACATCTAAAGGATTTGACTTTCATTGAGAAGAAGCCATTGAGGTATGAACGAAAGTTAAGGTAATTCGAGTGCATGCGGCTAACGAAAGTGTGTAGATTCTGTGCAGAGCGTCTAACGTCGTTGATACGAACATTGGAACTATCTAACGTAGAAGAGTTCCAAGCCTTACAGGAGGTAGCGACATTTGCGACACTAGTGGCAACATACGAGAAAGGGTTCTTATTAATATTAGAACCCTTTGAATCGGAGACAGCTACAGTGCCCAACCCCATCTTTCATTTCACATGCCTCGACGCATCAATAGCCATAAAACCGGTGTTCGACAGGTTTTGGTCTGTGGTTATCACTTCGGGAACAATCTCGCCCCTGGAGATGTACCCCAAGATGCTGCAGTTTGATTGCGTGGTACAAGAGTCATATGCTATGACGCTTGCCAGACGGAGTTTCTTACCCATGGTGGTGACGAGGGGTAGCGATCAAGTCGCCATAAGTAGTCGATTTGAAATCCGCAACGACCCCAGTGTGGTGAGAAATTACGGAAATCTCATGATCGAGTTCTCGAAAATTACGCCGGATGGGCTAGTTATCTTCTTTCCGTCGTATCTTTATATGGAAAGTATTATTAGCATGTGGCAGGGAATGGTAGGCTTACTATTATTGGTTCCATCTAGAACAAATGTTTTATCATACTGATTGGATATCTAGGGAATTCTCGATGAGGTGTGGAAATACAAGTTGATTTTGGTGGAAACACCAGATAGCCAAGAAACATCACTAGCGTTGGAAACCTACCGCACAGCTTGCTGTAACGGCCGTGGCGCCGTTTTACTCTGCGTCGCCCGCGGTAAGGTCTCTGAAGGAATCGATTTCGACCACCAATACGGCCGAACTGTCATCTGTATTGGTGTTCCGTTCCAGTACACTGAATCTAGGATTCTAAAGGCCCGCCTTGAATTTCTTCGCGAGAACTTTCGCATCAAAGAAAACGACTTTTTATCCTTCGACGCGATGCGACATGCAGCGCAATGCCTTGGGCGTGTTTTGAGAGGGAAAGACGACTACGGGATCATGGTTTTGGCTGATAAACGATTCGGGAAGAAACGGAATCAGCTGCCCAAGTGGATTGCGCAAGCATTATTAGATTCGGAGATGAATCTTAGTGTGGATATGAGTGTTGCCGCGGCCAAGAAGTTTTTGAGGACTATGGCACAGCCATTTGCGCAGAAGGACCAGGAGGGGATAAGTACTTGGAGTTTGGAGGATTTAAATGCACATATGAGGAAAGTGAGAATCCAGCAGGAAGAGATGGAGAGGATGCAGGTTGATCAGGCCGAAGAGGCTGTGAATGGGAATGGGAGGGATGAGTATGAGATTAGTGACGAGGAAATGGACGAGGCTATGATGAAGTTAGGTTAAGTCGGTCTAGAGTAGGGCCTTTGCTTCCTTGGGTGACATGATATGAGATGAGATGGGACAGCACGATACTGCATATATGGAAGGTGTATCCGGATAGAATGGTATTTAGATCGGGAACTTGTAAATTGTACAGTCAACCTTATGGCCTTCTGCAACTTGTTAGTTAGCTACTTACATACTTACCTAAGGGTTTATATATTTTTCAGCGAGGGATAATCAGATACCTGATGTTTTGAAATCTATTTGTTATTACTTCTCGACTTACCTAACTACCTAAATACCAAGTAAGTAAATAGGTATCTGCTGAAGTAATCGACGGTCTAACATTCGGTGTTGGCGGGTGTTGTAAATGCAGCACAGCGTCATAGCTTGAGCGATTGTTCATAGTGAATTTAGAATGATTCGAACTAACCGAAGCTCAGCTATCAGTTAAAACCCCCACCAAACTCCACCAACCTTAAGTACTCAAAGTACTTATTATCATACTTACCCACGACCAAATCGAAGGGAAAAACCTCTGATCGGAAGAATTACCCAAATAGAAGGTCGACACACCCCGATGAGCAGCAAGAAGCGAACACAGGCAAGCAGCGCGAGCGCTGCTGCCGCTCTCAGCGGTAAAGCCTTTGGTGCATCATCTTCATCAGCTTTCGGATTCACATCTCGAGAACGAACATCGTCGTCACCGTTATCGTTCTTTACCGAGCCGCCGGATATTAAGTCTATCTCGACACCAGCTCAGGTAGTTGTATTTAGTAATCTGCTAAAGAGGGATGATACTACCAAGGAGAAGGCGTTAGCGGATTTATTGGATTATGTGACGGAGCAGGCGACCATTGAGAATGCCATTGTTAATTGCTATGTATGGATTGGGGGGCGTTCCTAAATCTCTTCTCTCTTTCTCCCGTTTTGATGGAGGAGTATCATTGGCTTATAGAATGGTCTTATTGGATTTTTCTTTATCAATTCATTTTAGGTCCAAATATACCCTAGACTTTCCTTCGAGAATACGATCCGTATCCGTCAACTCGCACATAAAGTCCTCGGCGGGATCGCAGAGAAAACTCGAAGAGCGTTCGTGCCATACCTCCCCCAAGTCGCAGGAAGTTGGTTGGCCGGGTTATACGACAGCGATCAATCGGTTTCCGCCGCTGCGACAGATGCGCTCCGACAAGTGTTCACTACCGACGAAAAAATCGGGTTGGTGTGGAAGACATATCAGATGGCTATCATGGACTTTTGTGGGAATGTTAAGGCGAAAGAACAAGTTAATAGCTTGAGCGACGAGAGAAATAATAGTCCTGATGAGATGGAAGCGAAGTTTGCCAGGGTCATGAAGGGGGTTATTATGGCCGCGGCGCATTTGGTTTGTATGCTGCCCTTCCTATAACCTCGACCGTTTTTGGGTACGGTGGCACTGAGAGTGAGGAGGCTATTGCTAATGTAATAATATTATAGCGGCCATGGCGAAAATGGGGACGAATGAACCGAAACATGACGAACCGTATTTATCATTCATGAATGAAAAGCGGTTGTGGACGTTCGCATATCACTCAGATCCATATCTACGGCAGGCGGTGTATAGTTTGTTAAGGACTTGCCTTGTAAACAGGAAAGGTTGGTGGTCTATAAACTTGCATTGTGGAAAAAGTAGACGGCCCATAACAGAACAGTGATTTAGATTATGTCGAACCGGCGTTACATTTTATCGCACCGGCAATGATCGAAAAGGCTCTGACGAGCAACCAACTCGGATCGAACCAAAAGTTCCTAGACACCTTGCTGACATTAAATGAGAGTATGTTGAATGAGTATAACCATTTTCTTAGGAGGCTAGACTAATTATATGTCAAATAGCTTTCCCTGGTTGTTGGGAAATCGCGGCGACAGTGAAAAAACCGACATTTAAAGTTGTCAAGAGATATGTCGCCAAAGGCAGCCAAGGTGCTCCATCGGAATTCTGGTCTAAATTTGTTTCTCTAATCGAGACCCTCCCCGAAAAGGCCCTGCCAAGTATCAACGATGAAGTCCAACAATTCCTAACAGCAATAGTAGATGGCCTAAGCGGCAGTATGGAGCCTAAAGACCACCGTCCCGAAGCTTGGTCCTGCTACTTTCAAATGTGTGCTTTCTTCCTCTCCAAGGACTTCCTGAGCGACAACATTAGAAAGGAAATCGTATCTGTGAATCTTGGAAATCCATTTAAAGCGTTCATTGAACCAAAGGAAGAATTGGCCACATGGAGAATAGGTCTTTCCGACGTACCCACAGTTCTTGCCAAGGCAATGAAGGTAGTGACAGATGTGGACACTCCGTTTGTTAAACAGCAGGTCGAAGGGTTGATTGGTGAGCTTGCTAAGCAAGTTGAGGCGGCGGTAGAAGCCTCCACAGTCGATGACGCTGCGGCTCTTGAGAAGAGTTTAGCGGCGGTGGATGCGTGGGCCCAACTAACGGCAGCGATGTATCACACTCTCGACAAGAAACATTGGGCTATTCTGGCATTGAACAACGGTGAACAGGATCTATTAAGATATTCGGTGAACAGCTCAAAATCTAGCCGTGGCACTAATGTTGCAGCGGCAGCTCTCGCAGCATCGATATCTAAATCTGCAAATAGCACCATCCGAAGAGATGCTAGCTGTAGGGTTGCTCTACACGGATATCTCGTCGAGGATTCGCAAACTTTGGTTGCTAGTCCTGCTCGAGAGCATTTTTTCAATACCTTATTTGCCTACCAAAAATATTGGGATAGCTCGAGTGGGCATGGAATTCTAGAGGAAACTGTTGATCTGCTAGTCATTTCGCAGAACAGGGAAGCAATCTTGCAGTTCATCTATAATTTTGAGAGGGCCCATACGAAAGCATGCGTTCAGTCTGCGAACCTCGATGGGTATTTACGACACGAGTGCGAGCAAGCTTTGACTGAGGCAGATGAAGCTTCTTGGAAGATGGTCATCGTTGCAATTCAGGCGCCCGAGTCGCTAGTATCCAGGCAATTAAAAGCAGATATGGCTGTCAAACTTGCAGAGAAACTGCACAAAATTACCATCGACAGAAGTTACGACGTTACCCTGACAGGAAATATTTTGACGGAGCTGTATCGTGTACCTGCGGCAGTTTTGGCGAGTATCAGTCAAAGCTTAAGACGGGAGCTTATCACTACTCTATTATTGATTTTGGAAACCGCCGGGGAAGATAATATTAAGAAAGCTGATATATTATTCGTCAAGCTCTGCGGTGAGAAGAGTTTGAATGATCCAGAGGTTAATCAAATTCGGGAGGGTATTGCGTCGACATTGGCTAGTCTGGTACTCGAACCAACTGACGGTAGTTTCATAAGGTATGAACGTGGGATCATGATGAAATATTGTTCTTGGTGCTAACTTAGTGTATAAAGTATCCGATTACTCGTGAGCAAGGCTTTATGTGTTCTATCACATGCGGACTTGTCGAGGGAAGGCGATCTTACGACAGCGATGTCATACAATGACGAAACTTGGAGGAAGCATCTGGAATTGGTGTTCCAGACTCGTCCGGATGCTTCGCTAAGTGCCATTAGGCCCCTCGGAGATTCTGTCTTCCTCGTTGATCCAGTTGAAGACTTCGAAGAAGCCGAGGAAGTATTGGATAGTGATAAACTCAGCGTCTCTATGCGTATGGCAACATTCATGCTTTCGGTGTTATCCAGAACCGAAGGTTCGACACCTGGCGATAATACGCAAAAGAGAGTAGCAGCTTCGATAGTTAAGATTTCACCGGGACTTCAATGGCCTTTCCTTAGGTACTCTTTGATTGTTGCCGAGGTTGTAGCCGATAAACTTGGAGTCCCAGATGAAAGCACACCTCTCAAGCGGACAGTACTCGAGGATCTTGCGAGTAGCCTCGAAGCCGTGAGATATGCTGCTGTTCAGGATTATACAACTACTCAGAAGCTACTGGCGGTAGGAAATGGTAAGAATGGTATCAATTTTGTGAATTCGACACTGCTCGGGTTGTCTGAGCAGAGTACGGTCCTTCCTGTCACCCCTGAAGCGTACTATCACGCTCGCGCGTTAAGGTCGCTTGTAGAGGTGTTACGCCATAAAGGGGTAACAGGTAAGGACGCAGTTCTATGGGTCGATAACCTGGAAATTGGGAAGAAGAAGGATGATAAATTCATTCTTAGAGATATTGCGGTGCTGGCGGGCTTGAGGGATGATACTTTTACCGTTACACCGCTAGTTGTTCAGCTCAGAAACAGGCTTGTTAGCGATGTATCTGGGATTGAAGCTGAAGATGCCATTGAGAAAGGTATTTTTCTGTTTCAACCTCATGGGGTATTAGCTTTCTAACAGGACTTTAGCATTCCCGAAACTCTCGCTTTTGAACGAGATGTGGACATCGGACCTTGTGGAAAATTCCACTGACGTTCCAGCCCAACGAGGTCTGTTACTTATGAAGAAGGTATTGAGTTGGCTGAGTGAAGAACTTCCTCCCGAGGTTTTGGCCTTGCAGTCTCCTGGTCTTCTGTGTGCTATCATGCGAATGTCGAGAAAGGTGCTCCCAGTTCTTAGGAAGCTCCAGGGTTCATTTTGGCATGATTTGTTTGCTGTGATGGAATATTCTTTCTCGGTATTGTAGCCAACAAATTTACTTTTGTCTATATCATACTAGGAGCTAATGACGAATTATAGGCGATGTATAACAGCCTCGGAGACACAGTCGCTACGTTGCTCTCCACTTTCTCTGTCTACGAAGTCATCAAGGAAATTCGAGCGACAAATCAAGAGGATGAGTTTGTCAATGATGACCTTTCAGATGCATGGGATTGGTTTCTTCCAAGATTTTATCGTATCTGGTTGACATTATTGACCGATGTTGCCGGTATGTCCGATAGCTTTCTAAGACTACTTCATGGGTTTTGTACTAATGAAGACACAGCACCGCTTCAAAATGAAGCGTTTAAGGGATATTGCGGAGCCCTCTCTAGAGCTCTCATGAATATGCCATTACACTTTCTTGATGATCCCGCAGCTGTTGGCCCACGCCCCACCGTTAGCAAAGAAGACAGGGACGAAGCCGAAGATTCACGCCCGAAATCTGAGCAACTATATCAACTGCTAGGAGGGAATACGGATGATGTTCAAGGGGTCGCATTTAACCTTTTACATCGCCGAATTCCGCAACTGCAGGAGCAAGTATCCATTGATGCTGCCCTGTCAAAGGATGAGGTCTTGGAGATTTCCCTGCCAGATGAGCTACTATCGCTTCTGCTTGATCCTCCGGTTGTTGAAGAGGATGCAATACTCAATCCGACATTGTTGGAGCAGTTAGAACTACAGAGGATTCAAGGGTATCTTAGTTCTTGGGTGTTGGTTTATGATCATTTCGTCAATTCGGTAGGCGTTCCCATTGCCCTGAACGGAAGTGCGCTATATCCCGGTTAATACTAACCATCGACCACAGTCCTTCCGTATCAAAGCGTCATATGTTGAAAGTTTAAAAGCCGGGGAGTATATTCATAAACTCCTAGACTTCATTTTCAAAATCCTAGGCCACGCACGTGCGAAACCAATTGATGGTGCCAAATACCCTGTCGCGGCATTTGATCCCACTTTTTCGGCGTATGGAGCGCCGGATTTGCATTACATCAGAACCTTGATGATCTACGTCTATTACCTATCCCTCCGATATTCCCCATCGCTGGTAAAAAATTGGTTCAGCGACTCGAATAACCAGGTGAAGGATAATGTTCTGCCATTCACGGATAAATTTATTTCACCACTTCTTGTCGATCTCGAGTTTAAAGAGGTTGAAAAATGGCTGGACGGCACGGATGAGAGGCCTGAGGGATTGGCTATAAAGATTAGTAGGACGGCAAGGGAGATTACAGTTACCTACGAAGTTGATGAGACGACTATGGAAATGATGGTTAAGCTGCCGGCCAGCTTCCCACTGCAGTTGGTAGAAGTTAAGGGAGTTAGGAGAGTGGCAGTTTCGGAGAAGCAGTGGAAGACGTGGTTATTGGCGTGTCAGGCTGTTATTGCGCTTCAGGTACTTTACTTTACTTAACCCCCAAAAAGCCGGCAGAAGTCCTCTTCGGGTGATGAAACTAACGAATTTTAATAGGGCGGATCAATCGTGGACGGACTAACGTTATTCCAGAGGAATGTGAAATTACATCTAGATGGGGTGGAGGAGTGTGCTATCTGCTACTCTATTTTGGCACAGGTGGAACGGACTCTGCCATCGAAGGCCTGCGGAACTTGTAAACGCAAGTTCCATGGGAACTGTTTGATGAGATGGTTCAAGTCGAGTAGTACGAGTTCTTGTCCTCTGTGTAGAAGCTCGTTCCAGTTTATTTAGGCCAAGGGGCATTGTATACAATTGGATACTTGCATACTAGTTAAGTGGGTAGCTAGCTTTAATATTAGCAATAAATCTTGGTTACTCTCCAGATCCAATAACTGAAGGGATACTTTGTATAATGAATTTGTTGTAATTTTTGCGTTGCCGAACTTTCAAGCTCGCTCGCTAATCCGACCCGCGATCAAGTAAGCTCCTTTTGAGCTTGCGACAAGCACTCTCGCGACTTTCCCCATCCTCCAATTCCCTCCGCATCATAAGCCAACGTCACTTCGACTGAAATCCCACCCCGAAATATACCTCCGAATGAGGTATCTCAATCGTCGCCTCCGATAGTCCCGTACCAGTAACAGCAGCAGCAGCAGCAACAGCCATGGTGCTCTCCTTCATTCTTATCCAGAACCGACAGTATGCTCTCTCCCACCACGGCAGCTAAACCCGGGATTTTAGCTACAATCTTAAATCTATAACCATGAAATTGGAGGGAAGGGTCGCTCATTTATTTTCTATTTTTTGATATAAATATATAGGGGCAAAACGCGACTGGCAAAGTGGTACGCTCCGTATGATGTACATTTTGCCTTTGCTTTTATTCCCCCCCATCTGTTTCTGTTAAGGCTATTTGGAGGGTTATTGTGGACTTTCTAACCGGGTTGGCGATGTTTTTAATTGGATTAATTAGGACGATGAAAAAGTTAAGCTAAAGGGCGAGGTGGGTATTTTTCTCTATATTACTTGTTTTATATATGGGATTGTACTAATATACTTCTACAAATTAAAGGTCCACCGCCTCGTTGCTCCACGAGATCAAAAATACCAATCAAACTTCGTCGAGGTACGGGGCTTCAAAAAATCACTTCTAATGTAAACATAACAATCCCCATGCTTATTTTCAACTCACCCGGGGTGGGAGGGATAGTTCCGAAACAACAAAATTGTCTACCGTCGTTACGCCGGTCTCTTCTTCTGCGTCTGTGTCGATGCGAATGATAACGAGTTAGCATATTTGGAAGCGATCCACTTCTTCGTCGAAGTACTTGATGCCTTTTTTGGGAATGTTTGTGAGCTGGATTTGGGTATGTCTTTCTTTTTATTATATCTATTTTAATATAAGGAGTGGTTGGTACGACGGAGGAGAGTGCTGATAGTTTGGGGGTTTAGTATTCAACTTCTATAAGGTCTATGCGATATTGGATGAAGTCTTCTTAGCGGGTGAGATTGAAGAAGCATCGAAGCAGACGGTGTTAACAAGATTAGAGCATTTGGATAAGTTGGAGTGAATGGAGACTCTCGCCTTAACCAACTTTAAACAAAAAGGGATATTAATAAATACTAGTAATAACCAGATTGTATTATACAAATTTTACCCAAAACTTTCTTTTCCCTTATCCTTCTTCTCTTGATTAGAATAAAACCCTATATATATATATATGCTACTTTTAATGCAACTTCGATAGATTTGTTATAACCCCCTCGCCGCTCTTCTTAGCGCATCCACTCGTTCCGGTAGGCCGCCGGATTGGCTTAGTCGTCTAACACCGGCTCTGTTCTCCCGATGTCGGGATTGTACCCGCTTTAACGGCTCCGGTATCCCATCCCCTGCTTCTCCGTCTTCAGTGTCAACATCTTGTTTCCTTGTCGAAGATATGATCCTAGTCAATCTATGATGATTTCCTTCTCCGTGCTGCTGTTGTTGCTGTTGCTTCTGTTGTTCGGGTTCCTCCTCCTTCGTAGGTTTTTGTTTCTCACCCGCCGGTGACAGTGACAGTGGCGGTAGAGGTGATGGGGGCGGTGCACCATCTATACCGCCGCCACCGATACTAATCTGCCTAACCCACTCTCTATACGTCGGTCTCGACAATAGTCCCACTCTGAATTCCGCCGCCCCTCTCAGTAACTTTGTCAGATCCACCAGTTCTTCAAGCCATTCTATAACCTGTTCTAACGCCGCTGACGAAGCATTATAACTCATAAACTCGACTCGGAGAATTCTTTTGGCGGTATCTTCGGCTTCTTGGGCTTCCGTGATGTTTTCATTGTTGTTGTTCGTAGATACTGATTCCATGAGGATCTGGCGGACACGATTGACCATACGCAGTTGTGCTAGGCGGGCGGAGGGGAAATATTGTGGTAGTGGGAGTTTGCTAGTTAGTGCTTCGTGTACAGCATATAAGGTTATTGTTATTGCGGCAGCCTGTTTGTGTTACTGTTAATTCGATGCCATGGGGATACCAAGGACTGGAGATACTTACCACATTACGACGGTACTTGTACACATAAACCTAAAAGACGTCAGAATTACTTCTTAAGGTCAGAGAACAAATATCTTACGTAGTAGTTTTCTAGAACCGCAGAACCAAGTTGCAGTCGAAGTTGTAACACGTTCTCCATCCTATCGATTATTTGATGAAGGACGTATATGATCTAGATTATTGTTCATTAGCGAGGTCATACGATAGTGGAAGTGCAACCTCACCTCTTTATATATCATCTTGTCAGTTGAAAAGCTGCCCTTAATTCTCGGCTCTTGCGTAGACACAGTCACTGCCCGCATATTAGTCTTTAAAATATTATGACATGACAAGAGAGACAAGAACTTACAATAAGCAGAAGCCGCAGCTAACGAGACATCCGCCTTCTTCCTAGCCTTATAAAATGCCTTGACCGCATTCTCATTCGCCAAATCCTCGATATTCGTGGTCTGGTCGACTCCAAATGCAATCGCACTTTCCATTTCATTGATTTTTAACACCGCAAGCCCAATCGTCTCCACGAGCTTAACTCGAGCTTTAACAGGGAATATAACCGTTTGAACAATCACTGCCGCAGACCCACCGATTATCATCGCTATCGCTCTTTTCAAGCAGTTTTCCAGTGCAGTACCCCGGACTGTGCCTGGTATGTAGTCTATCGATGTACCCACGGAGACGACAACCATGGAGATGGTTAAAACCATCCCGGCTTTGACGTAGCGGGTATTAAGTTGAATATAGAATGCGACCAGGAAGCCAAAGTAGAGCATTACGGCGACGACATATGGGTTTCCCCTTCCTGCACTCCAGGCAGCGTAGCCCCAGAGGGAGCCGATAATAGTGCCGACGGTTCTGTAGGCGAAGACCTGGACAGATGTGCCTACAGAGTTTTCGAAAACGAGGATGTAGATAACTATCACCCATACTATTTGTAACGACGTTTAGTTCACGATTGTAGGAGATTGGGCCGAGGAAGAAAACTTACACCCGCGGTAGGTATAGAAGAAAATTGAGAATTCGGGAACGAAAGCGGGCCAACTGAGAAGCATGGCCCCAATGGCGAGTTTGAGAGCGTAGTGTAAATGGGGACTTGTAACGACCCAATCCACAACGTCAGCCAATGCACCTCGTAGACGTGTAGGCCACGATTCCGGTTCTTCTCCTTCTTCTTCTTTGCCCCCTTTCCTTTCGGATTTTTGGGCTTCGGGGTTCTCTCCTTTCCCTCCTTTAGACTTTCCCCCCTCAGCTTTCTTGTCGGTCTTTTTGTCTGTTTTCTTCAGAGATCCTTTCTTGCTATCGGTCCCGGATCCGTCCTTTTTCTGCTGGGTAGCAGCTTTTTGGTCTGCATTTCCAGCTCCGGCAGTCTTCTGATAGCGAGATACGTTCTCCCTAGCATTAGTATCGAGGGTTTCACTCTGTTCTGCAGAACCACTGAACAGCCACTTCTTAGACTTGAAATCGGGCAAATGAAAACTTTTCTTCCCCTTGAGCCCATCATACTCTTCAACCATGTCCCTCCCTTCTTTCAGCATATCCAAGGTGGTTTGCCTATGAGTCCATATTCGTTAGAGAGAGAATACAACCAAAGAGCAGATTGGAATCAACCCACGCGGCAATCCTAAAGTTCAGCAAAAACGAACTAACAAGGAAAATCTCCTCACGGGGGAGAATATCAAATTCAACCTCTTCCTCCTCGCTGGCTTTTTCGGCAGCTTTATGCAGCGCTTCCCTTGTTTTCTTATCAAATTCCACAAGCGCGACTTCAGTAGCATTAGTGTAGATGTCGATCTCCTTTAGGAGAATGCCCTTCGGTTTTCGAGATTGGTTTTCAGGTGTTATCGGGACATCCTATAGGAAACTTAGTATCTTTCTATAACATACCTAATATCAGCGGGGTAAAGACGTACGCACGAAAATTCAATGCATGCAATTAAAGCAGTGATACTTTGCCGTAGAGTAGTCCTTATTGTTGTCAACGGCTCATCGACCCTACCATATTCATCGTTTTGTTAGCGCAAAATGTACCTTCCCGTAAAAATCCACAAAAGAACATACCTCTCAATCAAATGCTTCAAAAACTCCTCATCTGCAACTTCGGCCTCTCTTTTAGGTCGAATAACCTCCAGTTTCTCTTTGATCGAGTCCATATCACTTTCATCATCATCCTTCTTTTCTTCTTCTTCCTCTGCTGGCTCTTCCTTTTTCTTCTCCTCATTATCATCCCCCAAAATGATGTGCTTTGTCTCGCAAGCTCCTATTAGTGTAAGCGTTGAAGTAACAAGAGCATCTAATCCCTTCGAGCTGATGGGGTGAAGTTTAGCGGGGGCTAAACAAGAATAACCTATTTCGAAAGAAGTTTCTTTTAGGGTAGCTTTTGATGATGCAACGGCTTTTCGAAGTTTTTCTCTAGCGGAGAGGAGTTTTTTTAAGGGGTCTTCCTTTTGTTCCCCCTCCTCCTCCTCTTTGTCATCGTCTTTGTCGCTGTCTTCATCCTTGGCTTTCCCATTCTTCTCCTCTGTTTTAGATAAGGTCTTCCGAACTCCATCAGTCGGCGAGACGAAAAAGTCAGTAGCATCTTTGAGTGTCTCAAGCGCAAGCTCCAAACCCTTAACCGTCACAACAGCAACTTTTCCAGAACTGAATTCGGGAAAGACCAATATATTCACGAATGTGCAGATCAATATACCCGTTAGGAACGGATACAAAAAAGTAGTTGCGACTTTGGCACTGAATTGGAAGTTTGGAGTTGTCTATTTTCAAGTTATAATTATTATTTAGAATCCAGAAACTCGAAGAAATGGAGAGGGAGACTGACCATCTGAATAATCACCGTAAGTAAGAACAACAGTACACCCACAAATATCTTGGGGATTTTGCTGCGCAGATAGCCATGCACCAGCAGCGAAATGACGAGAATTATAACACGGAAGGCATGAGCATTCTCCACGTTGTTTCTATAGATTAGATCAGATACATAAGATGCGAATGTGACCCTGTTTTTACAATTCATTATCAGTAGATGTAATGTTTTTATTTATCTTGATATTTAATTTTTGTTTCTTTATTGGAGGAGGAGGATATGTGTAAATACCATCCACTTCCAACCAGGGCCCCAACCAATGCAAATACAATGGTCTCAAGCATCGCCCCGAGGTTTCTACCGGGGTGGCCGAATCTACAATTGGCATAATGGGTTAGAAAATCTTCTGAGAGTCCGGGATGGGAAAGGGGACATACACGGATACTATAGCGCCCAAGAAGACGGCAGGACCGTATTCCAATGCCACCGCTGGTATCTACCGATACATTAATATTTATTCCAGGGGGTTTATCGTCAATAAACTCAGAAAGGGTTTATACTTACAAGACATATTATCACTGTATTCCAATAATTTTATTATTTTAATTTCATAAGTTAATTCAACAACTTTACGAAGCTTCGAAGTTGGGATTAATGCTGAGGGAGGATAACATACGGGCACACTCCGTAGCAATCGAGCATTTCAAGATATGCTGCCAAAGACGGTCTGTTGTATTTTGAACCCGCAGTTAGCCATGCACGCCACATATATTATCCTGCATGTAAGTACTTAAGTACTTAGGCAGGTACTTTGAGTACAGCAGTAATAGATCCTGAAGCCAACCTTTTTTGAGGTCGGCCTTTAATTGTTTAAACCATTCTTTTACTTTATCGATCTGAAGGGTCATCCACGATTCTTTGTGCTCGTCGTCGCTCTTGCCCTTGCCGACGTTCTGAGGGTGACTCGAATCGCCATTTGCGTTCGCATTCGCATTGGCTTTGGAATTGGCTTTGGAATTGTCATTGGAAGAATTAACGTTGGATTCGAACATGGTCCATGCATCGAGTTATAATTATATCCCGGTAGAGGTAGTACACCCACCCTCTTGGCAGGGGACTGATTGATTGATCGATCGATTGAATGATTGAATGATTGAATGATTGTTATTGAAAGGGAGGAAGAACAATTACGAAGATTAGATTCCCATTTGACAATTTCATGAATTCGAATCGGCTATAGTAGCAGCAGGCTCGGGAACAACCCGGATCGTCCACAAGTACCTAATTACTAAAATCAAAACACTCCAAGACTTTGCATAGCATTCATTACCGGCCAAGTACCTAAGTAACCAGGTGCAGGTGGTAGACACAGAATTCCAAGTCCCAAATGCAAGTGCTGACTAAGCGAATCAACAACAACAACGCTTCGTCACCAACACGCGTTGAAGCATTAGAACAAAAAAAAATCCTACTTGATGAAGACCACGATCATGAGACTTCCACGATAAAAGAATAAGAAAAACAGGAGAATAAGAAGAATAGGAATACGAGTAAGAATAGGAATAAGAATAAGAAATGTCACAATACTCGGATCTCACAACCGACGATCTAATCTGGGAAGACATCGACCCGCCGCTGTCACCGCCGTCGGTCCAGCCGCCGCCCGAGCAAGAACATGCGTTTCTTAACAGTATTACGCAGCGGGTTACGCACCAGATTACCAACATCAGCCTGCACCGTTTGGCAGCCTATATCGAGCCTCTGCGCGATCGTTTACTCTCCGCCCTGCATTCCATTCACGGTACCTACCTACCTACTTCCACCCACTTCTTAAAAAGTCAACGGAATAACTGAAACTAAAAAAAAACTTCCTTCATTTTTTTTAAAAAATTAAATATTTATATAGTCAAGGATATACTACTCGAAGTCCAGAATAATCAGAATTACCAACTCGTCATTCTCGCCGTTTTATTCGTATTCCCGATAATCCTGCTCCTCCGCGCAACAATGGCCCCGCCTTCACCCCTCCTTGTATAACCCACACCCATCACCACCATCCCCTCTCTCTAAATTTTAAATTATATTATACTAATCAATTTTTTGAAATTTTTGAAATTTTTTTTATTTAAAAAAAATGATAGTCAAAACTCAAAGTCGCCCTGAAACTCTGCATCTCCCGCCTCCGAATGGTCCAACAAAAAGAAACAGCAATAGCAAAGATAAACCGCCGCGCTCTCGCTGCAATCATCGAATCCGGAAAAATAGAATCCGCCAAAATCCGTGTCGAAAACATCATCCGCGAGGATATCAATGTCGAACTACTGGAAATCCTAGAGTTATATTGTGAATTATTACTCGCCCGTATAGGTCTCATGGAAGCCAAGGAAGTCGACCCGGGTCTAGAGGAGGCTATTCAAAGTGTCATCTATGCTGCTCCTAGAACTGATGTTAAGGAATTACAGACCGTGAGAGGTCTGTTGATGGAGAAATATGGGAAGATTTATGCTCAAAGTGCCATGGAGAATGCGGAAGGAAAAGTGGCCGAGAGGGTTGCTAAGAAGCTAAGGGTCGAACCGCCTAGCCCTGAATTGGTCGAATTGTATATGCAGGAGATCGCGAAAGCATATCATGTGCATTACCCGCTCGGTAACCTGGAGGAACAATTAGAAGACGTAGCTGCCGCCGCTGATGACGACGACGACGATCAGCCGGGTTCTGGGGCGTTATTGGAGGAACCCCTCGTGGTGGAGGAGGAGTTATCGCACGCTGCCACCCCGCCTAGGAAGATCAATCTTGGTCCTAAATCACCGATTGCTATCGCGCCCGCTAGTCCGACAACGGAGAATGTGAGGCCACAGGTTAGGTTGCCCGATAGGACGGAACCGAAACCTGCTGCATCTGCATCTGCATCTACTGCTGCTCCACCCCGGACACCGCAGAAGAAGGTCGCCGCTGCTCCTGCTCCGAGGAAACCGGCTGGGGCAGAAGTTGATCAGGATCTACTAAGACGGTTTGCAGCGTTGAAGCAGGTACCCAAGGATTGATTGGAACCAGAGTTGGAATTGGAGACCACGGTGTTTTTTTTAACTTACCTTTCTTTTTGGATTGCAGCGACCTTTTTATTCCCAATGCTTCGCCACCTTTCTTTCTTTCTTTCCTTCTTTCTTTTTTTCTGTGAATGCGATCTATACACAATACGATATCCCGTCTAATTCCATGTTTGATGTAAAAAAAAACAAAGGTAAAATTATTACAGGAAATGTGTCCATATCTCTAATATGCTGGTTTACGCTTATACTACACGGGAAATCCAGATGGCAACCTAGCAAAAAAAAAAACCAAAAGTGTACAGTTACAGAAGAAGAGGAAGAAGAGGAAAGAAAGAACCTACGGCTTCCCTGCCTCAGGGCTCTTCTTCGCTGTCTTCCATTTCTTAATCTTCTCTCCCAGATATCTCCATGTCTTCACAAAACCCGTTGTAAAAAATCCCTTAAAACTCTGACTCGTACTTGGCCAATTTATCGTTCCCTTGATAACGTTCTTGACCTCCTTTCTTATATTCTCCATATCAGCTGCTATCCTTTGTTCGAACTCCCCGCCTTGTCTACCTTCCATCATCTCCTGCTCTTCCGACGTCCCCACCAGTTTCTCAAACTCCAATTGCGGGATCTGCCATTTCCGTTGATACTGGAAATATAACCTCTTCCTAAATGTCTTGGGTAACCTCCTCACCATATTCCCTCTTCTCACAACATCCATATCCTGTAACAATACCGTATCCTTTGGCGCGTTCGCGTGAGGATCATTTTTGAACACTAGATTTGGCAGGGTATCCACCAGCGGTGCATATAGTGACCTGAAATTCGGTAGTTGATTGGATACTATATTTGCGACTTTGTGGGGGTTTTCGGTGAATAAGTTCATCCGTGGGTCGCCGAGATACGAGATCCCAGCGATTGTATGATAGAGTTGTTGCTCTGTAAATTCTTCGGGGAGGAGGAGAAGAGCGACTCGCAAGGCAGAGAGAAGATTGGCCTGGTTAGCCAGACGTACGCGGGCATCGTCGCGCAGGATTTTGACCTATATTTCACATTAGCATCTTATCCTAATATTTGTTTTGTAATATAAAAAGCGAGGAGGAAATACCGGCTTGTGCATTCGCCCCGCGAGGTACAGCGTCTCCCAGTCTGCCAAATCCCTACAAAAAGTATCCAGATTCACGACGCCGTATTTGATCATCATCCCATTGACCTCAACATAAGTGTTAAAATAAACCCCAGCTCCGAACCCATCCTGGACCTTTGCCACTACCCCACTACCCATCTTCCCTAAAAAACTATAATGATCTCTATGCTCCGTCAAATTCAAGCTGTGCCAATGCTGAGTATACGTAACCCCGAAGATTAAATCGACCATGGGTTTGTCTTTCGATGATGTCCCTTGTGAGAATACACCGGATCCGTATGCGAACGCATATCGTATGGGAGCTTTGAATTCCCATAGAAGATGACGGAGGGACCGACGGAGGTCATCGTTGATGGACATGTATTGATTTGCGCCGAAGGATTGAGGAAGGGTACGGTAGTCATATTTGGAAGAGTCGTAGACGGGTTCTTGGGTCTCATATGTGAATAAAGAGTTATTGGCAGTGTCGGAAGAGGTAGGCGTTACCGATGATGATAATGATTCTGATGACGACGATGGCTTTTCTTGGTGGTAGGTCGGAGTCGAGACAAGGTTACGACGGTGTATTTGCGGGTGATGGTATTTTTCGGGATACGAGGAAGAAGAAGAAGAATTGGACTTGTTGAATGCGAGGCAACCAGGAGCTGGGACGAGGAGACCGTATCGGAGTACCGAAGCCGCGAGTAGTCGAGCTGCGGGCCGGGCGGCCGATGTCCCCAATGTCATTTTGTTTTATTCTTCCTGATGGTTTGATAAAATTGGGATGTTGCTGTTGGTCGTCAATTCAAATGCCGATGAGAAATGAAACATCAAAGCGACCTCAATTAGTCGTCATATCAGATAAGAACTGCCATATTTTGGTAGTATTATATAATATAAGACCTCCCCCCTGTACTTCTGGCTATGGCTGGTGGATACGATGGAGGAAGAATGACGTTGGAAAATCTAGGTGGGAGGGTTTTGAAGTCTTGGATTGTCCCCTGCTAATTGTTCGGCTAATCGTGGCTTCCCGTCTGTCCGTTAGTCAGACATATGTACATACTTCCTGTTAGAAAGCCCAATTAACAGGTCTTGTTTCCCCCCCTTGCATGTGTCTGGGAATCTCTCGGGCTAATCTAATTGGTGTGTGATTACTTACCAAAGTACTTAGGCAATGAAGCTATTGCTTACTGAAGTACCTGGTTGGGGAGGCTCCAAACTAGACATCTAGCAGGCACCATTGCGGCTTATGCATATATAGTACCTCAGCCCATACGTACTTAAATAAATACGTGATTTCCTGTATTGTATAAGTGTGTGTATGTATGTATGTAGGCACTTAAGTATGTATGTACGTATGTATGTGTGTATGTATGTATGTATGTATGTATGTGGGTACTTAGGTACTTATCTAAGTATGTTATGTATGATAGTGTACACCTTCCTTCCTCACTCAGTTATATAGTACAATTCCCTCCCTCTCCGAAATCTACACCCAGAAAGGAGCAGAAAGGAGTAGAAGGAAGTAATTCTCTTCTTCGAACCCAGTCGAATGATCGATCGATAACAATGCGACCCGGGAAAAAAAGAACAGGGGAAGGAAAAAAAAAGGGGGGAAAGGAAAAAAAAAAAAAAAACAATGGTATAATGGGAACTGCAATTGAAAAGAGTTTGAAAAAAAAATGGTATCTCGTAGAATCGAATGTGTCGAACAGAAGTGAACAGGGAAAGAAAAGTTACACAAAAGAAATAAAAGGGAGCGGGCAAAGAGAAACAGATTACGAAGGGGGTGTGGCAGATTAGAGAATACTCATGTCATAACACATCAAGCTGCGCCCTTCGTGTACAGGACACTGATGTTGCGCAACCGCTTAGCTTAGCTTTGGTTTGGTCTGATTTGGTTTCCAGGATTACAGGAGGTTGAAAGAGGAAGGAAAGAAGGGAAATACATCCCGGAAGCTATAACAGGATGATATGGAAGAGAAAGGGACGAGACTATAAAAAGTAGCACAGAGAGCTACATGGTTGAGGTTTGTGTTTCGACAACTGTTGTTAGTGCCTGTTATAATATTCTGGGCGAAAAAAAAAGAGCAAGTAAAAAAAGAAACAAGGGCCGTCCAGGATTAAACATTTGTTATTGTCGTGACGATATAATAATATCAAGAAAAAAAGTAGGTAGTAAACACCATTGACATGAAAACAAGAGGTTTTGAGAATAATAGAAAGAGTAAAAAGAATATATGGTCGGTTCCTTGGCGTTAGAAAGCCCGGTCCTGACATACGGGAAAACCTTAGTCGAGACGCACCAGACCTGACCTGACCTCGTCATAGAAAAGTTCCAAAGATTACCAAGGCTAGAAAGAAAATAAGCAGAACTCCGAAAGACTCCCCGGTATCCAAACAAAGTATGACAGGTCCTGCCACACAAACATGATATGAGCGAAAAGTAAGATTGGAATTCCGGTGAGATTATCTACAAGGCGAAGACTGCATGGGCGATGGCGACCATTCCGAGAGCAAAGACACTCGGTCCGACAAAGGAAGCAGCATTCTCCTTGGTTTGGCTGGGCGATGGCTGGGTCATATCTGCAGTTGAAGATGCACCGTTGGTGAACAACGAGGCATCAGCTGTAGCATTGGCCAGACCCTGGTTGACAGGAGTTAATGTCGGGGTGTACGCCTTGGTAGAAGATGTCGTATTATGAACGACGGGGAGGGAGTAGCTGATGCTAGTTGATGTTGTTGAGGATTCGGTGCTGGTACTTGTTGAGGATTCGGTGGTAGATTCAGTGGTGGAGGTCGAAGACTCCGTGGTGGAAGTCGAGAGTATCGAAGTCGAGGTGGAGGTAGTGGAAGTCGAGGTGGAGGTGGAGGTGGAGGTGGAACTGGGTTCCTCGGTGGTGGTGGTTGGGGGTTCATCGGTGGTAGTGAGCTCTTCGGTGGTGGTGGTTCCTTCCTCGGTGGTAGTGGTGGTTGGGTCCGGGGTAGGTTCCAAAGTTTGCGGGTCAGAGGATGGAAGTTCAACCTCGCCCACCGGAACAGCAGCAGAATCGTCGTCACCTTTCCCGGCGGGGAAGGTTACCAGGATGGCCTTGCTTCCCTTGGGAGCAGTGACGACGCAAAAGTTGGCGCCACCGGCACCATTGGTCGAGGAACCACCGTCACCATTAACTTCGTTGACGGCATCGGTAGCCGGGTCGATGATACAAGGGAGACCATTGCATTGCTTTCCTTCCTCGCAGACGATCTTGATACCCCAGTCCGGGCGCTCGTTCCTGAATGGAGTGGTGGGCTCGAGATAGATTGGATTCCAACCAATCTTGGTGAAGGTGTTGCCGTTGTCGTCAATGTTGGCACCGGCGACGTAAGGGGCCCAGTTGCCACGCGGATGGGCGGTCGATCCCCAGATGCAGCCTTCTTCCACGGATACACCGGGCGGGTTAATATAGTAACTGCGGGCGCGGCCAATCGTTAGCGAACGCACTACAGCCCATGCTGCAACCACGCTACAAGAATATAACGTCGCAGGATATTTATAAATTCAAAGGAAACGGAAACGGGAACGGAAACGGCAGAACTTACTGTGCAGCAGTGGCGCACCAGTACTCGGGGCCGGGGACAGCAAGAGTGGCGAATGATCCCGTATTGACGACGGTCGGGATTAACATGTCTTCTCGGCCAGGAAGGACGGTTTGACAAATGGCGACAGGTTGGGAGAGGAGGTTATTGGCGAGAAAGGTTCCGGCACCAGGATAGCAGAACTCCTTTTCAGGGAATGGGACTGAGATTTCACCATCATTGTCGCAGAGAAGACCACCGTTCTGTATAAACAATTGTAAGCACTTGGTTAATTGTCGCAATTGAGGATGATTTGAAGGAAAATACCAACCATGGATTGAGGGTAGGTGTATGTGACGGCATCAGGGTCCCACTGTCCCATGAGATAACCAGGAGGACAAGCATAAGGACAATACATGCCGGGTTGACATGGTTGATCCGGAGGAAGAGCCCATCCACCATTCATTTGACTCTTTGAGACAGCGACCATCCTGTTTTTGTCTGGGAATTGACAGGCCCGACCACCATTTCTTTTCTCGAGGGTTCCGGCCTTGTCGGTCTTTGGAGTGAGGTGTTTCCTTTGATGATGATGGGCATGTCGTCGATAGAGGGGAGCAGAGGCCGAGAGTGAAACCTCACCAGCGGAAGCAAGAACCGATGGCAGGATGATGGCAGAGAGAAGGCTTCCCTTAACGAGGGTTGAGGCTTCGAGTAAACGCATTTCTTCTTATCTTCTCTTTTCTTTTTTTTTCTTTTTTGTTTATTTGTTTCTCTTCTGCCCTGGGATACTATTATAGCTATAACTTGAATTGACGAAATCGCGAGAAGTTGATCGGTTTCAGAGGGAATGTATGTCTTGTCTGGAAGTCGGGGAACATTAAAATTGCGAATCCAATCCAGAATGAACGAATGAATGAATGAATTATAAATTATCGACAGTCGTAACAAAAGAGTGAAGTTTCGACCACGACAATAATAATCAAACCAAAAGGAAGGATATGCGACGACGGCAACGACGACGGCGACAAAAACGAAAAAGGTGGAGAGGAGAAAGAAGAAGAAGAAGAAGAAGAAGAAGAAGGGGCGAAGCGCAAGATAAAATAGGGAAAGCCCTTTTTTCTTTTGTTTGGTGACATCCAATGCAAGTGTGCAATACCATTATCGACTGGGGCAGGGACAGGGGTGGCTGTCTTTGGCTGTCTTTCGAGTCGAGTCCTCAAAGGGTGAGTGGGTGGAGCGAAATTGTGGTTCACAAAAGCAATATATATATATACTGAATCTTCACATTCACTTGTCCGTCGGTTTATCTTCCCCTATCGTGAGGTATCTTTGTTGACTTTACATTATATATTATATTATATATTATATTATATTATATTATATTGAAGCAGTCGAATACCTTCGCAAATATGTAAATACTTGGTCAGTTGTATAAAGTATAAAGTATAAAGTATCATGCAGGAACAAACAGAGGCAGCCAACCAGACGAAACGCGGAAATTGCGATCTGTCGTCGTCAAATCTCCCCACTCGGTTGCAACATTAGCTCATCCACCACTGTCACTGTCCATGTACTTACATACATCATGTGTATAATAGTTAGATAAAAGAAATAAAAAAAATATTTTAATTGGCTCGAATGTCTTTTATCTGGAAAAATGAGAAGCTTTTGACAGAACCTGCAAAGACTTTTTTTTTTTTTTTTTTCTTTCTCTCTCTTCGGTAATGCGAGACATGACTGATTGATTGATTGATTGATTATGTCTGTACCACGACGGCCTTCCTTGACTAAGACTGAGACTACCTAAGATCCCGACAAAATTGGTCCTTCTCTTTCCCTCTCCCTCCATCTCCTTCTCCCTTCCATTCAACTTCCCCATTTCCCACACACACCCCCCAGATTAACAGATTAACTTGCCCTCTTTGCTTTGTCCTGCCCATCATGTCTGATCCTGATATCACAAGTTCCCATTCCGACGATATCAATAATCACAATGGTAACAATAATGATAATGATGATAATAATTATGGGGAAGAAAATGACAGAACCTTGCTTCTTTCCCATAGCGGTTTACGCAACAACTCCAACACTCTCAATGTCTCATCATCCATCGCCAACAACAGCAATGGTATCGAAGACATCACTGATGAAACCGACAACAACCGTTACAACGGCCGCCAATTCACTCTTCGTGGGATTTTCGTCGGTTTCATAGTCGGCACGATCCTGGCTGCTGTCAACGTTTACTTTGGTTTGCAAAGTTAGTTAACAAATCAAAATTCCTCCCCTCGCATGAACTTGCCTCGTTTTGGACCCAAAATCTTTTCGGATACTCGATACTAATTGATACCCTTTTTTTTAAATTAATTTTGATTGGAGCTATCAGCGGGATGGATAAGCTTGATGCCCATGCCCAGCTCGCTTCTCGCTTTTGTATTCTTCAAAGTAGCGTCGGCCTCGGGCCTCTTGGGTTTCCCCTTCACCCCAAAAGAAAATGGTTGTACCCAATCCGCTTTCTCTCCTGGCTGGTATCATATGTGCATATACCATTTTAGCCGACTGCGCTCTGTTCTGACATGGTGTGTCTTGTGTCTTGTGTCTGCTGTGATCCATAGTTTTCGTTCAAACCGTAGCCGTCGCAGTCGGTTGCATGTCCCTCACTGGCGGCTTGATCGGCGTCATTCCTGCCATTGAAAAACTCTTGACAACAGAAGAATCGGGCCCCATTCGTCTGTCCACCCCATCCTTGATAATATGGAGCCTCGGTCTCGCCTTCTTCGGCGTCATTTACTCGGTGCCGCTGAGAAAGCAGCTCATCGTCCGCGAGAAACTAAAGTTTCCCAGTGGCACCGCCACCGCCACTATGATATCCCTCCTACATAATGGCCAGGCCGACATTCGCACGGAGGGCCTCCGTCAACGTAGAACTACTGGGTCCTATCGTCGTATCCGGGAAGATGAAGAAGAAACAGAAGACTACCGGGAAACACCATTGTCTTCTGCGCCGTATTATGACTGGAGATCCCAGACCAGAATATTAGGCATCGCATTTGGCGTTTCTGCCATCTATGTATGTTGAATTTCCCGTTGACTATATACCTAGGTATATATTTAGCAAAGTATTATGGACTCTATTAATAACTAGACGATTCCCAAATAGACCCTTTTGACATTCTTCCTTCCCGTCTTGCGGAATTTGCCAATATTTGGATACGAGGCCGCTCAAACATGGCTATGGGCGCTCAATCCGTCGCCAGCTTATATCGGCCAGGGTATCATCATGGGCCAGTCAACAACCCTGGCTATGCTCTTCGGAGCTATCATCGGGTAGGATATTCGTGCAGACTATCGCTTTTTTGGGGACGGCTTCGTGAAACTGATACCTTCATACACAGCTGGGGCGTGCTCTCCCCTCTTGCGAAAAAACAAGGTTGGGCTCCAGGCATTGTCAATGATTGGAAATCCGGGAGTCGTGGGTGGATTGTATGGATTAGTTTAGCTATCATGTTGGCAGACAGTGTGGTTTCATTATCCCTGCTCGCGGTAGATACCGCACTGCCCTTGATGAAAACACAGCTTCGTCGGAGAAGCTTCCTAAGGAGATACATTCCGATATCTATGGTTATTTCAGCGGACGACGACGGCGATGATCAGGATGAGAAGGAAGAAGATGCACCATCTGAAGAGCAGATCGGCTTCAAGACATTCATTGTCTCGCTGCTACTGACAACCTTGCTTTGTATCCTTACTATACGGTACACCTTCCCTCAGGTCCCAATATACCTGACTATCGTCTCCCTCGGTGTGGCTTTTGTCCTATCCGTTATGGCAGCGAGGGCGCTCGGGCAGACGGACTTGAATCCTGTCTCTGGAATCAGTAAGTTTTTCGATCCAATATCTCTCCGCTTTGTCGAGGATGCTTCTAATTTTATTTTTTAATTTTTAATCTTTTAATTTATATGGCGTCACAGGCAAGATCTCCCAACTTTTCTTCGCGCTGATCGTCTCCAAGACAACAAGTTCCGCTGTCCTGATAAACCTCGTGGCAGGCGCTGTATCAGAAGCTGCGGGGCAACAAGCGGGCGATATCCTTCAAGACCTCAAAACATCACATCTGCTATATGCCTCTCCGAAGGCGCAGTTTTACGGACAACTAGTGGGAGCCGCTTACGGGGCGGTTATTTCGAGTTTGCTGTATCGTCTGTACGACCATGTCTACACGATCCCTAGTAAAATGTTTGAAATGCCTGCAGCGATAGTTTGGATTGATTGTTCACGACTGTTATACGGTGAGGGTCTACCGCCGTACGCACAGCAGTTTTGTATCGCATTTGGATTGGTTTTTGCAGCTATGACAGCCATAAAATCACGGAGCAAAGCGAGTCGGTTTGCAGAATGGCTACCCGGAGGGATAGCGGTGGCAATTGGAATGTACAATACACCATCATTTACATTAGCAAGGGTGATTGGAGGAGTGGTAGAGGGGTTTTGGAGGAGGAGAGCGACAGGAGCGCAGGATATGAAGAATAGAGAGACAGGGTTGATTCTGGTGGCGTCTGGGGCTATTATAGGAGAGGGCCTGGCGAGCCTGGTAAATCTGGGGCTGACCATGCTGACAGCGTGACGGCAACATACCGCAGGCCATATCGATTGTCAGAAGGTAAGTAAGCATCTACTTAAGTATGCCGGGAACCAAGAAGAAGAAGAGGAAGAGGAAGAAGAGGAAGGGAAGAGGAAGAGGAAGAGGAAGAGGAAGAGGAAGAAGAGGAAGAATAAGACAGGGGCAATTCCGCATTCCTGCAGTTCCCCTGAGAGGACTGCATTTTCATGCATTTATAACAGAATCAGGTACATGTGTGCTTGCTGACATGTTTTGTATGTACAGGATATTTTAATATTGCCTGTCTGCATCTGTCGCATTTGTATTCTACCAAATACCCGGATCCAAAAGATCCAAAACCGAACAAGACCAAGCAAATGCGACCACCTGCAGAGTTTTCTCTGTGCCGGAATATATTGGATTCATCAGTTAATTAATTAATTGTGGCTATTTGGATTTTACCCTTTGTTTCTCTTTCTTTCTTTTTTTTTTTTTTCCCTTTCCCCTGGAGAGTCTCTGAATATCAATTCTGCAGAATGCTGGTCAGAGGCTCTTAGGCAAGTTTAAGCTCTTTAAGTAAGTAACCTAACTTACCTACTCCGTGTCTACTCCGTGTCTACTCTGTACCTAACCAAGTCCCTCAATCCAATTCAATTCAACACATCGGGGTAAACACCATCTTCCCTATCAACAGAATCGACAATGCCATTGCCATGACATGCTCCTCTCTCTAGTCAAAGGCCTTCTTAGAACCCTCCCAGTTTCTTCCTTTTCCCTTTCCCTCCCCCCTCCCCCCTCCCATCATCCATCCTCCCCCCCCCTCTCTCATCGCGCACACTCTCCTCCATACCAACTCTCTCTCTCCCTCTCTCCCTCTCTTACTCTCCAAGTTTAGATCTCTCCCGCTATTCGTCCCATTCCTTCCTTTCGCGTGCCATCTCCATCTTTTCTTTTTTAAAACCCCTCCCCAGCAAGGGAGCTGCTGGCTGGCTGGGACCATGGACGAGAACAAGCTGATCCAGACCCTCCTCGATCGGCTATCTGCTAAAGTACTATCGACCCTTCCATCTCCCTCCCTCTTATCGTAGTTGCAGCGGACTGCCTACCCAATTCGGTGGCATCTGATAACAATCCCATCCTCACCACAATTTCAAGCAATAGAAAGTAACAAAGAAACTAATAAATATTTTGCCTTTGAACAATCCAATAGCTTCCAAACCGCTCCGGTGATGAGATTGATGATCTCCGGCGAGATGAAATCGTTACTACCCTGGTTGAGCTTTCCAAAAGCCATATCGAGGCTGTCGCCACCGATTTAATCCGCCTAGTGGACACAATCACTCCTGTGCGTGCTTCCCTCCCCCGATGTCGCTCTTCGTTCTCTCCCACCCATATCGCTTCCCCTCCATTCTAATCGCGTGCCACGTTTTTATTTATATCCAATACAGCTGGACACCTCACGACCAAGACTGCCTCCCCTCGTCGTATTATCTCAAACCTTCCTCGCCGAGCTCCTCGCCGACTGTCTAGGTGCTCATTGGGACTCCAACGAAGAAGAAGAACACGGCCGCTACCGTAACGAACATGGTGATCCCCACCAAGGAGGCAGTAGCCCTCGTGTGTCACCTCTCACCGCTCGGAAGATCCGTAGAATCGGGCCTCCTCCATTGAATGAACATCTAGCTCAACATATGCTTGACTTGGTGCTAAGGTTGTCTCCGAACCAAGTAACCATCGACGAATCGGTCGCATCGCCAGCCCAACCAACTGCAACTGCGAGAAATGGACCACAGGGACAGTCCTCCGAAGACACAAGCTATGTATCCAAAGCTAGCGACCTGGATAAAGCTGTATTCGGCATCATGGAATATCTTAGCGCTTCTAATTGGTCGCTAGTCTTCCTAAATCTCCAGAAAGTTCTCAAACAATTGGGGCGGCCGGGCTCGGATGACGTCGATGCTAATGGAATACAGCTCCTCGCTCACGTATGGATCAATTCAAAACAGCTCACCCTGATCCTAATCGAACTCACCGCCGTATTATACCACGTGAAAAAGCAATACCAGCAAATTATTGCTCAACTACTACCGGAAGCTATTCTAAAATGGATCGATACACACCCGCAGGAGTTTGTAAACCTGCATCTAGGCCAGCGAAGGCTGGAGGGAGGTGCCGATGTTTTGTTTGATATCACTTACGCGATGGCCGATACAGTGAAGAGACGAGTAATATTCTGGCCGATGCAGACGACGCTGTTGCTGCTTATTCCGGAAGTCTTTCTTGGTTCTATGCTTGGTGACACCGCTAGGAATCCGAACACAAGAAGGATCAATTTCTTGGAGGGTCTTAGGAAAACTCTTCGTCTACAAAGGTCCGCCGACACCGCAGCTTCTTGCCTCGTAACAATTTGCCGCGCTGCAAGTTACTTTGACAATAACCCCGAGATCGCAATCCTGAGTTTCGCTTTAGACGTACAGAACGAAATGAAAGAGGAGATATTCAAGAGGAAATTCGACGAGGATACCGCTCTCGACAGGGATATTATGGTCAAAGCTTTTGTTTCTCTCTGTCACTTATCGAAGGATCAAGTTGTCGAAAACTTGCTCCCCCGCTTGTTAGATCGTGCTTCACATCTATCGTACAAAGTCGTCGTCTTCACGGGGGCAGCCATAATAGCTTCACAAGACCGTACAAACAGCTTCCTATCGCTCTACCAAACTATTTCACCCGACGTCCGAAACTTCTTATACACTGTCGGTAATGCAAAACGAAATAATTCAGTCAACAGCAATAATGGCGTTAGTCGCAGAGTTGACAATCAGTCGTCAGAAAGTTTATTATCGTCTGAGCTACTCCATCAACTACTTGAACTTTTGAAGATACGGCCCAATTTACTATTTGAGGGCGCGTCGAGAGAAGAAAGTTCTACATTTTTCGAGAAGACTTTGTCATGCATCCTAAACTGCGCAAGTGAAGACGATACCTTGATCACAAAGTTGTCGACCGAGTTCGCAAGGCGATTGATATCAAGGGAAACAACATCGTTGAGTCCAAATAATGCGGCCACAAAGACAGAAGCCGAGGTTCAAATTGAGTCCTGGAAGGGTGCATCAGCAACTTTGGTTACTTTTTCTCGGAAGCTTCTCGATTATGATCTTAGTGATCCCACCCTGAAGGTGATGCTTGGTTTGGTGAGAGATTATATGGAAACTAGGCTAAATTTCCTCAAGTCTCCACCCATGAAAAATCTCATAGATTCTGGAGCAGATGTTGCCGAGAGACAGATCGCGGGTATCTCTTTAGAAGTATCCTTCTTGGTCCTCCTCTGCTCGAGTGACCTTGATATTTGTTCTCTGATAACCAGTGCGATCAACATTCTATGTGAAGAGGGAAGACTGACCGAGAACATGGAAGACCTAGAGAGGTCGGGCTTGAGTGTCATGAAAAACTACGCTGTATACTCAGAGCTCTCCTCTCCGAACTTCCGTATGACCGGCCCGGTAGCCTTTCAAAAGAGGCTGAGGAAACTGCTAGTACGGATGATACGCCCCACGGCAGGTATCCTCACAGCTTGGGAGGCGGTTTTCACGAAATGGAAGACGCTCTGCAAGGTTGTCGTGAGCGGATCATCTTCTCGGCAATCCGCGGTTGATGAACGGACCCTCGTGGAATGGAGAAATTACTCTGGCTTCCTAGCTGCTTTGGGCGGTTGCTGTATCTCTCCTCCACCTCAAGAAATTCGACCGGATGACGCATCTGTAGCTGGTCTGAGATGGATTGATCGGTTAGCCCCAGACGGTGACCCCTACTCTCTCCTAGAAAGATTCATGCGCCAGTGTCTCCAGTTGCTAGTATGCAGTTCATTGAATGTTCGAGAGGCGATCCGTGAAGTTCTCGGGTCCGAAATGAACCCGAGGCTTTATGTTTCGTTCTTTAGGTCGCTAGAGATCGAGTTGAACAGTGTCTTCGAGAACAACCCCAATGCGATTGCACAGTCCGCTGACGGGAAATTATTGTTTGCGGAGCAATCTACGTCATTGCTTCGTGCAATCATTGACCGAGTCGAGGATACACAGGAGAGTTTGATCGCCATAGATTTTGGGGCTCTTACTCTAATCCTCGCGAAATTCTTACATAATCTCAAGGACGATGCATCGGCCCTTAGGGCTAAGGTTAAAATGTGCCAATTGGTTGAGGTCGTAGCTAGGAAAAAGGATCTGTTGGATCTTCGACAGGATATACGAGTTCGTAATAGTCTCTTGCAGATCCTTGTGGATTGGATGTCGCGGCTGGGCAAGGTGCGTAGTTACCAATCTCTTCCATCTGCTCCCCTAAGGTGAAATAAATAAACTAATACCATGTCAGTCCGAGCAAGCTGTCGGGACCACTGCAGTTCGTAGGGATGAAATCGGTCGTCTACGTGGGGATCTTGACAGAGCGGCTTTGAAGGCTCTTGTAAATCTCCTAGCTCGGCTCCCCCTACAACCCACCGAGAGCCACGACGCGGATGCATTAGATGCCAAATCGCAGCTCTTTTGCAACTACTTCACCACATTCCTCAACTTGCTAGAGAATAGTCAACATGAAGCTGAGAAGCGGCGGGATCAGAATTCTGCTGTGATCACCCGAGACGATTCTTCCTCAACGCTAGAGCTTGCTATCTTGGCATTGTCCAATCTCCTCAGTGCAAATGTAGATGTTGGTCTCAAGTTTTCCCTTGAGATTGGGTATCATGAAAACATCGAGATTAGAACGGCTTTCATGCATGTTCTAACTAATATTCTCACGCAAGGCACCGAGTTCTCTTCCTTAGGAGATTCTGCCATCGGGGAAAAGTATGAGAGAATGATTCAACTTCTCGTTAATAACTTCAAGTTTGTCCTTGCCTTGTGCCACTCCTGTCCCACGAGTGAAATTGATGAAATCGCTTTCGCGCTGCTCAACATCTTCGACTCTAAGGGGCTTGGATTGACTCTCTTGAAGGAGCTTATTGAGCAAGAAGTTGCTAATACTGGTAATTTATTTTGGTACAAAAGTTATACCTGCTCGATGCTAACCGTTTATATATAGAAAGTGAATCCGAGCTTCTGCGACGAAACTGCGTCGCAACCAAGATGCTCTCAGTCTTTGCCAAGTGGAAGGGTGCGAACTACCTCCGCCAGACCCTCCAGAAAGTTCTTGAAAAGTTATTGAATTCAGCAGACGAGCTGGACTTTGAGCTGGATCCAGCCAGAACTTCATCGCCGGAAGAGCTCCAGCGTAATGCGCTTCAACTACGCTTTGTCACAAACGTTTTCATTGAAGAGATATGCAAGAGTGTTCCGCAAGTTCCAGCATCCTTCCGATATATCTGCCACACAATCACAACGGCCGTCACAACAAGGTTCCCCGAAGCTAAATTTACTGCCGTCGGGGCCTTTATTTTCCTTCGTTTCTTCTGTCCTGCCATCGTGGCTCCCGATTCCGAGGGTCTAGTGAAATCTATACCCAAACGAGGAATGCGACGAGGACTTCTCTTGATTGCTAAAGTTGTACAAAATCTTGCGAACAATGTTCTTTTTGGTGCGAAAGAGCCTTATATGATACCCTTGAATGATTTTTTGACTTTGAATATTTATCGAGTTACAACATTTTTGCGTGATATTTCAGTAAGTCAGACTTCTAGATACTCCGACCTTAGTGGGATTAGGCTAATGAACATAAATCCAGAGCCCCATCAGTATTCCTGATCAAGCTGCGGCTGTAGAGGTTTTCGATTTTGGAAGCTGCATAGCTTTACATCGGTTTATGTACGACCATTGGGAAGTCGTGCGACAAAAGTTGTTGCATCCGCGTATAACGAGCCCGGTGGCTCAGAACAGTGCTACTCCGAAGTATACGGCGAACGATCTCAAGGCACCAGTTGCAGAATTTTCGGCTTTGATACCGACACTTGGAGCGCCGCCGTTAGATTTCTCATGGACTCGGCCGCAGTTACAAGCGACCATACAACCATCATACTACAGGTTTCAGCAATTTATGCTGCGGAACTCTGGAAGGAGTGTGGAACCTATCACCTCTGCTAGGATTGTGTATGATGGCGGTGAGTCAAAGGTATCAGTTCCCCCCCCCTCGCCCCGAGTCCGTCCAAGAATGCTTTCTAATTGTTCGTGTTAGGATGGTATGCCTGTTATCTGTATTATCCTCCGCAATATCAACGCAGAGACAATCGATATCGAACTACTAATATACTGTTTCCTTAAGGTACGTCTCTCGCTCAATTAGTACCAAAAGACAAGAATACTAACAGTCTACAGATTGCTGGTCGCATGTGGAGTAAGCCGTTTGGACTTCTCATTGATGCGACTTCGTATACCATTGGCAATGAGCTTCCTGACGACCTTCCCAAGAAAGTGGACGCCTTGAGTCCGCCAGAGATGTTGGCAAATATGAAGCGGTTTTACGTCTATAACATGAACAGTGCGTATAGGAAATATTTCCGCCGGATGGTCAGACATGCATATAAAGATGATACGAGTGGGTTCCATCCGAAGAATATCGAGTATACACTGCTTGGAAACTTGAGCGAGCTTGAAAGGCATTTTCATCTACCATCCCTTCATCTACCAAAAGATACGATGTCACTCGTAGCAGACTCCCGATTTGTGTTCCAGCCAGTCACACGCCTATCTAAGACTAAGGGTCGGATTGATGTGGTGATCAAGATCGGCAGCCAGTATATACAGATTACGACTACCAAAAAGCAGGATATTTTACCGGGACTAAGGATGCAGGCTGTAGTCAATGATATTTTCTCACTATCGGAGATCGAAGAAGCAAATGCGTCTTTCCACACAGAGGAAGAGAATGCGTTTGGCATCAAGACAGAGAACGGTAAGGTTGCAATGTTCTTCTCGAGCCCAAGGAGAGCCGATATTCTTCACCATATCAAATCAGCGAAATCAAAGTCGATGAAAGATAGCCGACCGTCACCGCTTAGTGAGAGAGTCATTCGACCCGAGGACGTCCCCGGTACACTCCTCAACATCGCGCTTATGAACATGGGAAGTGCAGATCAATCACTAAGGATTTCTGCTTATAATCTGCTTTGCGCTCTATGCCAAACGTTCAGGTTTAAGGTTGATCGACAGTTTGTTAGTGCAAAGGGGCTTAGCATACCGGCGGACTCGCTCAATCTGATAGTTGGGGTTAGCGAAAAGTTGGCTGCGAATGAGCCGCAATTGACTTTTGATTTCTTGACCGAATTCTTTGTCGGCTGGGCCAAGTCGCCGTTACAGCAGAGGCCTTTGAGTATATTGTATATGGCGCCGTGGCTGGTAAACCTTCATTCGCAGGTTTTGGCACTTGACGGTGATAGCGAGCGGGGTAAAGAGCGGCTTGCGGGAATCGCTCGAAAGCTGATAGAGATAACGGTCAACGAAACAATTCTCTATAGCAACTTCCAGCAAAATGCATGGTCGGTTATTAGCAGGGATGAGAGTTTGTTGGAGGTGTTCTTCGAGGAGCTTATTAAAAGCGCTATCAACTATGGGTTTGGTTCCGCAGAAGCCGAAGTGATCGGGTCCATCGCTGCATCGTTTGGGACGCTGACAATGCGTGGAAAGATCATTGCAAGGGTCAGGAAGGCCTTGAATAGAACCTCGCTCAGGCCCACAAGACACCTCAAGGATAATGTGATATGGAAAGAGATGTGCGTTCTTCTTCGAATATGCTTGGCTATCTCTTTTGACAGCAGGGCACAGGCACAGATGTTCTTGCCCGAGCTATTCCACATTATCACCATGGTTGTCAATTGCGGAAGTACAAACGTTAGAACTACAGTGCACAGCTTACTCATAAATACTGTCCACTCTATATGTACGTCTTTCCCGCTCGATGACGAGAATCTGGGGAAGCTTAAAGCAATTCTCGCATCCCTCTCGGAGCCGAAACTTGGACTCCTGTTCAGTATACACCGACAGACCTCACGGGATGGCACGATCGAAGAGAACCGGACGACGACAGAGAGTAATTCATCGACATCCTCCACGGAGACAATCACAAATCTGCTATTAGAGATTATTAGTATCGCTGCCCCTTCCGTTGATATGGCCAACATCTGGAGGGCTAGGTGGATGAGCCTTGTCGCGAGCACGGCTTTCCAAAATAACCCAGCAATCCAACCGCGTGCGTTTGCAGTTATGGGATGCCTGGCCCGGGAAGATGTCGACGACGATCTTCTTTACCAAGTCCTTGTGGCACTCCGTAGTGCTCTAGCAAGATTTGTGGAACAGGGTGATGCAGAAATGTTAGTCAGCATCATCACGAGTTTGACGAAGATGGCAAATAACCTACCACCTTCGTCAAGATACCTGCACCAAATGTTTTGGTTGGCGATGTCCCTTATCCGCGTGGGACCACCTTCGCTCTTCAATTGCTCTGCTGGGCTCCTGCAAGCTGTCCTACGAGTTATTGCATCATCGGATGAGTTCAAGGATGGGAGAATGGCCGTTGTGCTCATGCAAGGGAGGTTTACGGTAGAAGAAGCTGCCGCTGCGGTCGATGACCTCTTCGGTATCAACTTTGAGATGGCATTCTTTGCCTATTCCGCCTGCTTCTGTATCGTCAAAGGATTGTCCGATCCCACTACCCGGGCTGTGACCTTGCGCACTTTCACAACCTTCTTAGAAGTCGTCACTACAAACATTCCCGAAACTGAAAAGGGAGAAATGCATAGCTCTTATATCCCATACTTAAGCTGCTTGGTTCCTCGAGCGGCGAACGCTGATGATTGGAAGGATATATGGCTAGGTGGCGTACCAATGCAAAAGGCCGAGAACATAATGAATTGGTCGCAGTTGATACAGAGGATCATTGCAACAGACAAAAAGGAGCTGTTGCTTTGTCTTGCATTAACGGTTATTGACTTCCGAACGTCGGATGAGAGCATACAAACTGCTGGTCTGCAATTGTTTGAGCATACTGCCGCACATCGTCCGGAGGTGTTCATTCTTATGTAAGGCGGTTCCTCTCCCTTTATTTTTTACTTTGTGAGATGACCCAGTTAACAACCTTATTCTTTTTTAGGCACGACCGTGTCATGGCTGAACTAGAAGAAATCTTAGTATCTTCGCAAAGCCAGACAATGTTGAAGGCAACACACGAAGTAATTAGGAAAATAGCAGGCGACAGGCGGTTCTCTGACCGCCAGGGAACGCAGGACGTGTTGGACCGAATACTCGAGAGCATTGGATTCTCGGGTATATGGTCTTCGACGACATTTAAGAGGACATCGAATGATCAGGAACGGATGTGTGTTGACCGTTTAATTGAAGTAAGTCCAACATATCTAACCCACCTGCGTACCCAAAGACAAATTAAATTGTAAGAGGCTAACATTCTTATGAAAAGTTGATTATTGCGTAACCCGCCCTCCATACAGAGTAATATGTTGAAAGGTCTGATCGAGCACGTACCTACTTTGATATCCTTGTTTTTTCGCCTTGCAATCTTCCATTAATACATCCTCCGGGGCAATATCAGCTATCCCTTTTTCAACTAATCTTTCCATTTAAGTACTTATTTATACTTTGTTTCAAAACTCCTTCTACCCGCCTATATCTCTTTTTTCTTCATCTTCATGTCTATATACTAATATCCCCATACCCCCGAGTATCAATATATATTTCTTTCTTCCCATTTCCTTTTCTTTCTTTTCCTTTCTTTTATTTCACCCCTAGAACTATTTATGAATATGAACACTGAGACGGATATGTGGTATGCATCGTATATGTTGATAGCGGATTACTATGAGGCGAAGCAAAAGCGAAGGGCAGATTAAATACAGGACACAGAATAAGTTTTAAGCTTGCAACATATGAAGCAAAAGAAAAATCCCTCCATTCTGATGCATATTTGTAGTTAGAGAAAAATAGATTTCAAGAACTCAACATAGAGTAAACCTATCGAGTCATCTCATTTAATTTTGGATTGGTTGTGCCAAGGGCTGTGGCGTGATGTTAGCATTTTGTATATAAAGTCAGGTTAAAGCAGATTGTTATTTTTTTTTTTTTGTTTTCCTTTACTCCATAGCCCTCGCGAAAGAGTCTCCTTTTTAAGGTGGTTGCCTTGCTTCGTCAACTCTAGATATCTTACAAAAACTACGTATATGAATCATCTTGCGAACATGAGGGGAGGTAAGACAGACAAATTTGGACATTGCCGGGAAAGGTAATATCAAACTCCAGAATTGTCATCTCACCTCCGAAGTTTTTTCTTTCTTTTGTTTTTTTTTTTAAAAAAAAAAATGCAAGAATCCCAAATATAAGCACCCTGAAGACCATTCCATCGATAAATTAACTCATCCCATCCAGCTGTTATTTCCCCGATTATACCCCCCGCCGCCGCCCTGGCCGTGCCCTCCCCTGCCTCCTCCCCGATACCCTCCTCGACGATCTTGCTGTGGAGGTCGGCGGTCGTGTTGATTGTTACTGTTGTAATCACGACGTTCGCCTCCACCGCCACGTTCATAGGAGCCTCTTCTATCATCTTGATACCCACTGTTCCCACCTCCGCCGTAGTTGTTTCTATCGTTGTAGCCACGTTCGTAGCCACCACCCCCTCCTCCCTGATATCCGCCACCACTGCCACCTTGACGATTGTGGCTTTGTGAGCCCGAGTATCCTTGGTTATTCCCATAGGACTGGTATCCTGAGCTGCCACTACTACCTCCACCATATTGGCCATTCCCGTAGCCTTGTTGGGGTTGTTGATATCCCTGACCGTATCTGAAGTCGAAACTTTGATTTCCGGGCGGGGTCCATCCTTGACCTCCGCCCCGCCCTTGCTGATCAGGGAGTGTGTACCCCGCCGGTAAAGTAGGACCCCTAACACCCGATGGGGGTGCAATAGGATTGTTGTAATGATGTCGGCCGCCCCTACCTCTACCCGAGTTTGATCTGTCAAGATAGCCACCTCCATACCTGTTTCCATTTCCTTGCTGCTTATTTAAAATGACGTCCTTGTCCCCCTCAGTCAACGCTGGGGTTTTCAAGACGACGCCACGTAGAAGCATCGACTTATGTAGATTTTTCTTCTCTGGGAGCAAATATATAACACTACCGTTTCATTAGCATACGCCATAACTCGCGAAGGTACAAATAAGCGCCTTACCTCATAGATTGATCATCTTCGATGTCTCCGTATATATCCGATTTAACATTGGTGAATGGAAAAGAAACAGTGCTACGGGGTATGAAATTTGGGTCCTTTCTCACCCCTCCAGATAGGCCTTCGCTTAGCCGTGGGTCCAGTTCGTGGTCCCCATCAACAGCCCGCTTAGAGAAGAATTGGCACGCTAGCTCATCGTAAAGCGGATGCGATTCGGAAAATAACAAAAGCTCATTTCCCATCTCGTTCCGTTCCTTTTCTTCAGCTGGGATCTGAGGGTAGATCTTATTCATTGCGTCTAACAAGCGAGTTTCGTCAATAAAAGGAAGAATTGCGACACCCTGCCAGGCAAACTTTTTCCCATTGAGATCAATAGGAAAGTCTTCTGGATAAAAATCAATGATTTCGGAATTCTCCTCCGTCATTAATGGCCAAAAGGCTTTGGGGATGTTATGCTTGCTGGCGGCGGGAAGTACACCCATGAGCTGTTCGAATGGCTTGAATGGCTTGCCAAGTGTGAAGTTTATCTTAAGCTCCCCAATGTTCTCAAAATCTTGCGCGAAAGGCGCATAATGATATGGGTAGTACCAAGTCCATGAAGGACACCCCTGGAAGTAATAGAGCAAAACCCAGCAGAGCCCTTCAACGTAGGCATTTGCAACCTCTCTCCGGAAATTAGTATCAGAGGGTGGTCGGCCAAACTTTTGCTCATAATACCGGTCCCGGTAACCAGGCTCCCAGAGTTTGACTGTGTCAGCGTTTCCTTCCCCAGGAGCAGCCTCGATTGGGGTTTGGTTTCCCGAATCCGCTTGCATGGTGTCCAGCTTCCGCTTCCCAAGAACTGAGGCCCCCTCAGTTTCCGGCTGTGCCTCCGTCTCAGCTGGTTGCTCATCAGTCGAAGGATTTGTGGTGATCGTATTCTGTAGCAACTGGGCTTTCAACGCCGCCGCAGCACTCTTATTGGCGTAGTTTGCTGTCCTGATTTCCGCTCGGTTAACAACTACATCATGGTTGAGCTGCTTCGTCTTATCGGAGTGGTCATTTGGGGCAAAAAGTGGGATATTGGCCGGGTGCGCTGTCGGAATTCGCTCGCTTTTGCCTCGGTGCACAGAGACCTTGTCATTGCCGGAGTTGTTATTAGCTTCTTCTTGTAGCTTCCGCCGTTTAGCATTTGCCTCCCGCCTTTCCTCGACCTGACGGCGCTTCCTGAATATCGCATCTTCTTGTTTCGCTAAACCATCAAGAATAAACTGCGCCCGTTCGAGATTGACGTTTCCATCGGTCGTGACAAAGCCTTTCATTGCCGCAAGATTCTCCCTCCAAATTGACGTAAGTGTATCAATTCCTGCATCCCTGATTTCCAAACTGGGGAAGTGTGGCAGGAAATCATTGCCTACAAAAAAGCAAAGGAAAACCCAGTCATCAATCGCTCTTTCAAGGTCCCATTGAAACGAGAGCCCTGGCACATGTAATTCGACTGCCAGGTACTCTCTCAGAATTCCGACATCCAGCCAAATGAAGGGTTTTCGGGGGTTTGCTTTGGACTTTTCGTCAAACTCGCCTTCCTTTTCCCTCGCCTTCCCAGTACATTCTTCAGCTCGATGCCCTTTCTGGTTGCAGATCTTGCACACACGAGGCTTTGAATCCTGGGCGAAGACATCTTCTCGAAGGACTCTGAAGTGAGGCTCGTGTGTCGCGAGACCTAGCATGATTAAGTCCGCATCCAGTCCATAGATGACATGCCTTGTGTTCGGGTCATGTTCTGGGTGTGATCTCTGACCCCTGACAAACTCCATGATCTTGTGCTCGCCCTCCCCTGGTACAGAAGAATCCGATATTATAATTTTCAACTATGAATGAGATTGTTAGTTGATTGGCCTATTTTAAATATTATGTGATTCATCTACGTACCTTTGCCCAACCTGGGTCGGTATTTAACTTATGCGCAACCCAATATTTAAGGGCAATCGAAAGAATGTCCATGAACGGTGTCCCAGGTGTAATCGCATTGCTGTCCCACCCTTTTTTCTGCAGATTTGAATCGATATCTGTGCCCTTGGAGGCTAGCAGCTTCACAAATTCCGCTACTTGCTCCTCCTTTTCTTTCGCTTCCTGCGCAGATCGGAATCGTCTGGAACGCTGTTGATTCATCTTTGCACGAGGGGCAACACCATCAACGGCCATCATCAAGACTTTCCTAGGCCTAACCATTGCAACAACTCTCTCTGTGTATCTAAAAACCTCCAACATCATCTCCTGTTCAGTCTCCGGGGGTGGGCGGTCCTCGGGATGTGAGCACGGATGAACGATACCGTTCATATCGAGGTAAAGGTTGTCAAGCTCCTATAGATTTAGATGTGTCAAATTCGCCCCGTTTGAAGGAATTGAGCATTATACTTTCATACCTCGCCGTTTGGGTTTGGGCCCGTAGTATCGACCGGGATCTCGTGGCCATCAATTTCTTGGGGCAAGGCCTCCAGGACCGGGCTAATGATTTTTGGGTACTTTTGAGAAAGCCATCGGAAGAATGCGGGAACACTGAGTGTAATCAAATCTCAGCATGATTATTGGTTAAAGAAGGAATAGATTCTTACCCCATAGTGAACTACCCGGTCAGTGGACCGTACAAATCCGAGGCGGTGCCGGGATATTAACTAAAGAAAGTCGAATAGAAAGGCGCTGGCTTCGAAAGAGGCTTTTGCATCAGGGACCATGATCAGACGATAGCAAATATGGGGGGGGGTGCGATGACGGGTAAAGTGGTTGCAGCGACATCGAAGACATCGTGGAGGTGGATTGGGTAGTGTCCTTGAGCGCCTGTAAAACCCGAGGGAGAAGCATGAGAACAAGATACACGGTAAAACCGAAAGTTGTTTTCGTTCTTTATCTCCTCCCAGCTCCTCTGCATTCTCTCCTTCTTCTTCTTGTTACTCTTCCTTTGCTCCGTCTCCTCTTTTTCTTCCTCTATCTCTCTTTGTTTTCTCTTTCTCTCTCTTTCTCTCTTTCTTTTTCTGTTTTTTTTTTTTTTTTCGGCAAAGGAAGAGAGAGAACGCGCGAAGGGTGACAGGCGAACACTTAGGTAGGGAGACTTACCTTAGATAAATATACCACTAGTAGCATACGTGAACAGGGCTTCGTAGTCTGAGATACATACGAGAGCGATGGTGCGATACCGATAATGATGATTATGATGATGATGATGGTCGTGGTGAAGAAGGTTGGTGAAAGGTTGGTGACGAGACGGAGGCTGATGGGTCTTCTGAACCAGTCGCTTAGCTCGCTCGCATTGAACATTTTTCGGGCGAAACTCCAGAGCTACTTAAAGCCACACCAAGCACAAGCAGGTCAAGGTTCTAGCTTCCAGATATCAACACGCAAACACCCACCACCATTAATTAAGGACTCGAACCGTCACCAACTTACCAGATATGAACCTGTAGCCGCAACTGTCGCCCTTGCCATTGGCGTAATATTCTAGTCGAAAAGTTTCGAGATCCAGGTTTTTACTCTTCGGGAGCAAGTAGGTGTGTCTCACTCACTCACCCGAGCTCCGAACCGCCAGCCGCTAACATACCGCGATCTAGATTCAGAGGACACGCATTCCTCGTTGGCGGTGCTGTCAGTTTGTCGCATACAAATTTCACGTCTTCGGAGGCATCCACAACCCCAGACTCGATGCAAGGGCTGCTTTGAGCTAAGCATGCTACATATCAAAAATGTTCTCAGGAATCTTAGCCAATCAAGCGCCGCCTAAACAAACGGCGGCAGCAACTATCGCCACATTATGTGACCGATTGCTCCATGCAACTTTGCTGGAGGATCGTAGGGCTGCTGTTCAGGGACTCAGGAGTTTCACCAGAGAGTACAGGGAATCAGTTGCGTCAGGGGGGTTGCGAGGGCTCATCGGGACCCTTGCCAAGGATATTGAAGATGTCGACACCGTAAAAGTTGTTCTCGAAACGCTCATCAATCTATTTGCCAGCGATAGTCAGAACGTAAGAATCAGGTTCCGGTTACATTGCCCTGGTTATCACCGTTCTAATATTGGCGATGCCTATTAGTCCGATACACCCGACGATATCGCCCTTTGGCTCACAGACGAGTTTACCCAGGTATTTCTTTATCACAACTATAGCAACATAAATATATATCGTGATTGTTCTAAACCAAATGAAAACAGAAACAAGAAAACATCAATCTTCTTATCGATTTACTAGACAAGAGCGACTTTTATGAACGCCTTTACGCCCTGAGAATCTTAGTCGCACTTCTCAGAAACAGGCCGGACCGAGCTCGTGATTGCATTTACACCGCCCCTGCAGGCATTGAAAGGCTAATCGCGACCCTAGACGACGGAAGGGAGATAATCCGAAACGGTAAGAATCCCCATCTCTACCTATAGCAGTTTAGAGGGGCCTCCCAGTGTTGAATTCGCTGTCTCTGATAGTCCGTATATTTGCAGAGGGGGTCCAGCTCTTGATCGCTCTGACAGAGGATCATGTGGAAATTCAGAAGTTGGTTGGAAACCTAGGCGCCTTCGAAAAGACCTTTAGGATCATTGCTCTCGAGGGGGGGCTAGCTGGAGGTTACCTGGTCCAAGATTGCCTGCGACTACTCACAAATCTCCTTGCCTTCAATGTTTCCAATCAAAATTATTTCCGGGAGACAAGCGTACCCGAGCTTGTCAAGTTGTTCGGGGATGATATGACTGCTCATGACAGCCCCTCAGAAAGTTCAATGAAAAATATCGTCAATCTTCTAAATCTATGCAAGGTCTTTGTCACATTCACCGGCCTCGCGACAGAAAGGAACCAGGTTTGTCCTCAATTTGCGGGCTCCGTCTAGATTTGAAGCTCACTCACGTCTGGCTAGAGCGCTTTCTGGAAAGCAAAACTGACTCGTAGGATCATCGACCTGGCATTTTCCCCAGCATTAGTGCCCGAAGTCAGAGCAGAGGTAAACATATACTCTATTACTACTTCTCGATAAGACTTTTTCCCGTGTCCAAAAAGATGCTAAATTTTTACTTCGCTAAACGAAGCTAGGCTCTCTCCACGATCGGTGATATGATACGGGGTAACCCGATCATACAAGAGGGCTTTGCGATGGAGCAAGTCAACGCCTTAACCCTTCCAGGCTATGCTAGTTGGGAACCCGCTACAAAGGGAGAGGAGCCTACCGCCTATATTATAGACGCTTTGTTGGATCTAGCCCTCCTTGATAGTGACTTCTCGGCTTTTAATCTCAGGATGGCTGCTGTCAGTTGCATTGAGGTACGAGGCTGTTTTATCCGACAACCAATAAACTTGTATACTCTCCAAACTAACGAATACTCTAGGGCTACGTAGCTAACAATCCAGCAACCCTTCTGCACTTCTTAGACAGAGCGGTAATGGGGTTTGCTAGCGGGGAAGGTAATTATGGTCTAGTCAGTTTGAATCCATTAGACCTCACACTAACGACAAGCAGATGAAACGGCGAATATATTCAATGCTCTTATAGAGCTAGATAGTGACTCTCGGGCCGATCCCTACCGGACTTGGTTCTCTGGGGCTATTTTCATGACCCTCATTTCCGAAAACCAGGAGGCTCGAGATATCGCCATGAAGTTAACCAGCGGTGATGTCGAGTCTGGAGAGGAAGTAGTAACCGCCATACAAACATTTTCTGGAAACCTAGTTGCCGCGCTGGACCACAGCCTAGATCCAAGAATATGTTTAACATTCTTGATGGCTCTGTCCGTCTGGCTTTACGAGAACCCACTCGCTGTCAATGACTTTTTAAACGAAGGCGCAACAATTGAGAGTTTGTTGAGGATAGTCAATGACCAGAGCAATAAGGATGTGCTTCTACAAGGCATGTGTACGTTTTTAATCGGCGTGGTGTACGAGTTTAGCAGTGCAGACTCACCTCTGTCTCGGTAAGTAACCTAGGTAATTTGTCTAGTATGATAAACATGCTGAAACAGCAAAGGGATGCTCTCAAGGATCGTATCGTGGCCCGAATAAAGAAAGACCAGTACTTCTACAAGCTTCACAAACTTAGACAACACCCTGCAGTCCGGGACTTTGAAGTCACAGCGAACTTACCTCATGGAAAGGGACTCCCCAACGTCTATTTTACAAACGGTTTTATCGAGTTCTTCAAAGATAATTATAGTACGTTTCGATGATGACAACCGCAAATTCTTTTATTTATTTTTATTTTTTATTTTTTTATTTTTCTTCTCTCTTTTTTCCCATTTCCCTCTCGTTATCAAAGCTAATGCGCGCCCACACCAGGCCACATATTAAGATCCTACCCCGGAGAACCGTTAGGGCATCATGGTGAGTAATTCTATTCAAATTCCGACTTGATCCTCACTATTTTCCGAAGCTCTATTTAGCAAAATATCTCTGAGCGGGCTGGCTAATTACTCGCCTTGATTTAAAATAGCAAACGGGGCACCTAATACGGGGTCTATGGAATTACTCCGAACTGCAACTACCCAATTGGAAGCCAAGGAGGAGGAGCTCATCGCACTGCAAGATGCCCATACGAAGCTCAAGCACCAGCTAGCTCAAGAGCAAGAGGATTCCAGACGGTTCAAAGATCTCACGGTCCAAAGGATTAAAGATGTTGCTGCCCGTGAAATTGCAAACGCAAGGGATGAAGCACAGCACACCCAAGAACAAGCGGAAGCTGACATAGCAGCGGAGCGGGAGGCACACCGCTCTGAAATGCAAGAATTAACTCTGCGAACCGACGCTGCTTTAAGAGAATCTCGGGCTGCAACCGATAAAGTTATGAAGGAGACCTCTGTTGTCATTTCGAGATTAGAGGCGCGTATCTCTCAGCTAGAAACAGAACTCAGCGTCCTCCGGGACGAAAAGGCCGCGCATATCTCTCACCTTGAACAGCAATTAAGGGCTCTCCACGATGAAAAGGAAACCAATGTTTCCCAACTCGAGAAAGGGCTGGGCGCTCTTCGCGACGAAAAGGCTGGTCTGGAGAAACAAACAAACGACATGAAGGGTACGATTTTAAAATTGGAATCGCAACTAAACGACCAGTTTGACAACTCGAAGAAACAACAGTCCCGCCATGAGTCAGAACTTGAAGTTCAAAGAAAATCTTCAGAAAAGAAAATCGCAGATATTAAGAAGGAGTTGGAAGAACGACTTCTAGCAGCCACCAAGTCTGCTAGTGAGTCGAAAAAACGCGCGGAGAAGGCTGAAGCCGAAGTAGCAAATGTGAAGGAAACAGCTGAGAAGGAAAGCAAAGAAGCTGAAGAAAGCGCGGCGGCTACGCAAGGGGAGCTAGACGACCTTATGTTAATTATGGCAGATCTTGAAGAAAACGTGAAGAAATATAAGGTGAGTGACCCGAAGTTACACCCATTTACGGAGCAACATTCGCTGACACTGTTCGTAACTGTATAGCTCCGACTAAAGAAGCTGGGTGAGGAAGTAACAGATGACGAAGGTGATGAGGAGGATGAGGATGAGGACAAGTAGATATGTGGACCGTAAGATGTAAGCTACATAATATTTAACCTGGAGTACACAATATCAAGCATGCGCACCTACATTATCATGACCCCAGCTCCCACGTGCAGTAATGCCGCTGTGAGACTCGACTCGAGACATCGACCCCAACCACAACGCAGGGCCCTACCTTTCCCAACGCAATGCAACGCCGATGCTCGGACCAGGTTAATTGGATAAAAGGTTTCCCGGAGCTGTTTTAGTTCGAGTCAGAATTGATTGATATTTAAATTTAAGACCAACAGCCTGTCCAGATTATGCTGCGTAACTTCATTAAATTGCAGGCTTCTTCATCTTAATTCTATCGCGACATCTTTAACTCTCACCTTCGTTTCAGCTTCGGTTGAATCATAAATTCCCAGTCTGTATCGACGTACCACCTCTAGCGTATCCCATCTCAAAAAAGCATCACCCCGAACCCCGTCAAAGTCACACACACCGGTCCCCCATATATATCACGGATATCGATACATCAGATCAAGTCACATCTTGCCAACCGAAAGTTTCAATCTCCATATTAAATTTATACCGGCTTTATATTATTGGTCCAACACTGTAGAACGGCATCCGCCAACATGCCGACCTACGACGATATCACCAAGATCTCCATTCTCGGGAATGATAGCATAATCGTCGGCTATGGGGTGCTAACCTCCTATATTGCCAAGGATGTTGTCTCAAGCCTCAAATCATCTACCTACGTTATAATCACCGATACGAACCTTGCCCCGCTCTACCTGTCTCAATTGCGAGATTCGTTCCAGAAAGAGCTAGTGGACTCTTCCAATGATGCCCGATTATTGCACTACGAGATCAGTCCAGGCGAACAATCCAAATCTAGAGTAACAAAGGCCGAAGTGGAGGACTGGTTGCTGTCGCAAGGATGTACCCGCGACACTGTTATCCTTGCTTTGGGTGGCGGGGTAATCGGCGACATGATCGGGTTTGTCGCTGCGACTTTCATGAGAGGTGTCAGGTTCTGTCAGATACCCACCACACTATTAGCGATGGTAGATTCGTCAATTGGAGGGAAGACCGCAATTGACACTCCTTTGGGGAAGAATCTCGTTGGGTCCTTCTGGCAACCGGAACGGATATTCGTAGACCTAGCCGTCCTGGAGACGCTCCCGGAGAGAGAATTCATCAATGGCATGGCAGAGGTTATCAAGGTACGACTGATTGCCTTTCACATCATGTTGATAGCATCCTAATTTTGTACTGGGTTGTAGACTGCGGCTATTTGGGACGAGGCAGCATTCTCCAGGTTGGAGGCCAACTGCGACTCTGTTATGGAGATTATAAAAGCTAAGCCTACCGGCGATGGTTAGAACTCCCATCCTCAGCCTTCTATGGTCATTTCTAACATAATCGTAGGCAAAGGGCGGTTCTATGCTATTCGAGATCTTCTCATGGATGTTGTAGTAGGTTCAGCCAAAGTCAAAGCTCATGTTGTTTCGGCAGACGAGAGAGAAGGCGGTTTACGGAATCTTCTCAACTTCGGCCATTCAATCGGCCATGCCTTTGAAGCTATTCTCACACCACAGCTTCTTCACGGCGAGTGTGTTGCCATCGGTATGGTGAGAGAGGCCGAGTTAGCGAGGTATCTTGGAGTCCTTAGCCCAACAGCAGTAGCTCGATTGTCAAAGTGTATCTCCGGATACGGTCTGCCTGTTTCCCTCGAAGATAAGCGTGTAAAGCGGCTTTCCGGAGGCAAGACCTGCGACATTGACCGTCTACTCGAGATCATGGCCGTGGATAAAAAGAACTATGGGAAACAAAAGAAAATTGTTCTGCTTTCGGCTATAGGTCGCACCCATGAGCCCAAGGCCAGCACTGTTGCTGACGAGGCTATCAGAGTTATCCTTTCTGCCAGCCTGTTAATCGGCCGTCTAGAATCGACAACTCTGGATCTACAAATTACCCCCCCAGGCTCCAAATCTATCTCAAATCGAGCTCTAGTGCTGGCTGCTCTTAGTTCTGGAACTTGTCGTATCAGTAATCTCCTACAATCCGATGATACACAATACATGCTCACTGCGCTCAGCCAGCTTGGCGGCATCAAATACTCCTGGGAAGATGATGGAGAGGTACTAGTCGTTCAAGGAAATGGCGGCAAGCTAAGCGCATGCCCTGAGCCACTCTACCTTGGGAATGCAGGTACTGCTGCACGCTTCTTAACCTCTGTTGCGACTTTGGTCTCCCCAACATCAGAGTTGGATAATTGTGTCTTGACTGGAAATGCCAGAATGAAGCAACGCCCAATTGGGCCTTTGGTGGATGCTCTAACATCGAATGGTGCTGGACTCGCCTATTTAGAGTCTCAGGGCTGTCTTCCTCTTCGAGTCAAGTCGACAAGTGGGATGAAGGGCGGACGAATCGAGCTCGCCGCAACCGTTTCCTCTCAATACGTTTCGTCTATTCTAATGTGCGCCCCTTACGCACAGGAAGCTGTCACATTAGCTCTTATCGGCAAACCTATCTCCCAGTTGTATATTGATATGACTATCAGTATGATGGCGGCCTTCGGTATACAGGTAGAAAGATCTCAGACCGAGGAATACACCTACCACATTCCCAAGGCGACATACAAGTGCCCCGCTGAGTACGTTATTGAAAGCGACGCTAGCTCCGCAACATATCCTCTAGCTGTCGCAGCAATTACCGGAACGAAATGCACAGTCCCCAACATTGGATCAGCCTCCCTCCAGGGCGACGCTCGATTCGCGGTCGATGTCTTAGCCCCGATGGGTTGTAAGGTCGAGCAAACCGCTACAAGCACGACCGTTCAAGGCCCACCTCGTGGATTCCTCAAGGCCCTACCTAATGTCGACATGGAGCCTATGACTGACGCTTTTCTTACTGCTTCGGTTCTAGCAGCAGTTGCGACCGCTAACTCGGAAACAAACACCACCCGAATATACGGTATCGCAAATCAACGAGTCAAGGAGTGCAATCGCATAGCCGCTATGAACCATGAGCTTGCCAAGTTTGGCGTGACCTGCCGGGAATTCGATGATGGTATCGAAATAGACGGCCGGGATATGTCCTCGCTAAAAGTTCCAGAAGGCGGGGTCCACTGCTATGACGACCACCGTGTAGCTATGAGTTTCAGTGTTCTCAGTGCTATCCTTGACGACCCAATCTTACTTCACGAGCGACGCTGTGTCGAGAAGACATGGCCTGGGTGGTGGGACATCTTATCCGGACCATTCGGTGTTCCTCTCCGCGGCTACGAAGTCAGAACGGAGAAGGTCGCTACGAAGAGTAGGAACAGCAGTTCGATTGTGCTAATTGGGATGAGGGGTGCCGGCAAGACAACAATGGGCTCGTGGGCATCCAGAATACTTGGGCTCCCTCTCATTGACCTCGACACTCTACTTGAAAGGGAGAGTGGTAAAACAATTCCTCAAATCATTGGGGATGCGGGTTGGGAAGAGTTTAGAAAGTTGGAACTTGAACTCTTCGCAAGAGAAATCAAATCAAAACCAAAAGACCATGTCTTTGCTTGCGGTGGTGGCATTGTAGAGACACCAGAAGCCAGACAGCTTCTCAAGAAATACCATAGCGGTGGCGGCATTGTTATCCATATCCATCGAGATATCGAGAAGGTTATAGACTATCTCCAAATCGACAAAACAAGACCAGCGTACGTAGATGATATGATGGACGTCTGGCAGAGACGCCGGTTATGGTTTTCAGAGTGTAGTAACTACCAGTACTACAGTCCAATCATCGCTTCAGGGGACTTAAATATTCTGAAGCCGGACTTTGCTCGATTTTTATCCGTCATTAGAGGTACAGATACGGCGACAGAGGCGATATCAAACAAGCGATCAGCCTCATTCTTCGTCTCCCTCACAATGCCAGATCTCGAGAATGACCAACAAATCATCGAGAAATCCGTCGAAGGCTGTGATGCAGTTGAACTTAGGGTAGATCTTCTACTAGATCCTAGCCAAAAGAATGGTATCCCTTCTCTGAAGTACTTGAACGAGCAAGTCGCCTACTTGCGATCGAAGACCAAGCTTCCGCTGATTTTCACGATTCGAACGGTCAGCCAGGGTGGCCGCTACCCAGATTCGGCCATTGAAGAAGCAGAGAAACTATACGTAGAGGCTTTGAAGATGGGATTCGAATACTTGGATTTGGAGATGACATGGCCGGAAGACCTTCTCCAGCGTATCACATCTGCCAAGGGTTTCACCCAAATCATAGCGTCCCACCACGATACAAAGCAGGTACATTCATGGGCAGATGGCTCGTGGATCCCCGTTTTCAACAAAGCTGTAGCGCATGGCGACATTGTCAAACTGGTCGGGATCGCCCGAAGTCTCGCAGACAATTATTCCCTAGAAAAATTCCGGGAATGGGCTGTCTCGACGCAAAAGGTTAAACTGATTGCAATCAACATGACTAGCAAAGGTCAATTAAGTCGCGTATTGAATGGATTTTTGACCCCGGTATCCCATCCTGCCTTGCCGTTCAAAGCAGCTCCGGGGCAGCTTTCCATCACAGAAATCAACAGGGCGTTGACGTTGTTAGGCGAGATAACACCAAAACAATTTTATCTGTTCGGAAAGCCGGTTTCGCACTCTCGATCCCCAGCGTTGCATAATTCGCTCTTTGGGAGGTTCGGGCTACCTCATAATTACGACCTCCTCGAGACGGATATTGCCGAAGACACGCTAGGGAAAATCAGAGCAGACGATTTCGGCGGTGCCTCGGTTACCATTCCCTTGAAACTATCTTATTTCGACTACCTTGACGAAATCAGTGACGAGGCACGAGCGATCGGGGCGGTAAATACAATTTATCCCATTGGGCTAGCTGATAATGGCAAAAAGATTTTGCGGGGTGATAACACTGATTGGCTCGGTATCAAGATGGCCCTCGAAAGTGGCGGATTCGCTAACAGTGGTGGACCCGGCTTGGTGATTGGCGCGGGGGGTACATCCAGAGCAGCCGTTTATGCCCTTGCAAGCCTAAAGATCTCACCGATATATATTATCAACAGGACTGCCGAGAACAGCAGGCAGATGGCAGCATCCTTCCCAGGGGATCAATATGATATTCAGGTGATCGAAACCGTAGAAGAAGCCGCCTCCAAAATTTCTATCCCTCTTGTTGCGGCCGTTTCGACAGTTCCCGCAGATCGTGAGATTGACGTCAAGCTCAAGGGCATTTTGACAGCTGTACTAGGTATCGGATCTACGGGTAATGGTGATAGCGAGAGGCCTGTGCTAGTGGAGATGGCTTATAAGCCCCAGCATACGGATATGATGAAATTAGCGGAAGGGTTGGGATGGAAAACTGTCCCTGGTTTGGAAGCATTGACCGGTCAGGTGCGTCACCTTCTCGAAAGACAAATTCCCCTGACACGTTTTCTCAATCTAACACATATTAAAAATAAAACTATAGGGCATCGAACAATTCAAACGGTTTACAGGGTTTTCCCCAAATGTTCAGGTAGCGAGGGATGCCGTCCTTGGTATTGACGAGAAACAATCATGATTAGGAGGTTGGATCGAAACAGGAAATCGATTTCCCCCAAGTTACTTCAGTATTCTATCATAATTTCTGTGCTACCAGCGGTTAAAAAAGACACCCATCGCAGGTTACGTTTGTTGGGGAAAATATCGTCCTAGTTTATACCTTCATGGGAGAGCTACCTTCTCAACAATGAAGTTGTCCCTTTTTCCTTTTTTTCTTTTCGGTCGCATAGTTTTTCTTTCTATATGACATCGATGTGATAAAATAGCATCAAATCATGAAACCCTAACTAGCTATCTACTTACCTACTGCAAATTGATCAATGGAAATTAAAGATTGACTACAATACTCTCGATCCTGAGGGATCCCAAAATGCAACCTTGAAAATGAATACCAACCAACGTTAAAAGATTTTTGGTCAGATCACATATATCGAGGCCGGAAAGGCCCGTGCTCGAAGAAGGGTTAGAGATCGGAGGCTGTCCAGTTAAGCTGGGACAATTCCTATCCGTTTGTCATTAAAATTAAAGTAAGTTTCGTGACTTTCTTTGTATGGTTATCAAACCAATATCGTCATATCTTATCGTACATGTATACCATACAGCCCGCAGAACCTTTTCAAAGCCCCTCCCCAAACCATGAAAGAAAAACTCTTTCATCAATGTAAAGAAACTCGCATCATAAATCATACAAAATTGTGTATAAATATCAAAAGGGAGAAAAACAAGAAAGAATAGAAAAAACCAAAACCACCAGACCCTGACGCCGTATATAGGTTCTGAATAACATTTTGTAATATGGGACGGGAAAAAAAATGAAATGCAAAAAACAAAAAGAAAAAGAAAAGAAAACGATGACTTAAATAATAAAAGAGAGGTGTAAAATCTGTTTGAAAGTACTTTTGCGGTACAATGCTGTGATGATGGGATAAAACGCAAGCAGGCATTTCCTTTAATCATGATGACGAATAAAGTCGATCGCGAGGCCGAAAACAAGAAACAAACGCCGCAGCAATGATGTAGAAGCCCCCCGAAAAATCGGGAAAAACAAAGTTCGAAAATGCTGCGCATCTTTTATTTAACCGATAGGTGACGTCATGTGCGACCGCAGGGTGGGTTTTAGTTATGCAGGGCACTGCTCGGGTAAGGCCCAAAAAAGGAAACTTTCCTCATCCCACTTTTTTTTTTGTTATATTTTTCTTTTCTTTCTGTGGAGAGGTAATCGTCGGATGATTGGACAATGACAGTTGAGGAAAAATGCATGTGTTGTTGTCACACAACTTAGTGGATACCATGCTTCACCTATATTTTCATTTTAGTTAGTCGGATCCTAGATACTATGAGTTATTGATGGGGATTGGCTTACCCTTCTGTGACGCACCAAGGCATCACTGCGAGAGAAAAATTTGTCGTCATCACAAATTTCGCACCTCACTTTCGCCTTGGCTGTATTATGAATCGTATCTTCGTGCCTTGTAAGGTCGTAAGGCCTGGAGAATACCGTGTTGCAAGGCTTCCCAGTTGATGGGTTGACTCTCATGCAGCGATGAGGGCCGGGTTGTGCATTCCTGCAGGCAATAGCGGCTGCGCTAGAAACGCTGTTTCCTGAAGGAATTGATTTTCTATGCGCCTCCCGTCTATGCTTTTGCAACTTTGTGGAGGTTGTGAATCTCTGACCACAGCCAGAAAATGTACAAGTGTAAGTACCGGTGTTAGCCGATGTATCCAGTGGGCGTGTGATAGGATTTCTTTGCATCTCTTCCTTGAGGTAAGCACTCGCTGCGTCGCTGAGTGGCAATGACGAAGCCCCAAGGGAGTTTGCATCTGTATAGTAATATGGGTTGGCAGTAATGGCTTCAAAAGCAGGCTGCTGCATGTAACCGAACCTAGGCACATCCAAATGCGACGAAACTGTCGAATTTGCCATGCTAGCCCGACGGCTTGTGGCCATGCTCTGGAAGTCCTCTAAATCCGACCCGTCATGTGACGATGCGTGTAAGCTACCACCGTTGCTCATTGAGTCATCCTGAGGACCTATTATGCCGGTATCCTGGATTTGTGTGAAGAGGCCCATCTGAGTGTGTTGGCTCTCTGGCTCTTGATATTCTAGAAGGGATTCCCTCGGAGAAATCGTCTTTGGTGCGACAGTTTGCTGGGCTTCTTTTCTCATTTGCTCTCCAATAGCCAGAGCCATAGCCAGCTGATTTTGGTCGATGGCATGTGGCATGCTAGAGTGATTCGTTGGGTGGAATGGCGAGTTGTGGCGAAACGGAGAGCGGTCCCGACTGCCCAACTGCTGAGGTGAACCATTCTGAGAAAAGACTTGCTGGTGTTGCTGCTGCGCCTCATGGAACATGTGTGGGAAAGAATGCTTGGAGTCAAGAGACTTCTTCTGAGGTGATGCCATAGTTCCTTGAGAGGTATTGTAGGTATCACGGGTTTGTTCCGGATTGTACAGCTCGTCTTGGATGGCATCCGAAAATGTCCGGCCTAGCTTGGGCATAGCGGAATTCAAATCTGAGCCCGGTTGTAAGTATTTTTCAAGCCATGTATTTATGGATAGGTTCTGGTCCTCACAAGTGGAAGCTCCGGAAGGATATCCGGAGTTTGCCTGACGCTTAGTTGGAGAAAGCGCTGGGACATTTTCAACAGGTTCGACTTCGTTGTTTAGTTGAGAAGATGTAGATCTCTGCCTAGGAGCCGAGTTCTGGTTGTTGGAATAGGATACCGGACGAAGATATCTAGTATTTGTTTGAGGTTGTCTTTGCTGTGGTGAAGAAACAGGTTGATCCTGGCCGAGAGTGTAAAAGCTAGATGTAGTATCAGGAGCCGAGTAGTTACCCGAATAACTTCCATACATTGCAGACTGTGGGTAGTTTGAGTACGGAACATCGTGGGAAACTATTATCGGGAACGCACTTGGGGCGTAAGTGGTAAGGGTAGCTGGGTTTTCGGGCATAGATGAAGAAGCAGACACTACACCGAGAGCGGACCGTCCTTTGGCAGAGTTGGCAGCATTGACATCTTGGGCGACGGCCATCATCGCATCATCAAACAGGGTGAAGTCTGTATTTGAGGCAGTAGTTGGCATATTCGTCGGCCGTGAAGGCGACGGCGAAGGAGTAGAATGAGAGGAAATTGTTGTGGCGATTGTAGCAGGTGAGGCAGGTTCCGAAGCTCTTTGTAGGGAGATATAAGGAGGAAGAGTTCTGGGATTTGCCTGCGAAGTGGCGTTCGAAGGAGACCTATAAAAGCTCTGAGATGCCGCTGGCTTGGACTTGAGTAAACTGGTGGGAGAAGCTGAAGGATGGTAATGGTCGTAATTTGAGTAAGACGAAGGTTGGCTATAAGTCATCATTATCGGTCGGCGTGGAAGCCGGAAAGGAGGCGGGGCCTGTGGTAGTAGCGGTGGTGGCAATACGTTAAGCAATGTCTGAGACTTTGTCTGTGATGGTGGTGGTGGTGGTGGTGGTGGTGGTGGTGGTGGTGGTGGTTGTGTTGCGAAGTGTGGTAATTGGTAATTGTAGTTGCGGGCAAAGAACAGGAGAATGTGTTGTTGGATGTGTTGTGTTGTGGGTGTTGAGTGTTGAGTGTTGAGTGTTGTTCGGAAAGAGAAGGAGGGAAATTTCCAAGTGGCGAGAGAATTATATATATAAAAAAAACGAGCTTTGTTTCCTGATGGGATGATTATATAATGATGAATGAGTCCTTCGAATGGAATGGATTGGTAGACGGTAAAGGCTTAAAAGAGAAAGAAAGAAAGAATAAGGTGATTCTGATCAAGCCTGGCTGCTAGCTTGCTTTCCTGCTTTTCCTCTGCTCGCTAACTGGGACGACGTCACTGAATTTCTTGGCAAGCCCGGATCTGAATTCAGGTCGAGGAAGTTCTGCTGATGACAAAGCCTTGTTGTACTTTAAAAGCCGTGCTCTGTCTCCGTTGGATTTTCGAGTCGATATTGATATTGATGTCAATCAATATCCTATCGACGGTCGTTCGGTCGTTTCCCTACTTCTTTTGCTTTTGCTTTTGCTTTTGCTCTTTTTCTTTTTCTTTTTCTTTTCTTCTTCTTCTCTTTCTTTCCTTTCCTTTTCTTTCCTTTTCTTTTCTTCTTTTTCTTTTCTTTTCTTTTCTTTTATTTTACTTATCCAGAGCAAATGGATTGGTTGGTCTTGCTGACCGGACCGGACAATGGGGATGGAGGCAAAATCCGGACTTGTCGCCATACTATATATATTCTCGTCAACGACCTCTCTGGACATTGCTGAGAACGGTTATTTCCTCGGTCCCAAACCGGAGACAGAGGAGCAGCAGCACTCTGTAGAACGGCTACACCGAACAAAGCCCGACCCTGCTCTCACTAATCAAGTTAGTTCCGATTGTGGTGGGCATGGGGCCCACCATAGCCTCTCTTCTCTTCCCTGGCTAGCCGACCGACCGCATGGTTCCCTGCATGAAAATTTTTTTTAATCTGTGCTCATGTTCTAGAAGGTAGTCGCACCTTCTAGCCTATTGCCAAGTCCGCCGGCCGTTGTGCAGCCAAGACACCACGTTTTTTCTGCTTGACAGGAGGGGAATGGAGAAGAGCGAATGCAATGCAAAGAAAAGGGAGAAGAAAAGTAAAAAAAGAAAGAAAAGGAAAAAAAAAAAAAGGTGTGTCGGGCGATTCCGATGGAACCGCTGGACCCATAATGGACCCGGCATTCTGGGTTACAATCCATCACGGCCAGCTTCGCCAGCGTCGGCCTGAGCCTAGGTCAAGTTAGTAGCTAAGAGGTATATAAAAGTATGTACTACGATTTGACAAAAGTATCCAAAGAAAGAAATGAAAAGAAAAAAAGAGAAACAAAGGTCGGCCGAACACACAAGAGGGATTCGGAATGCACATGTAAAGCTGAATTATAAATTGAAAAGAATCATTCGTACGTATGCATACAGACATACATACATACATGACATGACTCTGTTGACGAAGGAGCCGGCTCGAGGTCCTCTCGTATGGACTGACGGAGATATGCAATTCCACCGAGAATACGCCGCCGGTAAAATGCAATCCGCTGAACTCCCTCTCAATCTCTTTCCCCCTTCCATCTCCGGCTGGTTGAAGAGCTCAGACTCGACATCGCACGAGCCTGGCGGATAAAAAAAATAAAAATAAAAAATAAAAAAATCTTTTTGTTGGGGCCTGAAATTCCATTTCCCTCCTGGGAAAAAAGTAGTGATTGAACTGGGATTGGTCTGGGCCACATGCAAGCCGCCGATCGCTGTGGTACCACTTGAATGGCAGCCACGCTGGACAAACAATACTCCAAACAGTCTGGATCTGGCCAGAACCAAGAACAACCGTTACATGGTATGCACATATGCATGCATATTTAGTACATGTAAGTATGTAGATGTAGAATAGGCACGAGCGCAGGTCTAGATTGGCTGCCACGCTACATCTGCTGCCTAAAAATAACGAATAGCAAGGGATCTCCTCGGGTGATAAGAAGAAGAAGAAGAAGAAGAAGAAGAAGAAAGAGATGTATTCTGCATTCCATAATATACCCAAATGCTTTCTAATATAATACATAATACATAATACAATATGTAGATTTTTGTTTCTCTCAGCCGCTCCTGCTACCCACATGCATACTGTGTAAGTAAGTAAGTTAAATCTGTTTCGTAATATCCCTCTTAAGCGGTCGGGACCAGCACCCCGAAGGACCCAGTTCCAATGTTCTGCAGCCGCCCAAACACTATCCTGGCACTTGGGCTCCTCAAATCGTCGCAATCATAAGCGAGACTCGCTTCTTTCAGGAAGTTGCATGTTGTCTCGAAGCTCATCTTCATCAACGGCGAAACAGCTGCTGCGAGTCCTGTCCGGTTGAACGGCGAGAATCCGCCATTTCGGGTCATGATATCCGCTATCAAATTCAAATGCCGCGTGTCCACTGCGATACCGTGCCTGATTATCCCCCAAAGTTCTAGTCAGCTACACACTCCTTCCGATTCTTTTTCTTCCGTCGACGATCAACCAGCGGAACTCAGACTTACCCTTTGAACACAGAGCCCATCTCCTGAATAATTGTGTTGCGTGCACACTCCACCCCGTACACTCGCAACACAGCTGCGATATCGTTGGAGTGGATCGCACTCGTGTCTATCACGTGAGCGTAGTCCCAGATGGCGTGGAAGTTCACCCCGTCCACGCTCAGCTGCTTCTTCTTTTGCATATCGTCTACTACCACCTCGCATGTCTTGATTCCAGCCAGGTGATGTATCACACTTTCCCGGCATACTTTCTCCACAAGATTGATCATCAAAATTTTGGGCGACTCCGCAGCGTACTGCCGAGTTTAAAAAAAAACAAAAACGAAAAAAAAACTGTTAGCGGTTCCAGGCGACAAATCTCAACCCCACACACACACCCCTATAAGCGACTCACCTCTAGCTCAATCTGGCACCAACTACCCCCGGCACGATCAAACGAAAAAGCTGAGAGCTCGGAATGATTTGATCTCAACGTATCAAATGCCGAATCTACATCCTTTCGACTGAGGTCCCTCTGCCCGCCTTTCCCATCCCGCCCATCTGATTCGTCATTTTCTGCATCATCACTCTCCTCGTCGCTAGACGAATCATCGTCGTCTTCTTCCTCTTCGGCTTCGATGCCATCCAAAATACCTTTTTCGTCGTCATCAGGCTCGTCGTACGCAGTAGCATCTGCCTTCCGAGAGCTTTGTTTTGCATCTTGTTCGCCATCTTCATCATCACTATCAACCACATTTTGATCGTCATCGTCGTGGGCATCCATTCCGGCCTGGCCGGTTTGCCCGTCGCTAATAGATTTGGAAGCGGCCCCGACCGTTGGTACAGAGTCCGTATTGGATGCCATCTTCTTAAACTCCTTTCCAACTTCCTTGCAGAGTTTCGGGATAAACATCTCCTGGATTGACTGAAATATCTCCGGGGTTGTAGTACTGTATTCTTCTTCATACTCCTCTGATGGAAAAAACTCTAGCTTGACCTTATAGGTCTTTGCCTGAGCATGGCCTCTCCCTTCCCCTGTCGTTTCAGTAACTGTTACATTCTTCACTACCTCTGATAAGCTTAACCTGCTGATACTCTTGGCAAATATCGCTGCTTGGTCGGGGGAGACGTGATCGTTCAGTGTCAAGGTCATCTTCGGAGTCGCTATTGTTGCTGAGGCAGTCATAACAATTTCACGTAGGCGCGGAATACCTAACGTCACGTTCTTTGCCGCGTGCCCTGCCAAATGGAAAGTGTTTAACGTCATTTGGGTGGACGGTTCGCCAATGGACTGCCCAGCAAGAATTCCGACAGCTTCACCAGGGCTGATCAACGAACGTAGGTACTTGAGGTACATCAAATTTTTGAACATTTTCTTCTCCCTCTTGTCCGAGAGGCACTCGTCTGGGTTCTCCTTGACGAACTAGTAAAAGACAATTCATGTTAGCAAGGTCGGCGGTAAGTCACCGCAATCTATGAGGTTGTACCTTTTCTAAGTCGCCTGAGAACTGTTCCGATACGCTGCCGACATATCTACCAGGAGGGAACACGGATATCGCTGGATCCATAGTGATCGGTGATGATCCCGCCTTGCGGAATTTCTTAGCCACCTCTTTCGAGTAATCCATTGCTGTATTGAAATCAAGTCTATCGGTAAGGTTTGCACATCCTAGTTGCTCAATGTATGTCTCGTGATTCTTTGCATGGAAAGTGAAGTCGCTGAGGTGAGCATGTTTTCCGATATCTATACCGTCTTCCCCGTACAAGAACTGCACGACATATGTTAGAAGCTGTTGCATGGGATACTGGAGGTGTGTTTACCTGTACGAGGGAGCCATCGGAATCACGAACTGAACTATCATAGTGCGTTCGAATACCCTCCATTCCCTTGATCAAACATCTCTGAAGATATCCGGAACGGCTTGTCTTGACGGCTGTATCAATGAGACCTTCTCTTCCAGCCATAGCGTGGAAGTAGTACTCTTGAGGACGGATTCCCGTTAAGAAACGGCCTGTAACGTAACCGCCAGCACGCAGACCAGGGTCAAACGGAGCGAAGCTAGGAAGTGTCTTTCCGCTAATCATAACTGGAACTCTTCGGCCTTCAAGAACTTGCTGTCCGAGAAGGCAAGAGATTTGCGATGCATTGACATCAGACCCCTTGGCACCAGAAACTGTCATGGCCTGCATCTGATTTTTTGGGAAAGGTTTGACAAGGGAGTTTGGTAGACAGAGTTTGATGACTTTGGATGTTATCTCATGGCCCTTGGAACCCATGAGACTATCAAGCGTCTGCTGCTTAGTATCGTTTCGTAGAACCTCCTCGAGTTTGGATGATAAAATGATAGAACTCGGGTCTACAAAATCCTTGGCCAATTCAACAAAACCTCTAGCAACCTCAGTTCCAGCAGATGCGGCTAGCTCAAGAGTCTTCCGTCGGACATGGTCACCTTGTGGAGCAAATACTAGATCCTCCATACCACAGGAAAACGCACGCATGTGTAGAAGTTTTGTAAACAGTCTGCCAAGGATACTCAGGAAGCTTCCTGCTATAGTTGGACCGTAAAGTTCATGGACAGAGTGAACAATTCCATAAGCAGATGCACCTACTTGTGACTTGTCAAGCACACCGCAGGCAAAATAGCCCTTAGAAACGACGACTTCTCCTTCCTCTGATTTCTCAGCCCAACTGGATCCTGGGACCTTTGTCTTCGAAGTGAAAGAAATGGCGGTCGTTCCGGGAGGGCGGATATTCTCCAAAATCGTAGTCACAATCTGTTTCCCTGTCCATAGCTTTACAGGTTTCAATACAGTAGGGGGTAGAAGCTGGATCCTCTCAGCAGCCCCCATTTTGTCTTCGGGTCGAAGAGAAGCATGTAAGAGCTCTTGGTATTCCCCCCTGGTAAACAAGGAGTCACGTTGAGTCATATGTAGTGACATAACAATATGATCCTGAATCAAACCTCGAAGAGGCTTTCCCGATGTCGGCACGAGATATTGGGAGTCAGTGTTGGCGATATACTGAGCCTCAGCTCGGGCATTCTCATTCTGAGGAAGATGCATATTCATTTCGTCGCCGTCAAAATCGGCGTTATAGGTATTGCAATTGGCATAGTGCATACGAATTGTGTTTTCCTTTGGGAGGACACGAGCTTTGTGTCCCATCATAGAGGGCTTGTGGAGAGTCGGCTGCCGGTTCATAATCACCATGTCGCCATTCCTCAGATGTCGATAAACCTTTTTATTGAAGGACTTAAGAGTAGCCTCAGATGGTGTAAGCAACTGGTTCGCGAGAGCTTTTCTGCTCTCAGCGGACAATGGCAGGCGCTGCAGTCGACCATTTTCATTTTCAATGTGGGTTGCTCCAGGCCAGATATTAGGGCCATTCATGACAGCCTGGCGCATTACGTCGACATTGTGAGGGGTAACAGGCTCCGGATATGTGAGCTTTTTTGCGAATACGAGGGGGACCTATAAAAAGATTGTCAGGTCTCTATCTCTCTATTCTTTTTAAAGGAATGGAGGAAGGGAAGTGAAGGGAAAGAAACAGAAGGGTATGGAATGCAGATAAACTTACACCGATCTCGTTTGTTTCAATATTGGGGTCTGGTGAAATGACGGACCGGGCAGCATAATTGACACGCTTGCCCATCATGTTCTTTCGGAATAGGCCTTCTTTCTTTTCTAGCACCTGTTTGATACCGATGATAGCGGCAGCTTGTCTAGCGCTAACGGCTCCGCCTCCTTTAGTAGAATCAATAAACAAGTTAACGTTGTCCTGTAGATTAATGAACTCTCGAATAAGCTTTCCGAATGCAGAATGTTTATCAAGATCGCTTCTAGCTGCGTCATTGATATCACGTATTCTAATTGAACTATCAAGAATCTTCTTTAGGATAGAATTCTGGGGGTTCTCGTTCAATTCATTTCCAGCAAAGCTCGGGGCACGAAACGGGGTCGGAGGAACTATAACTGCTTGCAAAAAGAACATTGCGGCATTTCCGTCTTGAGCCTTTCGGCTCCTGCTGTTCCGGTAGATTAAGGATAATATCTCCGACTCATTCTTGAAGAGATGGGTAAGCCGCTGGAGAACTTCCATAGGAGGCAAAAATGTTCCGGACTTTGGATTTTCAGGCTCCTCCGATAGAGTATCTACCTCTTCCATTTCTACATCCGAATCGTTTGCTGCCTCAACTATCGGCCGGGTTTCGGCGTTCTCCCCCCCCTTTTGCTTCTGGGCCTCTGAATGCGCAGGGTTCTGCTTTGCCAACTTTGCTAGACAGTGCTTCACCTTTAAGCCAAGTAAAGCCATCTGTTGCTGCTCCTTATGCGAGAGTGGGCGCTGGAAGATCTTAGAGTAACCATCCTTCCGGTATGTTGGTGATACTCTATTGAACCCATTAGCATTTTAATTTTTGAAAAATTAAGTTATAGCCATGAAACTGTACCCTTTACACGAACTGCACCTACGACCACCCATCATGTCCTTTAGGAAGGCGTGAACCAAGGCCCTACGAGCCTGAGCAACTGCCATTATCTGCGTAGAACCTAGGCCAACCTTGCGGTTTAATTTAATTGCCTTGTATACGTATCTGTTTCTTTTTCTTATGACGGTCTCCGTATCCTCTTCCTCGAGGTCTTCAACAACATCCCCAACATCAGTCGTAGTCGAAAGACCATGGTCCGAGCGGTGAAGTTTGGTGGATCCTATGAGCTCGATGTCGTCACTCTCGTGAATTAAACCTGCATCTATTAACCGTAGTTTGCATGTATATAAATTGATCTCTTGCCTTGAGAGGCGGAGGTGGTGACAGTACACGCAGGTACATCGTAACAAACGGTACATCTGATCGAAGAATACAGGATGGTAAACCGGTGTCGGGAGGGAAATGTGGCCGACATGACCAGGGCAGTTTTCGTTACTCAGATTACAAGTCGAGCATCTGTAGAATTCAGAAAGAGGTAATATTAGTGAACCACGCTCTGGGATGTGAATTGTGGCGATGAGGAGGCATCTAGATGTTCCCGAATTGATTCTTCTATCTTTTATCCTTTTTTTTCCCGTTTCCTTGCTGTTCTTTTCTTTCTTTCTTTCCTTCTTTCCTTTTTTGTTTTTAGAAAAAAATATAGGCGGGAGTAAACATACGCTATTGATCGCCCGAATGGTCCAAGGGCAGGGTCGTAAAGACCTCCATCTACAGGATTGCCATTCACATCGAAAGTCGAAGGGTTGACAATTTGCTTAACAGATATCGAGAGTATGTCCTTCGTGGACAGAAAACCGAAGTGAACGGCATTGATTTCTGAGGATATCGGATTCGAGATATTCATTTTGCTAGACTTTTGACGGCAATTGAAAAATCTGAGCTAGAAGCGACAGAAGACCGTATGTGATCATCAGCCGTTGTTGTTTGATTTATGAAGTCGCAAGTTGAAAGATGCGAAAAAGAATTTGCCTGTAAATTTTTTGGAACTTCCCGCTTTAGCGCACCCTGTTTCGAGATGGCATGGAAAAAGCAAATAACACCACTCCACCTAGTCATCCATCAACCCGGCATCAACCAACGTCAACAACACTACGGAGTACAACCTCAACATTGCAATCACCGTTACAATCATCAACGAAAACAATACCGGCGACCTTGACCGTATATACGGCCGTGATGGCGTCGCATGGTTCCCTCAAGCGGCCCCCGCCGCAAGATCCAATCCCTGGCTCTCCTACTAAGAAACCACGAGGCATGGACGCGCCTGGCTCATCCGCAGTGTCGGCGCAAGATCAAAAGAAGAAGATGGTGGAGGAGGCTCGAGCTCGGGCAGCTGCTCTTGCTGCGTCGTTAGGCAATCGGGCAGGCGGTTCAGCTACATCTAAACCATCGCAAACAGTGAGCGCTTCATCACATGCTGATCGGGTGGCCGCCCTACGAGCCCGAGTCGCAGCAGCAGTTGGTAATACCGCATCGGCAACATCAAAACAAGCACCGTCGCTCCCAATAGCCATCCCTAAGGAACCAATGGAAATGCCCCAAGACGGTGGCCGAGGAAGAGGGGGGTTGGATATTGGTATCCATCCTGCCCTTTTGGCCGACTCAGTAGAAACATCAACTGGTGTTGGTCGTGGGCGCCAGGCTATGAAACCGAAATTTGCGACAACCATGGCCAACCAAAAACCCGATCCTATAATAAAAACATCTATTTCTAGCAAACATAAAGATGCAAGACTAGTAGGGGGGTCCAAACCGACGGGGGAACAATCGCCCTCAAAGAATCCCTATTTCGATCCTAATATCAATTCTGGGGCCGGAGCACACCAGAAGGCTCGTGTGCCAAAAGGTTTAGTCTTCAACCAGAAAGGCAAGTACATTGAACAAGCCAATGCGTTACGCAAACAGGCGCAACTAGAGGAGCTCAAGGCTCGTATCGCAGCTGCGGCTAGGCGGGCTGGTATAGAGGAAGACATTGATACGGATAAATTGTTCCTAGTGAGTACAATACCTATGCGCATACGAGATGACGCTGTCACTGACCACAAGCTACAGCGCGATAAACCCCCAGAAGTCGAATGGTGGGATCAAGGTCTATGCAGCAACGGGACATACGATGACGTCAACTCCAACAATCTGAAAATAGACAGTCAGGATTCAATTATCACCGTTTATGTCCAACATCCCATCCTCTTAGACCCTCCGATGGAAAAGCATATACCACCAGCAAAAGCTCTCCCACTGACGAAAAAGGAGCAGAAGAAAACGAGGCTCCAAACAAGGATGGCCAAGCTTAAAGAAAGCCAGGCGAAGGTGAGGCTGGGTCTCGAGCCACCGGAACCTCCGAAAGTTACGTTGAAAAACATGATGCGTGTTATGGGAGACGAAGCCGTTAAGGATCCTACCGCTGTCGAGGCGAAGGTGAACAAGCAAATCGCCGAACGCCTGGAGAAACATCTCACTGCAAACGCGGAAAGAAAACTCTCAAAGGAGCAAAGATTAGACAAACTACACCACAATCAAGAACTGGACCTGGCAAAGGGCGTGCATTGCCTGGTTTTCAGAATCGAGAAACTCACAAACCCCTCTCACCAATTCAAGATTTGGAAGAATGCAGAGCAACTCGCCCTCACGGGCATATGCATTAGCAACCCAAAGTTTAATTTAGTAGTCGTGGAAGGTGGGGAATGGGCTATAAGCAAGTATAAAAAACTTATGATGCAACGGATAAAGTGGGATGAGAATGGGATGGGGGTAGGGTTAGATGCCGAAGGGGATTCGATGGTCGATGAGACAATGGCCCCCGGAACAGAATCAAATACATGCACACTAGTATGGGAAGGTGATCTGAAACTCAAGTCGTTCAAGAGATTCACTACGAATAAGTGTGAGTCGGAGAGCGAAGCCAGAAGATTGTTAGAACGGAACAAAGTCGAAAACTATTGGACGTTGGCCAAGGCGAAAGGGCCTTCGCAGGCATGATGAATCATGACCAACTCTTGAGAACGTCCCCAGTAGATTGAAGGTATCCTGGATTACACAATAGCTAGTATCTACCTATTCATAGGATTGGACTTTGACATATTAATAAGACAATGGATAGACTAAGTTACCCTGTTCTGCTTTTTCTTCAATATGCAATATTCCCCCCAGACTCTTTGGTCTTCGTAAGCTAAGCTCGGGAGCCAAAGTGCCCGACTTAGGAAAGGAGTTTGTGCAGCATCGAGGAACCTATGGCATGTTACACGGTCCCAATTCTCGGCGTCTAGAATATAATTTGGTTCCAATGACTCTGCTTGCCTTCCCGTACTGCTAAAATAAGAGTCGACTAGGTAGTCACACTCACCAATCGGGGTCTGCCACTTAGATAATTAATGGAACATCTTTCAACCCTTTTCCCGGCCATGGGCGAGCATAGACTTACATATTTAGAATAATCCTCCTGATTAAGGTCGTTCATATTCTGAGGTACTATCCATGTCCCATCTCTAAAAGGTGTATTAGTTTCCTCAAACGCCCCTGGCAAAAGGCCTGTAAAGGCGCTCTTGATGAATCGTGGTCTTGCTCCTGAAGGAAGAAAGTAAGATGACGGAAACCTATACCATTCTTTCCCAAAACAAACATTCCCAGATATATTTTGGCCAGATCGATATATAGTTTGCGGTGCACTATAAGCTGTTATAATGGCGACAGTACGGGATGTCGATATAAGAGCCGACATCGCCAGTACGCCAGCGATGAGGGATGTCCCCAAAGCACTAGCGACTTTAGCTTGGATTTTTAACTTAGTGCCAGAGAATAAAATAAGGCCCTTCACCCAGCTCATTGACATTGCAGCGTTAATGCAGAGTGCTGGGTACGCAGGGAACATAAAGCGTTCCTCTTTGTGCGGCTGCAGTGAAAATATGCCGAACCAAAGATAGAACGGGAGTAACAGAACAAATTGCAGTCTAGTGACACCAGTTGACAGGATAACCGATGTTATGGCCTATGATGACATTTAGTAGCCTTCATAAGTTAATTATTATAGTGTGGATAGGGATACACACCAGCACAAGGATACTCGCAAGGGCGGCCACAGCCATTATGTTAAAGTTCAAGGACAGGTTGGCAATATAGTACCACCAAGGCTCCGTGCCATAAAGATTCGGTCCTCTTTCTGAGCCACCAAAGACATTATATAATATAATATTCAAAGGCACGAATACAGGTTTTCGATAAGCCAAGGAGTCAGCGCCGATAACAATTGCCTAACTCTGTTACTAATCTTGCAAAGGGAGTAAAATTCATAGAGGCATCGTACTTACTAACACAATAAGTGGCGAAAAAACGCTGCAGGCCATACGCCGAACCATATTGATGCTACCACGGGCCCTCCCATCGTCGAAGCCCCATAGTAAAAGTTGTGGCACGACAAGGGCGAGGCAAAATGGCCATCCAAGAAGCCCAGCAACAGCAAAATATGTAATGGCCCTCGATAGGAAGACCGGCGTTTTGAGAAACTCCGCGATTCCGAACATAACAAAGTACATTGCGAATGATGATGGCAAGTAAGCTGGTATTGCTTGGAACATACCCGCACTTGGTACGGATATCAAGATAAAAAACAGACCCACCTCGGGGTCAACAGATCGAGAGAGAGCGTCATAAAGCTCGGCCTGAGATACCGAGCCGATTCCTGCCAAGATTGCTCGCAGAATAAAAAAAATATGATACTATTCAAAATATTAGGTTAAAAGGTGTTTGAAAACTATGAATATCATGAAAACGTAGTCAAATACCTTCTGGATATTGGGAACAAGCGAAAACGGTAAAGTTAAGAGGGAGTGAACGCCCACGTACAGCCAACTTCTGATAGCATAGACCGGAGAGTATTCCCATGTTTGTAATCCATCGCCGTAAGATAGATAATGTGTGGGTTCCCAATAATTAAAGACTAATAAGATTGAAACAACATTAGGCCCCTGGACTTTAAACTGAAATTTAGACCACAAAATGAGAGAGCAGTGAGTAAGTAGATGATACCTTCATCGCAATCTGAGATTGTTGCAAAGGCAGCGGATATGAGCCCAACACTGAAGATGACTGATAAAACGACATGGTAGGGTATGAGCGGGCCCTTTTTTGTAGTCCTAACGCTGGTTTACATGTTTTCGGGGGCAAGGTTAGTATAATTTACTGCAATATCGAGAGACGTTATACTTATCTTAGATGTCTTACTGACCTACCTTTCGATTTTCTGGGTAGCGGCCGCCGCCAACGGCACTTGGCTTCGTGGAGACATCTTGCAGGAACAATACCAGGACAATTGGTCCGGGCCGCCTACCATGAAGATTGATAGCGCGTCTTTTTGTTATACAGGTAGGTGCTAGTTAGGTGCGTAGGTTAGAATTACCTACTTAGAAGTAGGTAAAATTAATACCTAAGTACCTAGGTAGTACTTCTGTGTTATTATGTACAAAGCGGAAGAGTGGCGTTTTGCCTGATGCCAAGAAACACCATGCCTTTTCTGAGCTATCTCCATAGTAGTAGGCCGGCAAGAGAAAAAAGAAGGAAAAAAAAAAGATTCTTCAAAACTGCGACATCCGACAACCGACAAAATCAACCTTGATTCTGTTAACTACCTCCCAACGCTCACAAGTCAACCTAAATTCAATTTCATGAAAATATGGACAGCGACCCCATTATCTATGGCGATGCGCCAGAATACGATCACGATGACCAACCTCGGCCCAAACGCCCCCGTCTCTCATCCGAAGGTCCAGACGACGGAGCAGCAACTTGTTCATCAAACAACAACAATTGTAAACCCTTTGACCCAAATTCAGAAACCAATACAATACCAGGGCTATTCCTAGCTACCGATTGCCAGGTAGTACCCGGTATAGGGCTCAGTCCTAAGAATAATGCACCGGACCAACAGGCATTAAATCCACCACCACCAACAGCTGCTTCCATCACCGAAGAGAACCCAGAACTCGATGGCGGTAACGAGGGAACATCTAGCCTACCTCTCGTCAACGATGAAGAGGACAATGAAAAGAAGTCTAAAGTTGAAGATGAACTCATTATCTACGGCAATGACAAGACAGCAGACCTTATCACCCCGAATCCCGACGAACCTGAAGTTGAGAAAGACAACATCGGGGTCTTCCGTGACAAGGAGGATTTTATGGAGAAAGGGATGGCCAACATGGGAAATCCAGAAGCTGAGTGGCAATTGGATTCTTCGGCGGAAGAAAGCGACGATGATGCGAATGAAGGATCCCATAATTCCTCCCCGTCCTCTGATGATGGCGGCAGCTCAACAAACTCTGGAAGCGATGACGAAGACGACGAAGGAGAAGACGCCGTATTTTTGGATATACAGAAAGAAGCAAGACGATTAATGGATGAGGATGCTGGCTCGGACGACGAAGCTAGCGGCGGGGCAAAAGGCCGTGTCAGTGGCCCCTTGAAAACGAAGAATGAACTCCCAGAGGCCAAGTTAGCGTCCACCCGTCCCGAAATCGACATAACCGCAAGCACACCAGTTATTCCACTAGGGGTAATCGATTCGGTGGTTGACGACTTGATTCTTGTCAAAGCAAGCGTCTCCGGAGAATACCAAGTGTTAAATGAACGATCGGTTTTATGTTTCGAGGATCGGTCTTTACTCGGATGGGTACAAGAGACATTCGGTCGAGTGGAACAGCCTTTCTATACCGTGCGATTAAGGGATGCGGAGGAAGTGAAACAATTAAAAGCTACTGTTGGCCGAAAAGTTAGCTACATTCCCTCGCATAGCACATTTCTATTTACGAAAACAATCCGTGCTGTGAAAGGTAGCGATGCGAGTAATTTCTTCGATGAAGAGGTGGGAGATGATGAGAGGGAGTTCTCGGACGATGAAGCAGAAGCAGAGTTCAAGAAAAGACAAAAGGAAGAGAAGAAGGCACGAGGAGCTGCTCTCCGGTTCCAAGGGCAAGCTCCACCATTAGCACAAACAGCCACTCAGAGCCAAGCAGCCGATGTCATTGATGAGCCTTATGTTCCTCTTTCCCGCCCGGCGAATCTACACGAGATGTCCGCCCCGCCGAGCCAAGCGAACCAAAGACTTCCGCCCCGAGATTTCCAATCCAACAGAGGCTCGAGAGGATTTAGAGGACGTGGTCGGGGTGGCCGCCAAGCCCCTCAAGGCCGACATGATTTCAAGTCCGGGCCTCGCCAACAAAACCAAAGCTCCGACCATCATCATCATCATCATCATCATCATAATCATCATAATCAAAATCAAAATCAAAATCAAAGTCGAGATCAGCCGCAGCAGCATCAGCAGAATTTACAGCATACATCCAATCCTCCTTTATCTCAAGTGCCGCTGCCTCTTGTTCCTCCGCCAGCCTTTCTTCCCTTTTTCGCACAAGGATGCACAATGCCGCCAACAGCATTTCCCTCTGGACCCCACATCCCCCCAGCATTCTTCCCCATCCCCCCAAACCCTCAGCTCCAACTACCTCATCAGTTGGGCCAAATACCCCCACTCCCCCTTAATCCTACCCAAATCCCGATGCTCCAAACGCAGCCACCTCGTCCGCCATCGGTCGAAGATATTCTCCACATTCTACGCTCACAGGGTCATAATTTGTGAGGTACGGCTAAGTGTTCTTCGCTTTCTGTATCAACAATACAAGATTAATCTCGTGTATTGTAATTTATGTTGTATTTCCTTTAATAATTTTGATTAATCTACAAGAGACGTATGTTGAAACTAAGGCGGCGGTTCTCGGCTTATACATAGCATCATCAAAAGAGTTTTATGTTTTCACATTCTACGTAAGGCAATGGGAGCACGAGATCAAGATGGTTATATGAAGTGTCAAACGGCAGGGTTCATTGCTTCGTCCCGAAAACATGAGAAAAGTCCAGATATGATACAGCCCATTGCGACACCTGTAAAGCAAACCCGTGTAGTGAAAAACAACGCATGCCCAGACCCTTAAAACAAGGAAAGAAAAATATAAGACTGAAAAGGGACAAAGAGACGGAATATCAACCCGTGGTCTTCAGAGGGGCGGCCATATTTATTCGTTGACAAGAACGTCAACAGCTAGTATATTAACGTTAATGCTCAACAGGATGGGTGTTGACAGTATTCCGGGGATTAAATTGTATGAAAGGGTGTTCTTTTCAAAAACGCCAAAGACAAGGCAGGTTTACGATCGCTCTCCACGGAGACGACGAGCCAACTGGATATCCTTGTTCTGGATGGTAACACGCTTAGCGTGGATGGCGCAAAGGTTGGTATCTTCGAAGAGGGAGACGAGGTAGGCCTCGACGGATTCCTAAAAGGGTGGCCAAGTTAGCTCCGGACTTAACGCGCTAAAGGCGTGTGATGAATATATAAAACGTACCTGAAGAGCACCAATGGCAGAGGACTGGAAGCGGAGGTCCGACTTGAAGTCCTGGGCGATTTCACGGACGAGACGCTGGAACGGGAGCTTTCGGATCAAAAGCTCGGTGGACTTCTGATAACGACGAATCTCACGAAGAGCAACGGTACCTAAGGGAAATGAAACACGTAAGAGGTGGTTCTGTGACGCGTAGCTAGGTTTTCATCTGAAGGTTTCAGTATGGTGTAGAACGTACCTGGCTTGTACCTGTGTGGCTTCTTGACACCACCGGATGCTGGTGCAGACTTGCGAGCAGCTTTGGAAGCGAGCTGCTTACGAGGAGCCTTGCCACCAGTGGACTTGCGAGCGGTTTGCTTGGTACGAGCCATTGTAGATGTGTGTGGATTAGATTAAAGGGGAGGGTTTTGTTTTAGTGTATTTTTCTATGAGATGTCGATAGGTTGGTGCTGTTGTTGTTGTTGTGTTGAGGGATGGGTAGGAAGTAGTAGGAGAGAAGGAAACAAGAGCAGGATTTGGGGGGGACGTGGTCCTTATAAGAAATTTGGGGAAAGCGCTGGATCACTGTGGAAGAATATTTTTAAAAAACAGCTTCTGAGAAGTAAATAAAATAACCCAAAGGCGTCAAACACCACACGAAAAGGAATGACGGTTTTGGTCCAAGAAAAAGTGCTGGAAAGCAGACGGTCAAACACCCCAAAAACCAAAAGTTGGTTTGGTGGAGGGAAAATCGGCTTTCAGAGCGAATTCTTGCCGAAACGGTGGCAAGGTGGGCCCGAGAGCTGGTTCAGTTTAGATCCTGCCTGACACAGCCGCTGCTCCAATCATCCACCCTTGAAAGACCTGCACACACGCGCCGAAAAAGCAACCTTCAGCCGACTCTACACTGTATGTACTGTGTGCTTACATAAGAAGCACGTACGTATTATACGTATACTTTGATTTGACTTGGGCCAAGTACATAAGTTGGTACTGAGATTTACATACACTGAGATTTACATACACCGAAGCAAGTAAGGATATACTTACTTACTTACATGGTATACATACTTAGTATACGCGAGTTGAATATTCCGTTGTATATCCATATCCATATCCATATCCATATCCATATCCATACCCATGTCAATGTTTTCTTTCCTTTCCTGGGATGGAGGTTGTTATGTCCTACTTACATACGTGTTGGGTGCGCGTGCATGCTTATGCGCTAGCAGGGGCCAACCCAAGAAGAAGGTGGCCCTCTATTTTGGTTGATATCAACGCGTCGCGCAGAACATTCATAAGCGCGAGTTCACCCCAAACGTTTCCCTCTCCTCCATTCATCCTCCATCCAAGCACCCATCTACCACTCAAGTCTCGAATACACATCCACGTTCACCTAGATCTTTGATTTACCACCGAAATAGAACTCCTCCTTCTCCTACCTTTATTTCCTTCAATCCTTCAAAATGACCGGCAGAGGCAAAGGTGGAAAGGGTCTCGGCAAGGGCGGTGCCAAGCGCCACAGGAAAATTCTACGAGATAATATCCAGGGAATCACAAAGCCAGCCATTCGTCGTCTCGCACGTCGTGGTGGTGTCAAGCGTATCTCTGCAAGTATGTCCTTTGGCAATTCTATCCCTTCCAATGCAATCGATCACCAAAATATTCTCTTTTGAGCACTTTAAATTAATCCTCCTCCCCAATTAGTGATTTATGAGGAAACTCGTGGTGTCTTGAAGACTTTCCTTGAAGGTGTCATTCGTGACGCTGTCACATACACAGAACACGCTAAGAGGAAGACAGTCACATCGCTCGACGTCGTTTACGCCCTGAAGAGACAAGGAAGAACTCTCTACGTAAGTTACCTAAATAAACACTGAATTATATCAACCACGTACACTAACGAATCGGCTCATCCAGGGTTTCGGTGGTTAAATTCATTGTGTCTGTTTTTCTTTTTTCCTTGTTTTTTTTTCTTTCTCTCCTCTTCCTTTTTGCCGCCTTTGCATTGTCTTTTATGCACTGAGGCGTATCGGTGTCCGGTCTGGAGGGTTCTCCTACGGGTGTGCATTTTGTTTTCCTTCCAAGTTCAAATGTGCATATATAATGCGAGTTTGATAATATTGAATGTTACGATATGGGCCGACTTGCCCCACTTAGCGACCATGTCTTGGAGATGGTTCTAAAATATTAGCTTTTAATATTTCAATCCGTGAGACCTTTCCATAATCCATCAACCCGACGGCTGAATGTCTTTTATTAATATTACTCAACAAAAACAACGCGAGCGTAGCATCATTCTCATATGACCGGGATTGTAGTCAAGTCGAGCATATCCCGCTTGTAAAATAGTCGATATCAATATAAACGATATAGCCAACTTTGAAACTGGATGTCAACAACACCACTGTTAGCAGTTATGGTTCATGAGTACTTAGAGAAAATGGTAACTAGAAAAATACAATAAAAATAACACATCGCAGTAATAGAGGTTATTGATTAATTATTGAATGATTATTAATTGATTATTAAACAATTATAGATTGATTATGAATTAATTATTATAATCTTTATTATACAAAAATATAATAAATCTGTTTAGATATATTTTATTTTTTATAGTACTAGGTCAAAAGTATTTACTTTTTTTTTTGAGAAAAAAAAAAAATATATTAATGACAAATGTATCTTTACAAAATTAATTATTTTTTTATAAATAATAATTGAAATTTTTTAAAAATTAATTATGTTTAAAAAGTAATCTTTAATCTATTATTTATATAATTTTTAGTATTTAATATATTAATTGTGTGTAATAATTATAATTTAAATTCTTTTATATATAGATTTAATAAATTTTTAAAAGTAATTATTAGAAATATTTTTTTATATATTAGTTATAACTTTTTTTAAATAATTTAAAATAATAGTTTTATTTATTATTTTTTTAATATTAGGATATATTTTGTGAAGTTGATTTTTTTAAAAGTTTCTAGGTATGTTTAATTGAATTTAAATTTGGAGAATATGGTGATTATTTTAAAATAATATATTTAACGTATTCCACCTAGTTTGCGCGCACACCTAGTTTTACCGCAGTTTTCAGAATCAAATATCCCATCAAAAATCATCACCAAACCTTCAACCTTCTTATATTTTCTACATAATAATACCCAACAATATATATTTCAAAACAGTATTATTTTATTATATTATAATAATTTTAAACCTCAAAAAGCCATAAAAAAATATGACTATAAAAAAAAAAAATTAAATACAAGAAAATATTATTTAATACAATAATATTACTTTTGATAAATTTATCTTTTATAATTATAATAATATATTTAATATATTTTATCCTTATTATTCTTATCTTTATTTTTATTTTTATCTTTATCTTCTTTTTTATTTCCATCTTTTTTTTTATTTTTTTTATTTTTTCTATTTTTATTATTATTACTACTATTATTACTTTTATAATTGTAAAATATAATATTAATTATTAAAATTTTTAATACTATAATATAAATTTATAATATATTAACTTCTTGTATTATATTAACAAACTGGATCATTATTTTTTAAAATAAAAAAAAAATTTTCAAATTATGCTAGTAAATAATATATTACTAAATTTAATAACAAAATTATTTATAATATAAAATAAAATTAGTATAATATAACCAATAATAATATTAATATTTTAAAGTTTATTAATAAAAAAAGTAAAATTATTTAGAATAATAATAGAAATTCTAGTTCTACTATTCTAAACCATAAAGTTATTACTAACTAAATTAAAAAAAACTTATTTAATAACTAAACAAATAATATTAAATTTAGAAGAAATTTGGATTTAATTAATAACAAAATGGGTTATACAAACTAGTACGCCACTAAATGCAAAAATTCAAAATCAATTACTTGCAATATTTAAAAAAATAATTAAAAACAAATTAACATAATAAAATTAAAAAAATAAATAAAAATAAATATTTATAAAAATTCCTAAAAATATATCCCCCAATAAAATTATAAATATTATATTATTTATATTAAATTTTATAATTATCTTAATACATATAGCATGTCTAATCATATTATAAACAAAAATTATAAAAAAAGTTGACAAATCTATCTAAATTAATAATATTGAATTCTATAGTATTAATATTATTAATTCTTAAAGCAAACATATTGAAGAGATAAAAAAA